GGGCGCACAAGGGATATCCAGATGCAGCAAACTGGTTGGCGCCTCTTATAGCAGGTAAAGGGTTCTATCCGCGCTGTGCAGTCGTGGGATGCACCTTGTAGACTTGAGGTGGACATCTACAAACACCGTGACTTGGAATGTGGTTGGCAAGGTGGTTGAGGTCTAGCTTGAGTGGGCAAGAGCTAACTATGCCACCTTGGTTGCCAAGTACCTCAAACTGCGTAATGCATGTAGTCATCCCCTGGTGAGGGTGGATGGCCATCTACAGAGCACTATAAAGCTAATCGTGTGGATTGTGGGAGCCTCATCCGGTGGCTCGTCTACTGCGAAAAGACGCAACTGAGGAACTGCTGAGTAGCAAACACGCTGACTGATATTGGTGTGCACCGTATACCTCTACAATAGGGTCTTGCGCCACGTACGGAGAGGAAACGAGCTCCCTCGACTTCGGAACAGGTGGGTCTTCAAAAGCCTCTGCCTCGCTACAAATGCACAAAATCAAATCAGCCTCCAAGTCGTCCGCAGACTCCACGATCTTTCCATGTTTAGAAGCCAGAATGACTCACGTGCTTCCCTATTGTAAATGGGTCTATACCTAGTCATCCTATTACAGAGTGGGCTCCCTGGCTTTCTCCATCTTCTTTGTCTAAATTTGCTTCCCGAGAATCTTTGTACACGAGTAGCCTTCTGTGTACCCAAATAACATCCTCCTTCCTTGAAGCCTGTCACCAAGACTAGATACCACTAGGTCATGCGGACAAAGGCAAACCTTTTCGCAGGTCCGTCTAAAACCAGCAACGGGCATCCAGACAAGTGTATAGATGTTTAGTAAGTTGATTATGATACAGGCCAGTTACCACACGAGGGTCACAACAGTTGGTGTACAGAGTTCTGTTTCTAGCTATAGGTGTGGAGCCCATGTCTCACCTTGAAAGACGGTGGAGTGCTCTGCAGGACCTTTCTGGATATACAGCTGGCACTATAGCTGATAGGGGACAGGTGTGAAGACCCCATGCTTACACAGAAGCATCTCTGGTGCAACCAAGTGCTGTTTTTCGTTAATAGCAGACACCTTGGCACACGGTGTCCGCTCCACCATTGGACATCACGCGATGTGTACACATCGTCAAATAGGGTCGATGCAGTATCTACTTAATCTGCTGGGCCAACACAGCTCCGTTGTAGCAAGTGCAGTGGTGGAGGCAGCCCCCAGTGCAAGGCAGTGGGGCGCATGGCTCGGTGCAGCGCTCTGTAGTTAGACACCTCGGTCCTCTGAGACGGGCATAACACGCTGTCTACACATGCAATTCCTCTTTCATGCTGCTTACCCCTATGAGCAGTTGCGATACATCGTACGCCAGAGAGCGGGGCAGAGGGTTCCCAGACTATTGGACCAATAGACTGAACTGACAAGGGGAGCTAGCCATACGTGCAGAAGCTCTGTCCTGGGGGTGGCGGGCGCGGTGGCTGCCTCAAGTTTTTTTAGTATTCAGACACAAGCCAATCATGTGCACATCGAGGCATCCTTCTGGCTGACCTGGCCATGGCTGCACAGACGATGCGGAGCAATAGCCCAGCCACCACTTCAGTTTCCTGTCTGTTCTGAGCTCCAAGTCACGGCCAACCAGCGAAGGATGGTCTTCCTCGCCCTACATAGAGCTCTCCTAGACAGATACGCTCTCAGGTGTGACTGGCCAACACTAGGGGCTACTCGTAGCAGGTGTGCCTCAATGAGCCTGACCCTGCTTGCACTTGGGTTTACTCTGAGTGCCAGAGGATGCTGGGTCAAACATGTGTTCACAAAGGGCACATACGATGACAGAAGGGCGTAGTCATCTCCTGAACTTCCCTAGCTTAGTTGGGCAACGTGCCATTCAGAATGCACGATGGAGCTCACTGGTAGATGCATCGTCACAGCTTCGATGTCTTAGAATGCTTGATCGGCCGACAGTAACAACACTTCTCTTCTGCCATATAATCTGCCGCTTCCTGTCTAAGGGAATTGGTCACTAACTATGTATAGCACTTCTCTTGGTTGCCATTATAGGTGTATCTCTTGATACTTGGGTTACCTGTTCTTCGCTGCACTGTTCTATTATCCTTCATGACAGAAGCTGTCCCGAAACCATCGATTCGGCGACTGCTCTAGGCTCACCACCCACACTCACGCCGCCATAGAGCACCAGTCTTCAGGCTCCCCATGGCTCACTACGGGAGCTGTGGTGAATGACAGTATACAGAATGCCTGACTCACTACATCTTCCACCCACCGATATGCTTCACCAGTGTCCATCGGTTCTACTGGCACCTGTGAATGGAGATACGTCGCTGTAGCCGCACAGGTGTTTACACATCCTAGAGGCTCTCATATTATGTAGCACAAGGTTTGCTGCCTGGCATGGGGTCTGTGATGTCGAAGATTTTAGAAAGGGGATCTTAGCGATTTGTAGATTTGAAAAGATAGCCTATCTGCGTTAAGAGCTATCGATTTTGCATAGGATTCTTAGATAGTTACGCAATGAGTTTCCGCTACAAACTTTGGATGCGTAGAGACCAACCCACCCTATGTGCAGTGTACAAGTACTCAATTGAATGCTGACTTCACTATTCCTGGTCTAGACCCTCAGAAAATGCTGGCCATTTGGCGAAGAATAAAGATATTGCAACTTATTACTAGTCGAGTTAGAAAGCTATCCGGATAATTGGAGATACCAGGCCCTGCTACATCAATATGTACAAATAATGCGTGCTACTTTATGGATGAGTGCACATTACTATACGATGTTATCTTGCACATCGCAAAGGCACTGTGTAATCCGCGAGGCCCTAGCCAATTATGATAACTATGTATAGTTGGGCATATATCCGTGGACTTTGCTTCTTGCTTTATTTTAGCTGTAGCCCGGTAGAGTTGCTATGCATTTTCTTGATACTAGAAACCATTTGCGGTGCGAAGGATACACATTACTGTGAATCAGCTAGAAGATAAGATGGCAAACAATTAGCTTCAAATATATGATTTGCTACCCCTATCCCGTGGGCCTAAAGTCTGTAAGCACATAGATCTTCCCTTACTTTAAACCTGGTTGCCATTCCACAGTACTAGAGTTAGTTAGATTCTATAATAACCCAGTAATAGGATAGCTTATGCTTCAAGGGATTCCGGGGCTCTTATTTAGCCTAGAATTTGTCTTTAGTTTAATCACTTAGAAGCATGAAAAAATCTGTCGTTTCAAGAAGAAATAATTATCGGACTATTCGCCTGTTCCGTTACGTTTATGGACCTTTAGTTCTCGATAGGATCATCACTTATACTCAAGTTGAGGTCTGAGAGTGACTTTTAGTCTTGCTAAATCCTTCAAAACTTGTGACTATTTGCTTTACAGATCCTTGTTGGTAATTATACATTGCACTGCCAAATTCTGTAAGGATATAACAGATCCTTCCATATGCAAAGCAGACAAACTTCATGCTACCTTTGGCACTACCAATTAGGTCAGCTCATCGAGTATCAACTAAAAATGTCTGAGAAAACTGAAACGAGTGATGATCCGATGATTAAGCTGGCTATAGTGATTGGCAAAGGATTGTATAGAACTGTTTATGCATTGAAAGACACATTGGACGAGGTAGGTAGGGGTATCTAATTGAAGGGGATTATTCCGGACGCCACTGAGGCCGACCTGTGTACTATGCAGCTCTTCAAGCCTTTACATCCCTTTGAATACAAACAGGTATTGCACAACAAAGAACCTTTTGCCTGTGCATGCAATGTTATAAGTCTGCTCTTAAAGACGCAATAAGGTTCTTCAGACAGTGGAGAATGGCCATCCAAGAGGCCAAAGCCCTCGAGATGGTTCGTCGGATTTCGGCTCTGATGGCGCATTTCACGTGTCTGAGAAAAGACACTCTAATGGAGAGCTTTCCTCTGTCGCAGTACAGTATATCTAGTCGTAACCGAGTTCGATCATGGCGAAAACATGGCTCCGTTCTTTTAGTTTTCTGTGCTCCAAAAGATAGGCTCAACAGAGCATATTTTGAAGTCATGCTAATGCATACAGTCCCGGGGGCATGGAGTAGGAAAGGGCATAACCACCTCGAGTATTTGGAGCATGCGTTATATTTTACATGAACGTATGGCTATGAATGCTCTAGCCTTTATTAAAGATATGGGGAATGAGGGTGTCCCTCCAGGGAACTGGGAGCTTGGCCTAAACAGAGCCGAAGGCGCAGCTGAGTAGAGCTAGTACAGCGTCTATTAGTTGTGGGCCAGGAGAATCGGCCGTCTCTAACTCAGCTTGTGAACCTGCTAGGAAGTGGGAAAGGCAAGGAGTGCTCGGGCTGTCCCACGACTTGAGAGCTTAGAAACATTGCACATTAACCATGACAAAGGGCTAGTAGACTTCCAGGAGTAGTACTGGAAACAAAATAGAGATGAAAGGGCTCTGGACGAGACTCTTAGCTTCTGAGGGGCCCAGCCGATACACGCTGACGACGTGGCCACAACGCAGCCAACTGTATTCGAACTGATGGGGGCATAGTCATCGTGGGTATCTGTCCCTAGTAGCAGAACCAAAAGCTGTCGAAGACTGTGAGCGCCTGTCATTCCGGCTTCAGGCTTCCGATCAGCTAGCCGACCTCGATCAGGGCACCCACGCGGCTTGCACCTCATAGGAGGACCCACAAAACAGTGCGGGCCGCCCTGACACAGAGGCTGCAGCGGTTGCAGTGCTCCTGGCTCGGCACGGGAGAGGCACCAACGATGGCGCAGCAAGCGACCCTGTGCTGGTGCCCAGGGCGGCGGGACAGAGACGGCGAGAATCCCTGCCTACGTAAGGGGCGCGGACACGCTAGCCGGATCGCCTCGCGGGCACTCGAGAGGCCCACGGGGCAGACGGCAGAGGGCGGCGGGCGCCTCTCCTAGGGACACATTGTATTGTAACTTCAGTTTTCATAGAAAAATACGTTCAAACGACACATTGTAAATAAAAGGATAGCATATGTCAGTTTCCAGAGACCAGTTGTTGCAGTTTCTGTCGGAGGTGTATGAAGAGCAGCCAGATGGTCAGTACAACGGACTCCAGGTAGAAGGAAGAAAGGAAATTAGGACCTTGGTGACAGGTGTGTCCCTCTGTGGTGACCTTATCGCAGAAGCTGTCCATAGAAACGCTGATGCAATACTTGTGCATCATGGGTTCTTTGGGAAATCATTCCTTCGAGTAACCGATTCGATAAAGAAGCGGTTGACTCCTCTCCTCAAACATGACATAAACCTATTTGCATATCACCTCCCGATGGATGCTCATCCTATTATTGGACACAATGCCCAGCTCTGTAAGGCTGCGGGGCTTCTGCTGGAGAAGTTTTACTCGTGCGGCTGCTACTGTGAAAATCCCGGCAATCTGTCTGGATTGGAGATAATACGAAGGTTGAGCGAGTTTTGTGATAGGAGGGCCTACGAGGTGGATACACGCACTCCTCAACAAAATGATCTTTGTTCGTCGACGTTTTACGGTACAAGAGTTTGGCCGTTTAATTCTTCCTTTGCAATTAATAGCCCACCAAAGCGCGTCTATATTTGTTCTGGAGGCTCTTCAGGCCTGATTGACGAGATAGAAGACGTGGATTTATTTATATTTGGAGAGCCCAAGGAGAGCGCTATCTCTACTGCGCGGGACCGGGGGATTAGCATGGCAGCGCTGGGCCATTGGAGATCGGAACAGCCAGGCCTATGGGCTATCGGGGACCTCATTTCTAAGCAGCTTTCTATAACAGTAGAGCATGTCTCTATAGTGTGTGATGTTTAGTTCACTCGCCCCACTCTAAAACGGCTGGACTGCTGTCTGAGTTCATCCACGCTTTGATGTCATCTACCTTGGAGCTGTTGATAAATAAGAGAGATGCTTCTAGTGAGTCTAGGTATGCCTGGCAATAACCAAAAGCTTTATTGGCTTCCTGTGCGTCCAGAGCTTGCTTAATAGTAATACGTATGCTATTTTTAAGATGCTGAAGCTGATCTAAGGCTCTTCGATAAAAGCACACACTGGTGAGATCGAGAGTTTGGTCGCAGTCGAGAAGCATGCGAGACGAAAGCTCGGAAAGCCCGGCAGAAACATGCCCTAATTGATTCTGAGAGCTTCTGTACATAGACCTGACTGCAGTCAAGAAAGAGCGCGCCTTAGGGCTAAATCTGAGTGATGAGCACAATTCACGAAACAAGGTCACATCCGCTCCGTTAGGAAGCAATACAGTTGCAAGTTTCTGCGCAAAGCTTATTAAGAGAGTGATGTCTAATCCAGATAGCCGCACCTTGGTAAGTTGAAGATTCTCAAAGAAGCAATGTACTCTAAACACTGTGGCTATTCTAGTCTTTGCTAGGAGGCCCAGTGACTTGCTTTCCACGGAGTAGCCTAACAATTTGGGAAGGGGTAGATCATCATCGGACGCTTCAGAGAGGAGCTGTAGAAGACTTGTTGAGTTACAACTCTCCACAAAGAAAACAAATTCGTTAGCTTGCTCTAACTTGCCATCAAGGGCATCGTGATCGTCTGGCAGTGCTATAAGAATAGGCTTGCAAAGAATGTCCGCCAGTTTGGTGCTTAAAATCTTATAGTTGTTAAAGTTCATTGTCAGACTCGCGACTTCTTCCAAGAGAACCATCAAAGATCCCCCTTCAAAGGAGGCCAATGTACTGCAAAAGGAACTGGAACAGAGGCGCATCATTGGACACACTGGCAGGCTTACGGAAATTGGGATTGAAATGCCATGAGTTGCCGAGGATAAATTAGTCTGTGTTACTGCTAGTTGCAGGATAATAGTTGATCCAGCATATTCTTCAATGATGTCTGACGAGATAGGTAATTCCACAATTGACTCTGGCTGTGCGTTTTTGTTAAGGTGATGTGAGATATGGTGAGAGGATGGAAGAGATGTGGTATACTTCTCTGAAAGATGAGTTCGAGCTAGCTCAGAAAGAAAGACGTTGCGGACCTTGTCTATTTCCATGACCGTCGTGTCGTTGACCACATCTATTGCATGATCATGTCCATTGAGAAGCAGCGCATGCTGGATACGATGCTCCATATTTAAGAACCGTGTCGACATGTGCAGACTACTATCGCGTACAATAGGCCCCAGAGACGCTGCGACGGAGCTGTCTCCAGAACCGCAGCAGATCTTTCTGAATTCAGAACTAGCATCTCTAACGTTAAGTGGTGCAAATACTGATTTCGCAGCTCCAGTATTAGGATCTAATATAGCAAAACTGTGTACAAATAGTTGCTCAGGAAGGGCGACTTTAATTAGGTAGTGGCCAGGAGAGCAGTTCAGTGAAAGGAGCATCGAACGAGACTCTACATCTGCGCAATAAATACCCAACAATCGTGCTTCACGGAGCAGGTCTCCAAATGTATATTCCCTGGAACCATCGTTCCCCTGATCCTTGTCGGCGTCAGTACAAGACTCTTGTGCAGAGTTGGACACTTGTTGTTGCCGCAAAAGTTGCAACTGAGCCATCAGTGTGCGCTTCTTGGCGAGCAAATGCATTGCATCGTGCACGTCATTGGATTGCGAAAAATCGTGGCTTGAATTGCAGATATGTCCTCTGAAGTTATACGCTAGTAGCATAGAATAAATGTCAGTAAATACCCTAACAGAAAAAGTAAGAAGGGTGTCGCTAGCAATGATCCACAGCAGCGACTTGTCTGGTAAAGCGGACAAGGTGCCGGAGTCGATCGTACATTTAACTGATTTCGTGGACAATGCAGTTTCTGTAACAGGAAGCGCAATGGGGAAGTCGTGGATTGGTAGCTCCATGACTGAAGGCATGCCTCTGTCCACAGCAGTGGGGTGGAACGTGAGCACACTAAATGTAATCTTGGTAAGCTGGAGCTTCACTATTAGTGGTATTCCATCGGCAGTTGATCTGTTTGCAGTTTTACTAGTGCTCGCTGTGGTGGGATTTAGGTCAAAGCTCTCTTCTATTGTCTTTGCTTCGAGGGCTTTGAAGGATGTACTAGTGGAAAGTGGACGCTTTTCTAGTAAGATGTTGCTGGATGGCTTTTCGAGGAGACACGCATCGATCAGCGAACAATCACTAGGGAATCTATGCAGTTGAAGTATTGACACTTCATTAAGGTACAAGAGATAGAGGGAGTGGTCTGCTAGAAACAAGAGAATAAACCGGCCCAATGTCTTCATGCGAAGGACATGGGTTGGGAGCCGCTTTTCTGCTAAAAGCTCTTCTCCACGAAAGTAACGCCCATACCGATCCCGTGAAACCACAAAGTAATCTAGCTCAGCCTCGTCTACTTCCGAATCACCCTCACTCATCTTCAGGTGAGAGGCTAGTGGTAAAAAGGTGGCCATGTGCACCACAACGTCTCCCGTGGGAACCCAGAAAGTTTCTGTTTGATTTTGCGTCAGGCTAGCGGTAGTTGGTATCCTATACGCTGAAACATTGCACTGCTGGGCTAGGAGGACTAGGGGTGGAATCGCACTGGCCACATTAGACTTATTCTTGCGTAGCATGGAAACAAAGCATCTTTCCGCAGTGGTGAGTCGGCACATAGAAACAGCGGATAAAAGGGTTGCATCACACACGAGGTCATTAACCGTGTAGAGGCAATCTTCGGAAAGATTGACGGACATGACCCCAGAAGAACTAGCCGAAAAGGCCAAATCCAGAAAGGCACTGTTTGGCCTTAGCGCTGGCGTTGCTGCCACAACTTTCTGAGGGTCAAATTCTAAGGGTTTAGAACGGTAAGACCCAGACGAATCTGGCGTCAATACAGAGAGCGTGCCCGCAGCTGTGGTGATCAGAAAGCTTTCGACGGATGACCCCGTCTCAAGTAGACCGGCACTGCAAATGCCAGTCTTTACAAAGCAGGAGTAGCGTGGCTCCATAGACGTGTGGTTTTAAGGTTTACTAATAAACTATGGGTCTAAACATTGAAGCGTCAAGAGTAAACGTTAACCATCGGGCCCAGCAAGGTGTCATGCATGCGGCTTATGGATTCATTCTCTGCATTCGTCAAGTTAATGTTCTCATCCCCCCGTACGATTGTGGAGCAATAGGAGAGGAGATCCTTTTCCATGTTCGAAGAGTGAATTGAGTGAGGCGTAATCGAAGGGATTTTGCTGGTAGACCCGAAGCTACCAACTGTGGACGAATGCCCTGCGTCAATCACCTGATCGAGCTGTGACTGAGCTTGGCCTAGCTGATTGAGAAATAAGAACGAATTGGAGCGCACGAGACTGTAGCTGCTGCAGTCTGGCTGTGTAGCAAGCGGATACGATGCTCCGTAGCCTGGCGACCCAGAAGCACATCCGTAGAGACTCTGGTCTGTGTGCAGCCCGGACAACCCTTCTTGAAGTGCCATAGAATCTACCCGGGGGAAAAGTAGACAGGAGGTTCGCTCAAATGAGTCGCTACGCTGCATGGAGGAGACCAGCTGAGCTCCGTGTGTGACAGTGTTTATGTCGGAGATTCCATGTGATGCCTGCGCAGGCATTCCGTGCTGCATGGCTATAGGATGGTGGCCAGCAGGGTCTCCAATAGGTGCGGTCATGTGAGGTGTCAGTGATGTGAACACGGGTCGCTGGGCAACGGTAACCCCTGTGACACCCAAGTATGACGTGGGATTAGCAAAGATGGGATGGTCAGGAGACCTAATTGGCTGAATTGGTAAGTGATCTGGAGCTTTTAGGAGTTTAAGGCAATCCTTGTAGGGTATCCTAGTCCTATCAGGAGGGTGTGTGTGCTGATTCTCGTACTGCACAATCACGGACTCAACTGTTTCGGTACCATCGGAGCTCAGGGAATAAAAAAAGGTGATTGTTCTACGAGCCGGACAGTTAAAGAACGCACAGCGGTAATACGACTTCGAATCGAGCCGAGTGTCTGTTTGGGGCTTGTGGCCGTACTTCTTCCATCGAAAAAAGTCAATACTGGATTCTATTTGATCGTAGCTAGGGAGCTTACACGAGATAATCAGCTTACGTCCACGAGGTGCATGGGCCGATGAACCCTTTGTGGAGGGATCTTCACCGGGGATCGCCACAAGGGACGAATCATCCGAATGGTTACGACCGCGACTGTCTTGCTTTCTGATTGCATACATAGCTTTTTCACGAAAACTTTTGTTCAATTGCGTGATGGCCAGATTGACCGCATTACTGAGCTCAACTCCTTTCGCGAAGAAAGTCATGACCATTGACGTCAGTGCAGATAGAGGATAGATACTGTCTGAGATCTCAATAATTTCGTGACCATTAATCGGATCTCGATAACGCTTATCTGAGTCATCCAAAACTATGGATCCAAAGCCATTTAAGATTAAATAATCATTATTGAAGATGCTCGGCCGAAGAAGGACTGCCAGGTCAAGGAAAGTTTTAGACAGTACACTTAGAGACAAATCACTCTTGATGAGGAAGTTTTGGCCCAGGGCTGCAAGACGGCACACGTCCGCCAGACTAGTTGCTTCATGAGTGGTGCTGGAACTCTTTCCATGATTGTGCTCTCCAATGTACTCTGTCTTGAGCACCCTGTTGTCAGTCTCGGTGACATACCGTTTTGCCTGACATCCAGGTACAGAGCATCTGAAGTAGGATTTGGGATGAGAGTTGTTCGGAAGACGCTTGGAGCCATACTTGCGCCAGCAATAGCCATCTGCTGGCAGCTCGCGAATCGTCACTCTCTCTGTGGTGGTTTTTCTGATGCTACACTCGACACGCCGCGTTGTAGCTTTGCGCAGGGATCGTGGCTCCGAAACAGTGGCGGAAGCAACTAGCGTAGAGCTTCCATCCTGGGACGGAGCACCTCCAAGTGAATCGCCTAGGAGAGTGAAGCTCTTTGTGGCACTACGTGTCTGCGAGGACAAACTAACCGATGTCTGTAAGTCCTTGGCTGAAATGTTAGGTCTAGATGCTCCGGAAAAAGACCGAGATATTAAGGAAGGCGTTGAAGGGGGAATGGGCCCTGGAGCTGCAAGCGACACACTCTGAGAGCGACTGCTTTGAAAGGCGCTAGATGTGCTTGTGATAGGACACGAGCTCTGATCCATCGAGCACAGAAAAGAGGAACTACCAATACCTGAGTCATCTGATGATGCAGGAGATAGCGTTCCATCCCTCGGAAAATCATGTGCTTTTGTCGGCAGCAGTCCGGAGATAGGAATATGAGGAATGGATTGGACAGATATGCCATTGGAGTAATTCTGGCCCAGGTCAGAATTAGCTTGCAAATTGCTGGGAGCAATGAATGCAGCTCTCTCAACTATCTGAGAGACACCCATATTCGCAGCCGATAAGGGCAGGCAGGGAAGAGTGCTAGAGGGAAGGTAAGATACAGCAGGCAGATTCCCAGATAACGCGGGTAAATCCATAGCTTGGCTTGCATCGAAACCTGTGATTTGACGCAGGTATTTATCAGAAACCGAGGAGGCCGCTGGAAGACGTTCCCCGTAGGAAAGCGTGGGGACAGGGTTAATTCTTTCTCTGCCAAAGGAGTTATGATTATACAGGTCAGCAGATATTGAAGTCAGTGTGTGGACAGAGACATCCATCTGGTGATGCACACCACTTGCGTTCTGGTGTCCTCCTGCGCCAATAGCACCAGGTAGGGGCTCGTGTTTATCAGCATATTGCGAAACAACGCTCAGCTCTATGGGCTCCCCCAAGTCATGCAGGGATCCTTCTTTCATACTTTTTAACTAATAGATTGGAGCGAAATTCGGGTACAGTCCTCTGAGTGCGTCTCTTGGAAAATCAGTCTGACCGGGTAGGCGAAGAAAAAGTATGACTTTTAGCAAAAGGTGTCATAGTAAATACATACTTGGGTTCAAAAACGTCTAAATTTTTAGGTCATAAAATAGAACAGATTAGCGAGTTTGCATTTAATTCTTAACCTGCTCGAGCGTGGGATGCGCACCCTAGCACAGGACATGGAGCGGACGATGAATGCGCTTTTTCTGGACGTCGAGTTTTCAGATTGGCCGCTCCTGGAGACGCTCATGATGGGCTACGAGGACGCTTTCTTGGGGTCACTGGAAAACTCGTTCGTCACGCAACTCTATCCTAGCATCTACGGAGACGATTTTCCCGACATCATTCTGCAAAACGTCTTTCCGCCTCCGAAACCCGTGGTGGCATTGGCCGGAGAGAGCAAGTTCATCTATAGTGCCCTTGACAGCCACATAACAGGCTCTCTGCACTTTCGTATGGACTACATTAAACGACATGTGCCAAAGTCAGCTGCACTAACGGATAAATCTTCTGCTCTTGCCTACGAGGGCTCGGGATTCAAGCAGGTGCCGCAAGAGCGTGTGCCAAACTTGCCTGCATCTAGGGAAGAGGCAGAAAAGTCGTATTTTCAGGGATTTCCCGCGAAGGCCACTTCTACATTGCGGAAGCCACAGCCCCCCAAGCCTTCTCCGGCTAAGCATCTTTCTTCAAATGACCGTCTTGCACTGTTCAATCGCAAGGAATCGGAACGCAGAAGTACGTTGCCTAAGGAAAAACCCGCCAGCAGAATACAGGAAAGACCGAATTGCGCCGCCTCGATGCATGTCCTGGGACCTTTGAGCAGTACTAAGTCCGCCATTAAATATATAGCTTCAAGCACTCAGTCTTTGAAGGACTCTGCGAGTCTTTCCATGAGCAATTTATCGGTGACCAATACAACCGCAGGAGCAAGTGTTGAGTTGCATGCCAGCCCTTCGAATTTTCAAGACAGTCAAGTGGCCGACCCTATCTGCAGAACCCTCAGCACCGATAGGCCAGCCGAACTGAAAGCAGCCTTGGTCGTCCAATCTGTGTACAGAATGCTCACTCGGCGCACTTGGTTTGTGACCATCCGGCTTGCAGCCCTGGCTTTCCAGGCTCACTACAGAGGCTCCTTGGCCAGGTGTGCCTATGCAGAGCGCCGTGCAAAGGTAGCGGACAGGGCACGCAATACTTTCTTGAAGCATCAAGAAGCATTCCTGGCCAAGTTGTGTGCCTTGAGCGTGGCGCGCCGCTCGTCTAGCGTGGCTTATGATGCATTTATCTTCTCTAAGCATAAATACAATGAACCTATTGTTAGTTACTTCATGCCGGTCTGCTATGATAGAGTAGAAAGGGTGCTCTTTGATGATGCGCGGTCCCGGCAGACAGGGGCCCTAGAGATTCGGCCTCGAAAGTTCACCGTACCCATCGTTCTTCTGTCTACGCCCGCAAGCGTCGGAGGCGAGTCTGCGATTCTCTTCAACTCCTACAGTACCCCGAGCATGGGCTTTTCCTTCTGCCCGCTCAGTCTCGTTCACTTCCTACTCGACCCAACTGTTCTAAAGCTCGTTGTTGTGGCTGAGCATTCTGTCTCTCTTGCATATATAGAATCTATTCTAACTGGTATTACCCAAGAGTCTATGCTCCTTAAAAGGAACCAGATGCTCCACAGCTTGCTGCGCTGTCCTAGCCCAGAGGTGCCTTCCAGACACAGCTCTCCACTCCACGCCAACAAGACTCTCAGTGATACGCCAGGTCCCCGGGCCTCTCAGACCTCCCCGACTCCCTTCACCGAGGCCTATCCTGATTCAGTTACGCATGGCGCAGCCTCAGCGTCAACTCACGCTGACGGCTCCTCTTTAGCTGGCAACTATCAAAACCTCTTTTTCCCAGCTCAGCTATCCACTCTTGTTAAGACTAAGCTGGTGATTATTCACCCTACTCTCTTGTCAACGCTGGAGGCGAACGCATTCGACCGCCCTGTCACCCTATCTTATACAGGGTCTATCATCTCACTGCTTCTGTCGTCTCCAGATACTATCGAAGAGCTACAAAGAGCCGTTGATAAGGTGTGCTTGGAAGCCTTGCGACTACAAGGCTCCAAAGACCTAGAGATTCTGCCATACTTCTCTTCCAACATCGACTCCGTCTCGGATTTTGAGCTTTATGCTCTCACCAGGACGTTCAGGTTACCGACAACAATGCTTCTTCATAGCCAGCGAATTAATTGCAGAGACCTTGTCCTCACGTCCATCCATGAGTCGCAAATCTTCGCTGTTGAGTCTATTTCCGAACTCCACAAGTATCTAAGAAACGAGAGATCGGTTTCCAGCGATACGGAGTACATCATTGCACCCTTCACTCCTGGCCTTGCTAACGTCTTTTCAGAAGCTGTGCTGTATGGGCTGGCAGGGATGCGATCGTACTGTCTTACACGAGAGTCTAAGCATACTCGGCGAATCATGCTGTATCCCATCCTCCCGATCACAGATGCAGAGCAACCCCACGAACGAGTGGTGAAGAACATATGTTCAAGTCTAGGGGTGGGCGATTATTACATCTTATCAGCAAGAAAAGCGGATTTGCAGCAATCCTTTGTGGCTGCGCGGCTTATCATTTACATAGAACCTTCCGAGCGGCCCGTTGTGACATACTTGGGCTCTAGTGTTGACATTTCTTCCTCACTGGCAGGGACGCATCTTCCTACACGGTCCTTTGGCACCATATCACCTGCTCCAGACTCTATCTATTTCACCCTAAAGAGGCAGTCAGCCAACACTATTGCTAAGCTGATTGACTATGGAATTCACGGCGTAGTGGTCCTCCACTATCTTTATGCCGAGGGTACGAAGGTTTCGGCAGGAGAAAGCCAACATCTAAGCAACATAAGCGTGGGAAGTACTTCCACGCGTAGCACCCTCCCCTCCACGGCATCCCCGTCTATAAGATCGCCGGCCACGCAGTCGATGAGCGTCAGCCCGAATCCTTTCCAAGTTTTATCTGCAAGCGACTGTGTTAAGGTTTATGACAGTGAAGTGGCGCACTTCAATAGCCTTTTGTCTCCGACAGTCTTTGGCACCACAAGGACAAGACCTCCTTGTTCCAGCCTTAATGCGCAAACGCGTGGCGATGAATCCGTGTCTCCCTCTATCAACGACCGCGTCTATACCAGCCAGAGCGGGAGCACAGCGGTTCTCGTTAACATATCGTTCGGGTTCACTCCCGGTATCTGCCATCTTTATTCGGCAATGGCCCTTGCAGACCTCTCGTGGGACAGCATCAACGGGGTTCTAAGTCGCAATGACACTTCCCTTGTGAAACGACAGATCACTAAGGCCCCGATGGTGGTTCTTTCGCTTCCCTTCCTCTGGCATCGCGACCTTCAGACCATCAACAGAACGGCCTTTATGGTGGCCTTGATGAAAGAGGGGATCGTCTTTGATTCACTCACGCGGACCGGCACCCTCTTTGACTGGAACCCGGCAAGCTCGTCGTTTGGTGTCTTTGGTGTCTACCAAAACCCCCTGCTAGCTGTCCAGCAAATGGCGCGGCTCACAGACATCACTCTTGCCACGATCCACAATGCGCATCCGACGTCTGTAAGCTCCGTGACGACGAGGCTCAACTCACTGCACTGTGAATCAGAGGTCAACGGAAAGGCGTACGCGCGCCTCCGGACGGCGCACATGTCGACGAACCTGCAAGACTGCGGAGCCGCCCTGAAGGCGATGCTGCCGCACCTGCAGCCGGTCGATTAAGTAAAGGAAGGCTCGGACATCCAAGGAAGCATCAGGAACCCTCAGAGAGTTGCGAACGTAACTGCTTTTGTCTCCATCGCCTCGTAGCAACGCTTGCGCGTGGGTTCGCTACATTTATTTTTCCGGAGCCTGTGTATGCGTGAGCTTTGTTTCATAAATAGCAACATGTAAATTCAGCACAAAATCCGAGTCAGGACAAAAAAGCATGTCTCGCCAAGACACTCCGGCCCGTCGCGAGGGTGCCCCTAGGCACGCATCCAGCGCAGAGTACTTCATGGAGCTGGTGAGAGCCCAGGAGCACGCATCGCGCCAAACGCCGCATCTCTCCGATCAGCTCTTCACGTACAACGAGGAGGAGTATGCCCCCTTCGACCTCGACCCTGTGCGACCAGCACATATCACACCAGCCGACGAAACCCTTGATTGCGCATGCACCCGGACGCTCGGGACCGGGGAGTGCACGATTCGAGGGGCTCCAGGCAGTCTTCTGCACCGCCTTGAGATGCACTCAGAAGCGTCCCTACCGCCTGGGATGCTCAAGAATGCGCGCCCAGCAATTATATCAAATGCGTCTAAGACTCTGCGCACCCGTAATGCAGAAACCAAGAAGATTATTACATCTGAGAGACTCGTGGGCGGCATGAAAACGGGCGCTGACGTCATTGCATACTTTGCACGGACGCCCGACAAGGCAGTCGTCAAGATTGTCTATTGCTCGCCCACCACCACCCCGGTTGACAAGGTATATAACCCCTACAGCCTACGCGTCATTGACGGTGACGTCGCAAAGAAGCTTCCTGTCTACTACACAATATCCCAGAACGGCGTCATGCGTGTGGTCAATAGTGACGTCAAGGTTTTAAAGGTCTACGACATGATCAATGACAAGAGCACTCTTAATCCGAGCCTCTACAAACTTGAAAAGACAGTCGATAAAAACTTAGCACATCCATTGCGCCAGGATGGAATTCCCGGCGGCACAGACACTGATTTTTTTGCACTCGACCCTTGTGCAGGGTCAGACGGAGCTAGCGACGGCAATGATGCTACCAGCAGGGTGCATTGCGACGCTGTTGGGGACGCTTCTTCCAATGATGGCTTCCAGCACCGCAGCTCCGGCATCGACACAGGAATTAGGGGCGACAAGAGCCACCGCCGGAAGCCAGAACAGACCGACCCAAACATCCTCAGTAGGACAATAGAGAGCGACCTCGTGACGGCATTCCACGACGATGCTTCCGAGTTTACCATGCTGGATAGATGGATATTGGAGGCGTCTAACTTTGACATACTGCGGAACTACAAGTTTTTTAAGCACTTCTATCAGCTCAAGACCCTACAGACATGGATAGCTTTCCGAAAGTACAAACGCTACTGTCGTAATCGCAAGAGTATTACTAAGTCTCTTTTCCTATCCAGGCCACACTTCCTGCAGTCTCTCAAGACCATATGGGCTATACTGTATGACATCAAGATGTCTCAATGTATTGACTTGCGGGCTACCTCGAACACTACTGCACCCAAGCGTGATGATGCAGATGAAAGTGCCATCAGCGCATCCGCGCAGGGCCTCACCACTTCCGGGTCAGGAGACGTGCCCTCGCTGCCTTCTGGCATCGCGCAGCCTCTGCAGGCGTGGAAGGCTGCGCAAATACACACAAAGCGCACAGTGTCTGAATCCTTGGACGCAGCCAACGACAGCATACTCACCGAGATCACCGCTCTTTGCAATGAGCTGCGAAAGAGGGCGAGTGACGATGACGAGATGGACCAGGCCAAGCTTCCACTTTTTATGCGGCAGAAGATAGCAAAGGTCAAGTCCATTACCGCTACAAAAGCCGAGCAGCTCCACAGACGCCGAGCAATACAGCAGGCTCAGTTTGAACTTGTGACTATCTCCGACTTCATAGTGCTCTGTGACTTTTTGTACAATGAGGCCATGCTCGAAATGATTTATGCCAGCACCCTGAATCTAGCAAACGCAGTTGCAAACCCTCCTCCGGCCACGCCCGGACTTATTATCTCAGAAATATTCTTCCAAGAAATTCCCCCAGGAAAGCGCTACGAGGAGATTCCCCTCGTTGGAGATGTTCAATTTAATCCACCCCTGCATGAGATACAGGCTACTCTTCTGGACTCCGTCTCGGAGGCCATTAACGTATGCTCACAGCAGACGCATCTCAGCCAGCTGGCCGCCCTCCGAGAATACTTTATTCTAGCCAACAAACAGCTCCCCAACCCTCAGAATATCTCAACCATCGCCAGCAACGATGCAGAGGTCCAGGCGGCGCTCAAGGTAATACGTGATAGTTCGACCGAGCAAATTGCAAAGCTGGAGGCCTTCTCGAAGAGCTACTCTCAGCTTTATCCTATTCACGCCTTTCTCTCCACCTGGAACGAGGAGCTCTACGCGGCAAAGTTCAAGGATACGCTCAGCTGTGATCTAAAGCTCCTTCTACCAAGTTTCATTGTGAATCCCACAACAAACAAGAAAGTCACAAAGCTCCACTCTTACCTCAAAAATCCTCCTAATCCACAACAGGTCCCACTAGAGGATCGCCGCCTTTTGGAGGATACATTTGAATCGGCACGCGCAGCCTATGGCACGCGACCACTGGAACGTCAAATCACGATCTTCCGGGGCTGGTCTCAGATTCTTTCGCGCATGGCTGCAAATACTTCGACAGGATTCACGCAGCTAGACGCGCGCAGCCTCCTGCAGACTCTTCAGCCTGTTCCCCTTATTGGGCTCAAGGCCGTCGAGAATACAGCTCTCTCTGTCCTGCGCAACCTCGTTTCCAAGTGCACCACTGCGTTTAAAACGCACACAAAGGTCCTTTCTATCGAGCCGAAGACTCTTACAGAGTTTTGTAATTACATAGAGTATAACCGATCGATCGACAAGGAAATTGAGCACCTCATCTCTGAGGTCCAGCTGGCTGATGATATCCTAATTATGCTAACCTCACCGAACAATCTCCAGTCAACCCCTCCTAATCAAATGTTTGTTGCTTTTGATGTGTCTACGACAGTTGACGACCTCTTTACTATGGATGCAAAACTCAATCCGTCAATTCCAGGCCTTGGTCTTAAGGTTTCTGTTTCTGATCGCACCTCTGTTGATACGCTTCATGGGGAGCTCCAGGTTTTACAGAACAGGCGCGCGTTGGCTGACCAGTTAGTTAAGGACCAGCACTATGTCATGGCATCTTCCCTCAAGGAAATGATCACCACGACGACCAACGACATCAACGACATTAGGCTCACGCTTTTATCAGGATCTGCTTGTGATTCTAACGCCGATCCGCGCTCTGTTGTCAGCCACATCGATGAGTTGAGTGCGACGCTTAACGATATGACAAAGCACTACGGTGGATTGTCTGATCAGAATGACATCCTTACGGGATGGTATAATCGGGACGCAGAAGCAGAAGAGGACGAAGACGAGCCTGAGAAGCCAAGGACGAAGAAGGAGCCCCTTAAGCTTTCCCCAGGCCAGAATGCTACTCCTAGTCAGCTGGTTTGTATGTCGAATATCGAGACTCTGACGGAGCTGAAAGGGACCATCGCACAGATCAAACAAGATCTGGACTTGCGAAGTCGCATGTGGAAACGCATGCACGAATGGCGCATATTCGAGGATCGTCTTATGGTCTCTTCTTGGATAGACACCGTCATTAACTGCAAACTGGAAGAGGCAGAGCCTAACGAAGCTGGCGTTGCTGTTGCCTCGGCAGTCGAAGGCGAAAAGGACGCAGCTGAAGGAGAGGCGGCAGCCGATGATGCACTCGATGCTCATGACGAAAGTGCTGATGACACAGAGAAAAAAGTAGACCCGATTGTTGCCAAGTTCAAGTACCTCAGTGCAGAAACGTGTCTAAGCTTCATTAATGAAGCAACTAAGGATTCGACAAAGTTCGCTAGACTTCTCCCAGAGGATGGTGTCGCAGCTGCACTGAAGAGGGCTGTTACATCTATGAAGCAGAAGTCCCAGCTAATCGCTGATCTGGGGAATATTAACCTAAAGCCACGCCACTGGGAAAAGATCTTTGAGACTCTGAAGCCATTTGCTAAGGAGCCAGGGTCATTGAGCTATAACTCGGGTTTTTCGTTTGAGACGCTCCTAGATGCTGGTGTTCTGAATAAGCGCGCCGAGATAGCATCGATTTCTGCTACTGCAAGCGGAGAGCGCAACATAGAGCTTTCTCTGGAGAAAATACGGTGTATATGGGAAGGAACCGTCCTGGCTGTCAAGGAATACAGCTCTCGTTCTGGTGTCCTGCACCACATAATTTCTGGCGTTGAGGAGATCTATCAGCAGCTGGAAGACTCCACCTCTACTCTTCAAGCGATGGCTGGATCCAGATACATTGCAGGGATCAAACCGGCCGTGGAGTCATGGGAAAAGAAGCTCAGTACATTTGCTGAGGTGCTAGACGAATGGTGCAAGATGCAGCAAACCTGGCTGTATCTGGAGAGCATCTTTGCACCAGATGATATCCGCAGACAGCTTCCACGCGAGTCCGCTGATTTCTCCCAGGTTGATGCGTTTTGGCAGAAGCTAATGGAGACTGTTGCAAGCAACCCGTGCATTATGACAGTCGTGGATGCAGGGATCCCAAATACGCCCCTTGCAAACCACGACCTTCTTAAGGAGTTGACAGCTGCCAATGAAAAGCTGGAGGTAATCCAGAAACGTCTCGAAGATTACCTTGAGTCCAAGCGTCTTGCGTTTCCACGCTTCTTTTTCCTATCAAACGACGAACTTCTCCAGATTCTTGCTCAGACGACGGAGCCCAGCACTGTTAGACCCTTCCTTAGGAAAATCTTTGAAGCTATTGGAGATATAGAGCTCGAGGAGTTGGGTGAGCAACCACTTACAACTACCACATCGGCTAGTGCCAAAAGGCGCAAACGAATGGCAACTACAGAAGATGCTGATGAGGACGAGCCCTCGTTACCGGCCTCCGGTCCCCAGAAGAAGATAACTGCCATGATCTCTCCTGAGGGCGAAAAAGTCATGTTTGTCAACTGCGTCGTTCCATCTGGTGGACTAGTGGAAGTCTGGCTCACTGCGCTTGAAAAGGAAATGGTGAATACGGTGCGCTACAACATGTATCACACTCTAAGCTTTTCTCCTCGGGTCGGAGAGCAACGCAAAGAATGGATGTTTGACCATCCTGCGCAGTGTGTCATGGCTGCTGGCCAAGCTGTGTGGTGTAATGGGGTGGAAGAGGCCTTACTCATCGATGCCGAAAAGGGATCTAGTGGGAGAGAGGCTATGGAGCGCTTTAGTGAAAATCTTCTGAAGCAGATTAACGAACTAGTCTCCCTCACCATGACAGATCTGAGCAGCCAGCAGCGGGGGCTCATCTCGACGCTTATTGTCTTAGAGGTCCATAGCCGTGACGTCACAAGCTCTTTGTTAGATTCCTCCTCAGAAAACTATTGTCTTATCCCATCAGAGTTTGGGTGGCTGAAGCAGCTCCGCTACTATTGGCACCATAATGATAAAGCGAAAAGGGTAGCGCATTCTCAGTTGGATTCCGATGAATTCTCTGGAGATCTTGTTATTCGACAGACAAACTCATTTTTCACGTGCGGATACGAGTACATGGGCATCAGTACACGGTTGGTTCTCACACCACTGACGGACAGATGCTTCATTACGCTAACGTCGGCGCTGGCGAACTTCATGGGCGGGGCCCCCCAGGGGCCTGCAGGCACAGGTAAGACGGAGTCGACAAAGGACCTTGCTAAAGCGATGAGCATCCAATGCCTCGTCTTTAACTGTTCAGAGGGGCTCAATGTTGCTGCCATGGGGAAGTTCTTTATTGGCCTGGTGATGTGCGGTGCTTGGAGCTGCTTTGACGAGTTCAACCGCATTGAGGTTGAGGTTCTTTCTGTCGTAGCATCCCAGATCCTTTGCATTCAAACGGCAATCCTTACAGGCGCTGATCACTTCCTCTTCAACGCAGGAGGATCGTCAGAAGATGGCCTAGACATATCGGTCGGTAACGGGGATCCGACAAAGCGCTGCGGTATATTCATCACAATGAACCCAGGGTATGCGGGCCGTGTGGAGCTTCCGGATAACCTGAAGGCACTTTTCCGCCCTATCTCTATGGTTGTTCCCAACTACGCCTTAATTGCGGAGATCATTCTCTTCTCAGAGGGCTTTACAACGGCCAAGGTCCTTAGCCGCAAGATGGTGCAGCTCTACAAGCTCAGCTCGGAGCAGCTATCGCACCAGAGCCATTACGATTTCGGTATGCGTGCGATCAAATCGGTCCTTGTCATGGCTGGTGGGCTACGGCGCAAGTATATTCACCTAAGCGAGGACATAGTCCTCATCCAGGCCATGCGTGATGCCAACTTGCCGAAGTTCCTCGTTGACGATATCGAGCTCTTCATGGGCATTATCCAGGATCTCTTCCCCGGCGTCCAGATTCCCTCTGTGGAGCACGGCGGGTTACACGCAGAGATTGTTCGAATTCTCTCAGCCAAAGGGCTTCAACCGTGTGCTGAATACGTCAGCAAGATTCTCCAGATCTATGATACTCACATTATAAGACATGGGCTAATGACGGTAGGAGACACTCTGACAGGAAAGACCGTGGCTAGAAATGTCTTGGCAGATGCTATCACTGCCATAGCCGAACAGCGAGCTGCGCAGAATATGGACCCTGATGGCTATCATCCCGTCGCCCAGTATGTTTTAAACAGCAAGGCCGTCACCATGCCAGAGCTCTATGGGGAATTCAATAGTATTTCTCATGATTGGACTGATGGCCTGATAGCTGTCATTGCGCGGAAGATGATCGATCCCAACAATGCTCACCTAAAGCATTGGATTTGCTTTGACTCACCTGTGGACGCCCTTTGGATAGAGAATCTGAACACAACACTAGATGACAATAAAATGATCTGCCTAGCCAACGGAGAACGTATCCGCCTCCACAACAAGGTTAATCTATTCTTCGAGGTAGCAGACCTTAGCCAAGCGTCGCCTGCCACAGTCAGCCGCTGTGGAATGATCTACTTTTCTGACGACTTCATCGGGTACAATAATCTGTTAAAGTCTCTTATTGTTGATAATTGCTCCAACTTTGCTCAAAAGGTGCTTGCTCTTGTTTGTCTCGAGGAGTTCAGTCTCGACCTATTTGAACTGCGAGACGCGGCCAGGGTTCTCATGGACTCGACGACTCTTCTACCTGACGAGGAAGATGAGAATATCGACGAGTACAAGCCTGACTTACCTGTGGCAGATGCACATGGCACCGAGCCCCTGATCGATAACCAATCCCCTGCACAGAGCGGTGACGCGCAGACAGTTGAATTGTCAGTTCCTACATATCCTCGCCCATTACGGCAATTCCAGACATTTGAGCAACTGCTTCATAAGCTCACTGTGCAGCTTTTAGCTCGGCTTCACAGACAACTCTGTATGGTTTACCCAAAGGTGATCAGCTTTTTGCGCAACGATTGCAGAGAGGAGATGCGGACAGTCGACTTCCAACTGGTCTTTTCTCTTTATCAGATCCTCGAAGCAGCTGTTTCTGAGCGCGTTGCATTCACAAAAGATAAGGTTGCAGAGATAGCCATGCAGAAAAAGATCCAGGAGCAATACGAGGCTGCAAGCGCGATCAACAGGGAACGTGTGCAGAGTGCGTCGCGTAATACGGCTAGCTCAGGAGCTCCAGAACTAGCCACCGGCCAAGCAGCGGACACCGTCCTTGCTGAGAAGACAGCCATCTCGACCTTTTTAGAGAGACTGCCCCCTCCTGAAGTCTTGACAAGTCGAGCGATGTCTGGAATAGCGCCGGTCGTTTCTATCATATTGGAGCAGCGCATTATCTTTGCAATTGCATGGGGCTTAGCAGGGAGTATTGTTGCTGAACATAAGATCAATCTAGATAAGTTCCTTCGTACACTCTTAACAAGCCCGAAGGAGTTTGCCAGCAGTGGCGACATGCCTGCGGAGATCTCCTCTCTTGCCGTAGCACTTCCTCCTGACCACCTTCCGGGAGGCCAGCCCGCTAGTATCTATGACTGGAAGCTTGATAATCAAACCCGAGGCTACTCTCCGTGGGATACCGGCACCATGGCCACTTTGTTTGGCAGCAAGAAATTTGATCCCCTTGTGCTCCAGCAAGGAGGGTCTGTCTATGATATGATTGTTCCGACGCCAGACTTTATAAAAATGTGTGCGGTGACTCAGTCGCTCCTTCGCAATGGTAACAACATTTTTCTCTGTGGGCCTACCGGGACCTCCAAAACATCTATCGTTAAGACCATTTTCAACCGTTGTATCGGCAATATAGAGCTGAATAAGAAGCCTGCAGAAAGTAAGAAGAGCGCCGATACTAAAGAGGAGGAAGAGCCTACCGCTGTGGTACCAAATGAAGAGCAGCGCGACTTCACTCAGGAGGCTGCTTACCTGAACGCTAACACGCTCGAGTTTCCGATGTCGGCCCAGACACGCGCTGCAGCCGTAGAAAACGCAATCATTGAGAAGATGGAAAAGAAGAGAAAAACGCTGTTTTGTCCAGCAAATCAAAGAAAGTCATTCTATGTCTTCATTGATGACTCAACTATGCCCACTCCGGACACATACGGATCTCAGCCTCCTATTGAGATTCTTAGGCAGATCATTTCGGAATCAGGGTGCTATGACCGCCAGAAGCTTGTATTCCGCACCTTGGAGGGGCTTCAGTTCCTTTGTGCGTCCCAGCCTCCGGGAGGCGGGCGCAATGAGGTGACGCGTCGGTTTAGTGGGAAGTTTGTGGTGCTTAGCTGCCCTGAGCTAACAGATTCAGCCATGATCAGCATATTCGGCAATCTTCTTCAAGGATTCATGGCGTCGACCGGGGAGTCATCTAAGACCTTTTCTCCCGAAGTTCGCAAGAGTCTGCGTACGTGCGTTGAGTTTGTCGTCCGCCTGTATAGTGCAACCAAGCAGGAGATCAGGGCAACACCGCTCAAATCGCACTATTCGTTTAACGTCCGAGATATTGCTCGAGTGGTTGGAGGAGTTTTCTCTACCACCCCACATGAGGTTACGTCTCTGCCTAGCCTGGTCACACTGCTTGTGCACGAGTCTTATCGCGTTTTCAGAGACCGTCTAGTTGACGACAAGGACTGCGGCACATTTGACAAAGTCTTACTGAAGAATATCTGGTACTTCTTTGAAGACAGGATTGTACAATTTGAGCAAAAGACGTCTAATGCATCCGAGGATGGCAAGAAGGAGCTGGACGAGGGAGCTGAGGAGGACGAGTACTACATTGAGCTTGACTTTGAAGAGCCTGTGCAGCGATCTGACGATGAAGTGCAGCGTCTTGCCGCCCTGGAGCAGAAGGTCTACACTGACGAGGAGCTTGGCAGCATGCTCGAGCGCATAAATTTGTGGACAGGTTGCCCAATACAATGCACTGAGCTAATCTATGGGCGCTGGGCCAATCCTGGAGGAACCTATGGCGACGGAGTGTACTGTCCCTACAGAAATCTCTTCAACCAGACACGAGACGTCGAGAATTGCCTTAACTATTACGTTGACTCCATTTCAGAGGTCCAGGAAGACCCTCCGCCTTCTGCTGGAGCAAAGAGTCAGGTAGACTTCCAAGAGCTTCTCGATAACGCCATCCAAAATGACGACTCTGCTGGATCTGCGCGTCTAGTCATGTTCCACGATGCTATCCTACATTTCTCTCGCCTCTTCCGCGTCATCACACAGCCTCGCGGACACATGCTCATGATTGGCTTGTCCGGAAGTGGGCGGCGTAGCTTGGTCCGCCTTGCAGCTTTTGCAGCGGGCGCAAAGGTCGTTTACCCAGCAGCATCTAAGCTCTATGGGCTCAACGAATTTAACGAGGATTTAAAGCGCTGTATGCTTACAAGTGGCTGCGAGAACGTTCCAACTATTCTGCTGCTTTCGGAGTCGCAGCTAGATCCCCACGATCATTTCCTTGAGATCCTCAATGGCATCTTGAACGGCGTTGCGCTTCCAATGTCCCTCTGGAAACCCGATGAGAAGGAGAAGATAATGCAGAAAACGATCGAGTTGGCGTCGGTCGCTGACGATGATAACGAGTCTAGCAGTAAGCGATCCTTCTTGCCTCATGAGCTTTGGCAACTCTTCTACCGAAACGCAAGAAGCAACTTCCACGTCTGCCTCTGTCTTTCACCAATTGGAGAGAGCCTTCGCCGCCGCTTGCGGATGTTCCCGGCTCTCTCGAGCTGTATGACTATTGACTGGTTTGCAAACTGGAACGCTGAAGCGCTAGCTGGTGTGGCTATGTACGAGCTTAACAGCATCCACCCGGCGTTCTTGGGAGCCGACCAAAGTGCGGCATCTGAAACCCCCACTTCTGCCCCGCACTCCCGTGAAGGCAAGCCACGTACCGACAAGCTCCTTGCTCTAAAACAGAGCATTGCAGAGGCGTGTGTCGTTATGCATGGATCAACAGAGGCGTCCTCTGAACAGTATTTTGCTCAGACAAAGAGCCGCATTTATATTACTCCACCGCTCTTCCTATCCTTCATTCGCCTCTTTAAGCGAATTTTTGCTAAATCAGTCGGCAAGCTCAAGGTGAGGGAGTCTATCCTTCAGTCTGGTCTCACAAAACTTGTTTCGACGCGTGAGCAGGTTAGCGAAATGCAGAAGACCCTCACAAATCTACAGCCCGTGCTCGCTGACTCCGTTGCGAAAACAGAAGCGTTGCTCGTAAACTTGTCGTCGGAAACAGAGGAGGTCAACAAGATTAGAACAGTCGTTCAAGCAGAGGAACAAGAGGTTGCAAAGGTTGCAGCAGAAGCCGAGGAGATCAAAGATGACGCCCAGCGAGACCTGGACACGGCTATGCCGGCCTTCAACGCGGCCATCAATAGCCTTAAGAGTCTTAACAAGAATGATATCTCCGAACTCAAGTCATTCAAGTCGCCTCCAGAACTTGTGCGATATGTTATGGAGGCCGTTTGCATTCTAATGGAGACACCGAAGCAAGACTGGGACACGGCGCAGAAGGTTCTCTCTAAGACAGACTTCCTGCAGAGCCTTATGACCTTTGATAAAGACAACATTAAGCCCAAAACTCTGCGCTCCCTTCGAAAGTACACACAGAATCCTGACTTTGATCCAGCAAAGGTTGAGAAGGTCTCCAAGGCAGCCAAGTCGCTGTGTATGTGGTGTCGTGCCATCGATATATATGCGAAAGTCTTCGCTGAAATAGAGCCTAAGCGTGAACGGTTGGCTCAAGCCGAGCAGACCCTCAAGACCCAGCAGGAGGCACTGGCTGTTAAGCAGAAGGACCTTGCGGCCATTGTAGCAAAGCTGGATGCTCTGCAGGCCTCTTATGATGAGAGTATTGCCAATCGAACCAGATTAGAGTCAGAAATCGAGGAAACGCAGGTACGGCTTGACCGCGCAGAGAAGCTGATTGCTGGCCTTGCAAATGAATACGATGCATGGATTGCAGGTATTGCAGACATTAACCAACGACTGAAGACCGCTATTGGAGATGCCCTACTTGGTGCTGGCTACATTGCCTACCTGGGACCCTTTTCTGCAGATGAACGCGGAAACGTGCTTGCCCAGTGGAAGGCAACTGCATTCAATGGAATAGACTTCTCTCCCAACTTTGCTTTGACAGAGTACCCCGCTGTTGCCGACCCCCGCGAAATCCGCAACTGGAAAGAGCAGTGCACGCTCCCATCTGATAACGGAAGCGTAGAATCTGCAATCATTGCGACGCAGGGGACCCGGTTTTCTCTTCTTATCGATCCAGAGTGTCAGGGTGTTCGCTTCTTAAAGCGCTTGGAGGAGAAGAACGGCCTTCAACTGACTTCTGGGACCGCTGTCGATAACATGATGCGGACGCTCGAAAATAGCATACGTCTGGGCTCTCCTGTTCTGATAGAAAATCTCCAAGACGACATTGACGGCTCAGTGATGTCTGTCCTCCGGAAAGAGCTTATAAAGAAGGGTGGCCAGTGTACAATAAAGATAGGTGAGAACGAAGTAGAGTACAACCCAGATTTCAACCTTTATCTCGCTACGCGCAAACGGCAGCCCAACTACAACCCAGACATCCAGTCGTCTGCGTCTGTTGTGAACATGGCTGTGTCATCGAAGGGGCTGGAGGAACAGCTTCTTTCTCTCGTTGTTACTGTCGAAGATGCACAGCTTGAGCGTGAAAAGGACACGATTGCCTCGCAGCTTGCCGAGGGCCGTGAAACGCTAACGCAGTTGCAAGACAAGTTACTTGATATGTTAGCCAATGCTACAGGAAACCTTTTGGACGACGAAAACCTCATCAATGCTCTCCAGGACTCCAAGCAAACACAGAAGCGTATCGATGAGCAAGTCGTCAACGCAGAGCAGACTGCAAAGCGGGTTGATGCACTTCGTGAGCGCTTCCGCCCGGTTGCACAGCGAGGACGAATTTTGTACGAGGTCATTGCTAGCCTCTCGACGCTTGACTCCATGTACATTTATTCTCTTGACTTCTTTAAGATGCTCTTCACAAGGACCCTCAGCAAACTCCAGAGCCTTGCAGACGAAACTAGCGGGGTATCACACGCTGCTGAAAGTTCGAGGCGCAGCGACAACCGGTCCTACATCGGTACAAATGAGCCCTCGGCCTCGGCTGGGCTGCTGTTGGACGACGATGAGCAGAGCCAACGTAACCAAATGGCAGAGTCCAATATTGGAGTTCCTGATAGGCTACTAGCGGCCGATGCCAGTTTCGAAAGTGATGAGAGTGCAATTCTACAGAGAAAAATAGGAAGCATGATATCCGCCATCACGGAGGCAGCCTACGGAGCTATATGCAGAGGCATCTTCGAAAAACATAAGCGGATCTTCAGCTTTATGGTTGCCGTCTCCATTCAGCGTGCCTCAGGGGCTTTAACTGGCAGGGAATGGGCCATCTTCAAGAACGTGGAAATCAACGAAAAACAGTCGGAAGTGCCCGATGACTTTTATTCTCATATGCTTGCCACTCTTCAGTTTGGCCAGGATGGCTCTAAGTATGCAAACATCAATGCCATATATAAGGTCTTACATGCCTGTCTGGCATATGACGAATTCCTTTCCTCGTCGCGTGATGATCCTGAGGGCTGGAAAGCATGGTTAGAAAGTGATGACCTGGAGCTGGTTGTCGATATGGCTCGTGGAAATTATAACGGAAAGCGCCCGTTCTCCCTGTCAGTTAGTGCTTTTATCAGGTCGCTTGCTCCGTTCCAGCGCCTTATGCTCTTAAAGGCGATCAATCCAGGTCGTTTGATGTTCTACATTCCTCAATATATTGCAGACACGATAGGAGAGTACTATGTCCAGCCTCCACAGTTCCGTATGGAGCAGGCGTACCTGGATACCAGCTTTTCTACTCCAACTATTTTCGTGCTGAGTGCAGGGACAGACCCGCACGCACAGCTGGTGGCTTTTTCAAAGGAAAAGGGAGCAGACAAGGGTTTGCGGACACTCTCACTTGGTCAGGGTCAGGGAGTCATCGCAGAAAGAATGCTCGCCCGCGCCATTATCGAAGGCGACTGGGTCTGTCTTCAGAATTGCCACCTCTGTCTCAGCTGGATGCCAAACCTCGCGCGCTTCGTAGAGAACTTGGCAACCATGGATCAAGATGGATGTGATATCACTGGTGCAGCAATCAACAGGGACTTCCGCCTCTTCCTCACATCCCTTCCCACATCGAAGTTCCCTCAGTCAGTCCTTTCTTCATCTGTCAAGATCTCACACGAGCCTCCTCGTGGACTCAAGGCCAATCTGATTCTCTCTTATATGGGTCTCACTGAAGAGCTCCACGACTCTGTTCCAGAGGCCCCTGCTGTACTCCGTCACTGGCACAGGCTTATTTTCGGTGTTGCGTTCTTCTACTCGTCTCTTTTGGAGCGTAAAAGGTTTGGGTCTGTTGCGTATAATAACCCGTATGAATTCAGCATACCGGATCTGGAAATAAGCCGCAAGTTCATCCGTCAATATCTTGTGGATAGTGCCGTTGCACTGCAGCTAACTGAGTCAACCGTTGGAACATCAAACATACTTGGGCAGTCATCTGGCCAGAACTTCCTCAAGTCCCTCTCCAACGCAGTGCCTTACCAGACCCTTCAGTACATGGTAGGGGTTATTGCCTTCGGAGGACGCGTTACGGATTCCCTAGACCAACGCTGCATTAATGCAATCCTTTCATGCATCATCAATCCAGAGCTCTTCACCGACCAACCAGAACTCTTTTTAGAGGAGGGTCAGGAGAGCAAGGTGTCCCCAAGTGGAAAGGTGTACAAAGCTCCCAACCCAGAGATGAGCCTGGCGTCGACTATAGAGTGGCTCACCCACGAATTTCCTGTGGAGGCGTCTCCAAGCTTATTTGGGCTCCACGCTAATGCAGAGCTTACCTATCAGCATTCCGAGGCCAACCTTATAGTAGATTCAGTGCTTTCCATGTCTCCTAAGGAGGCTGACGTTGCCATAGAAAATGAGGAGCGCAAGAAGCGCATCGAGAGCGCAAAGGCACAGAGCAAAGCACCCGCAATTGAGTCCGACGCTAGCAGCAAAGGCCAAGAACCGGAGATCCAGGACGGTGGAGACGACGAGTCTATGTCTCCAGCAGACAAACAGGTCCTTAAATTCGCTAGCAGCCTCTTCGATCGCATCCCCGCAGACTTACTGCCAAGCAACATTCACATTCCTCCGCGGATATCAGTGGTGTCCAACGGAAAGGCGGTCAAGATGCCCTCTCCTCTTTACGCAGTTCTCAAGCAAGAATCTGAACGGTATAACAAGCTTCTGGCTCTTGTCCGAGTTGCATTTCAGGACGTGGGGAAGGCAATTAAAGGACTGGCGATCATGTCTCCCCAGTTGGAGGACGTCTATCAGTGTATTTTGTTGAACAAGATTCCACGGATGATAACAGATGTTTGTTATCCCACGCTCAAGCCACTAAGCTCGTGGATTGTGGATCTGATCGATCGGGTGCAGTTTATGGCCGATTGGATTGAGCTGGACAGAGAGAAAGGAGTCGACTACCGAGTCGATGACTTCCGCTGGCAAATCAAGGGCTACGTGCCCAAGACTTTCTGGATAGGTGCCTTCTTCTTCCCCCACGGACTTCTCACTGCTGAGCTTCAGCATTATTCTCGCATTGAGGGAATACCAATCGATGCCCTGGCCATCTCCACCACCGTTCTTACAACCACGGAAGTCGACACCATGGTTGCCCCAGACCGGAACGACCCCGGGCTGATTATCACTGGGCTCTATGTTGAGTCTGCTCAGTGGGACGCGGAGGCCAAGGAGTTGACAGAGCCTGTTTATGGACAGATGATCACTAGCCTGGGGCCTGTCTGGTTTGCCCCGTGCACAGAACTTGACAAAGAGAAGATGTATGCTATGCCCCTGTACACTACCACTCTTCGCTATGGGGTTCTTTCTACCACAGGCACCAGCACCAACTACGTCCTAAACATGCATCTTCCGACGAGCAAAGACCCGAGGCACTGGATCCTGCGCGGGGCAGCCGCCTTCATCCAAAGGAGTGACTAGCTGCAGGCCAGTAAATTTACTTCTGACTTTAGCCCGCTCAGCTCAGTGGAGCTTCACGAAGCCAATCTTGCCAGCATTCTCCTTGAAACAGCGGCGGCAGATGAACAGACCATACTTTCTGTAGACAGAGTTGTAATTGCCGCATATACGGCACTCACGCTTGTGAGCAATGTGTGTGCAGAACTCTGTCTCGCGCATCGAGGGCCCTTTTTTTGGGACACCAGAAGCCAAATTAATATTGTCAGCTTCGGTGGGCCAAAAAATTGTTGAAGGATGAACCCGACTGTCAAGGTCTTCGGCCCCACAGGAACCCAGGTTGCGGAGCTTCCGAGGCCCAAGGTGTTCAATGTGCCGTTGCGTCCCGATATCATCAACTTTGTCCACACGCAGCTCCGCAAATGTCTGAGGACGCCCTATGCGGTCAGCCGCTACGCCGGTGTCCAGTGCACTGCGCATTCCTGGGGCCCGGGGCGTGCCGTGGCGCGCCTTCCTCGCAAGCACGGGGGGATCGGCGCCTACGCGAACTTCGCCCGCGGCGGTCACATGGCCCACCCCACCACAGTCATCAGGAGGTGGTGCCGCAAGGTCAACCTGAACCAGAGGAGGTATGCCGTCGCGTCAGCCCTTGCGGCGTCAGCCAACGCGGCCCTTGTGGAGGCACGCGGGCACCGCATCGCCGATGTTCCGTCCATTCCCCTCGTCGTCGACACAGACAACGTCACCAAGACCAAGGACGCGCTGGCGATCATCAAGGCCGTCGGCGTTCTCCGTGACGTTGAGCGCTGCAAGGATAGTCGACACATCCGCGCCGGTCGCGGGAAGATGAGGAACCGCCGCTACATCACCAGGAAAGGGCCTCTCGTCATCTACAACACAGAGGATGTCGCGCGCGGGTTCCGCAATCTCCCGGGCGTTGACCTCTGCCACGTCTCGAGCATCCGTCTTCTAGAGCTGGCCCCAGGCTCGCACCCAGGCCGCCTCATTCTCTGGACGAAGTCTGCGTTTGCGTCCCTTGATGACGTCTACGCCGCCAAGCAGAACTACACGCTCCCGAGATCCTGCATCACCCAGACGGATATTGAGCGCATCCTCCAGTCCGACGCCGTCCAGAAGACCTTCGTGCCCAAGCGTGATCCTCTGGTCATCGAGCGTAAGGTCGATCCCTTCTCCTCCAAGGAGGCCCTGGCCCGCCTCGATCCCAGCGGAACGGTCATGCCCAAGTAAATCGCTGGCGCAAAACGTTTGCACAATGAGGAGCCTCGAGGATCTCCTCTGCACCGAGACGATTTGGATCGGCGCCCACTCGGTGATATATAGAGCCATCGATCCTGCCACAAGCAACATCTATGCTGTGAGAGAGGTCGACTGCAGTGAGCTGAGCGATGACTCCGTTTACTTTCATATGCTACGCCAAGAGGGCCCTCTGCTGGACTCCTTGGAACATTCTAACATTGACTCGCCCGTGCTGTACAGCGCAGACTACGACGATAATACCCTTTGGCTAGTCTTTCCACTATACAAGCACGGATCTCTCTCCGACGTGCTCGAGCGGTTCCGGAAAAGCAATGCACTTCCCTCAGTCCAATTCATTTATTCTGTCATGAACGCTCTCTCCCGAGCACTCCAGTACCTGCACACCTCAGCTACCTTTGGGGACTACACCGGTTTCTTGCACCGGAACATAACGAGCAAGTCAGTCTTCGTGGCAGACGATGGTACGGTCCTCCTTTCGGGCTTCGACTTTGCGTGCCCCCTGACCCTTCTGGCTGACAAGGAGCAATTACAGGTTTACGGGAGTAGGGCGTATGCTCCTCCAGAGCTAGAAGACAGAGTACTAACAACGGCAAGTGACGTTTGGGCGTTAGGATGCCTGGTGTATGAAATGTGCACTTGTAGCCTTCTGTTCGTGGATGCCGTTCAGGAGAGCAGAAAGGAATTTCAAATCTCAGACATAGCGCTCCAAACCCCTGAGCTATCAAAACTTTGCCAGCGAATGCTGTCCCTTGATCCTACAGAAAGAATAACAGTTGATGAGATCCTCGAGGATCAGCGCGTGTATAGCAGCTCTAGAACAGTCCTAGACCTTCTGCCCGCTGGAAATCCTCCGCCTCGTGTACTGCAGTAACTGCTCTATTTCAGTGTATGCACACATTGGTTCACACACTGAAGAGTATAAGTGTTGGCAGCGAGCATGCTTGGTGCATAATGCATATTGACCGCTACGTGGCCAACGCCTGCCTGTCTTAAGCAAGTCGCGAACATATCTGCCCTTCAATCCCATAATGAGAAAGTCACTTATAAAAACATATCTGTCCTGCATATGTGCGACAACTTCCTTTAGCTCACTGTTGAAGCTCGCCAAAACAAGTAGGCGACCATCTTCAGTCCTACATTCCACATCGCACGAAGGAACCATCTCGAAGTAAGGTGAATTACTGTGCATTATCAGATCGATACCTGTTTCAAGCCGAACCACGCTGTGGGACCGGTTAAATGGCACTTCCACAGCCAGTTTGTTCTGCAAAAAGATCTTACCCATGTCACTACTGGGTGTATTCAAAAACCACTCTAGTGTGTCTAGTGCATCATCATAGTTCAGGGGGTTTAATCGGGTGAAGCGTTGTGGATCACTGAATGGAGTCAGACCCAGTACCTCCTCACTCTGTAAAAGAGCCTCTTGCACTGCAACTACACCAGGAGGCTTCACTATGATGTTCATCGAAAACACCGGATGCATCCCACAGAGCTTTACGGCAGACAGCTCTGCCAACAGAGGTCTGTGTTGGCTCGTATCTGTCTCTAGAGTGCCTGACGTATTGCTGTAGAAGCTAGCCCGCACGATATTCATTATCACCGAATTTGTATGTATGAACGAGTGAACACTCCTTTGCAGAGCTTCGTCTTTGTCAATTAGAGCTAGCTGGTTGAGCATGGATGAATAAGAGAGGCCAGATTCCTTGATGTGTTTATCGCAAGCAGACGTACTGTCGTGATTCCTCATTGCACATCCCTCTAACTCACGTGAAAGCATGGACACTAAAGGCTCAGACTTCTCGGAAAGGCAAGTAGATTTTTCCTTATCACTGGCAGGCGTGAGTGCGGGATCGGATTGCTGAAGTTCGGAGCTCCCTTCTAACTGTGGACGTCCAGCTACTTTGCTAAAACCTGGGCCACAGTCTGCTAATCCTATGATAGTAACAGATTTTCTCTGCGTTTCAATGGTCAATGTAGTGCTTAAATGACCTCCAGGCTCCGGTCGTTTGGATAGCCAGCACACAATGGCTGAAGCTCCCGTGGACATAGAGTAACTCTTCAAACTCTGATTATCTATGCTGCGGTTTAACCCGTGGCGACAACAGAAGTCATACAAAGCAACAAAGCTGTCTAGGTCTCTCTCCCTTATGGCAAGAAAGATGATTGGCTCGTGGTAGGCAGTGCGAAGTAGGTCTGTGTCCAAATGAAATTCCATTATTTGCTCCAATATTCTCGTGAGAAGGGCCGTGCGTCGAAAGAGGATACAGTACTCGGCGAGACTCCGACCCGCTACATCTCTTTCGGACAGCTCCTTAAAACATAAGTCTTTTGACGCCGTTATTTGGGCCTCGACACTGTGCAGCTGATCGCCCATTATTACTCGGCTCATAGCCACAGTAACCTTTGTGATGCAAGCCTCGGTTGGGAGCAAGATTTTGGCTATGGCTTCATGGTGGTACTCTATGGCAACAGATAGAGCAGTATGCTTGGTAGTATAGATACGATCCTGTGTGGCCTTGTTAATGATTTCCACAGCCCGGACGTTTCCATACTGTGCGGCAGACAGCAGACATCTCAGGAGAAGGTGATTATCACAGGCGGAGACAGCCGCTGTAAATCTTCCCTCAAGCCTGCTAGGAAGAGATGACTGCTGACAAAGATGAAGTATGTCTGTCCAAAGCATCCGAGCGATTTTTTAGCGCCTTTTGCAGTTCCTAGAGCAGCCCCAGGTCTCTGAGCACGTCTGCAACGACGTCTCCTGATTGAGAAGAGGTTGCTTCATGTCTTGGCTGTTCTTGTGAATGGTGCCGGAAAGACCCCCTTCCTGCCAAAAAGTCAAAGGGGCCTTTCTTCGTCCGCGAATAGTCTAAAGGTCTTGCCTTAATATCCTGCACGGGAAGAAATTCTTGACCTATGTTACAGTTATTGCCTTGCTGTGCATCGTTGACGGTCATTTGGCCACTCTGGTGTACGACAGCAGCACCCAGTGTACCTGCAGTAATACCTGTGTTTGTGCCTGAAGTTGTCTGAGTCGTGAATGTCACTCCATTGTCGCTTCCAAAGCCTCCGTAGCCGCTGGTCGCGCCACATGAACCGGCACTAGGACAGGACGCACAGCTCTGGCTGCACGATGATATAACCGCCCCACCGCCAAGTGTGTTCTTGGTCAGGTCTAAAAGGACACGTGTGCCCATGGCCTGAACAAGGGACATTTGTGGTCTTGTTCAAAAAACTCAAAAAAACCTTAAATCGGTAGAGACAGACAATGAACGTCATCGGCAAACAACAGCAAATCGGGATCCTTGGAGTACTGCTAAGGAACAAGGACATCCCTCTGTGGGTCATCGATGCTTACGTCGCAAAGTTTGAAGAGACTACCGTCCAATCGGAGGTTGCTTTTGCTGCAAAGCGTAACGGGACCCTTCAGGTTTTAAATATCCCTGTACCAACTACTACTAAACCTTCTTGCTTCAACACTCCAGATCTCCGAGCTCTCGCTGATCTCACCTGGTCGCGCCTGCTCAATCAATCTCCCTCAGCCGAGACCCTTGAAGGACTAACTGCCCTGCTGATGCAGCATGGGGAGATCCCAGCATATTTCAGACGTGCCTCGTGGACGTATTTGACACTCAAGTACACCCAGGAGGCAGAAGTCATATGTAAGAAGATACTGGCGAGTCCTCTTACGCACACAATGCCTTTAAATGTCGATACTGCAGCCATGGAAGCAGGATACTACAACAGCTATCGAACTCAGGAGGACGGGTCAGTCCTTTCCAGCGATGCACTTATACCTATCGATAAGATATACGAGGCAGAGGGTCACGTGTGGAGTGTCTTTTATGTCCGGGGCAATAGACTCCTTATGGCTGATGCCCACCGCACCTTTAGAGAGTTAAAGCTATTTGAGACGAACTCTCCCCTTTTCCCTTCCTTCTGTGACGTCCTGGTTGCTGTCATAAGCAGCAGCAAGACGCCATATGTTCAAGGATTAACATACCTGTGTGGCGTCACGCTTCTGTATTCAAGAACCCTCTATGAAGCCGTAGGGATAGCTCTAAGGGTCACTAAGATGAGCAATGTGTATCGCTCATTCATCCTGATGGAAAAGGAGCGCATTGATACCGTTAGCTGTGCAGTCATAAAGATTGTTTCGCTTATTCTCTCGGGTGAATGCTTAGACTCTATCGATTGCACCCAAACTCAACGAGTCACCAGCCTATTTAATAGGAAGAAGGTCAAGACGAGGGAGCCTCTGGGGCTAGCGTACTATGGTTTCGAGGGATATGAGGCATATTTTAACTTCTGTACCGATAAGCAGGTCTTGGCTCCAATGGCTTCGTCTGCTCATAGCTTCAATGGCAGTGCTAGGGCAGTAACCCAAGGATCATCCAGCGCAAACGATTGCAATACCTCTGATGCTGTTGAAGAGGCCACTACTGTGAGCATCGACGAAGCCACGCTTACTGCCTGCGACTCTGCCCCAGAGACCCCCCAAGTGACAGCACTGCACAGACAGCTTCGCCAGCGTGCGCACAACCTTTTCAAGTCCAATTTCGATACAATCTTTGAGATTATACCCGCTGTTACATCTAGCTGCGTTTTAACGGTGTTTAGCAAGGTTTCCTTTGAGCTTTCACTTTTCGTCATGGACGTCCTCTCATATACAGAAGAGCTAGATCAAGCGTTCATCCTGTTAACAGTAACACTCGTCGTAGTGGTTATCTGTCAGACTTCAGTTCGCATTGCAACGAACCCAGACTCGGAGACTGGTGCTGTGGCCAATGGGTCCTTGACAGACGATGAGGTGACAGGGGCCATCATGAAGGACCTTACGAAGATAACTACAAACGTCACCAGCTTCATTATGTGCTTCCGGGATGTAATTAAGCTTAGCAAGAAGTCAGAAACAATCCAGCAGCAGATGCGGACATTGGATGCCGTATTTGCCGCCATCAATAACGAGTGACTGATGCCCCAGTAAATATTAGCAAGCTTTCTATCATTCAGCATTAAGTCTAACAAACGTCACCCACTCGACCACTGCCTGTTTTCTACCTGGTTCGGACGATAACCAAACTAGCTCATTAGTTAATGTCCATAGGTACTAGGACAAGGGTCTTGGGAGGCAGCTGTGGTCATATTTCGCTCGGCTATGTACCCCACCACTACCTGCGAGCTTTGGGGTTCAAAGGGCTCTGCATCCATAACGCCTAAGAGCATATCTACAAGCAGAGGTACAAGTGAGGATCGATTGGCCCTCGACATCAGGCAAAAAAGGTTTCAAATTGCCAAGTGTGGTATTGTCGATGAAGACCCCGCGCACCAGCCAAAGCTGGCAGAACATAATGCGTCTTTCGCGAAGGCGCCTTGTTACATTTCTCATTGGCAAGCGTCAATACAGCATCTGTCGGCCCTTCTTTGTTAGCGTGCTTTTGAATCAGATCTTCTTCTACCTCCTTCTGGCTTTTTGTATCACTAGCTACATACGGCCTAATGACATTTTTCTTAAGGTCACCTTCCCGTGGGGCCTTTATATCTTCTTTACCATCGTCGTTTCACTCCAGGCATCTTTTCTAGTTATGGGGTTTGTCCTTTCTCTTGCTCTACACATCTCTCTGACAAAGGGGAACACAAACTATCAAGCAGCCCGAGCTAAGCGTCTAGTCTTCTACTTTCTAACAAGCATTAGATTGATATACGCCTTTGGGTCGTCGTTTTTATTATTCTACAATGCAATCCAAAAGAGATTTACTTTGTTCTTTTGCCATCTCATCGTAGCAATCCTTAGTATTTTCTATTTTACAATTTTCAATTACATGTCTTTGTTTTATGCGTCTACAACGTTTGTCCTCACCCCAATCCAGTATCTGCTAACTGCTGCAGTGCCCTATATCATCTCCTTCGTGATGGGCCCCCTGTACATTGTGTTTATTGGCTTTATGCGCGGCCTTTCCAACTGGATGATTGCATCCAGGTGCCTACACGGCTTTGTTCTTGTGTTTGTAACATATAGCATTATCATTAACTGTATCGTGCCCTTCTGCAGCTTTTTGACTCCGGTCATTATCGCAATTCTATGCTTGCTTTCTGGACTCAACTTGGTGGGGATTGTAATGACTATCATACCTGTGCCGACCAACCATTTCATGATTTACACCGTGACAGTGCTTTGTTGGGCATGCTTCACATTTTTGTTATCTTATACTTTTGTCATCCGCAAGTACAGAAGGGAGCAGGCGGCAATAGTCAGGCTTCACAACGGAGACTATACCTACACCGGAGTATCCCTGACCCCGGAGATGCTCTACAATAGCCTCTTACTTTTCACATCCCATATAAAGCGTGTCGCAATTACAGACGGAAGATTTTATGTAGCGCTAGAAAACATCTGTCTCTGCTACATCATCGCTCTGTACAATTCATTGAGGCTAGATTCAGCGACTAATAAGATAGGCTTCCGTGACTATAGGCGCGGCACAAAGCAAGCCCATGGGTGCATTGCTAGATGTTCTAAACAGAAAAAACTGGCATACATATGCCTTATTCTGGACATGCTTGATTGCGAGGTGCTCCGTGCATTTCTAGATGCCCCCAAAGAGGAGGATTCGCAATCACAGGAAGACCTGCGCGGAGTCACTGCATCTATCAATAAAGACAAACATATCGTGTACGAAATCAACATGTACCTACTGGAGATTTTTTCTCTGCTAATGATCCTCAAGAGCACAGAGCACTCTTTGATCAATCAGCCAATGCTGTTGAATTCGGAGCAGAGGTCTGAGTCCAGTCCTGAATCACAAAGTCATCTTAAGCAAGGCAAGACGAATGCTGAAGCAAAAGAGCCACAGAAGCAGGATAGATCACCTTCTGAGGCCTGTATCTATCCAGATGGGCAGGGTGACGAAGTTGCCAAGTCATCCGTGCTCATCAATGTTCAGCAGTACCGAAGAAGTTCTCCGGTTACCCCCACAGAGAAGGAAGATCTTGCCACGATAGACGTTTCGGACGTGGGCTACTCAGACTTGAATGCCCCGTCGCCTAACGCTAGTGAGTCTGGAGTCCAGCCGAAGCTCGCATCCATCACAGTCACAGAAAGAAAGGAGCGTTCTTTGAACCGCTTGAGCGACAATATAGCATGCTACACAAGTACTGAAGTTTCTGAGCAATCACATATACCTTTGCGTGTCTATAGGCGTGATAATGATACCATGCATCTTACACTTAACAACAGGAAGAGGTGGCTGTTTCACAGGCCGACGTTCTCTATTCATCACCTCTCACGAGGCTCTAAGGATACTCTTGCCAGTTCTGCTGCAAATCTCAAGGATTGTCGGTCAAAGCTTCAGTGGATTATCCAGCAGCTCTCCCCACAATTCCTCCGAGACCTAGTGTTTGATTCTCCGGAGCTAGACCTTAGCACCAGATCCGCTTGGTCCCTAAACGCTTTGCTTGAAACACTTCTCTATTCGTGCTGCGGGTTTGTTCTTGTTAAGATGAGCACCAAGGATCTACACCCCCAGTTCAGACGACTATTCGATCCCAGCAGGCTCTTCTATCTGGATGATACTCCTCCTCAAGAAATGTACAAGCAACAAGGTATATCTGATAATCAGTCACCAATCTGTGAAGGTACCAAGAAAATAACGAGCATAGCAACGCCCCTTTCCATCGCCTCCCCTTACCTCTCTACACCGAAAGATGTCAGTGCAATATTTAATGAGCAGATCAATCCCGATGTTACCCCAATGTCAACCATGAAACAGTTCCATGGCACTCTTAGAAAGCTGAGTAGATTCAAGATTATCAAGTACTTGGGCCTAGACAATATATACGACTCTATCTCTCAGTGTATTAGTAATAAGGAGGATCTTGTCGAGGTCGAACGCGACTACGCGAATGCCTTGGATTTTGCTCCACCTACCAAGTACAAATACTTTGCGAACCCGAAATTAGCGAATACGAGGCCCATGAACATCTGCTCCTGTATGATCATAAACTCTATCTTGGGCAGGATCCTTGAGAATGCGGATACGTGTCTGACAAATATTGATCGTATCACGAAGCTCAGCAATAACCTAAAGCAGGACTGCCACTTCTCCACCGTCAGACTTGAAGAGCTTATGGTGCTATGCAACAAACAGAATGTGATGTATCAGGACATCGTTGAGCAGGCGAAACGATTGTACATAGCGTACCCTTACTGTGTCACTGCCACGCACACACTTGCATGGGTTTATCACGAGCTCTATAACACCATCTGGCCGCTTAACCAGCTCAGCATCTTCCCCCTCATTAGCCATATTCAGCCATCCTTAAATAACAAGGAGCTCAGCAACCTAAACAATTCCCTTTTCCACTCTGATTATATGAGGAGGCGTACATCGTCAATGATATCCGATAGCTCTGACGTTGACTCCTCCACCAGCAGTCACGATTCTGCTATTTCACCCGAGGATGCACTAGAAGAACAGGATAGCGACGATTCTGATGTCACTGATGGATCTGATATCAAGCAATTACCGGACTCGCCCGTGTCTAGCCAGCAAGAGTCCACTGCGCACTCGGATGACCCTGCCACTGGCACGTTCTCCACCCTTTCTCTTTCTAGTTTCGGTCAAACGCGTACAAAGTCAGTGCTAGTAGATCACATATCTCCAGGAGCGCCCCTGATACAACAGGATAGTTGTTGTGAATCGGTCAGAACCGTCCGAAACTACATCCAGAATTTTATCCTCACACAGGACCGGTCCATACAATCCTTCTACATATCGTATACTCCCGAGGGGTCCATAGTGATTTTGCCCCCATGCCTGAGTTACTGCCACTATGCAGTCGTTGACAACCCCCTGTCTCTTCAGCGTTGTGAGTACAGAACATATGCCGATATAAAGGGTGCAGAGGCATCACTAATGGTATCGCCGGTTTCCATAAATATAGTTAACCACATGGCCATTTTGTCCACAGCACTCGATACCTCCATGGAAAAAGATGGCAAAACCAGAAGCAGATCTAAGAAAAGCCGTCGCCTCTGGCGCCGGTTCTTCACCACTGGATTCCATGACTCATTGGGGTCCACAAAGAGTTCTGCAAAGAGGTTTGTTAAAACTTTATTAAACAAACATCAAGACATAATTAGATCAATAACGGTGTTCAACCCTGAAAACCTCGCATACACTGTTGCTTCGTTACTTGCCTTTGTGGTCTCTCTCTTCATTATCAACAAGGCAAGCAGAGTCTTTATGTATAACGACTCCGTCATAGAGGCCGCCAGTATTTTTGCCGCTGTTGTTCAAGCGGACGAGATCGCCTTTATGAAAATATACGATAGCTATTCCCAGAGAGTGGTCAATAAGGAGCCGATAGACACATTTTTCACCCCAAAGGACTTAGAGGAGCTGTACTACCTAAGCATATCCGACATATATGAAGATATGTCTCAAAAAATCTATAACCTAGGCCTGGATCTAGAGCAGTATGCTTTTTCTTCAATTCATCCCTTTTTCCACATTCTAAAGGTCTCTAATAAGATGGTTTCATTCATACCAACCCCGATTCCCACACGTATCTACGGCACAATTGTATTTCAGAACCCGTATAAGGATATGCTCGTTTGCTTTCCACCTCCGCAGGCACTAGACAAGCTGAGCCTCTGGAATATAAACAACCATCAACTGATTACCGAGTGCATCCAAAGTAAGATAGAAGGTGTGCGATCCAATATCTACATCAATATCGTGCCGTTCGTTTGGAACAGCATGTTCACCGTGGCAACATCTTCTCTGCTGATACAGAACTTCTCTACGCACCTCAAGGTACTCTTGATGGCGCTAACGGGAACAGTAGGTTTTTGTCTTATTTTCACCTTCTCAAGCTATAATATCTTTCTGGTTCGTCTTCAAAACCTTTCTGACCTTCTGCTCAATCTTCTGTCACGAACAGGAGCACGATTTGATTATAGGCTATTATTTGCACAGTTCTATTCTAAAGAACGGATCAACTTTGCGTACCAGAACGTGAAGTACACTCCGACATTTGAGCATCTTGTGTCCATGCACTCTGAGGTAACTGCAGAGAAAGATATGCTGCTGAGAAGGTGTCCCCCACAGTTGTGTGTTGAGCAGCAACCCAAGACAGAAGCTAGCAGCTCCTCCAGTGACGGCAGCTCCAACCTGCTATCAGGATCTAGCAGTGCGTGTTACACCAGCTCTTCTCTTGGTGATATGCAGGGCAAGCTCACTTACCGATACGACTATAGCAGACTAGTAGAACTATACAAGACGTTTTCTGCGCAATATGACAGGCCATCTGTCGTCTGGGCCATTTCCAAGGTATTTGTTCTACTATGTATAGGGTTAAGCATGGTACTACTGTACATATTCCACTCCATTCCAATTATTTCCTACACGGAGACAGGAATTGGCCCATATTATGCATCCGTTATTGAGTCCATGCGATATCCCGATGAGGACTTGGATCCCACGTTTTACAATAAACCTTGGAGCAACGATATCGAGCCAATACACGTTACTCCAGCGTACCAAACAATAGGAGACGTGGTTAGATTTGAAAGCTGTTTGCAGAAGGCCACAAGCCCTGCAGAAAGCCAGGAATGTCGATCCACTCATGACTACATTGATAATTCAGAACATATTATATATGCCAGTCCACAGTGGAGGCTCACATGGCTTCGACAAAACTACGCTCTCCTTCAGGACCTCATTCTCGATACACTGCTGGTAGACCTGTCTATTTCCCAGCACACAAGCATAACCCCTACAGAGCCAGAGACAGAGCCGTATAGACTATACTATACATGCTCCCGTGCCATCAAGAATCCGCATTTGGCTCCATTTGTCCTTGACAGGGACATTCGATTTGCTGACGTCACAAAAAAGCTCATCTATCTCTATACAATGTCTGTCCGCAGCCCATCTTACGATTACTATTCTATGATCATCAATCAGTACAGCAACCTTGCCAGTAAGTATGTAATGTTTGTACTAGACTACGGGGCCTCATCATCTCCGCCACCCACCTTCAAAGAGAATGAGTACAAGGCTGCCCTCCTTCTGCCGCCATTTGAGGTATACAAGCCGATGCTCAACCGGCAGAACCTCCAAAAGGAAACAGTCGGAATAAAGGCATTCATAGAGATGCAGAGGAGCGTTTATAATAACAGCTTCTCCATCCTCCAACCATCCTATGCAGAGCTGAGGGGGAAGGACCCGTGTGCGGAGCTCACAGCGTTTCACAGCATGCTTCTCATGAACAGCATAGCCAAACAGCGGGAATCAACATCGATCAATAAGCAGCTGGATGAGAAGAACATAACGACTGAGCACTTGTTCTCGCTTCTTCTCCTTCTGAGCTGTGTTCCTGTTACTTTATTAGTGCTACACCACTTCTCAGCACCCAGAGTCAAAATACCTAAGACCACTCGCCCAAGAAGCCCTGTCTGGGTTGACCTTTATTCTTATAGGAGCTTACCCCGATTCTTTGCTGTATTAGCATCACTTATTGCCGCTGTAATTATCACAATAATAGTGGCCAGCTTCACGCAGTTCTTTAACAATAAGGTGGCAGTCTCACACATGACGCGCATATACGTATCTAGCTCTCGGTTGAACAGCTTAGGACTGCAACTCCTGGAATCTCTTGGTGATTATAACATGCAACTCGCCAGCTTGGAGTGGGACGACGCCAATCAAGCCTACAGGTATGCCTGCGAAGATATCTATGTGGCCCTGCAGCGACCAGTAATGCTCAATACCAAGTTCCATCTGGTAGACGCAGTCGAGAGTATCAAGCCCTTTATCGACACAGACCAGATGTTAGACCTCTACTATAATATCCGCCACGCGGTATTTTCGGTTAACGTGGCGCTGGCACGCATGTGTATACTACCGAGGGAAATGTTTCCAGAGAAAATCCAGCAGTACACAGCCGATGTCTATCTAGACGAAGTCTTCAACTTTAGTAAGCCGGTACCAGACAAGAAGTACTCATCGTACTATGAAGACTACCTTCTATGTGCGGGTCCGACAAACTGCGTTGAGATATATTCATACGCTAGACTAAAGAGTCTAACTGACAAGGAGCTCCATCTATACATAAAATCCATCTCAAAAGGGAGCAACATCCTATTCAAGAACTTACTCTTGTTTTCACATAAAGTCGAGCTGACAACTAACTCTCTGACGCGACAGATTCTTGCTGTCGAGACTCAAATAGATAACTTCTTGGTTCTTATGCAGCGTATCATCTCATGGTTTCTTGTGATACATGTGATCTTGTTGGTTCTGCTCTACGTCTACTTGCAGTTTGCGCCTACAAGGACTGGCCTTGTCGTCTTCAAGATAATGACTACCCACAGGCACAGCCTTGCACTCAGTTTTGGACTGACAGTCGGTGCCTTCATCGTACTAATATTCGTTTTGCTGATCAGTCTATTGATGGCCATGTTCAGGGTTGAGGTTGTGACAACGGACGAAACCAAACGGTGGACGGAGACCAGGCTCTACAACTCCTTGGGAAACGTCTTCATTAACTCGCGTCTCATAAACTTAACACTGGCAACTCTGCAGAACACAGACTTGTCGTATGAAGAAATGCATATCAGCGAGTTGTATACTCGCATACAGAACCTCAATGAATATGCAAAGGTGGCCCAGTCAGCAGCCACCATGCTACTGCCAGGATTTAGCTATACAAACAGCACTGGGATGTATGACATAAAGGAGCTCCTCATCAATTATACCACGAGCATCCTAGTCGCAACGGAAGAGGTGCGGAAGAGAATCTGGGATGCAGCCGACAAAGTCAACCAAAGGATCCGACTATCGGATGTGTATGATAAGGACGACTATCTAGGCATAACAAACCTCACCCTGGGTGACATAAACAAGATCATGGAGGGATATGTTAGTCCAGTGTTCAAGATGAGAAATATCAAGTTGGCCGTCAGCACTGTCTACGGGGTCATGATAGGAGCCTTTTTAGTGTGCGCCACATACACCATCATTGTCGTACGAAAGGAGATATCATCCATTTTGACCATTCTGAACACGATCCCTGTGGCTGACCTCCTCTCCTTTAAGGAGTTGAGCTCAGGGATCTTCAATGCATATGGCGACATGCTATCCTTTGCCAAGCTACTGTGAATCACGTGAGACCCGTGAGAGAGTTTGCAAGACAGTCTGAAAACAGCACCCAAAAAAGATGGACCGCAAGAGGCTGGTTCTTTCATGGTGCGACAACGATCTCTACAATAACAACGACGAGCTTGCAGGTGAGAACTATACGGAGCAGGACCGCCTATTAGCTTACTTCCGTCACTCTCCCTTCTGCCAGCAAAACGAGTACTGCGTCAACATAAAGACCAAAAATCAGAGACCGACAACACTCGAGGACTGGATTAGGGACAAGTCACACCTCTCGGAGGAGTTCACGAGAGAGCAGTTGGACAGTGGGAAGGTGATTTTGTACAAGATCCAGGATTATACCCCATCTCGGGCCTTGATAGCTGGGTATTGCGTGGAGCCCGAAGGGGGGCTGCTGAGCTATCCATGTGAAATGTATTACTATATCAACGATGAGAACTACATATACAAGCTACCATCGTTTAAGCAATATACAGACAACACGTTGTACAACATAGCCTTCGATCTTAAACGGGCAGTGGATGCCTGGAGGGACGCTATTGCAGAGGAAGAGGCCAAGGGAAACTGGTAAGACTGCTTGGTGGGAAGCTGGCAGTGCATCTTAGGTAGAATAAACGTCCTTGCCTTATTGTTATCCTTATTGTTATGTAACTAGCGCTGTGTTCGTACTCAGAGCAAGCCAAGTTTTCTTATTATTCTGTACTGCTTTGGAATCTCTACAAAGAGCTCTGTTGCCAAAAGCAGGTCGGGTCTGTTGCTGTTTATAAACTTAGTCTCCAACTCGGTGAAATTGACAAAGTGGAAGTTATCGAAGCGTCTGTTGTAATACTGTGTGTCGAAGGACTGGAGAATCTTGAATGGGCCGTCACCTAGCCCAACAGCAACTATGGAGAGGGGGTAGTTGGATGCCTCAGCGATTGCATCTGCATCTGCCACGCTGGACACGGGGTCGCCGTCAGTAAGGATGATCAGAATGTGATATTCCCGGGTTTTCTTCACGATGTTAATCGCGTACCGAACCACGGGGCTGAGAGACGTCGGGCCCGAAAGCTTCACCATCCTGACAGCCTCGCGATAGTTGTGCAGAACCTCCGCAAAGCCCTGGCACTCCGGGGACTTGGAGTAAGGGTTCAGAGGGCAAACTATCTGATCTTTTGATACGCTACAGCCAAACCGGATAGCAGGGATGATGCTGTCCGAGTCGAATGACGTTATTACCGGGATAAGAAGCCTGCACACCTTCTCATAAGGGGTTTCTTGAGTAATGTCGTGCAAACTACGCCGATACGTCTTTTCCCCAGACCATTCATTGGATTTTGAAAAGTCGAATGCCAAGATGATCTGCGAGCTTTCCATGCTGGCTTCACGGAGAGCGAGAGTCAACTCTGGAAAGCTCCTGTATACTTCTTTAATCTGCTTGAACCCTCCTCTATTGACACATGACTTGAATGCCATGGCGTACACCTTTATTTTAGAAAGAAAGTTTGTTGATGGCCACGTGTGTGCCGACTGAGCTTAAGCATGTTGTGCTTCACCCTAGCACGGCGAAGCCTGGGCTGAGAACAGGCCTCAGGCCCTTTCTTAAGCAAGTCAGAAGGCCGAAGGACGTGTATTCATTTAAGTGTACCCCGTCCAACTCCTTCAATCTGCTTCAGCACGTCTTCATTTATAACGCCAGTTCCAAGTACGAGGAAGATCTCCTTTTAAAATGTGCCCAGTACCTTTCAAAGCTGGATCACTTCACATTGATGACCATTTTGCGCTATAAGCTTTCCTTGAAGAAGCGGGAAATTATATTTATAGTTCCGAACTACAAAGGCATATATCTTAGCGAACATGTGTTCGTAGCTGCGCAGAATAATCTTTATCTTTACGAAGAGGAGCTTTGGGCCATATTTGGGCAGCTCCTGCTTTTCTGTACCTACCTTCTTTCCATAAGTCTCCAGATTGCCGAGGTAGTCTGTACTCATCTCTCCATGAACAACATCTACTATGTGTCTTCTTTACCGCACATGGAGGATACCCGTGGTTGTATAAAGATAGACATCATGAGCATGCTTCTACGAGAGTCTATTTCTTTGGACTCTCTTCTTCACGATGACACAGAGGAGGACTCCAGTGCTTTCATGAGAGATGACATCATGAGGCGGTTGCTGGAGAAAGTGCACACCATCATGACGACTCTCACGGAGCTACAGAGCACGGCACACACGCCAATGGGTCTACCCCCAAGCCTCATGACTCCGGTCCAAATGAACCGTGTGCTGAGTACCGTATTCAACAAACGACATCAGCGCAGCAACACAGACATGGGCAGCATGTTGTCCATCAATACTAGTGACTTCTTGTCTAGTATCAGCCTAAGTCAGGTAAGCAATTATGCACGCACCAAGCACAAGTGCCAGCCCAGCGAAGCTACTGAGTCGAAGAAAAACTCTTGCGATACCAGGCCTATCCATAAAGGTAGAGAAGAAGACTACGAGAAGAGCGACAAGGTAGAACATAGTTTTCTGTCCATGACATGTCCATCCTTTACCATCCCCAACGACGAATCGTTTCCTGAGTTGGTGACCTCAAAAGATGGCCCAAGGGCTACTGTGAGCATTGCTAACTTTACTAAGAATAGCAACCCTGTGCATCCATCCCTGCCCAGACATATTTTGGTAGACCAGGAGCAACAAGAAAATCCAAATACCTCGGTGACCGGTTCGAACGGAACAGCCAACGAGACCCCGTCGCTTTCGATTCAGATGGAGTCTATGATTGGGGTGGGTGATCTCAGCATGGTGGACACGGAATACAACTTTGGTATGCAGCGAACTCAATCCCAAGTCTCGCGTGAACCTCATACAGATAGGTATAGCCAAGAGCTTCACAACGCAATCAGCATGCTGAGACATGTCAGCTCCATCAGAGAGATGTACAGAGTTGTACCGCTGGCCAAAGTGGTTGACCAGCTGGAGCTTCTTTATTCTGACAGCGACAAGGTGAGGCAGGCTTCACTTCGGTATGCGATTATAACAGACAATTTTCACTTGGTAAAACGGCTGGTACGAAAGCTACCACTGGATGAGAAGTCTACTCCAACGGAGATATCATACTGTACGAACTCGTACTGCACAACAGAGATAATGGCTGCAACCCTGCTAAGGAATGATAGCATAATTAAGGCTCTTGTGCCCTACCAATCTAATCTCCTAATAATTAACAAGGATCCTTCCAAGGTTAATGCGTTGTCAATGGCTATTCAGAATTATGTCTCTGGGGACACAATATCGTATATTGCTAGGCACAGTCGTCCGATAATAGAGAAGTACTGGGACACCATTGTGGTCCAGGCCTGTCTAACAAAGGCGTCTGAGATCATCACAGCGCTTGTTCCTTTTTACCCTGGCAAAGGAGCTCTCTACTTCACCAAGGTTTGTATGCTTCTTGGCTCTAAGCAGCTTGCAGCAACCATATTTTCCCAAGAGAGTGACGCTATCAAGAAAGATAACGCAACAGACATCATCAGGGAAGTACTCTTCGACCACGAGGCTATCCTCAATAGAACGCATTCAGCATCTTCAAAAATAGAGACAACTGCAGACGGTTATACAAGGTTTATCTTTGCCGCCGCCGCAGGGAACCTGGAGCTCTGCAAAGCGTGTGTCCACGAAGCTGGTGTCGTGACAAAGGCAAATGACTCGGCATACCTGCGTGCCTTGCAGAACGAGCATTGGGATGTTGTGCAGTACTTAGAAACTCTTAAGGACTCCCTTCCAGAGCAGATGCCATGCACAGCCCCTGAATTTTACGCCGATAAAGAAAAAGAGGTCACGACGCTGATGAGTGCTGCATCCACTTATGACATTCCACGTATGAGGAAGTTCTTCTCACAGGCAGGAAGTACAGATGTCCTTAAAATGACTGCGCTGATGTTTGCATGCGACAGAGAAAACGTTGAAGGAGCCCTTATGCTTATGCAAAAGGAAGCTGGGGCGCGCTGCAGCGCAACGGTCTGGTTCTCAGGCTTTGAATTCAACGGAGCCAGCGCACTCATGTTCTCTGTTGCAAATAACAACCTTGCCTTGGTAAAGATGTTGATGAACACAGAGGCAAGACTCCAAGATAGAAATGGCAGAACAGCGCTCATGGCTGCCGCTCGGTTCGGCCATCTAAGCATTATTCGGCTGTTGTCCCCCCTAGAAGCAGGCATTTGCGATAATAGGGGGAAGTGTGCAATCCACTATGCGGCTGAATATCGTCAACGAGAAGCATCTGCGCTACTAGCCCAGGTAGAAGGACTTTGTAAGGACGCTGGAGGATTTGATGTTATCGAATACTACATTCGGTTCAAGGACTTTGATTTTGCAGATCTCCTTGAATACATTATCACAACAGTGAAGCAGCCCGCCCCCCACGCAGGTATACCCTACCGGGAGCAGTACTCGTCGGAATCTGCTCCTCTTCGAATGCATCTAGGATCTGCATTGACAGCCATTAGCACCACATCACTCCCAAAGTTCCTACCTTGATCTCCACCAACTTGCTCCACAGACGGCCAGTACTTTAGTTAAGATGAAACACAACTCAGTGTTCAAAAGACGTAGAACTGTATCAATACTTATTCAGGATTTTCTACTCTGGCGAGTAAATAGAGGACAGTGCCTCATGGAAGTCCTTTTCATTTTCTGTGATGGGCCTGCCTCCACAGCGAGAACTCCTCCTGGCAACCGGCGGGGACACAAGGGATGTCTACGACTGCCTTCCTGCTAAGTGCGAGGACTTTGTTGTGAACTGTACTAAGTGTACGTGTTTAAGCTTCCCAACAGACCCAGACGTTTGCTCAAAGACCCCTGGCCCGGGGCTCTTGCCTTGCTTTTACTACAGAGACTCGTTTACAGTAGAATGCACCGAATGCGCATATAGGTCGTTTCTTGACTTTGCGGGTGGATGTTCCCTGTGCGAAGAATATATCAATAATTGCGACTCTTGCATACAGCTGAAAGACCAGACTATAGTGTGTAATACCTGCGAGTATAGTTATGCAGTAGGCAGGCTCGATGGATCAAAGTGCATCAACTGTCGTATTCAGATCCCAAATTGCCTGGAATGCTCCTTCTCAAAAGCGCAGCTGGTCTACAACTGCAACAAGTGTATTGACAATTATGTAGTGATCCACGATGGCAGCTGTGTATTCTGTGAGGACATATTTCCTGATTGCGAAGAGTGTAAAATGGAAGGCTCCGAACCGCGCTGCATCAAATGTAGGTTTGGGTATGGGCTTATTGAGAAAACGGCTGCAGTATCCACAACAGACGTATGTGAATTTTGTCATAACGTCATACCAAATTGTACGGTATGCGCCTTCGAGACAAAGGATAAAGTAACTTGCCTTGCATGCAACGAAGGACTGCAAATGATTGCCAAGAATAGCTGCAGCAATTGCACAGAGATAGATCCTTATTGTACAATGTGTGTGTCAAGCCCGAATCCCACCTGCACAGTCTGCAAGTCGGGGATGACGTTTGTCGATGGCAAGTGCAGGAGCTGTTTGGCGATAAGTGGAGGCTGCAAGAGCTGTGTATATGGCCTTAAACCATATTGCACAGAGTGCATTTCCGGCTTCTATTTAATTAACCCTGGTACTGGTGCAACATGCGTGCTATGTGCGACAGTGGTAGAAAAGTGTGCAGAGTGCTCTTTAAATGACGGGACCATTACGTGCTTTGCCTGTAAAAATGGATACTATCTCGCGAAGAACAATAAATGTGAAAAGCTGCAAAGTAATCCCAAGAGATGCAAACAGTATCACATCGACTCTTGTAGTGCTTGCATGGATGGGTATGTCCTGGTCAATCGCACATGTGTCTTTTGCAGAGCATATCTCCTTGGCTGCACAAAGTGCACTATCTCAAGGGATAGTGACATAGAGTGCACAGAGTGCATAGTTGGATATTACCTGAAGAATGGAGAGTGCGTTGCCTGCTCGAGGGTTGTACCAAATTGTCGAACGTGTGTCCCGGCAAGCGGAGCTCTTAGCACACAGGAAATAGTTTGCACAAGCTGCGCAATCACCTACTACCTGAATAATACCCACAATACTTGTGAGCTGACGATCCCAAACTGTGTCTACTTCTTTAAAGAGGAGAGTAGCGTGCAGTGCCAGACATGTCTAGACGGTTATCAGCTAAACATAGATAGTCATGGAAACTCTTCGTGTGTACTCGTAGCACAGGAGAAAACAGAACTCTGGCTCTACATGTGGATGATGTTTGTCCTCTTCTCTGGATTGATGCTTCTGGCTTTCCTATCTACCTGCTTTAAGAAGGTTCTGGTTGCAAAGGAGCAGTCTCGTCCCTCAAGTACTTGCGATAGCGTATCAAAGGATAAGCGATGTTGATGGTAATAGCTATCATCGCCAAGATTGCTGCTGTCATTCGTGCGACTGTGACCTGTCTTAGATGGTTATTTACCAGCTGCTGGCAGGTGTTATCGGTTAGAACGTAACCAGTATCGCACGTCAAGCAACTGGATTCAACGCCTAGTGTGCAGACAGAACAGCCACTAATGCTACAGTTAGTTGAGTAGTTACATATCCCCGCTATGGGCCTGGTCTTTGGATTCATGCACTCGAGGCAGACGCTGTATGAAGAGCACACAGCGCAGTGTTCCTCGCAGGCTTTGCACAGTCTATTCTTGGTCAAGTAGTATCCGTTTTTGCATACATTACAAATAAAGTTATCTGCTGAGCTGCATATTGCACAATTATAGACCATACAAAACGGAATTGGCTGTTTCTGGCAGTTTCCATATTCATCTAACGTGTAGCTGTTATTGCTGCACTTTAAGCACATTTCAAGATTGTCGCTTTTGCAGAACTTGCACGTGTTGTAGCACCCTGTGTCACTATACTCACAGAATCCCTGTAAAGCCTCCCTTGTGTAGTTACTACAGCTAGAGCACTTTTGAGATAACGAGCATGTATAGCAATCACTTTTACAGATTGTGCAGTAGCCGTTCTCCTCCTGGACCCCTTTACCAGGAACACACACAGCGCAGCTCCGTGCACTGGTAAAGCTGCAGAGAAGACAATATGGCAGATTGCAGGTATAGGGATTGGGAATGCACCGTTCATTAAAGAAGACCTCTCCATAGACAGCACAGCTTATGCATTGATTTGACAGGTCAGGGATGCTGCACTTCATGCAGCTACTGTGACACTCTAGGCAGGTGTCACCGCTCGCATTTGAAATGTACCCGCTGGCACACTTCATACACACGTATGAGCTACTGGGAGAACAAAGGATGCAGTTCTCAATATAGCATTGGTTGCTCAGGTATTGAAGATTCAGAACAGTCATTGAGCGCTGCCCATTCCACACATGAGTATAGTTCCAGCAGAGATGATGATTACAGATTGGCGTGATGAACCTAATACTCGTACTATCGGAACTGAAATCAGAAAGGTGGTGGAAGAGGAACGGAAGGGAGGTGTGGTAGGGGTATAAGTCGAGGTTGTACTGCCAAATCTGGTCCTCACCAAACAGGAAGTTGGTGTAGAAGTCGCGCTGCTGCATCTCTAGTGGGTCGGCCAAGTATGTTCCCTTTGATCCGTATCCATAGAAGTGGCTAGAGGTATTAGTAATGAAGATATCACTGCAGAGAAGACAAACAGGCTCACTGGGCACATAGTATATGTTTCTTGCAAAGTTTTCTTCAAACAGAACATCTACTTGGCATATAACTCTGTAGATCTGCATCTGCTTCTTGGTAGGTGTGGCGGCACTTTCGCTATAGAACCCTGTTAATATTCCTATTGCGTTGTACTTTCCATCATTGTTGTTATTATTATATTTATATTGCTGAATGTTAACCACGTCAAAGTAAGCCTTGACATAGACATCTGTGATGAGAAACGAAGAGTCTCCCGGGTTACCTATCAGTGCCCCTACAGCAAAAGGCGACCCAGAGCCTCTCCTGATCTCATTGATGCGAAACTTAATAGATGACCACGAATTCGCCAACACAAAGCACTGCCCGTTGGTGGTAGGATTTAGAAGGTGTCCTGCAAATCCTCCGATATTAAAGAGCTCCGAACCATGCCCATTTGCAAGAATTGTGTCAGCTGCAACAAAGGATGAAATGATTCGTATTTGTTCGTCAGTGTTACAAGTGATCCGCCCAAGCATAATGCCAAACGAAGAGTTGGCTCCGACAACTTGGGAGGTATTAAGGACGGCAAGAAAAATCATTGCGTAAGAATTTGAAATGAGGAGCTTTGAAGCATTTGCCACGAACCCACCAAAGTAACTAGGATTAATGGATGTATAGTTGAGGTTCACCTCACCCACTGTAACCAGTGAATTTTCTATGGTTGTGTAGTTGTCTACGAGAGCCCCAAATCCTCCTATTAAAAATGGATCCGTTGTCGAGTCAACCCATGTAATGTAATCAATTGAGATTGCAGCCTGGTCAATGTTCGTGCAGTTGATAGTGGATGCAATGCCTCCAAAACGCGACTCTACCTCTACGTGTGAGAAGCGCAGATGGAGGTAAGAAAGAGACACTTGGTCTACTAGTCCAAAGCAACCCCCAATACAAGCATTTGAGAGACCATCTGTGTAGAAGAGGTTTATGTACAGCTTAATATCCTCGACTATGGTGCAATTGGGGAAGGAGCACACCAGAGAGGGGCCTATTCCACCGATAACAGACTTTTCATTATTTGCACACCCACTGACGTACATCTTAAGCAACGTTATATTAGAGTGAATAACCGCCCCTCTAATGTCTCCAACAACCCCACCAATCACACAGTTGTGACTGCTATTCCCTAAGACCTCAATTGAGGCCCTGAGGACAAGGGAGTGAATGTTTTTTTCAGAAATCCCAATATAGCCACCAACGGTACTAGAAGAATTGTACAACTGTATGGTGGAGTATACAGTGATGGGAGAAGACCAGTAAGAGGGAAGCAGGGTGGTATAGTTGCTATCTAATTGGCCAATGGCGCCTCCAACCACACATTCACAGTTCATGACTGTAATAGATGAGGCGACCACAAGCCCCGGTGCTGTTTCGGATGTGGAAGAGAGAAGTCCACCAATAACAGTTCCTGCTATGCAATCCTTAACGGTAATAGTAGTAGTGATGTTCACGTCATAAAAGTACGCATCTGCAAGCTCTATTGCAAACCCAGAGATGAATTTAGCTTCTGAATTAACGACACTTACCATGGTTGAGAGGGTAACGTTGCGCATTGACCCTGAAAATGTGTCAAAAAGAGCTGCTTTATCATATAACTCTGAAACGACAATACCACCAACAGAGAACCCCTGGCCGTCAAAGGTGCCCTTGAAGATGGGAATTATGGGCATGGGGCCCACAACGGCAATATCATTCATCAGTAGGAACTTAGAATTGGGACAGCTTTGTATCAAGGCAAAGTCCTCATGGTCATATATTAGAATCTCATCTGTACATATAACGCCAGTGGTGCCCTGAATAATTAAGCCAAGAAGCAATAATAACCTCATTCCATTTTTAATTGTCCTTCTCTAGTACACCGCATTTAGTATTTAGAACTCGCCACGAGGTCAGTATGGTTCACATGGATCACACACTAGTAAATAAAAGATGCTTGTTCTGGCACTGATTTGGAGCGTAGCTTTGAGCTATGAGGTTCAGTGCATTGAGGAAGAGGACGGCCAGTGCGTCAGATGTCCGCGCGGATACATTGTTAACCAGAGGCTCAACGCCTGTGTTTGGAATCGCGCTTCTGAACCGCCCATTATATGCCCCGAGGGCTACTTCCTCGATAAGGGGCTCTGTACCCTATGCCATTCATCGTGCGAGACATGCACCGGATCAGCAGAGCCAAATGGTTGCACCGTATGTGCTCAGGGCTACTACCCGGCGTTTACGGAGGCATCAGGCTTGTGCATTCCTTGCTCAACAAGTCACGGAGTGGTTGCTGGAATACCTGGATGTGTCCATTGCGCACGCGACGGAGATAGCCTGTATTGTTTTGAAAGGCGGCAACTAAAAAGCAACCTCGCCACCATTCGTAAGACTTTAGTGATATCACTTGTTGTACTTGTGCTAGCCCTCTTCTCAAGCCTCATATTAATCTTTGCCGGAGGCTCAAAGATCAAGCACCGGCAGCGTAGACTGCCAGTACGATACGTAGCACGACATAAGATGGTATAAGCGTCTCATTTACTATACCTCGTCCGCCAGGAGCTGGGCCTCAGGATCATTCTTCCCGCTGCTGAGGGCGGCCTTCAATTTGACTGCCCTCTTTGCTTGCCTCCGGAGATTTTCGTTTTCCTTGTTGTTTCTGTAGCGAGTGAGCATGACTTCTGCCTCCTGCAACAAGCGGCGCTTGAAGGCTTCCGCCTCACTTCCCGCGGCAAAAAGGCAGAAGACGGCAAAGGTGTCCTTGGGCATGCGCTCTGAGTCCATCCATGCCTGCACAAGCAACGTCTGCTGCTTCTTGTCGAAGGTCCAGGTGCTTCTGTCTGTGTGCCAGTGATACATCCAGGCTATTGCATCTTCCAGCCGCTTTGCATGGGACGCCTTGAAAGAGTTCTTACGCTTGTCAGACTTGTTGGGCCGCTCCTTGTGCCCCGATGGCGTCGCTTTTGATGCGTCTTTCTGCTTCGCACCAGTTCCCATGATTTCAGAGCAAAAAATAAAAGCTCATATGGTCCCGTTTAACTCCAATGCAACAACCAAGTCTCAGCACCGCCCAGACGTGCCACCACTTGGAAAGCAGCTTCTTGATCCAAGGCGTAGACCTGCACCGCGCATGAAAGAGGTTTTTAGTATCGGGACACACGATCTCGACATCCAATCTCAGGAACGTGCACATACTTCATCTTCGCAAATAAGTAACGCCTCCCAGAAAAGTACACTAGGTCTGGAGAAGTCGTCCAAGAAGTGCAGCTCTTCAACAGTCAAGCAAATGCAAGCCCCGAATACTATCACACCTCAGTCTATATTTGACAGCCTCGCCCTCTCCAAACAACTGGGAAACGTGGCTTCATCTGCAGACGATCTTAGAGTCAAGAAAAAGGAAGTTTTGAAGAACTATCTGCGTGTCCAAACACACTTAAACGTTGCTAAGGGAAATTACGGGGCCGTCTCTGGCTTTCCTGACATGCGGACACTCATGCCAAATCTTGTCGAGGTGGATGCTAGCGATAATAGGCTCGGGATTCATCACTTTATAAAGTTCAATTGTACCATTCTTCGATTATCCTCAAACCTTGTCACAGATGATGTGATAGAACGGAGCCTCGAACTTCACGGCCTCCTCAGCCAAACGCCAGAGAAGCTGGAAAAAGCACACCTTTTCAGAACCCTCCGGGTGCTAGATCTGTCCAACAATCTTATCGAGAACTTCTATACGTTATGTGCTCTATTGTCTAAGTTCCCCTTGCTTCAAACGGTTATTCTTTCCAACAATTCTCTTCAGGTTCCCACAACCAATGTCGAGGAAGCACGGCTCACAGTGGACGAATATCTAAAGCTAGAGCGTCCAGTACGTAATATACCGCCCTATACAAATAATGGATACATTTTTCCTCTTCTAGGGGTCACAGACCAATTTGTTCCTTCAGGACATGCTAACATACCTGTTGTTACTAGTACCACGACCCTGGTAATGGACGGAATTCCTATAAATTCGAGTTTCTTCTCTGCAATTGCCAAGGCGTTTCCTAATCTTGAGAGACTCTCTGTTCGGGGATGCAACGTGCACCACTCATTCCTCAGTTCTCTCTTGGAACTTTCAACTATAGTTGAGCTTGATTTGTCCGATAACCCTGGCATAGGTTGTGTAGACCACCTAAGGTCGTATGCTTTGCATGCACCAAGTAAGAATCTTAGCATTATTCGAGCACACAATAGTATTGGCACCGTTTCTACCAAAGAGGGTCCGGTCCATTTTCTCTGGTTAGATTTCGACGGGAATCTTATCAGCGAGTCACGCAATCCTTATTTTCAGCCGGAAACCACATTTAGAACCATCGAGATTTCCCTGTTTCAGAGTTCCGGCATTAGACACGCACTCCGCTCTGGTGAATCGGCTCCCATCAAGATTGATACGTCGCTTCCTAAGATCCCAGGTGTATCAAAGCTTCGCTGTGATTCTGCCTCTGGCGTCACCGATGTCGCCTCTTCGTTGCGACAGCTCACCAACGACCTAGAAGGCTTAGAATACACTGATTTGGATAAGTTTAATCAGAAGACGACAATTACTGAATCTGTGCTAGACACTATTAACACTGCAATGGAGAAGCTCAAGCTTGTGTCGGACGAAGCTGATCAATCTTCTTCCGTGTCTTTTGGCGCTGATTTTAAGTCTACGGGGACAGGTCCAGCATCAAAGTCCGTTATTTCAGCAGCAAAGCCGCTTTCCTCCTACTTGATAACGACAGCCGACACAATGCATATCCCCGGCTCTGCAAAGACCAACTCTCAGCAGAGTCGTAGCTCACATGGCTCTATCTCAACGGGCAGGGATAGTGGGCTGAGCAATAAAACTCGAGCCTCTAGAGCAAGCAAGTCCTCCCTCTCAATTGCTGCCATACTGGGAGGGATTGGAGCACCGGCTGCTAGTATCGTAGCTGCGCCAACCTTGGGCCTTTCTGCACCGTCAGCCAGCAGCGATATTACGGGAGACCCCACTAGACTCGGCCTTACCCCGGTGCCTTTCTCGGCCGTTCCTAATGGAACCCAGAAGTTTTCTAAGAGCCCATTGCCGAATACGAAGTCTCCCCCAAGGTCACCGCTTTACAAACGGCCAGATAGCACCCGCCGCAATTTAGTCTTAGGCACCGGGCAGACAGCAGTGGACGAGTATCTTGTGGCAGCTAGAGAGAAATATGCAGACAACAGTATCATCATGAGGGCTCTTGCGTCGGTCAAGTCGCCAGTCGGTACTCAATCACATACCTATCCCATGCTGTATGGAAAGAGGGCTTCTTCGATTACGGCAGGAAATATTTCAGACAACCTCAGCTCCGACTCAACTTTTGCGCAGGATAACATGCATACCCCTAAACGTAGCACAGTACCAAAGCCAAGTATAGATATACACAGCGGGGAGGAGTCTCCTCTAATGGTATACAAGCTTCATTTGCAGAGCGAAGACCGCGGGACCTTTGATGCCTCGTTCCCCGCTCCATACTCAATCCACGATAAAGCCATTTCAAAAGGAGGTGTGGTGCAAGACATGGACCTGACCGATGAGACGCTAGCTGCAGAGCTCGTCACCAGCTTTGTTCGTACATCAATTTGTGGAGTGCTCAACAAGAGTGCGCCTGCCAGTCTTTACCCTCAGCGCCTTTCGCTGATTGATGATGTTAGTGATATCAGCGACCCCAGTGATACAGAGCCATTTGATGGGGCAATCAAGAGCGCCCAGATAGTGGAGCATGAAAGGTTTGTTGCGGCACACAGTATCCAATCGGCTAATGATGGGAAGCGTGTCGATATTCTACGTGCACAGTCTGCGCCTCCGCGATATGCAACGGACGTCTTTGTTGCCGAGCCGGAGAACTCCAAGGAGGGCGTTCCGTTTCCAGGCCCGTCTTTCACTGGTGCTAACACATTCCTCACCGGGACAGACTACATACAGGAGATTTCTGATATCGAGGAGGAGCACCCTGCGAACACCGCCTATCAGCCCGGCCTCTTCGACGACACGCTCCTGACGAGGCGCATCCGCGAGGGGATCGAGATGATCACGGGGCCGGTCGATGTTGTGGGGATCCTCCAGAGCGATAGCCCCCAAGAGCAGGACATCCTCTCGTTTCTGCCGCGGGGGCGCCGCTCCTCGTTGCGCGACATCTACACGGCGCTCCGGACGGTCCTCGAAAACCCGATCACGACGTATGCGGCGATCACAGACGAGGAGATCCTGGCGAGCCTCCTCCGGCAGGTAAACTAGCAATCTTCGAAGGGCTATCCAATGCGCTTTTACGTTCTTGCGCGCGAGTGTGCCCGCGTAGCTCAGTGGATAGAGTGGTAGCCTTCTAAGCTATAGGTCGCGGGTTCGAGTCCCGTCGTGGGCCTTTGTCCGTTTACTCGACGCTCTGGGCCACCTGGGCCTCGGCGGGCTCCACAAGGTCTGCAAACGAGGAGGGGAGCGTGAGCTTTTGCTCCAGTGCGACCTCTGCGATCAGCTTGGCGGCGACCTGGGAGTCCATGGTGGCGCTCGTCTGCTCACCCATCATCTGGCCCATGAAGGCGGTGTTCATGGAGAGGTTCTTGTCGCTCTTCGCAAACTCGTCCATGATCTTCGCAAGCGCTTTTGTGTCCATTGTGTTCAGAGCCTTCTTCACATTTTTATTCAATCCTTTGATTTCCTTCGCATTCTCCATCATCAAGCCGCCTATCTCCAGCTGGGTGGCAATGATCTCCATCTGACCGGCGAGCTTATAAAGCTGGTTTATCTGGTTCTGCTTCGCAACCAGGAGGTTTGCCTTTGTGTTGGCGAGTTCGCGATTGTTAGATGCAATCACCCTTTGCAGCTCCAAGCGGAGATTCTTAACATCAGTCTCGAGGCGACGCGCCTGAGATTCCATCTGTTTACCTGCTATCTTGAGCTCAATGGCCTGGTCGGTAAGATCTATCTTCCCCATTTTTTTGCCGGACAATCAGTACGAAATATCGAATCCTTTGATTATTTACCCTTTGAAGTAATTTTCTAGGCATAGTCGTGTCCAGTCAATGGCGCAGCCTCGGACTCCGTAGAGGCTCTGGGCCTCCTACGCTTTGAGACTATTATAGGAATAACCACGATCAAAACAGCCACTAGGACACCACCGGCGATAATTCCAGTGGTCATGCCAACGTTGATGGACGACTCGTTGGTACTTGGGTCCGGCTCTGGACTGGGATCTGGATCGGGGCTAGGCTCAGGGTCTGGGTTCGGCTCCGGCGGGGTCTCTGGCTCATATTCGCCATACTTGGGACAACCAAGCGTTGATGCCTCTCCCAGCTGACTGCGCAGCTGGTCACAGGCGGACCAAACAAACTGGTATGCGGTTTCAGTCAAATTGGTAGTGTCGTAGGTGAACTGACAATAAGAGTTACGAGGAACACAGAAGACGTCCTCACCTAGACGCATGACCGTGGTGCTGCCCACGCCACGCGTCTTGACATCATTGTTATAAATGTCAAGGCGAGACTGGTAAACTCCGCGGGTCTCATGATAGCAGCGATTAAAGGCATTGAGCTTTGCTGTAGAAAGGCCGTATCTTCCGACTAGGAGCTGTTCCGTACACGTTTCGAGGATGTACGGCAATTGGTCAAATCTGCCGTTTGGATGCATGCACTCCATAAGGTCATTAAGCCTTGTGAGATTATAGTCTGTATAGTACGAGAAGCACCCGATATATGTGTCGGCAAGAGCCGACGCAGGGGAAACGAGAGAATAACCTTTTAACGTATTGTACTGATACGGCTCGACTGTGCTCGTGAAGGAGACAGAAAAGTAACGGCGCACCTTCGGGAACTTGGCAAACATCGGCGTTAGAATCTGTGTTATAACTTCGTGGAGCTCCTCGCTTTCCCCGCTGCCTGTCAAGTAGATCGTCCCCAAAAAGGTATCCGAGCTATTCTTTGTCCTGTACACTTCATGCTCAGCAGGAACCTCAGGTCCACTCAGCGCGAAGTGGGTCTCTAACGCGTGCGTCTTCCAAAACGCTGTAATCACGCTCGGTGGGATGCTCCCTTGATCGTCAATGAGGTTAACGTACTTCTTGATTGCTGCATAGGCTTCGTCCGTTGTAGTTCGGCCTGAGGTTGTAAAGACCACCGGGTCTGAGACGTCAGCCTGCAACCCAACTCCCTCGATGATCATAACAGATGTCTGGGGGTCGCTATCGTATATTCCAAAGCTGAAGTCTGTGCTTCCAAACTTGGAGATGTCCAAGGGCTTGGTGGCAGACCCTGACCGCAGCACGAGGCTGACTTCATAGTAGCGCTGTTCCTCGATAGGATTCTCGGGGTCAGAATAGTCTGCCGGAATTATCACTTCCTTAACGGTGGCTCCCGTAGTTAATAGCAGAGTACAATCGCTACTACCATCAGGAGCTGACATCTTGGACTCCTGTACTCCATAGACACCCTTGGTACAGAAAAAGTTATTTCCGCTAGCTCTGATGCCTATCAAATGCGGAAATCTCTCACGAAAGTTGGCAATCTCATTAAGTTTGGGTGCAATACCAACGAGTGCATTGTTGGAGATATCAATTACAGAGATATCGGGGCCGAACTTAGGAAGAAGAGACTCTAGCTCTTGCACCCCTTCCATGAGGCCCTTGAAGTTGTTGTTGGATAAATCCAACAGCCTTATCTTCGAATATCCCTGAGTCTGTATGCCCTCTGACACTGCCTTTAGATCCAGTTCTCCTTCAAGTTGATTGTATCCTAGCATAACGTCAGTCCCCATGAGTAGAGCCTTAAAATTGTCAGTGGTAAGTGTGCCTGACAGGCCCATGTTCGACAGGTCCAAATAAGTGAGCCGATTTGCAGTCTCGGTTGGAAGCACAAGAGAAACACCAGGAGCAGAAATATCAGCAAGACCAAAGCACTTTGTGTCAGCACCGATTGTCAGGGAGCTCTTCCCAGCCGGAAAGGAAAGCTGGGTGCGGCCAAAGTCTATAGATGGGATGCTCATGGTACACTCAGGGATTACTCCGTCTGTCAGTGGGTTATTTGCCACAAGGAATATCTCGAGGGTGTTAGCCAAATTGCATATGTTGGAGGGAAGCTTAGTGAAACTGTTCCTGGTCAAGTCGACTACTTTTATACGCGCAGGAAGGTCAGCTATTTGGCCCTTGAGCGCATTTCCGGTGAGATTCAAGTACTCTAGTCCGTCCATGCTTCCAATGCACGGTGGAAGAGAGTGCTTGAAATCGGGGGCTATGATGCCGTTTCCAGGGAGGTGGAGCTGTCTAACCTGGCCAGACGCGTCACAGACGACCCCCGGAAGCATACACATGGTCTGAGCATCTATGCTGGTGCTCCAATCCGTCCTATTAAACCACGTATCTGTTCCATTTGTATTTGCAACAAGAGTTGTCAGACAAAGCGCGTCCGAGGAAGGATCGGCTAGACTAAGGAGTAGAAGAATTAGAGTGGTCACGAGTTGTAACATTTATTTGAACGATTTATGGTGAATTTTATACCTTTTATAGGCAGAACAGCTGTTGAAAAAACCTTTGCTCGGAGCCAGGTTTGCATGAAATTAAAGTATCTGATGTGTACACCTGTTCAAGAAGATTCAAGCGGACCGTGGCTTCTTCAACGAAAATCATCTGACTGGGCAACAATAAATAAAAATGTCTGACACTGTCACCAAGGTCGTAGCGGACCTGAATGCCGCTATCTTGCAGAAGTCTGCGCGTGCCATCGCAGAGGTTGCGTGTAAGTACAGTGCCTCGGACAGAGAGAAGGTCAGAGCGCAGTATCGCAGCACCTACTCCATAGAGCCGGACGACCACATCAACAAGATGCTCAAGGGTGGGGATGCTGCCACCATCGTCTCGAACTGTTGGGATGAGCTTCCTGTCCTGCGTGCCAAGCATCTCTCCAAGGCCCTGAAGGGCTCTGTCGACCACAGGGCCCTCCTTGACCTGTTGATCATGTGTGATCGCGAAGACTGGAACAATACCGTCGTTGCATTCACTCAACAGTTCCGTAAGAATCTTCCTGAGGAGCTTGAAAAGGCCCTGAAGTCCACGACTAGCTACCGTGCATTCTATACCACTTGGATCAAGTTTGACCGTGCTCCGAGGAACAACATCAATGGCGATGCCCTTAAGCTCAAGGAGGCTTTTTCGAAGAAGGATGAGCAGACCGTCTTTGACATCATGTCCACCACCGTAGAGAGCGAGTACAAGGCTATCGCCACCCAGTTCGAGAAGGTTGCTGGGATGACTATGATCCAGGCTTTTGCAGCTCTAACCTCGGGGCCGCTCTACTGGGCGCTCCACACAGCCCACTATCGTAACATTGGTATGAACAACGGAGCCGCGTTCCTTATCCACCATGCATGCACAGCCGATAAGAAGGGCGACATCGCTAGGATGACGCGCCTGAGCCCGCTCCTCTGCGACAAGTGTCTCAACGCAAAGAACTACTATTCAGAGTTTGGTGATATGGGCAAGGATATCGTCAACGCCTTTAAGGATGCGGTTGAAGAGGTTCTCAAGGTCCTTTGGAGAGTGTAGGTCTCCTTCTCTAGAGGTAAATGAAAGGCGTTTTAGTTTTATTATATTAGCAAATCAGTGGATGCTCTTCAGCAGCGCGGAGGAATGGTTCCAGGCCATTGGAACGCGCAACTACTCAGCGGTCCGCGCCAACATCGCTACCTACCAGAAGTCCGTCGACGAACGGGGAGAAACGGGGCTCATGCGAGCAGTCCGCGCAAAGGACACAGAGATGGTGCACTTGCTTGCCTCGTTCGAGCATTCATTGCGCAACTCAAGTGGGTACACTGCGCTGATGATAGCAGCTAGTATTAACTCGGCGGACATCTGTCAGAAGCTGGCGCCTTATGAGATGAACATAGCAACTGAAAACAGCCGTAGCGCCCTAATGATAGCAGCAATGGAGGGCTCTATCGATGCAATTATTAGTCTTCTTCCGTATCAGAAGTGTCGCGCAGACGTGGATGGTCGGACCGCAATGATGCACGCTGTCCTCAATCGCCGATTTGACGCCGTCAAGCAACTGAGTCTTCGAGAAACAGGCTACACCGATCTCGCTGGAAAGACCGCCTATGTCCTTGCACTTGAGCTGGATTTTCAGGAGATTGCTAATTTTCTCGCACCGTTGGAAGGCACGTTTCTTTCGGGCGTTCGGAGGTCTCTTGGATCCATGGAGCGGCAGTCTGTAGTTTTCAGCAACTTAACCAACACCACGATTCACAGCTCTATGTCACCCCAGCCTTCCGTCCAAAGGAGCAGTCAAGCACACACATCCATTACCCACACATCCAACACACACCCGACTACGACTACAGGTTCTGGAGACACTAGCAAGGTTTCCACATCCCGGGATTCACGTTCAGACGTTAGGTCTTCTGCATCACAGCAATACAGTTCGTCAGTTGAGCCACCGCCCTATGCATCCCTCTCCGCCAAAAAGCCAAAAAGTGGGTCATCCCTTGGTCATATTTCCAGTATGCCACCGCACCGAGCAGGGTCCAACCTTGGGGGGCGGGAGAAAGATGATCCTCAACCTGAGTCCTCGAAGACGTCAAGCATTACGCCTGCTCCAAATGTCCAGACAATCAAGGCAGTGTTGCACGGTAAGCCCAATGAAGTGTCTATAATCCGAACTAGCCTTCTCGGCAGAGCTACCGAGTCGGACAATGAACATCTCGCGTTGGAAGACTTGTCCACCAGAAGAAGTATGTCCATGGATTCGCGCTCAAGCCTCATGCAAGCATACGCAAACACGTTCAGAGAGGTTAACAGTTTACGCCAGTCCATGTCCGTTCGGTCATCTCAACTTTCTAGAAGCTCTGCCCACATCGACGCCCAGCAGCGTTTGCAGTTAGCCTCCACTGTTACAGACAGAATGGACTCGTTGGAGATGAAGATGGTTGCGCTTGTTCAGTCCAATATGGAACTGGCCGCTGAAAATCAAGCACTCAAGGCCCGAATGAACAAGGGACATGATGGCTCAGGAGCCGACTCTATGGTTTCTCTGGCAGATACACAGTCGGTAAGCCCCGGGCCTCGCAAGAGCTCTTTATTTAGCAAACCAGCGGATACTGGCAACGACCCATCAGAGGGCGAGGTGCTTTATGACGCCAGAAACAGTATACTTTCTGTCAACATGCCAAAGGCTATGTCTGTTGCAAGTGGGCGGCGTAGCTCTACGGATAAATCGATGACCACAGGACCTGATGCTCCTATGGAGCAGTCCACAGAGTCAAACCCTGTCGACGCTGAGCAAACCAACAAGCTTCTCGTGGACATGGAGCAAAAGGACAAGGAGCTGGAGCGTTTGACTGCTGAAAACCTTGCGTATCAGAAACAAATACTCGAATTAACAAACAAGTTATCATTGACAGCTGGAACACCGTCGGAGAAATTGACAGATGTATACCCTGCTGACTTCTGCCAAGATAGTGGCAGTACATCCCTGTCGGACATAGACATTGTTTGTCATGATTTGTCCGAACATGTCCCTCCTACGTCGCTCATGGCACCGCCGGCACTGCCACCTACGACTAGAATGAGCCAGGAACGCCGCATTTTGGAACTCGAGTCACAGAAGGAGGCATTGGCAGAAGAAGTTGCACGGCTTGAGCATCTACTCCATCAGAAAATAGCAGAGCAATCCCTGATGTCTTCGCAGATTGGAAAGACCCAAAATAACGAGGCCACAGAAATGTCCTCCCCTACCCTTTCCGAAGCCGACCCTATGGATATGTGTCAGGACCAGGAGCCGGAGAGCGTACGCCACCTACAGAGCAGTGCAGACTCAAAGCCTTCTGAACAGGATCGAGACGCTCTCCAACGGTCTGAGACGTCCTGCCCACAAACACGTGACTTCGGACTCTGCACGGATAGACTTTCAGAGCCTCATGAGACTTCATTGCTTTCTTATAGACAGAGCAATTGCACCACTGGTGCACTTGAAAGGGACGAAAGAATGGTCTATGAAGAAAGAATTGAGGAGCTGGAAGCTCAGCTAAAGATGTATCAGAAGGACGTTGTTGATCTGACGAAAGAAAACGATTTGGACACTGAAGCGTTTACACAAAACAGAATAGACTCTCCGCAAGGAGAAATAAGCTTAACCGAAGATGACACGGTAGAAACACTGCGTCAGAAGGTTACAGAGTTGAAGATTGAAACTAAGAAGCTACGGGCGAATTCGCGGATCGCAGAAAGGCGTTTAGAAAAGGTGGAGTCTATCAACGATGACCTTCTAGACATCGTCCAAGCCAAGGAGAATGAGATCATGGCGTTGCAAATAACGCTAGACAAAGCGTCGACTATTGTTAGCCCGAAGTTTGTTACATCTCGCTTGGGCCTGACAGAGATGAGCTTGGAACGAAAAGACATGATGTCCACCGCTTCTGCAAGCTATATCTCCGATAACTCCACACTCGCATTCGGCCAGCATGGCGCACCAACAACACAGGCCATTCAAAGCATGCTGGGCATATCAGATTCAAAACTGAATGAGTCGCACGAGTTCCTTGAGCAGCGAGACGTGCCGCAAGAGCTTATGGGGCCAACCAATCAACAACGAAACATCAAAAGTACTCCAAACCCATTCAGTCCATTTGATTATCGAACGAACATAAACACGCGCTTTTTCGGAGACAGATTGAACGTAATGTCTGCCAACAAGCGGAAGGTCATGAGCGCAGAAATCGGTTCTAGAACTAACGCACATCCTCTGCGTGCCCCGACTAGTGCCTTTGGGACTCCTGCCCCGTTCGCTGGCGGCACAGCCCAGAGCCCAAAGAGATCTCAGAGCGCAACCACTGGCGCCAAGAGTGGTACTAGGTTAGATGGAACAGCATCACGCAAGGGTGGCGGACGACCAAGCTCGGGCATTACTACATGGAGAGACGACCTGTCCATCAATTATACAACAAGGGATATGTACCACAGCACCCATTCTATCAGTGACTTATCCGTTAATAGCCCCGAGAAGGTCGATGAAACGCTCCACAACCTTCATGTGTCTATCGTGGATTGTGTCCGTGCGTCTGTGGACAATCCCGAGGAGCGCGCCTCTCTGGGATCAACACATCATGAGCAGGATCTGAGTACTGATGCGCTGAAGCTCATGGAGAAGCTAGATTGCTATCAGAACGATATTACTGAGTTCACCGAAAAGAATGCCAAGTTGATGGAGCGGTTGGATAAACTAGATACAGAGTACCGGGAGCTTAGTGTAATACACCAGGAGCTCGTAAATGCAAAGAAGGTTAAGGAAGAGGTTATCACATCACTGGAACAGCTGAGCAGCCAGGCATCTCGTCGCGGATCATCTGTTCGGGCATCAGAAACAGGACTGGTATGAGCCCAAGGTCTCTTGTAAATTGTCTATGGCCGCATTTGGAGAATACCTTTGATTGTTCTGGATAATGGCTCTATGAGTGCTTAAACTGCTGGGCAAAATCGTGGTACTTCTTCATATCTGCTTCTGTGACTGAGGGAAATGTATTGCGAAGAACATCGAGAGCGTCTTTGAGGGTGATCTTCGGCAAGTTGCACCTACCCTTCGGGAGTTGAGAAAGCTTCCCCTTGAAGAGGAGGGGACGAAGGGCCTTGTTTTCCGGCGTGTCCGTTTCTAAAATCGTGTCACCATGCTCACAGATAACCCACTCGTTCTTCGCATTCTTTATAAAGTACTCGGCCTCTACAAGCTTCCGCGTGGCACAATTTTTGACTCCCTCACATAGAAGCTCCAAGTCGGCATTAGAAAAGTTGTGCGTCCTATCAGCTATATGCCGTGGTAAGTCAGGCTCTTCTTCAATAAGGTGCTTAGGGAGGTTACGCAAAAGAAACTGCTCGCGATCATTGGTATCAGGAAGAGAGATGAAGATTCGCTTATCAAACCGCCTGAATGCTGCTTGGTCTATTGCCTCTGGAAAGTTTGTTGCGCCTAGCACAATGACAAACTTAAGCCTTTCAACGGAGGTGGAACGCGCAGGTGAGCTTGGCCCCATAAGTTCTTGAGAGGCACCAGAGTCGGATGAAAATTGGAGAATCTGTTCATTGTTGTAGTGCTTTGTCTCATCAAAGCATTGCAGGAATTGATTCTTAACACGCCGTATTCCATCGCTGTCGTCACCCGAACGCTGGGACAGAAGTCCATCAATCTCGTCTATAAGGATGATGGACGGGGCCTTTTCACGAGCCAGCTGAAAAAGCGAGCTGACAAGCTTCTCTGACTCACCCTGCCACTTCGACATGATGTGAGATGCAGTCACAATGAAGAACGAGACACCTGCTGCAGCAGCTACACACTTGCACAGAAATGTTTTTCCGCTGCCAGGCGGTCCATAGAGAAGGATTCCACGATTGAGAGATAAACCCTTTGTGTAGAGGTGCGGATGGTTAACAGGTACCAGAATGGAGGTTTCCAATTCAACAAGAGCAGACTTCATGCCTATGAGCTTTTGACTATTGTATATATCTATGTTGAGGTCCACAAGTATCCCCTCGTCGATGAGCTGCTTTGCCAAGTTACTAGAGGCCGACTGGGGTTTACCGCGCTTATCACTATCCTTGGTCTTTCGCACTGAGGAAGGCGCTTCGTCAACACCTCCGAGGAGCTCGGTACTCGAAGAAGAAGGGCAGGCATTGAGAAAATGCATTGGGGGCAAAAGGGAAGATGCAGATACTAACTTCAGGGAGGGCTCATCGACGTTTTTGTGATGCTCTGATCTAGAGGGAATCCCAGAGACCTTTTGAACACTATCTACACTATGCAAAGTGGTCTCAGAGGCTACTTGCTGAGTGGAAGCATGGATTGCAGAAACCAAGTCGGCTACGTGGCCACCAATTAGAGAGCCTGATGGGCGGTGAAGGTTCACAGGGCCAGACCGCTTGATAACTGGTAGAGGATCCATAGTGGCGATAAGATCTTTCACAAATGTGCGATATTCAAGCTCGGTAACGCTTGCTAAAAGGGTCGCGTAAGAATATTGCTGCTCATTGAGAGTGGTGTCGGCGGAGCTCGCAGTGAAGGCACGCATGTCTGGGATCAGACCAGTTCTTCCGAAGATTTTCTTGGACAAGACTCGCTCCGATAGTGTACTATGCAGCCGCTCGCATGGGTTGAGCCGCGAGCACATAGGGTGGTGGCAGGGATTTTTATTTTAATTGGAAAGCTTGTCTATCAACTTGTTTACAAAGTGGCACAGTAGACTATCAATGCCTGAATAAAATAAGTAACCTGTGAACGGTGGACACTTGGTGTAGATAGCTTTAGTTAGTAATTACAATCAGCTTTTTGACAAAATTCAGATAGATAGCAGCCTCTTTCTGTAGACCTCCAAACGAGACATAAGGTCCCTATACTCTCCTCGCTCAGAGTCAATCAACCTAGCGAGTCGACTCTGATTTTCTACCCTTTTTGCCGCAGAAAACGGAGCCTCTGTGTCTAGCTTGTTAAGGCACATGGAGACATCTGCAGCTTTGAAAGCAGCTCGCACGGAGAGGACCCCTGCCTCCACGTGCAGCTGCATGTTGATGAGTTGGCTGATGACTATGTCAGCCATAACCTTCATGTTCTCTGCCTTAGAGTTGTACCGTTCGCAGAGTGACAGCAAGGTCATCGCGTTGCGCATCTCATCTACCTGTGCGCTGGACTCTAGTTGACTTGTTAATGACGGCATGTCTTCAATAGACGGGCTGATGTGAGACACTACGAAGGAGCTAACAGGGTCCGACTCCTGGGCAGCACTGTGGGCTTGAGCTAATCTTTGTGCTACGCCCTCGACCGTGTAGAACTCGCTGTCGATCGGAACCACGCAGTACAGTTCATCATTTAGAACCAGGTCATCGGAATTTGCGCCCGAAACCTCTTCTAGCACAAATAGATCAATATCGTCGGACTCGCACCCAACCGACGCTGTAACGGCCTGTAAGATATCTTCAGTAGAGCTGAGAGAATCTCCTGCGAGAACACGCAAGCCGAGATATGAACGCATTGCAGAAACTTAAACACAATCACTGGATGCGTGGTACTTTTAAAGTTTTCAAAAAATGCAGATAGAAGAGGACAGACGGCTTGAGGAGCGCCGTAGTAAAGAAAAAGGCCTGGGCAAGGTCCTGAGCAAAGTGTTCACACTACAGAGGGCTGAAATACGGCAACTTAAGCCTCCTTTTCTGGAGTCTTTCTCCTTAGAGTCGGAAAACTCATTCTTGAACTACAAGATTGATTTATTATATGCCGCCCTTTTCCCCGGTGAGGGCGCCCCCAAGCCCAAAGCGTATTGCATACTCGGGGCAGGAGTTAGTACAGCTGTTGGTCTTTCTGCATTTCGCTCATCAGGATCCATCTTCAGAAGGGTGCAGCACTTTTATCCCCTTCTTGTCTATGCACTCCAGCAAGAGGTTGCCGACCCTTCTGACGATGATTTCTTCTTAAGATATGCCCTTGGTTTACGGGGCATTATTCAAAATCCCATTGTTGTTTATAGTGTTCTGAGGGAATACCACGAAAGCATAATGTTTATATCTAACATCAGGCCTTCGCTTACACACTATTTTCTTCGCTTCCTTGCAGACGAGGGGATCCTGAAGCTTATTTTGACCCAGAACATTGATGAACTGGAACGTGGCGTGGGGCTCAGCGAGGTTGTAGATGTCAAGCAGGTACACGGATCTCTTAGTAACCCGGGCGCCTGCTTGGCATGTGGGCGTTCCTGCCTTCCAGAGGTTGTCCTCCAAGCTATACGTGATGGCTCTGTAGCCGCCTGCGAAAATTGTGGCTCAGCGATTAAGCCAGGAATTGTTTGCTATGATGAGGATATAGATCTTCAAAGCGATACAGTCAATTCTCTATCAGATAGAGTCAATCCCTACACTTTGGGTTTAGTTTTTGGAACCTCGCTGTTGGTCGAGCCGGTGAAGTTCCTACCTGGAGCAGCACCCTTGTCCAGTCAAATTCATATTGTGTGTAGAGCATTCGATGAGGCAGCATGGCTTGACAATCAGGATTTACAGCAAATTAAGACTGCTAGACTCAAGCAGCACACCGTCAATCTTGCAATAGAGGAGAGAAACACCCAGCTTTCATTTTCTCCCTATCTCAATATCATCGATGAAACTTGCGATGCAGTTGTCCAAGCGCTTCTCTGTAGGAATAAAGTAGTGGCAGAGAAATTTCTTGCCACAATGCGAAGAGTTCTAGAAGAAGAAAAGCAGAATACTAGCACCGTCACCACGATACCCCCCTCTCAAATAGGGCCGTTCCATAAGGTATACCTAGCTGCTCCAGAACTGATACCACCAGACGGATACGTTCAGTGTATTGAGCTCAACGGTATGCTAGTCTTTTGCCTTCTTACACTTATTAGCGATACCATCCTAACTAATCACTTCTGCAATCAGTCTCACTATGACATAATAGACATACCAACGCACACCGCAGGAGTGGAGCACAGCAAAGAGCATATCAACCAGCATCGCACCTTATGCATTATAGAGGCAGACTACAAGGAAGCGTTGCGTAGAGGATATGAAGCCACAGTTAGCTTTCTCCAGAATGTACTGTACCGACCGATAAATTGTCATTGGGGTAGCTACATCTATGGCTACAATGCATATCGACTTACGCCACCAGGAGCAGAATACATAGAAACACACGATCCATGGAATGCACTGTTCTTCTGCTCCACGCCAGCAATAAAAAGACATGACTTTTGCTATAAAGGGATGCCTGGGCTGTCGCTCCATCTTCAGAACTCAGAAGATCATACACTCTTTATCTATCTCCGTACAACTGTATCCATTTCTCAGCCAGTCAGCCGCGTTACCTAAGATGTCAGGTATGTAGCTCTGCTGCGTTAAAGCCTGATTCAGGAACCAAACCGTGCCATTCTAAAGCTCCAAAGGGGGATTTACATGCAACAAGCCTTGATTGTTCGTTAGTCTGGCTGATCAAAGGGATTTATCTGTTCCTCTTCTACGTACTCGGGGTTTCCCTCTATGCCTTTCTTCTGCTCTGTCTCTTCTTTCTTTTGCATTATTATGTCAGACTTCGGTATATCTTGCCGCTTACATACTTTGGAGTGCCCGGCAACCCAGTCTATCTTTTGGCATTTTCTTCCACAGTACCAAACGTTGTGGCATCGAGAACACCTGTTGCGTGCAAGTACCCCACAGTTGGTACAGACAGGAAACACGCTGCTATAGTGGTCTAGATACACCCCTGTGGAACTAGTATCTGCTATGTCTTCCACCCTAAGCGTCCCCATCAGTCTTACATACTCTTCTGCAAGAGCATCATACATTGCTTGTTTGATGACTTGCGAGAGGGCTTCAAATGAAGTGACGGAGGTTCCTATGGACTCTTCTTCCTTATCAGTCATGTCTGTAATAAATGTGGGCCCTGTTTTTGCTACCTCTCCTTTTGTGTGCGCCTTTGTATGCATTTGATACCAATAACGTACTTTAAGGGTGAGCTCGGACTCGTAATAGTTGGCTGTTTGAACAAGAATAGCTCCTGGAGAATATAACTGTGCATCGGAAGCCAGAGTAAAGTCATCTGCGAGACCGTATTGTTCGCGTATCTTTTGCTGCTGTTTGGCAAGCACTGAACTAGCTTCTTGTTGGGCACCCTGAAGAATCAGCTGCTCTAGGTAAAGCCTATACTCTTTCAACTCAGGGAGCTGGCTGACAAGAGTTTCATTGAGCCGTCCCTTTATGGAATCGAAGACAGACAACTCGTTTTGTGTGAATTGGTCGGGGATGTTTGCTCTAGCTTCTAGAAGGATTAGCCAAACCTGAGCTTCCATCACGGTCAGCTTATAATTAGATTCTTCATTGGTGGCATACTTGTACCAGGATGTTCCGTCCCAGTACTCTAGGGACCTGTCATTAAGCATTCGTTGCCACGGCGCAATATTTCCATAGAGCGCAGCGACATTCTTGGTAAGGAGCTGTGCAACAAGTACCGATATCCTAGTGGCTTTGAGCTTTGACTGAAGGGAGATGGGGAGCTTGTGAAAGAGTAGGCCTCGCAGCAAGGATAGAACAGTCAGGGATGTGTTGTAATTAATAGAAACATCATTCTCTACCAACTGGTCAAAAAAGCCCAGAATGCTATTTTCTAGATGCTGCGCAATTTCAAGCATGGATTTGCTAGAGTCTTGAGCCTGCTGTTTTAAACGGTCACGAAGTCCCTGGGAAACTGCAGCACTTAGCTCCGATGTGGGAAAACGTGGATCAAGTTTTGATTTTTTTTCTGAATTGTCTTTCCCGGCGCAGGGCAATCTGGTGAATTTTTTTGAAATCAAATTTGTAATATGATATACGCACCAGTCCACAAGGTCGTCGAGGTGCTCTGCTTCTGGAAGCTTGTCAAGGCAAGTAGATGCCAAAAATTCCGCCAGTACGACCTCATGGAATAAAAGATCGTACAGAAAATGTGCCATGCATGGCTCAAGGTCTGGGCGAATAGGTTCATCTGTGTGCCGTTGCTTTAGGTTTGCAACAATGGCTGGAAAGACGTGAATTTTAAACAAGTGTATGCATATAAGGTCAGAAATGATGACATCCCATTTCCTATACGTGTTCATAAGATCAGCAACATAGTCCTCACGATTAAACATCATATTCTGGTGGGTTTGCATGTTCAGTTTGACAAGACGTGTGTGCTGGGCATGCCACTCTCTGCTACCCACGTTGTATATGTCAAAAGACTGCAAACTTCGAACAAACTCCTCTGCTTCTTGGTAAAGCAGTATTTCAGTCATCGGTAAGAAGAGAGATCTTTAAGCTGTCAAAGGAAAAAACGAAAACAAAGTTTTTAAAAGGAATGTCACATAGACGCTCATGGATGCAGTTGCTTGCTGTGTACCACTACTCTCAAGTTGCAGAGATAGTGCTGACTGCAATGCAAGCTGACGAATCAATAATCTCTGACGTAATTGCGGAGGCTTTTTCGGATTCGTCGCCAAGTTATCAAAATGCCCAGGACCTATGTGAGATTCTCCTTATTAGATCCCCATCTGCTGTACTCACTAGCGTGTATTCTTACATCTCCTCCTTTGAAGCCTCAAAGGAGATCACACGGGGCTATCAGACATACTTCACACTTTTTGCCCACCTCTTTCGCACTGTCCTGGCCCGAGTGTGTACGCTTATCAACTTCTCATTTGATTTGAACGAAGATAAATATGAAAAGGCACACGTTCAAGCCGTTGTTTTCCTGAAAGAAGAAGTAACAGCGAGGAAGTTGTATTCACCTGCATATATGCCATTATTGCAGCAAGCCTGCTCTTACTTGCGTGAAGATGGTCGCAGCGACAGTGAGATATTTAAACTATTGCAGGATACTGCCGACCTCATAGTTGAAAGAGCGATCTGGGCGCAGTTTTCAGCAGACCGGTGCACCTACACGGTATCTGAGGAAGCCGTTCATCGCATCGTTTGGCATCTCTTCTCCACAGAGATCACAGACCCCACCTCATCCAACGGTGAGATACGGGTCAAGAAGTATCGAAAAGCTGCAAACTGGCTCCTTATCAAAACCTTCGGTAAAGTAGCTTCACTTTCATCCTCTGCTAATCTTTTGGCAAACGCATACAGTTCTGTTAGCTCCTATAGCGAAAGACTTAATATCTACGACAACGGAATTGAGACGGATAATTTACTACTTCAGAAGCATATTAACTATAAAAAGCAATCCCCAATTGAGTCGGCTAATTGTTCTGAGTTGTTCGCCTTCAAAGGTTTAGCAATCAAGGCTGATGCACACACAGAAGAAGCCACAAGAATTTACGATAACATCGACGAGCTATTCATATACACTACACCAGAGCTTGTTCTCCCGACTTTTCGAGTGGAGAATGGGTACGGTGGTCACCTAGATATTCCTATAATTCCCGGTCTCTGGGCTGAAGATATTTCTGAAGATGCCTTTATTTCTCTGTCAGTATCTGTACTATATACCCTACTCGGACAACCACTACTCTTGGATACCTTGTCCATGATCATGTCTTTTGCCTTAGCCAAACGACACATTACTTCTGCTCTATCCTTTGATCTTTTGTCGTTCTTCATTTGGTGCTGCAAGCAGGACATGAAAGGAAATCTTATCATGTGTGCAAAGGAGGCTTTTATTGCTGCTCAATCCCCTGCACTAGATTTACCTGTGGATTGGAATCTTCTTTCCAGCATAACTGTTAGAACTCCACTCTTCTACTCATTTATGCTGCTCCTGCTCTCGCTCATGTTTTTGTCAACCGCAAACCACCCTCTGGTCCCGTCTTCTCTTCTTTCTTCATATTCTGGTTGTATTGAGCGTAAACTGCTGTCGTCATATGCTCAAAATAACACTTTCAGCACCCCGATCATTAACTTCTTCAGTGCGTATTCAGAGATACTTAGGGAGCTCCCTTCCTTCATGCGCTTGTCGTTCTCGAGCAGCGGAAGCGGCGCTGACGATGTTGTGACCCTTCTACATCGGTCCATCATGGACATCCTTTTTATGGTCCCATATGGATTTCTTTTGCTACTGCTGAAGCAGGGCTTTCGCTCTATGAGAAAGCTTATCATTGAGCAAACAATTGTTCTCACCGACACACACAAGGACCAAGAGCCTTCCTGCACATCGTTTATTCCAGGCCTGTTGTACATTTTTGATTCATTTGTGGTGGAGCCCCTTTGTGAGCCAAATCACGGAGACGCTCGTATCTTTATAGCCAACTCATGCCTTCAAAGCCTGATACGTACAGGTTATCTTCTTGATGTGTATATTCTTAGGTTGCTTTTTCCTTTGCCTAACCCGGCAGCTGAGGCACCTGCTGGCTTTCTCAAATACCGAACAATAGATACCCTGGTGTTTCTACAAGACATTGATATGCTATCCTTCTACATCAACGAGTGCACTGGAGCGGAGCTCTTCTTTGTGGCAAACAAAATGCATGCTCACATTAACATAACGTTTATTCTGGCATACAGGACCTTCAGAGAAGGCCCTGAGTTCTGCAATGAGTTTCTTAAGGCGTTGAATAAATCTCTTGATGGGGATGGAACCGGCCCTTCAAGCACGCGTCTTCCTTATGAGATTCTCTTATCCATTTATGAGCTTGTCTATACGCTACCGTGGATGGGCACTGTGAAGGAGGCGGCTCCAATCAGCGCCTTCTTCTCTGCTAGCTATCCTCCTTTTCTGGAGACAAAAACGCTGGTGACAGCCTTGGGGTCTCATCTTTCATTATTGGCTGTTCCGAATGTTACTACTCACCTCCATAGAATATCGGGACATATAGTCTATGGTTCTATTTTGTCTACGTCTCACTATAAGAAGGTGGCCAGTGACTTTATGTACTGTCTCATTACCTATGGTGCTGATCCCACCTTTCTTGTTGCTGCACTGGTCGACTCCTGTTTTCCAAGGGAGGTGAAGAGTAGACTACTCCTCTCAGACACGGCTTTCTCAATTGCTTACAGTTGTAGTGGCGTTTTGACCTCCAAGCCATCTCAGAAGACTGCTGTTCCTGCCTCTCAGACGGGGGCATCACCAAGCGTCAAGAACTCTATTGGATGCTCTTCAGAACAGTCGCCACCTTTCAAAAATGATGAGGAAGCCATTTCGCATCAATTTCAATCGTGTACTGGTTCTGATCGCATTGAGCCCTTCGGGTACTTTCATGGCTACCTCTGCGTTTTACAAGTGGTCAGAGAGCTTATGCTCTTCCTTGTCACTGAAAAGAAAACAGAAACACGGGAGCGGATCTGCTCTGTCATTACTTTGATAGTGGTTAAGTGCAACCTTCTGCTCTCGCCTCTTCCAATGATGAATAGCATGCTTTTGGAGGGCGGTTCTGTTGACTCAGGAATGTACTCGTGGTTTATGACCATGCTTTACGCTTCTCTTCACCAGTCAATTATAGTTCTTAACGCCAGGAAGAAAGAGCTTCTCTTAGAGCAGAAGCAGCTACTATTATCTATCCAGACTATCGGGAGCGCTCTGATAGACCTTTCTGTAGAACTTCCTCAATTTGATTCTGCTTTCAACGGGCCAGAAGCCCTTGATTCTTCTGCTTTATCATCCCTAGTAGATGCTCTCCAGAAAGTTGTCAACACGCAGATCCACAATTTGCGTACACAAAACTTATCTGAACCGACCAATCCCCTCAAAAATATAATCACTACAAAGACTAGTCTATTAGGAGATAAGGTTGACTCCATCAAGATCACTCTGCAAGACATAGATCACAAAATTACCGAACTCAACAATTGTCCTACTCACTACACAACGACCACAGGCCCGATGCAGATCTATAGCGATCTACAATGCGATCAGGTAAACGGGTGTCTGAACAGCCTTGAAAGCAAAAAGGAAGCTCTGGTTATAAGGCGTGCTGAGCACAGCAACAATCTAGCCCAGCTCTTGAAGGAGATTGATGAGTCTGGGCAGAAGGAAGCAGTGGATAACCTTTTGCGCATACGGGAACTTGTTTCTAATTTCAGCAAAAGCGTTTCCAGTCTCAATGCATTTGCCAGAAAGGTCCAGCGTCTGGAAGAAGACACCTTTCGCATTCGGAATTGGTTCTTTGGTGATTCTGGTCTGTTCTCCGGCCGCTTTACATCCAATCTCTTCTGGGTTAAAGAACATATGAAGGCTATCTATGATCAAGGACTTGGCAATCAGAAGTCCAGCTCTTTGCCAACAGATATCGCGGCGGCCTTTTCGCTGGATTTTCCTATGTTAAATGCCAATTGTAGGTTTATCATGGAGGAACTTCGAGAAAGTGAGTTCTCTGAACGACAGTACATCCATGCTGGCTACCATCTGCAAATGGGCTGTCTCTCGCTTAAGGACTCGCTTGAAGATGCGTCCGAGGATTTCTTATCAATCTACGAAGAGGCGGTCAGGTCGCGCTTTTCTAAGTGTGCGGACTTGTCTTTTTGTTGGCAGGACCCGCCTTCCTGCACCTCTAAGCATTCTTTTTTCTCTTTCCTCGATCAGGAATCGCATATTTTTACTCTAGCAATACGTTCCACAGTCCCCTCAGCTAACTTTGAAAACATGCTGATAGAGTATGCAAATCTCTTCACCATCTCTAACTCTACCCAGATAGGTGCAGAGTTTATGTCTGGTGCTTACATATCTATTAATCCTTTGTGGTTCTTAGCGCAATTTACGCTGGACACCATTGAGAAGATTGCGAGCTCTGAAGACGCCATTCCAGCCATTGCTTTCCTATATGGGGCACTGACTAGAGCCTCAGAGATATATTCCCAGCCAATCAAGGTGTTTTTATCATATGTTCACAAGTTTTTCTACGATTCAGCAACGCAAGATTGTGCTAAGCTTGGCGAGACAACTAAGTACTATAGCAGTTATAATGAGTACTATGCATTTAGGCAAGCATATACCTTTGCAAATCCTGGCTACGCCGGGTCTTTGCTCTCTTCCAACGCGCCTCACTTCTACAGCATCCCGGGCATGTTAGAGAGAATGATATCCAAGGTCTCTGACACAAAAGGTGTTCCTATCCAGACCCATATCCAGAAACAAAAGGAGAGCAATGGGAGCAATGTTAGGACAATCGGAAACACCCAATGTGGCATGTCGTACGGAGATATGTGTCACTATTATACGCAGACAACGCTGTTACCGATGCTTTACTCGTTGGTACCGCGGTATCTGTTCATTCATGGCGTTTTCAAACAGTACATTGGTAACAAGAATAACAAATCCATCTCTAAACTGCCTCTACTCCTCATGAAACCAACTGATCAGGACGCACAAACTGCAGGCCTGCAGATTACCGATACTGATGGGCTCCCGGTGATGGGGCCTCGCTCCTACTCTAAACTGGCCTCCAGGTGTAAGTCGTTTGGCATGCTTTGTGGAAGAATATTCGCCCACCACATGCCTACAAAGCGATGTTTTGACATTGAGATGCTGGTCCTCATGGGTATTACGGCAGCATGTGGTCTGCTCTTACCTGATATCATAGTTTTTGGTGTATATTTAGCCTTGTCGATCTACGAGACAAATCCCCTTGCACAGATAGGTGCTCTGACTAATTATGCCATATTGTTTCACTTTCTAGATATGCTTATCTCGAACGGATTGGTTACTGATATGCTCAACAATGTGACTCACATGAAGCTCCAGCTGACCGTAACAACACTTAAGCTGACTCCCTTCTTCTCCAAATACTCGCCCCAAACCTGGGAATCATGCACCATTCCGAAGATTCTTTCCTACTTTTTGTTTGACAGACTTCCACGGGGAGAAGGAAGCATAAGCGAGATTGTCCATAAGTTCCTTTCCCAAGGAACTGATCAACTTGTTTCTGAGCTTCAACATGAGTACAAATCAGTCCTAGGACGGTTAAGTGATAGTGTGGATCTTACAAAGGAGTTGCAGTCACAAAGAGTGATGGAGCTACTATTAGATCACCCTATTTCAATACTACGAGGCCGGATAGATAAGGTCATGCACATCCTTCTTATTGGCAGTAACATTTTTCAAAGAAATGTTGACACTCAGTGCATGTTCAAGGCTGCAGTGAAGCGATGGACATATGAGCTCACAGAACGTGCTCACGCCTCATCAAACTTTGATGTTGAGCAGCTCAGCACTTTTATCTATCATGTTGTGCGGGAGCTTCCCTTAACCATTAGCCTTCTATCAAGCGAGCTTGCTCATTTAAGAAAGTTAACTACCAGTAAGAACCCCGGAGGCCATCCGCACATTCATAAGTCACGCCATTCGAAGACCAAATCAAATGCTCTTCATCACAGCTCTTAGAACTATGGTCTGTCGCCGCATAACCCCACACTATCTAAATTAACGTGGTCACTTCTTGTTGCTAAGGTTGCTAAATAAAGAGGTGCTGATGCTCCTCGCTGCCTCGCCTTGTACTATGGCGGCCAATACAAGAAGAATTAGAAGGTTCACATACCATCCCCTGATGTCCGAGTATTAAAGGTTGGAAGTTGAAGGTCTTTGATCTCATTCCTGCATCTGCTCCGCAGAAGGGTTGTAAGCATAGTCGTTGTCGTTCGATCTAGACTCTTGAACGTTTATTGGAAAATCGTACTCATCTTCGGTTGATTTTCCTACCCATTGTGGACGACTAAAGTGATCCGACCTAGCCTGTCGATGCGCAATCCTTCCGGGCCCACGCTTGTACGGCTCTATCACTAATCTGCACCCATCATAGTTAATTGAGCTCTTCTCATTGACCCTGTCCTCTGTTTCCTTCGAGTTGGAGCCAAAATATCCGACGTCGACCTCGGACGACACTATGGTGTAATCCGTGGCTCCATAGTTGTCGAGAACGAACTGCTTGAATGGAGAGATAGCCAAAAGCGACGGAGGGAGGTTCCGTACAGCAAAATTGAAGGAGCACTGAGGGTAATCGTATTCAGCGGACCTTTGTGGGCGGACATCTCTGGGCCCCGGACGGGAGTAATGCTCGTCACGCATAGGGCGATAAGGATCTCCTTGTTCGCGAGAAGAGAACGGGCGACGATCGGGATAATCTCTTTTGAATGGAACTCTTTCCGGGCGAGAAAACTTGTCCCTATCTGTATACTCTGGCTTCTTAGGTCTTGCAATCTCTACCTTGCATCTGCGACCATCAAATGTGACATCCCCCATAAGGGCAAGCTTTGCGGCATCAGGGCTGTTAAACGTGACGAAAAAGAAACCCTTTTTGGTGTCGACCACGTCTGTAACTCTGCCGAACTTCTTGAAGTTGTCCTCTATTTCCGCTTCGGTTACGTTTGTGGGGACTCCACCCACATATACTTTACAAGGATCGTCTGCCATTTTTAATTCACATTTACTTTCTTGCCTCTAAACCAGATTAGATTCTTGTACTTCTTTGGTTGATAAATTCATGTATAATAGACTTGCACAGAAGTCTTCTCTCTAGCGGGACATTAGAGCGCTGGTTTTGTGCACACATGAGAAGATCGTGGGCAGAATGGTTCAGCACTTCAACCTCTCTCTCAATGAGAAATGCCACGCAATTAGGGTAGCCGTTGTACACTGCCTCGAAAAGAGGTGTCCAACCACATCCCCTGGGGTAGCAATCTGTGGTAGTCAAACCCTCTTCATAGTCTGCTAGGACCTGTACGACACTGAAATGGTTGCCTTGGACGGCTCGAAGCAGAGCAGTACAGCCCATTGCATCATGATAACCATGTTCATGAGGGGCCAACAGCGCTGCCAGTTTCAAGTAGCCGTTCTTGGCTGCCATCATCAATGCCGTCCACCCAGTCTTTTCCTGCAACCCGAGCTCTTTTCCACTCTCAACGAGGATTAGCACTGTCTCCAGGTCATTCCTCTCTACTGCAAACATTAGTGCAGTGTATCCAGTGTTCGTTTGGCACCCTGACTCTAGCGGGCATAAGAGCTCCACCATATCCACGTTACCCAAGATTGCTGCCAGCATAAGAGCTGTATATCCATCCTTGGTACTTATCGTAGCGTAGTGTTCTATTTGCAAAAGAGCAACTGTGGTGTTGCGCATAAGTACAGACATCATCAGAGGAGTGAAGCCAGCGTCCTCCAGAATACCCTTTTCGACGTCAAATAGCCTACAAAATAGCTCATCGTCCAGTTGTTGTTCGGCAAAGAGGGAATAGTAAATGGCGCAGTAGCCCGAGTGGTCCCGAAACCCCAATTCATAGTCTACCAGAAGTGCGACGACCTCCATGGAAGAGTTCTCAACGGCATGAATGAGTGCCGTTTTTCCGTAGTTATCCCGCAGTCCTATTTGCGAAGACACGCCGGTTGCAGGTGCTGCTTTTAAGCTCTCCTCATATGCTTTGATGTGTCTCTTGACAGACGAGACGTCGTTTCTAATTGCATCTACCATAAGCGGCGTAAGCCCATCCTCATGTCGATTGAATGTTTCATGTTCTTCTAAAATCGAAACAAGGTCCCGTCTCCTCTGCCTGCGAGCAATCTCCAGGCCTGTCTCATTACTCTGATTTCTAAATCCAGGCTCAGCACGCGCTAGGACCTTCACAGCCTCAGCGTTACCGCAATATACAGAGTGAATCAATGCAGTAGCTCCTCCTGCTGGTGACTTTATACTGGACTCGTACGGTAAAATGACGCGTAGAGCCTCTATATTGTTTCGTTGGGCAGCTAACATAAGCGCTGTTAGCCCTTCTCTATTGAGGAGACACGCCTCTTTGGGTAATAAAAGAGCCGCGGCCTCTGAACTATTGGAGATAGCAGCTAGCATCAGTGCAGTATTTAGCTGCAGGTCCTTAAGCCCTGCCTCTACATCAACAAGTGTGTCAACAAGCCTAATCATATTACGCTCGGCTGCATACATTAGCGCAGTCTTGCCAGTAAACGTCTTGAGCCCTCCTTCTCTCTCAGTAAGCAAAAGCGCGATATCTTCCAATGAAGATGTAACCGCTAGCATTAGAGCCGTCTGTCGAGAGGGGGTTGATTGTATTCGTGCTTCATGAGCGATAAGAATCTCCACGGCCTGGCTTGCTTGCATGATAACTGCTATCATCAATGCTGTGTACCCTTGTGGAGAATACTTTCCAATGGAAGCACTACTTGCTTCAAGCTCACTCTTGAGCTGTAAGACATCATTACTAGCTGCAGCTAACATGAGGGGTGTATACCCTGCAGATATCAGTAAGTTATGTTCCTTTTTCACTAGCCGAATAAAGGCATCCTTAGCACGCGATTGCAATGCATACTCCGCACTGCACATGGAGCTAGAGTCCGTCATTGCAGACTCGCTGGCAGCAAAATGCTCTACAAACGTCATGTTGTTGGCAGAAGCAGCTAGCATTAGGAGAGTTTTCTTCTCTGCAAATATCCATTGAGACTCATGAGTAGCAAGAATAGGAGTCAGCCTGCGAAGTATCTCTTGCTCAGTTTCAGAAAGAGCAGAGTCTGCACTGGTACAAGCGTCAAGAAGATAGTATGATGCATTCTTCCCGTCAGCATTGACGGCGCCGGCCTCATGGGGAGCAAGGAGGAGAGCTGCCTCGTATTGCCTGGATAATACAGCATGAATCAGGGCAGTGTTGTTAGTCCCATCGTTTCGCCGTACATATTCCCGCAGATGGCTCGTAAGCGCTCCGACATTTCCATGCTTTGCTGCTAACATCAGCGGGGTGTCAACGTGATACGATGTCTGCACTAGGGGGTGTGTAACAGCAGTGGCAACCGTAGTACGCTTTTCGGGAGTATTAGATAACATCCCCTCAAGTAAGGCTAGCAGGCTCTGAGAGTATTTGGCGCGTAACTCGGTGTATATTATCGGCCGCTCCCTTTCTATCCATGGTGTCAATAGCATACTGCTAAGTTGCTCCACCAATTCATCTATAAGTAATTCTATGCATAGGGACGTGCCTCTATCCTCCAGCCAATCTATAGGGAGAACGGGTGGATAGTGAGGAGACAGCAGCAGACCTAAATCTCGTGGAATAATATCCTGAAGAACTGGCTTGAAGATTCCAACACGATCAACGCATGTTCCGAGCAATGTGAAAGTGTTGCTCAACCCCTTCAAGCACTCCAGGACCTTCATAAAATAGGGTGTTCTTGTCAAACATATGCGATAGCTTTCTTTGCAAAGCCCATACAGAGAAAAGAACTTACGCCATTGTTCGTACTCTAGGAGGACTTTTGCGTGCGCCGAGCTGTGTGATATCGAATTGACAAACCTTGAATTGGCTTGAAACTGTACATAACACGGCCAAGTAGATGCTGGGACAGAAGAAGCCAGTCCAAGAAGAATAGCTTCGTAAAGGATGGCCCCAACAGAATACGCTATGCAGGTCTCAGATACATCGCAGTTCACAGTCGCTACCTTGTCCCTGTAGCGTTGAACATTCTGGTCCTGGGGCGATGGCTCGAATCTACCAGTAATTCTAATTAAATATTCTAACGAATAGACTAGATCTAATTGCAGGTTTCCGTAGGAATCATAGAATAAAGTGTCTGGAGTAATAATTGGGTCTATGTGCATAGCATTGGACGTATATAAAAATCCTATATGCATAACTATCTCGCTTAGTTGCGTCAGAAGTCGCCACAGCTCATGTTCCTCATATTCTCGTAAAATTGCTATGGATTCATCGAAATGTGCCCGTAACGACCCGCCTCTTGGGCATTCCATGACAATGAGTATGCTATCCGACTGATAAGTAATGGCTTTGACGTCTAGGATGTATCTAGACCTCGAATACCGTAAAAACTGAATGTGTCGTAGTAAATCCGATGAATCGCTGGTATCATGCTCCAAAATAGGCAGCTCAACCAGTAAAACTGCCTCTCCTGTAATAGAATCCCTGCTAAGAGTCCTCTTGGGGCCTATCCTTCTAGTATCTTTGTGTAAAGCAGACATTTTTAGTCATTTATTTTACATCTTACTCTTGCTGTGTGTCTTGGTGCAATCTCACTAGCCCTAGTCGCCCCCCTCGACTTCCTGTACCATCGACCTCCCTTCAGATTGCTGGTCAGTCTCGAAGCCTAGAATAGTGTTGGCAAAGTCGATGACAGAGACCTGATCGGGCAGCAGCCCCCCAGCGCCCATCAAAGTATCGCTGGATGTGCCTCCCCCGGCAAGAATACTCAATGCATCCATCAGCTCACCACCTGAAAAGCTCTCTCCGTTGTTTACGAGAGCGTTAATCAATGTTGCCTTGTCTAGGACACCAACAGCTTCATCTGCCCCAAAGACAGTGAATGCACGGACGATGTCCTCCATTTTATATGGCAAAACCGGACGGTGATTGACCAGGATCCTAACGAACTCTTGTAAGGACAGGGTCACGTCATCGGCGCCAACAAGCTCCCACAGACCGGACTCGCTTTGCTCATATAGACTCATCTCGCTCATGACTCTGGTCTCCTGGTTAGAGTCTTCTAGAGGGTTATAGCCGAATGCCGTGGCTTCAACCAAAATTGGGGGCTTGCCTTCTTTCAGTGCAGCACGTAACCGAGAGAGGAAGAACCGCAGACGGGCGGCACGAATAGCTTCCTCGATGATCTCCCCCTTGGCATCCACCATTGCCGAGTTGGATATGAAGACGCCCAGAGCCCGTAGTATTTCGTCGAGCATGCTCACAGGAGCACGAGCGTCTTCTTTGGGAGTGATGCCTTTTTCTTCTGAATCGTTGATCTGTGCATAGCTAAAGTAGTCCTGAATTTCTGCGTAGAATTGGCCAGTTGGGCCGCCCTCTAGCTGCGCTGTGAAAGGATCGAATGAGGCGAAGTCGGTGGCAGTTGGGCCAGTAATCGGCCCACTTTGCTGCCCAGTCGATGACACGGTCACCGTACTATCTATCATTAGGTCAAAAGTAGGATAGTCAACCCCCCATAGGAACAGGGCAAAGTCGGTAGACCCTGCACTCACTAAGAAGGTATTCCCCGCGTCCAAGCCGGGACTAAAGCAGAAGCACACGTCGAGACTCAATACCTCTCCTGCATGGCCAATCAGACCCATGTACCTGTGTGATGCTCCATCAAGAGGAGTACGCATGAGCCCGATGACCTTGCGAGGTGTGGCAAACGCTATGTACTGCGCAATGTGACGGATTGCACCAGCAGAGTTCAAGGTCTCATAACGTGTTCGGTATCTATACCTCTCTTCCGTGCTAGTTGTCTGCAGAATTGGTGTGCAGCTGGAGAGGTCATGTCGTGAGTCGCTCATGTAGGCCGAGATGTGTCTAAGAATATTGATCGGAAGACCATATGTCGGTGCCAGAACAGTGCGGCGCAGCGGATAGGGCCCTGCAAGGTTGGGATTGACACAATATTGCGGACCCTGCAGTATGGCAGAATTGGGTAGCTGTCCTTGCGGAGTGTACCCACCCGTAAAATATGCGCACAACTGTGGTGCCGTGGTCAACAGAGACGCGGGGAAAACGGTTCGATTCGATAGCTCTAAGGCTCCAGGAAGAGCCTCTATTTCTCGAAGACGAAACTTATAATGACTGTTTGCTATGAGGAGTAGATTTCGCTGCTCAATAGGCTGCAAGTCCGGTCTATATTTAGCACAGAGAGCCCCGCTGTCCTCAGATTGTAAGCTGAACAACGCCTCCTTAAGGCTTCTGCTTAGAACGTTTTGCTCAGAATTCAACTTATCAATCTCTGCGTTCCTTTCCTCTTCTGTCAATGTGGATACATAGTATGGCGGCCGTGGAAGGAAGCAAACGGCGGTCGGTGTGGCGCTCTGCTCTGCTCTGAATCTACAGTGAACAACAATCAGATCATGACTCACAAGGGTTTTGTCTATGTCTATAATGGTAAAGAAGCGATCCTTGCTCAGCAAAACCAAAGGGTCGCGTCCTCCCTCAACTAGTTTAGTCGGTAAAAAGTCGCAATAGATCACTGCACGTAGAATGGCGTTATTGGTAATGACTAACCTTCCTAGGGAAGTCCACTGACCAGTTGTGGATGCATCTGCCCGCTTCTTTTGAGAAGCACGGGCCAAGAGAGCTGCAGGTTGCAACCGGACACCAGAGGCAGTCCTTGTTTCATTCTCTTTACTTTGCTCTGACTGCTTAGCATCGTCTGCATCTGTGATGAACACTGGGGGCGCCTGAAGTGGTGTTACAAGGGACGTAAGGAATATGTCTGAGTATGTGCTATAATTAAATGCTTTTTCAGTGGCGTCATTGGCGGTTGTGATTCTTCCTGTCGTTAGATCTTTTGCCGGTTCATCTGATATTGACTTTGTCAGGAGCGTAAGGAAGGACGTTTCATCTAGTACAGCGATTATGTCGCCTTCTCTTGAAAACTTTACGTAGGTTATTTGGGCAGGAATCGAGATAGACTTCCTTTTCAAGAATGGGCACAAGAGCGGTATGGTCTTTGTCCGGCTGAGATGCCGAAACGTGCTTAATACCTGGAGAGTGAACGGATCCATCAACAAACAGCTACCTACCGAAGTCCCAGCAAGTAGCACGGGTCTGCTAGCGTCTGCAGGACAGAAGAGAGAAAGTGCTGTGATATGTGCATACGACTGCGTCTTGAGAGGCGCCAGAGGGTGTTCAGGAACTAAGTAGCACGCCTGCTCATAGCCCTCTGCGTGGCGTTGGGCAAGAGTCCCCGACAAGCGTTTGCTGCCAGATTCTGTCGCTGCGATGTGACCAGCCAGCGAAATGGACCGAAGGATCTTATTGCTAGTAAAGTCAAATAGCAACATGTCTCCCCTCATCGTCGCCACCCATGAAAGAGGCAACGATGCCTGAGTTTTCAGATTGTAGTTAAGCCTTATGGGGAGATCTCGCGTGTCTCGAGGCGTATAGGTGCACGATGTAGCATGTGGTATGCCTTGGTAGAGTAATGTCCCTCGTCGTTTGCTAGGCTCGACAAACTCGAAGAGAGCAGCTGGAACCAGTACAATAGAGCCTCTACTAGTTCCAACAATAAAGTCTCTTAAAACGACGCTACCAAACTTGGCGTGGAGCGCTTCAGACTTACTGGCATATTCCCGTGGTGTTGCGCCAGGCAAGAGAGCCACTGCAGAAATGCTTATGTCGGCATCTCCTCCTTGGAAGCCATCCTTATTTGATGAATGCTGGGGCATTGCAATGGAGACAGATGTGATTGGTCCGCATGCAAGATTTTCATACCACGATAGAAGGCGCAAACGAAAGTCAAACATCCGTACACACCCATCAAGGCCTCCTGTGATTATAAATCCATCTGAGCGAGCACAGATAAAAGTGATGGCCTGAGCAAAGGCTGCGGTTGGAGAAGTGGTCATCTGACCTGCAGCTTGCTGAGCCGCTGTTAAGTATTTGTAAAAGGCAGCGCGCTGATTCATTTTGTTGTTGCTCACTAGCGCCTGAAAGAACGGCTGCCCAGGAACCAAGAACGGAGTAGTTCCAAACTCCCCCGATGCTGTGTAACTTTCTGCTATGACAGTCTCGTCTTTTTCCATGATCTCATCGTTAGCAGCTATCGCCTGAACATTTCCAGAGCTGGCATGGAGTGTTAAGAGCTTAATGGGCACGCGACGCACTGGCGCATTCCCGGTTAACCCGTCTGAAAATGCTCTTCCGTTGACATCGTAGAGAACCACCTCTCCAGCAACAGTGCCTGTGAGTGCTGCTGTTGTGCCGGGTAGAAAGCAACTTACAGTGAACACAGAAGGTAAAGCCTTGAAGTCTCCTACGTGAATGTCTGGTGAGTGGTAGCTCAGCACGTTGATCAAGTCCTTGTCAACAAGCTGCTCTTCCCACAACCAGAACACAGTCCGATAAGCAGAGTTAGTGACTATTTCACGGTAATCACAAGGATTAAACCGCACATCTCGCTGAAACCCTAGCTGAGGAGGAATTTCTACCGAAACTACAGGGCGCTCATCTGGGTTGGACCACTCAAAGAGAAAGAGAGATTGGCTCATAACTTTGGCGGCATTTGGAGTGGCACCGGACAAAACTGCGAGAAGAGCGCCGTCATCGGAAAGATCCATCCGGATTACACCTCCAGGAACTTGATCCACTATTGTCCGAACGGGGAGAAGGGTCTTAGACTCCCAGACTATGATCATCGTATCCTTTCCCCCAAAATCGGCCGAAACAATCCACCGTTTATCATTGGAGACGCACACAGCAGAGATCATATTAGAGTGGCCTTGAAGAAAGCGCTGGGATCCGTTTCTGCAGTCATGGTAAACAAGTGTGTGAGAGGAGGGAAAAAGAATGGCTTCTCGAGTCTCATCAAACAGAGAATGCACGCCACCCATGAGATCCTTATTAAACCCGAAGGCTGCCTTCATATTCAAACAGTGGGACGCCATGTTGGCTTTTAGAATTTACTTTTTACAGAGACCTCAAGATGCGCTCTTGGCTACGACATCTACATAAGAATATAGATGGCTAGGAACAGCTCTAAGCAAAAGTGCCTCTGCTTCAATAATTTCGGTTAGTTGGCCGTGGAGTTGCAGCCACTGCATATGAGTATAAAGAGCTGCTTCGAGGATATCGGGATCTTCTGAGTAATCGCGGTAAATAATATCCCTTACGCGGGTGAAATAACATGGATATCCTACTTCACGTGCTGTCTGTGCCGAGATCATCCGCTCCACAGCCAACATCTTGACTCCATCCCTGGGGAGAGAAGACGTCTTCAATATATTTGCATAGATACTGTCTAACTTAGATAATGTCTGCTCCATCACTTTATCTGGGTCCTTTTTATCGAGATTAGCAAAGAACGAGGCGCTTAAGAGCCGGCAAATTGATCGCAATACAGTGACGGATTCACCACAATTAGCATTACTATTAACATACTGGCAGATGATATCAATGCACTTATCATAATTTTGTTGCCTATAACAGTGCTTTGCCAGGGCTAAGACAACGAGGGGGTCTCCTGAAAAGTCATTTGACAGGCACACGACAAGATCATCTAATGCCGGCATATCCTTCTGCAATTCCAAGATTTGAAGTTTCTCAATGTGAAGTGCCGATAAGATAGCGCCAGAGGACCCAGTGTGGCACCTGGACAATGCAGTGTTGCAGACATTAAGCGCCTCTTCATACGCTTGGCTGTGGACAAGAGCTCTAATATAAAGTACCCAGAAGTCAACGTAGTCACAACATATACAGAGGACGGATTGGACTTCTGCAGATGTCCAACTGCTTCTGTCTGGTGTAGCCAAGTCGTCTACGAGTACTCTGTAAAGTGCTCGAAAGCGACCCAGCAGCTCTGGCTTGAATGGGCTGTGGTGATAAAACGATCGCTTATCAATGCACGCATACAGGGACAACCGTTGTACAGCTGCATCTGTGTCGTAGCATTCTCTAAAAGCACCTTTGGCCTTGGATAGCAGCTGGCCAAAATCCCCGACAGAGGGAAACTTATTTATTACAAGATTGAGGTGTTTTTCATATAGATTTAAGAGAGTTATGGCGGAGGTTCTCAATATAACGCCTAGTGCAGACGAATCGGACTTAGCAGCCCCGGTGAATATGTACATATAAGTGTTCAGAATAGTAGTAACAGCCTCCTGATCGAGTTCGTTGCTTGCCAGTACCTGGTCGACAGAAAATTGGAGATAATCTTTCCAAAGGGTTGTGGACATGTATATCTCTCCAACGTACTCATCAAGAGCTAAGCGATAGAGCTGAATAATAACCTCTGGAGTAAACGCGTGCGAGTAGGCAGGGGTGGCACCACATTGCTTGGCAAAGCCTATATATCCAGCCCAAAGCTGCCAGCAATACGGAATGGTATCTATGGCTTGCTGGTATATCAGCAAGGCCTCCTCCATGTTACGATACTGGAGAGCTGCACTTGCAAGCTTCTTCCAATACTCATAACAGTAGGGGTAGCTATCCAGAAACTGGACTGTTTTGGCCTTGTATTCATCAAAGGAAGCTTCTGTGAGCGCTGAATAAGCAGCATCAAGCTCGTTTGAGCGCTCCTGAAAAGATGGCGAAGTCATTTAGATCTTTCTCTTAAATCTTCCCGTGCTTTTCCACCGGGACAACTTATTCATGAACAATAAACTTTGTATCTTAGTCACCCGTCTTTGCTGCATACACCTTCAAGGCTGGGCGCGTCGTGGTCGAAGTACGCATAGCCTTCCTACGCTGCGCCGGAGACCCTGTGCATTTACTTATACAAAACTACGATTAGTTTATAGATAAAGGCTCAATACTGAAACAGTTATAGCAAAACAAAGGAGAACAAATGGAACAGCAACGAGCTCTTTGACAAGCATAGATCTCTTGCTTAAAGCATTGTTAGGGAAAGTATCATATCTGGCCTTATCCTGGTTGCAATCTATTTAATCTCACTTTATTAATAGATTCAAGATTGCTAGATTGATACTTGACAAAACTTACAATTAAGCTCTAGCTGCAAAAATACTACCTAATTAGCAGTCTAGCGGATAACGTGATATAGAGCAAAGGAGTGAGTATCACGCAATTCCTTCTCGTTAAAGAAAAGTGCCGGTATGTGCCAACAGACAAGTAGAAGATAATAGGCCCAGGCTTCATTGGTTACTGTTTAGAAAGCGCATGCGAAGAGAGGGTGATGTGCAATGTATTTGAGGAGTAGGCAACGCTAAAAGATCATTAACAACACTTCGGACAGAAAAGCCTGGGTCTACACTTGGAGCCTTTGTGCTACCCTTGTACTTTGAAGGAATGTTATTGTCTGGAGCAACACCAAGGGCAGAATTGGTACCTTGTAAGCGACTATGTACACGAGATGGGGCTGGAGTATGCAGGTGCCCTGCGCCTAATAAAGAGTTTTGATCAGCTCTGTGTTCTGGCCGGTCTTTCAGGTGGGACTTAATAGAGCTGTGCGGTGAAACGTCCAAGAACTGCTTAGGGGTCTTTATAGTAGGACTTCCTGGAGCCACCCTGCTTGGTGAAAACGCTTGTGAACTGTGGGTACCATCTGGAGTGAATGTCAGCTGCACAATGTGGTTAGCTTCAAGGAAGTGTGGGGTAGAAGTGAGTGTCGGGGACACAGGAGTTTCATGCTTAGCTGTAGTTGCTATCTTAGAGATATGCGCACTGGCAGAAGACAAAGGTTTGGCACCGGGTCGTCCGATGTTAGGAAGGAATGGACGCTGATGTGGAGAAGTAGAGGGCGCGGAAATTGGTGTTATATAATCGCTCTTTCTCAGAATGGATGCCTGTCTGCTTTGAAGAGGACGCTTGTTCCGGCCAATGGGGTTGCCTGAAGCATATTTTTTGCGCGCCTCCGCATGCTGAAGAAGCGCTGTGACTGTGTTGGGTGTGTACTTGGACTCGTATATCAACTCTGGAACTATGATTTTGCCATCCTCAATGGCGTTATTGATATATAAGCACCTGTACGTTCGTGTCCGCTGAAGAGGCGAGCAGTGTTGCAAGACTTCTGTGGCTTCTGCATTCATACCTTAAAAAAATGCAAGAATGGCAGTGCACCCATCCAGGGTGCGGCCTATACACACCGAATACGATCTCCTGCTATGATAGATATGCTATTTATGCATCAACAACCACAGTAGTTATATTAGACATTCCCTTCCGCCGACATATTTCTTCGTTTACAAGCAAATCGGGGATTTCAGCGATTGCATGCAACACCAAAGGAGTTCTCGCCGCTATTATGAGGTCAGGAGAGTGCACTTTTTTCCAGGTTCCCCATCTCACACACCCCATCAACACAGTACAGGTGGGCTTGAAGATATACGATGAAGACTATGCTAGCAGAAGTTCTAGCGTACCGTGCTTTGACGTTGCCGACTTTGCGGGAGCTGGTGACCGCTACCTGGTTCTCGTTTCTAGACTGCATGACATTTTGGGCATTCTGGACACAGAGACGAACAAGGTTGTACATGCATCACTCCCCGACTATTTGCACACCAATATCTTGCGAGCGGTGAAGTTTGAAAGTGCACAAGTAGGCATACAAACTCGAGACAATCCGAGTAGTGGTATTCTACTTGGCGGACTCCTTAGTGGACGCCTCTTCATGCTACAAAAAGGTGCAGAGGCTTTGTATGCAGCGATCTCATCAGATGATTATCAGGCATTGACTACTGACAAGCAGCGTTACAAGTTTCTCGGATTAGACCTGAAAGCAGACACGCAACTTCCTGTGGGATATAATGCATATCAGTTAGCTACTAATACCGGAGTCAAGCTAACCTCTAATAGTGCTGCCATGATCTATCTGACACCGGGTCTCTTGCAGTTTGGTGTTAACTACTCAAGCGCTCTATCGGTGGACGTTGACCCGTTTAATCAGAATTTCTCGCGTTTAGTATTAAGCGTGTATTCCTGCGGGACATTATTGCTGCATGATTTTGTTCCTGTTCCTACTCGCTTGACTGGTCGGCGCAAGATAGATGGAGTACGCTGCGCGTGCTTCCTTCGGCATAAGCCAGGGTTAATTGCGATTGGGTTTTCCTCTGGAATTATAAAGATCTGCAATATTAATGTACTTGCCAAAACCCTTGATGATACAGAGTGCACTGAGCTATCCGTCAATGAGGTGCATCACACAATTGTCGTATCCCGTGGGCTAGACATTCTCGCTCTCCGGTGTTCTGAGCCGTTACAAAAGGAGGGAGGAACCAATCTTTATAGCGACAACGACTTCCTCAGTATTGATTCATTCTTTCAGGGCTCTTCTTTAGATAGTGCACATTCCCCGACGTCTCCAACAAAGCGTGCTTCTATGACCATCACATATCTTGTTGGATGTACATCCACAGGATCTATCTTCTCGATTGATTGCAATCAATACACTATAAACCATAAAACGGATCCAAGCCACATAGAATCTATTCTGGATGTGTGCTACCACGAGGAGCTCACTAAGTTCTACATTTCACTGTCGGCTGATTGCACGGCAAAGCTTTGGCGGATAGACTCCACTGGAACATCTCTGGAGGGCCAGTTTGGCAGTATTGGAGGTAATCATATAACCAATATGGGTAAGAATGCGTCTATTAGCGAAGCCAGCATTACCACGGGATTAAAGGTTGATGGTGGAGCTGTCGATACATCGCGGTTTCTGGGGCCTCTAATCTGTGCTAGCTGGGACCCTCGCCCGGCGTCATGCCTTGCTCTGCTCTCTTCTCACAATGGAGCAAGTGCAATTGTGGATGTCTGGAGGGGCTCTATTTATGCGGTCTTGGAAACACACGCTGGCAGGGTCATCTCCAATGCATGGACTAACTCATATGGGTGCCTCTGTGCCACGTCAAGCTTAGATGGTAAGGCTCGGATTTACCCCTTTAACCGCTCTGTTCAGCTAGGGCTTTCCACCACTGGATTTACATCGGCTGACTTCACCAAGAATTACATAGAATTTGTATCTGGGAGGTTTCCACTTTACGGGCTTGCCTTTTCACCGTACTTCCCACTTCTGGCATGTGCTTCTGAAGATGGAAAGGTACATATCTATGATGTGGGGTACCTAAACATGGATGAGTCAGCTATACGCTTTCGTGCATCAGAGTTGAATCTGAAATTATCAAAGCTTGTTCCGGTGCCTCATCTAGGATCCTTCAAGGCACACGACAGCGGTTGCTTTAAGGTTGTATTTCATCCCCTTATTGCTGACATTTTGGCTACATCCTCCCATGATGGTACCATCAGAGTCTTCAGGCTATCCTTTGGTACACCCATCAGCACAGGACCCATCTTGTTGTCTGATGGCTCTTGCCCTGCAGACATTGTACCTGAATCAAAACGGAGCCAGACTTCACTACGCATATCAGCCATCAGTACTCTTAAGGGGCATACAAGTCGCGTACGGCCATTGAAGTTCCATCCAGAGTTGCCACACATTCTCTTCAGTGGATCATGGGATACAACAATCAGGGCATGGAATTGGCTTGCAGGCATTGAGCTGGCGTGCTTTTCTTTCAAGTCTGATGTCTATGGGATCTCTATTTCTCCATCTTATCCATTTGAAATGGTGGTGAGCTCACGAGACGTAACTATCCGCAGAATTCATATAAGGGGCATGGAATTGGGACAACGAGCTATGATGCATGCAACGCTTGGGGCTCTGTCCGCGTTTTTTGCACAGAACAGGGCGCAGCCTGGCAGTCGTGACTATACACTTGAGGATGTTGCCGAATATTTAACGGACGCCTCTAGCACCGAAGCTCAAGGCCTTATTTTAAACGCATATAATAGCATTTGTCGTATTGCAACAGAGGAACCGCTTCTCTATCACAATTTTAAGAAGTCATACTCTTCTACCAACGGGCCCGAGCTATCTCATGCTCTTGCCCTCCTTGCAGGGTCTGCAAGCAAAGAACGGGGAGAGCTGCTTGCAACAACATTGAATACGTCCAGCAAGGATGCTTCGGCATCTTCTGAACTCTTGCCAGTTCAGCTTTCTCCGAATAGGATTTTCGGGGCTATACTCTCTCTATTTTATCCTGTCGATGCAGGGATTCTTCAGCTAATGAAGCTCTTTGACTACTTGCTCTTTGCCTCAACTGATGTGTTCAGTCCCAAAAGGGTCGTAACTCATGAGCTAGCTCTGCAGGAATTTTTGGTGACAGATGGTATTGTGGCGACTGGCCCGGTTCTCCTTTGGGAGGCCCTGAATCTGGCCAAGCTTTGCATGAAAAGTTTGACATCTTCAAAGGCTCCTATTTATGAAACTGATCCCGGGTTCTCTAAAACAAAATATCAATTCTATGAATTTGTCCGGAAGCAGCCCACACTTAAGTCTGAAGCATACAAACACCAGTTTTTAATTGCCCTTAAGCTTTTCGTTGCATTGGGCGATGTCCCGTGCATGATGGAATTGTTTAAGTATTTGCGGGCAGATAAGTATCTGACTATGCTAATGCCTCTCTTGCCGACCCCTGAAGCACGCCAAGAGCTTGCCTCAACCATCACTGAGACCGTTGCCTCTACATCTCTGCAGGTAAGGATGAACCTAAAGGAAATGATTACGCCACTTATTGAGCTGATAATTCTGGGGCAAATTGTTCATACTCTCACGGGCAGCTACAGCCTTATTCGGCAGGCATGCTACGAGTGCTGTGTCAGCGGAGAAACGACCCTGGCCAAGATTATTGCATACAAAGTGGAGGACACGGATCTTTCGTTGCATCTACGCACTCTTATTATGTACCATACGGCTATGAACTTCTTAGCAAATGGAAAGTCTATTAAGGCTGCCCTTGAGCTCGTCGCTGAAAACAATGCCAAACTCGCGTGTAGAATCCTAGTACTTACGGGAGAAGCGTTTCCTGCTGCACTATTGACTCTTTCAGATCCACTACAGGGAGACTTTATGAGTATTTACGGTGCAGCAGAACTCGTTATCCAATCGAGCCTGGGCAGCGAGATGCTAGATCTTCTGCTGTCTGCTGCGCGTGGTCGCCAGGCAACCGCCAGGCCCGTTGATTGCTACGGCATTTACCTGCCAAGTTGGTTTTCTTTCATCCACGCTGGAAGGATATTGCGTGGATTGTATTACGTCAAAACCCTTCTTCTTGCAAAGACCTATTTTCCATATGATACAGCATCTGACCGAGATAGTGCAGATGCACTTGCAGATACCGAGCTGGTTGAGATTAATCTCTATGGAAAGAGTCCACGAGAACTGTTTCAGAGTGGATCAGGACTCTTGGATCCCCACTCTCTTTCTGTATACATTGGGCGAGCCTATAGACTAGCCTCACACCCCTCTGCTCCTTCTATCGTTCACGCCATAGAACATATCTTTGGAGCATTGACAGCTAAAATCAATGCATTCGTCCTGGCTGCTCTTAGGGACCCCAAGTGGGAGTTGCAGTCTATAGAGCTTGCTTGCCTCTACAACTTGATTCGGGGTTACCCTCTTAGTCCAGTTGAACTATCCACCCAAACAGCAGCCGTGCTCTCGTACTACCTTGGGGGAGTTGCTGCACTTCGAGTGGGACTATTTTCCGTTGCTCGCGATCTAATATGCTCGTGCAACAAGCTTCTGGAGAGGTACTCTGATGTACAGTTCGCTGTGTCTAACGTGATTTCAACGGATAGTCTTAACGAATATAAGGATATGGCGCTTTTCTGCGTTACCGGAAACGAAGCCTTGTGCAGCAATTCTGAGACTTTGAATGAGTGGAAGCGCCGCCGCCAAAGCTATCTAGATCATGGGGAGCACACGCCCGAGGTACTCCTGATAAGCAGAAGCAGTACTGTATCTGCCCTGCGCTGCATATTCAGTCCCTTTACAGGAAAGAGCATGGTGCTACCAGTTCTAACCCTTATGCCATCTGCAGATAACGTATAGATGTCTTTTTTCTCTGGCATGCTAGTCAGATACTAGTACAGTTAAACTAGATTATGAGGAGTCTGAGACTAAAATAAAATTCGCATATATGCTAATACCCAAAGTCGTTAATATGATCGTGCCAATCGGAGTAGTGCCCAATGTTAGAATGATCAGAATAATCTACGATAGCACCAGGTCCTTGGTCTATTGACAAGCTGGACTCATTAGAAGTCGTTTTTCTGAGAGGACTTGTTGCATGCAACTCAATGTGCTGGCGAGGGTATTCTGATGGCTCTTGGTGCATGCTTCCTGCGCTATTGTACGTCGTAAAGGGCTCATGCCTGTGTGTGATCATGGTATTAGATACGCTCCCTCCTTCTGCTACCTCGTGGCCTTCCCATTTTGATCTATCTACCAGCGTGGACTTTGCCTCTGGGTTGTAAACGGTAATGGATAGATCCTGAATGTTTCGGGATTTAACAACCTGCAGGGCAGTCTCAAGCAAGTGAGAGGGAATTTCATCTAACTGGAGACTGACTAGGGACATCGGAAGTAGGGAAGGATCAAACATGCTGGTCAAATTCCGCAGTGAACCTATCACCAAGAGCTCAACGGGCGGAAGTGAGTTCAAAAAGGTTACTATATTTTCGTCTGTAAAATTCTGATTCCTTATCTGCAATCTCCTCAACATGGACGGTCTGGCCAAGGCGGCATGATACTGAATTTGCTTTCCGGATGATTGAGTGGCAAGTTGAAGACGTTGAAAGTCATACGAGGATTGCGAAGGGTTGAACAATCCTTGATTCGGATTGAATTGTAATTTTGATAAATTATTGCTAGAAGATTGTTCGTTGGCATCGAACGAGGTATTAAGATTTGCCACAGAGGAATCATGTGGTCTGATCTCCGACTGCTTAACAAGCCAGTTATTTGATGCTGGGAATTGGGTAGAGGAGCTATTCTGAGGCTGAGTAGTAGTGGTAGTGCTGACTGTTACCGGAAAGCCTGGCAAAGGCTGACGATACAGCGCATCGTCGCTAGCAAACATGACACCGTCACCGACAGCATGTACCTGCTCTGCAAGAGATGGTGGAGAATGGACATTCTCGAGGACTCTATTCACTTGCGGAGTCAATGAGATGGGCGCAGAGATACTGGTAACTCCCCGGAGTGTGCTGCTCAGACCTGGATCAGCAAACTCCATTTGGGGAAACTCGTTGCAGAGTATCTCTTCGTATGGAAGAATATACGACTCATACTTGGTACGAAGAGTATACCCAGCATTGGTGACACTGGCTGGAAGACCCAGCTTCTTACCTATTTCCTTCCACTGTGTGACATTCTTGGCTCCTCCCCGGGCCTGCACAGCCCTGAACAGTTGATACATATCCAGCTGTCTATGGCCGACAATAGGTTGCCGGTAGCTGCGCCTGCAACTCCTCTGTAGCTCTTCAAGCCTTCGCTTAAATAATTCTGATACTGCGTCCTCGTTTAAGGCAGTGTATTGAGAGTAATTCATTTTTTAATCGCCGCTGCGAGGATGCACAGGCACTGCTCCGTAAAAACGTAGGACGCCGCTGCGCTACTACATATTTACTTCTTGCCCTTAGTCCCCTTCTTGCCTTTCTTGCCTTTTTTCCCTTTCTTTCCTTTACGCCGCTTGGCGTCTTCATCAAGGATTTTTTTATGCTCCTTGAATACAAGATAGTGTTCTGCAACGCGTTCTTTGGATAGGGTTGTTGGAAGAGTACATACAATAAGGCTTCGCTGCAGAAGAAGCCCGGGGCTCATCCATTGGAGCTCTGCATCTGTAAAAAGATTGTCCTTAAGATGAACTGTTGATAGATTTGCGCATGCAATGACCCCGTCCCCAAAGCTTGCATAGGAGTCTGGGAGCGCTTCGTAGATAGAGCAATTGGAAAGATCCAAGACCTGAAGCTGGATTAAAGGGCAGCCAATAGGCTCAAGGGGAACGTATACATCTTCGACTGGTGCTTCTACTATCGGAGGCTTAGCTTCCAGGCCCTCGTCACCCGTGTTTTCGACCTGAGTAACTGGTTGATCGGCAGCACTCTCAGGCTTCTCTGATTGTACTGATTCTTTTGATGCAGATGGTGGCAGGTTCCCCGATGCAGTATTGCATGGCTGGGCAGCAGTCAAGGAGGCCAGTGATGCCTCGTCTTGACTTAGGTCTATTGCTGCGCGACAAAGGCCTGCCCCTATCTCACCCAAACCAAACGCACCAAAGGGATTGCCTCTCAGTATCAGTGTGGGGATAAATTTGCAACTTTTCTCGACTAAGATGCTAAGAGAGGGGGCTAGTAATGGATCTATTCCGCAATATCCTAGATTCAATTCCCTCAGTGTGAAGAATTCGTTAAACACCTCGCTGATGGGCTTCTCGTGAGTAAGGAGCGCTTTCCCCTTCTTTCCCTTGCCGCCCTTTTTCCCTTTTTTTCCTTTCTTACCCTTCTTACCCTTTTTGGCTTCTGCCTCTGCCTTTAGTTTCTCCTGTTCTGCAAGATAGAGTGCTAGAGACTCTTCGATAGCTGCACTTGCTTGTTGCCGCGCCAGACTGGTACACTTCTCAATAGCTACCCCCAGGCGTGAAAGCACCGCAGAGTTCATGGGAGAATGCTCAAAACTTAGGGTCGAGAGAGCTGAATAAGGGAGTGCATGGAACAACGCTCCATATCCCTCTTCGGTAACGTTAGAATTAGATATCGTGAGATGCTTAAGAACTTTATTTCCAGGCAAAAGGGAAGACAGCGAGGTTAAGCCATCATTTCCAAGATTGGTGTTCCAAAAAGCAAGTCGCTGGATTTTTCCATAGACCTGCATAAACTGAACCAGGGGTAGTATGTGAGCCCCGTTGATGTCTAAGCCACTGAGCCCGAGAGTGGTGAACTCCTTTTCCTCTTCCAGCGCAGCTTTGATTTTGGCCAGCAGCTGGGACATCGGTGGAGACTCATTATTGGCTTTGCAGAACATGATATACTTCTTCTTGAGATTGCCCATCCACTTCTCAAAGTCACATGGGGCTCCTCGATCATCAAAATACTGCGGTGGTGGCGGTTCAGGCTTCTTCTTCGGCTTGACTGACTCTTTGGGAGGCATCAAGCCCAGTAGAAAGCCCAAGGAAAGAAGAAATTTTAAGATCCCAGATCAACGCCTGTGCCCAGAATCACCAACTCAGGCGCTATCAAGCACTATATAGAACTATATTATTGTGTTTACTCGGGTTTCTGTGTGATAAGAAGGGAAGTCATACCGGCTGTTTAACCTCGCTATCTACGACCGCCTTCAATCGCTCACGCGCCTCGATCTCCTTTTGGCGGAGAATAGGGCGATATGGACGCTCCTTGATCTTCTTCTTCATTCTCACCTTCTCCACCGCAGCCATCTGAAGCGGGTCTACCGAGTTGAAGTCCATTGTTGCGCTGAATCCATGCTTCTGGGCACTTTTAGTCGCGAGCATCTTAAGTGCGTGTTCACGCTTCCTGCTGTTGATATGACGCTTTGTCCTGGCGTATTGAATCTCCGTTACACGGTCTATCACATGCACGGCCTTCTCCCAAAGGTTACGATCATATTTAACGGCTCGGTTCCGTCTTCTCTCAAAGTCATACGTGGTGTCGGTGGCCATGTCCTTGTTGTGCAGTAAACGATACGTCTTTGTCCAGCGAACCTTTCTAGGGTTACGCTTCATCTTAAAATTCCTGTGGCACTTGCTTGTGCAGAAGCGGAAAACCCTGCTGTCATTTCTCACAAAGCATATCCCCTTGCCTGGGTACACCGGCTTGGAGCAGAATGAGCAATGCTCTATGCGAGGCATTGTTCCTGAATTATTTAAAGTATTTAAATGGTAGAGAAACACTCTCGGCCGGCTCTCCAGGAGCCTTGTCGAAAGAGACTGGAGGGTCAGGAGGCTTCTCCTCCCTCACTTCCTGTAGAGTTATATTTTACTTCCATCTTAAGCTCTATCATGAGCAACGATATAACCTTTATTCACGCAGAGACAGGTTCTGGAAAATCCACTCGGATTCCTCAACTCCTCAGTACTCATCTGGCCGATATTGTCAAAGTTCGAGGCAATCTAAGCAACTCGCCCCAATCATTGGTCGTTGTGGTCCAGCCCCGCCGCATTGCCGCCGTATCCTTAGCGCGGTACGTTGCTGCTATGATGGGTGAGAACCTGGGACACACTGTAGGATACGAGGTTCGACTCAGTCAGTGTCGGTCCCGGTACACTCGCATCTTGTACGTCACAGAAGGGATTCTACTCAATTGGGTGCGTCCAGGAGGTGCCTTCCTGTCCTCTATAGGGGTGTTGATACTTGACGAGGTCCATGAGCGATCAGTGTCTCTAGATCTTATATGTGGGTTGTTTGCAACACGCCCCAGTCTTTTTCAGCGCACAAAGCTTGTTCTCATGTCTGCCACTGCATGCTATAAGACTTTTCGTCGTTTCTTCGGAGGCCAGTCCATGCTGCGCGTACACATCCCAGGCAGATTACATCAAATACGCGTCAATTACATTGATAGCCTTAACAGTACCCTATTGGCCCCTGACCAATTCAGTGTTTTGGCTCGGCTTGTCAGGCACTTGCATGAGACCGAGCCGTTAACTGCTGGGGTACTTGTCTTCCTTCCTGGGCAAGCAGAAATCAACAAAGCTTTTAAGCTGATCACCAAAGAATTGGAGGACCCACGATTGTCTATGGACCAAGGATCTGTTGGCAGAGGCAGGGAATCGGTGGCCTTATTCAAGTTGCACTCATTTCTTCCACTGACAGAGCAAAATAGTTGTTTACACTTTAAAACCAATCTGCAAAAGCCTGTAGATTGCAAAAGGAAAATTGTCCTGGCAACAAACATAGCGGAAACATCGCTTACGATTCCGGGAATACGCATTGTCATTGATTTGGGGCTATCTCGCGTCTCCCGCTACTACCCAGCACTACACATGACGGCCTTGGAAACGTGCTTGTGCTCCCGTGAACAGGCTGATCAGCGAAAGGGCAGAGCGGGCCGTGAGGGGCCAGGTCAATGCTATAGGCTATACACAAGGAATATGTACCTTCAAATGCCTGCAGCGACTGAGGCAGAAATCTGCCGGGCTCGCAGTGAAAGCCTTTTACTGTGGTTGACTGCCAATGGATTTAAGCTCCGAACCTTTCCATTTCTTTCGCCACCTTCTCTATGCAACCTCGCGGCAGCCTATGATGAGCTCTATGCCCTCTCTATAGTCGATGCCAATGGTAATCTGACAGAAGCTGGTGCTCTGACGTTTGAGTTTTCGGTCATGTTTCAACACGGTCGCATGCTGGCAGAAGTCATTTTAGATGCCAGGCACAATAATGCATTGGCACTGAGTGTATACAAGGAGTTGATTGTCATCATCTCGTGCATTGAGACCTTCATTAACACAGACATTTCTATCCAGTGGAGCGCTAGTGAAAAAGCGATTGTACAGCCTCTTCGAAGTGACCACCTAGCATTTCTAGTCCTCTACAATTCCTATCTAAAAGCAGAATACAAGGCAGACTGGTGTCATGTACATGGCGTTCCCCACCACCTCATGCAGTACTGCAGCGATCTGGTGGAGCAGCTGTCTAGAGCTCTTCTTGCTCGGTGCCCAGAATTAGGTAGTTGCCCACCCCCACAGGATACTAGCTTGGTTGCTTTGGAGCTCAAACGGTATCTAAGACTTGGGTACGGCATTCATCGAGCGCGTCTCAATCAATATGGATCATACTCCATCGTTCATAGCTCTCACTCTGTTAGCGAACAGCCGAACCAGTTAGTACTCAGTCCAAAGAGCTTGCTGGCATACTCATTTCCCAATGAAATCATATTTACAATTGCTGTTAAAGCAGCAAACATAACGTTATATATTGCTACAGAATTAAGCGATATATAATATTAATTATCGCATGCCTGTTGCTATAAACAACGTAGTTTCATAATCAATATTAAACCACAGCAGTGAACAAGCACTGCTAGATTCATACTATCTCCACTAGAGACAGCTGTCTTAAGGCAAACGTGAGACTCCTGTAAGTGATAGATGTCAGGCAAAGTAGTGATTCTTCTCGATATCGGCGACGAAAAGCACCCTGTCCTCATCGCACAACTGAACAGGATTGACGCTAGCAAGATCAATGAAGTTCCCGTTCATGAGGCATACTCCTGGGTCAATGAGAATGCCGTTGACGAAAGGGAAGTACTTGTTTAGAACTAGATACTTCAGCAGGGGCTCGGACTCATGCATGCCTTCTCTATCCTCCTTAGTTATGGTGATATTAGCTAGCTCAGTGAGTTCCAAGTATGCACGGGCTTGGTCGTTGTTAAACCCATACGTGTGCTTTCTCAGTCGAGGTCGAGCAGAGAAGAGCACATTGCCTTCTGCACTAACCAACAGTTTAGAAGCAGAGGTGGAACTCTTACTGGCCGTCACAGAAAGTGCCCCCGTGAGGTTGACCGGTAGTGCAGCCGCCCCGATCCACGGTATGTGGGGAGCAGTGTCCTTGGAGGGGCTGACCGACAGAGCCAGAGTGACCCCGAGTCCAAGATCGCTAACACTGCTTAGTAGTCCGGCCTCCACAAGGGCCTCTGCAAGGCCGGGTATGTTTTGCGCCCTGATGGTGCTGTACGGGACAGTGAGACCGTCTGCCTTGAACTTGTCATACTTCGTATGCCAGATGTATAAGTAAGAGTTAAAAGACTCTCTGTCAAAGTAGAGCTCATAGTCCCTGTCGGTGTAGACTGCCTTTGGAGGAGGAGATGAAATTCCAACTGGATAGGAGAGTATAGGCGTAAAGCTTATTTCATCAGCAATCATTGTAAGCCCGCCTTGATTGGTTACAATTTTCTTGTCGATGACATTTATCCCGTTGATGTAGCGCTGGTCGGTGAAGTAGTCACGTAGCTGGTGAACTAACGGCAAGTTCAGCATCGACTGCTTTATCGACTTAAAGATGGTGTCCATAAGGAACTGCAGTACGGTGTCCTTTATTAAGGTCTCCAACGTGGGCGCCATGCCCTGGATGGCAGTTGCAAGGACAGATCCGCCTGTGTCGAGTCCGATGGCATCGATGTCGAGCCCAGACGAGTACACGACGTTCGATATCTCGGAGAGCCCAAAGTGGTAGGGACAGGTGGAGTCATCCCCGAGCCTCAGGGAGATGTCTGCCCCGAAGTCCTTGAGGGTGAAGGTGCAGTCGACGGTCCCGGTGATCCCGGTGATGGTTGCCTCGAGTCGCATCGAGAGCTGCATGAGTCCGTCCCGGGCCTCCATCTTGACAAAGTTGTTATCTTGCAAGTAGACCTTCATGGTTGAAACACGCACTGCGCGGGGCTTCACGTTGGAGAGGATAAACTTAAGGGTTCCGACGGTTATTTCTGGGATTTGGAAGGGAGACATCGCAGCAATGATATCAGGAATAATAGCATAACCTTTCTGACAAAACTTCTCCAATCCACGCTGGGTGAAGCGTACCCCCATTCCATGACTGGGTTCCTCAGTGAAGGGGGTTCTAGTATAACATGCCAAAGCCACGGAAACTAGCAGTAGCAATAGCATCTATACGGGTTGGTGTAACTATTTTTGGAATGGCTGAATAACAAAGACTTTTCATCTTGAAACAGTTACATCACTTCATTCACTAAAAGCTTAAATAGGCCTCCACGGGGCATCTTTTTTCAAACTAAGTTCGTTGAGCACATTGTAGAGCTCAGTATAGCCGCGTTTGAAGGCAATAGACATAGGAGTGTTTCCTTTATTATCCTTTAAGTGGCCCTCGTAGGGGAACAGTAGCTTGACTATATCTGTATGTCCGTTGATTGCAGCACTCATGATAGCACACCACCCGTTCTCCATCTGGATACCGGCCTCCTTGTGGACCAAGAGATTCACAACTTCAATGTACCCGCACCTGCTGGCGAGCATAAGAGCCGTCCAGCCCTTGTTGGTGTGTAGCCCTGATTCCTTCTCGCGGAGAATCTCAACTATAGAGATATTATTCATGAGCGCCGCAATTATTAAAGCTGTCCATCCATCAGAGTCTTGGAGTCCGCTCTCTAGGTCAGAAAGCTCTGAAACAATCCGGCTACAAGCTGACCTAGTAGCTATCATCATTGCTGTTCGCTGCATGCTTCCCCTTAACTTAGCTTCTCTGGGCGCCAATAGATGAACGATATCTACCTTATTCTGCTGTGCGGCTATCATAAGCGCGGAGGTCCCCTCGTTATCCTGTGCTCCAGCTTCTGCATCAATGAGCAGATTGACAATCTCCATGTGGTTAAAGTTAACCGCAGTCATCAGGGCAGTTCGTCCGACCTTGTTCTTGATGCCTTTTTCATAACTACTAAGGAGTGTTGCAAACGGAAGTGAGCCAGTGTATGCTGCAAGGATGAGCGCTGTGTTTCCCATGTTGTTTTGCAACCTACATTCGTGAGGGACGAGCTCAGTAGCCACCTCGTATCTGTTGTACTTCGCGCACAACATCAGAGCAGTCCACTTATCGCGCGTTTGGATGCAACGCTCCTTTTCTGCTAGCATTAATGCAGCATCGAGACCGCCGTATATGCACGCAATCATGAGCGCGGTGTGTCCAGATCGCATAGTTAGCCCTCCCTCTGAATCTAGTAACTTTCCTACAGCATCCACATTGTTATACTTGGCTGCAAACATTAGGGCCGTAGATCCATCGTTGGCTTGGCGCCCTGCCTCAGACAGATCTGAAATCCTCTTTGATGTCCCCATATCTGCCCCTTTCTTGCGTTTCGCTTTTCCAGTGGGCGTCTGGTCCTGCTGTTCTTGGGAAGACCATTCTCCTGCACACAACTTGCGCATCAGATCAGTAGATGTGTCTGAAATGGTTAGGTCCGGCTCCTTGTGATCTAGAATTTCGTCCTGGCAGTATGCAGGGTTCTCCGGATACTGGGCAAGTAGACGCCGGCCTTCCTCATAAGTGTAGGGGATATCTAGATACTGCCTCTCTTCGGAGAGTACATCGGTTGCATACATAGATGGGTCACGGTTGAGTGTGTCATAAAGAGCCTCGCCAGGGATCTTCGGCCCTGTCGTTGAGTGTACATGCGACTTCTTAGCCTCAAGCGATCGATCGTGAAGCGTCTTGACAAGTGTCTTACGTAGATCATCCATAAGATTGCTTTCCTGTTTCAGCATATGTAGGGGGCGGCGAACGAGCTTCGTGACCGATCGAGGTCTCGAGAGTCTATTCAGCTGCTGGTCCTTATCGGTGGCAGAAGAGTCCTCAACGACGTCCTTGTACGGTTGCTCTATAGTAACTAGCGTTTTGTCACTCTCGAAGCGATTAACGGGTCGAACATAGAATTGAGGAGGGGTGACCCCCTGGGTGGGGGACTTGGTGTACCCGGTGGACTTGACGTCACGTAGGCTGCGTGGAGTGTATGGAGACTTGTTAGCTTGCCGCTGCCGGATGCTTGCTTCAATTGTAGATTTCGTTAACTGGTCTTGCTGCCAATTTGTCAGGTTAGTGGCTGAAAATGAGGCAGAGAGGCTCTGGTTCTTTGTTCGAGACACTCTAGACTGTACATTTGAAGCTCGAATGCTGCTTGTGGCTGTGCTCTCTGCTAACGCCCTAGTCAGGGATGGAGAGGTAGGTGACCTGCTACGGCTACGAGATGTTGTTCGGTCACGGTAAACAGACGATTTCGTTGAGGAGCTAGTCACAGACTTCGTTGCAGGGATAGCACTTTTCTCTGGATCTATGGTAGATGATAACAATGTTGAGTGAGCGTAGCCATTAGATTCCAAACTGTTGCCGTCGTGGGGAGGCTCGTCGTCGCATGTTTCAGGACTAAGGTGTGTTGTTGTAGTATCAACCGAAGGGGATAAATCTGATTTTGTGCCCGTACGGTAGGAGCTAGCGTTGCGCAGGTCGTACGGCATCATGTTGTTCCCAATACCGCTGTCAACCTTGCTGGCGACATGCTTATAGGACTTCTTCCCTGGTAGGTCGTCTATATAAGTGCTCTTGACATGGGGGAAGGAGTCCTTTCCAACATCTGTGGTAATCCCAACAGGGCCCGTGGAGAGGGAAGAGGCCGTGGTGGATCCCATACTCCTTGTTCCATGGGCAGAATAGTTAGAGCTCGATCGTGACTTGGACTTTACGGGATTATATGGGCTCTCGTTTTGTATATCTGGAATCCGGTTGTCTTGGAGCGCGGCAATAAAGTCTGAATTAAAGGGCATTTTGGCTGCTTTTGCAGATTTTGGGTATCTATTGACCTGGGAGCGTCTAGAGGCCTCTCCCTGGGCGATTCTAGAGGGAGTGTCAACCTTAGATGCACGGCTGGTGCGCTCTACACTAGATGCCCGTATGCTGGCAGCGCGCATGCTCGCCACATGGTCCTGGAATAGCTGTGATTTAGTGTTATGCAGGTAATTGTCGTAGTTAGAATAGTTTCCCCCACCAATCCCGGATCGCGTGGTACCAAGGATGCTGTGGGGTGACGATGAACGAGCTGACAGGGCACGCGAACCCGATCTTGTCTGTGATAAGGATCGGGTAGGTGTCGTGAGCGCATTCGCAACATCCTCTTGTGCGGTAATGTTCGGCTTGGGCGTGGCGCTCTTTAAGTTATTGTACTTCTTGAGACAGTGACTACATATTTCATCGGGATCGTGCTCGCACTGAACAGTGTCTTGGAAGCCACGGGTGCTTAGAGAGAGATCGTTGGGGTTGTAGGTGCCTGTTACCGAGGGCATCGTGTATCCCATTGTAGCCAAACCAGGATTAGAGTGCGACAGCTCGCGCAAGCTCTTCATCCTCGAAGTCAGTGGATTGACAGTCGAGTCCAGTGTACCATTGTCCGTCAGAATTTGGTGGAGATAGCTAGAAACATCGTCATGTCTGTTCGCAGTGGCTACCTGAATCGCAGCCCGCATATCGTGGGGCAATTTCTGTGTGCGGTAATTTCCATTCGGCGGTAATATTTGCTTTACGATTTCTAATTGGCCGGCACTGGCAGCCACCGAAAGAACTCCACGCCCAGCTGTGTCGATGGAATCCCCCATGGCAGGGAACAGAACATTGAAGGCATTGACAGAGCCGACAGCTGCAGCAACCATAATCGCCGTTCCTCCGTCGCGCAGTCGAAGATCCTGCTCGAGTGGAAGCAAAATTCTGCAACATTCGTCGGAATCGTACATAGCCGCAGCCATAAGCGCCGTATATCCGTGTTTATTGCGCATGCCGTACTCTAGCTGCGCAAGGAGAGAGACTATCTCTGGCTCATTGCGGCCCGCGGCCAGAATCAAGGCCGTATTTCCCTCGTTGTTTGTCACGCGGTGAAAGTTGCTCATATTGTACATTATGCGCTCCATATCCTTGTCATCGATGGCTTTGAACCACTCCTCAACACTGCGCAGCTCCATCAAGCACTGGGAAGAGATGAAATTTTCTGCGCATAATTTATTTTGCCTCCCAAAAATTGTAAATTTAAGTATAATTGCAATATAATTTAAGCCACGAAGTCAAATTTCGGAAATTCCATAGAACCACTAGTCTGGGATTTTCCGGATTTCACGGATTAGCTGCTGATAACTGCTGGGGAGAACCCATCCTAAGCTACTGAGATGTTAATCAGATAAACAGTATATAATTTTGAACCAGTAGACCTTTACATTACAGGGCCTTCCTAAATTTAAATCTTCTAGGATGCAGGAAAGGCACTTCCGCGGCTACAAACTCTACGACGATCGCACCTCCTTTGCGTTGGAGTTTGGCGGGTTCCGCGGGTTTAATGCGCGAGCGCAGGGAACGCTTTACAAGCAAGCTCACGCTGCAGCCTTCGATCTCATGGATAGGATTGAGAAGCTTGAAAATGTTAATGTTACTAAGCACCCAACGGAGTCGGAAGACAGGCCCGTGGATCACTACAATCTTAGGATGGAATGCGAGGTAAAAGGCCGTTCTCTCGCGAAGTCGATTGCTCTCTGGAACACCGTGAAGGCTTTTGCTAAGAAGTGCATTGACGCCAAGGACTACGACCATGTCATCTACAACGGCATCGGCGGCTCTTACCTTGGCCCCTACCTCCTGCTTACGGCAAAGTACGGTGACGACTTCAACATGGCTCTCCGAGCAAGGGGGATGCCGACAGCGCACTTTGTCGCCAACACCGATCCTGCAAGCTTCGCACAGGTTATCGAACTTGTTACGGAGGGAGCCATTCTTTCGCAGGGCACGAGGGTGGTTGATGCCGCCAAGGCAGCCAAAAAGCTTGAGCGCACGCTTATGGTTGTAATCTCGAAGAGCGGTGGAACTGCGGAGACAGCCACCAACTGTGCAACATACCTAACCCTGCTGAAGGACTTGCGAGTCCCAAAGCCCGGCCATAGCTTCGTCGCAGTCACCACTGAGGGTTCGAAACTCGACAAGCAGGCAAACGAACAGCAGTTCCGCGAAACCTTCCACATGAACGAAGCCACTGGGGGAAGGACGTCTGTGTGCAGTGCGGTGGGGATGGTTCCCGCTGCATTCGCCGGCGTGGACTTCGAAAGCTTTCTGATTGGAATGTCGGAAATGGACAAGCTCACGCGTTCCCACCGGGAGAACCCCATGCATAATCCGGCAATTGCCTATGCAACGCTGTTGGATTGGATGCTGAAGGACAAGTCTACCCCATTCAATCTCATCCTCTTGGCCTATTCAGACCCTCTCAAGCACCTCAGTCACTACTGCCAACAGCTCTTCATGGAATCCCTCGGGAAGAACTACACTAGGGAGGCTCTGCCACTGAAGACAGGACTCACTATTCTCGGGGGCACGGGCACTGGTGAGCAACATGCCTTCATGCAGCAAATTCAGAAGGGGTGCTCGGATGCAGCTGTGCAAATGATCCGCTGCCGCAAGCGTGCCGCAGACTATCCTGATGAGGCTGCAGGGTCGATGGGGAGGCAGCTCTTGGCCTTCGTCAAGGGAACTGAAATGGCCCTCTACCAAAACGAGCGTGCATTTGTTTGTATTACGATAGATGGCTTCTGTGAGCGTTGCATTGGTCAACTGATCGCCTTCGAGGAGAGGGTTGTCACGATCCTCAGCGCGTTTTGGAACATCAATGCCTTCGACCAACCAGGTGTCCAGGACGGGAAGCTTGCGTGCCTTGTCTGTAACAAGCTCAGCAAGGATATAGAGTATTGCCTTGCGAAGAGTTGCAGTGAGCTGAAGACATGTAAGGGGACAGCTCCGGAACTCCTCAAATCTCTGGGGGTAACTACCAAAGCGGAAGTTGCAGGGCCATACGCCGACGAAGAGCACGAGGACATCACCGCTTGGATGGCAGATGCCGTCTTTGAAGACATAGTCACTAACTGTGACACTCCCGGGGCATATCCCTCTTTGGCAGGTAGGATTGCGTGCTCTAAGAAGTGGGAGGGTAGGGCGTTTACCTATTCCTTTGCGAAAAAGTGATTGATTTCGCAGTAAATTGATGTCTGTCTCTGAGTTTTGCACCGATTCCACCCTGGATCCGGATTTGAAAATCAAAAATGGTAAATCCTATTGATCGCGTGAAGCAGTCATCAGATGCCCCCCACACACCCCAGCAGGACATAGGGACAGTTCCAGTGAACTTCAGATCTCCGTCTGTGCCCCGAACGCCGTGCCCAACAGACGCCAAGGCGGCGGAGAAGTAGAGGTAGAAGCAGGAGCAGGGGCCCTTAGAGGCGATTTACTAACACCCGGTTGACGCTTACAGGATGGTTGGTCTTTTTATGTTGCTTGTATCTAGGTTTCTACACACTTCTGCAGCTGTACTCAGTGGCTTGACAAGATGTTGAACTGTTCTCTGTTCTTTGTTAGAACGGCCATAAGCTCAGGGCCCGCTGCCTTCCTTTCCTCCTCTGTGAACTCGAAGAGGAATGCTGGAAGCCGCTCACCATTGGGAAGCAGCGTGTCTGGATCGCGCAAGATGTCGTAGAAAGGATGCGCGAGGATTTCCATTGCCGTGGGGCGCTTCTTTGGATCGTAGACTAGAACCTTCGTTAGTAAATCAACCGCGTCTGTATGGGCCTTGCTTCTAAAGATCTTGGAGAAGGGATATCGCTTGACGTCCTTGAACTTCACGCTCTTCAATGTGGGGTTCATAGCTAAGAACTCTTCGGCTGTTGGGCTGCCAAGGACGCGTACTATTTCTACTAGCTGGTCTATGGAAGAGTCACCAGGGAAAAGGGGCTGGCCGAGGAGAATTTCTGCCATGATGCAGCCGAAGGACCAGATGTCGATCGCGCAGGTATAGTTCTGGTTGCCAATAACCAGCTCGGGAGCCCGATAGAAGCGACTGCATATGTACGCTACGTTGTTTTCTTGGGGCACCAGCTGCTTGGCGGAGCCGAAGTCGCACAGGACACACCTGTACGTCAAGGGATCAATGAGAACATTCGTTGGTTTGCAGTCTCTGTGTGCGATGTTGTGGTAGTGGAGGTATGCGAGAGAGCGTGCCAACTGATATGTAATGAGCCGAACTATGAGAAGGGGAACGTGTTGGCGGAGTCGCGAGTATTGACGGTAGATAGAATGAATAGTTTCGGGGTAATAGTCCATGAGAAGGTAAAGAATTAGATCATCGGGCGACGAAATGGACGGTATAAAGGTGCCTTTCACTAATCTGCAAATGCACGGATGAACAAGGGTCCTCATAATTTGGAATTCCCTGTTCTTATACCGCCTATCTTGTAAGACTAGCTTAAGGGCGAGAGGAGTGTTTCCCTTCAATGACTTTACTAAGTAAACAACCCCAAAGCTTCCCTTCCCTATGACCTTCTCGGGCACCACCTGAATCCCCTCCTCCCCCTTTTCTCCGGGAATGTCAAGGGCCTTCCCCAGCTGGAGCTCAAACTCTGGGGGGAACGCTGTCTCGTCATCGCTCATGTTTGCCGGTCCTCTCCAAAAATAAAATTAGCCATTTATAAAAGTTTGCAGACATCACGCTTTAGGCCGCTCAAGAATGGACTTGAGAGGACCTAGAAGGTTGTCAAAGCTTTCGCGGTCAAGGGCGGCAACCTTTGTTTCTCCCACGCTGCGGCAGGTCGCATTTCTGGGTGCATTGTTTAGTAGTGCAGCCTCACCGAAGTAACTATTAGAACTCAACTCTGCGACTTTATGGTCAGAAACGATAACGTCAACTCTGCCGTCCTCAATGAAGTAAAACGTGTTGCCCTCATCTCCTTGGGTGACAATGTCTTGACCATCTATATAGTACTCTGGGGTGCAGGCCTGTGCTAAGGCGAATAGCTCGTTCTCTCGTAGCTGCTTCAGGACCTCAACGTGTCTGAGAAATCCGATATAACGTTGTATCTCAGCTTCGCGCTGCATGCGGATGAAAATCCTGAAGTCTGTGCCGTGGATGGCCCAGAATGAGGATTCGACAGTCGTGATGACGGTCGCAGCCCTAGGTGCACCATAGAGCAGCGCAAGGTCTCCGACGCCCACCCCCGGCAGAACCTCATTGACTTGTGGGCCAAGCTTCTGGACGCACTCAGCGGGGTCTAGAGTGTTGTCTGGGACGGAGACCGTCTCCGGCGGAACATTCTCGGTCTTGTAAATGTTACAGTGCCCCGTTTTCATGATGTAGAAGTAGTCTCCAGGGTCTCCCTGCTTTATCAGCACCGTCCCCATGGGGCAATCTATGAGCTTCAGAACGCTTGCAAGAGCCTGCTTAACATCTCTGCTATAGGTTTCTGTCAGGGCGCTGCTATTCAAGGCCTTGAGAATAAGAGCAGTCTCCTCGGGGGTTTTCTCCAAAACCGGCAGGTCTATTTCGCGGTTTTCTGCTGGAGCTGCAATGGCTGCGCGGCGCCCACGCCTCTGACGGGCTGTTAGATTCGAAGGAGAACCACGGCCCTGTTCGCTTGGGGTGGCCAGATGCAGATTATAATCAGGGGCAATAGAAAAATTGTGATCAGCGGAAGAAACAGAAGGGCCGTCGGTGGTGTTTATTAACTGGAAGTTTTCTATACTAGCTGAATTAGCGCTCCCGGTGGGTTCCATAACAACAGGCTTGAAGGGTACGCTTGGAGTGATTTTTTTGATTGGGGTCTCATCGCTGGGAACTTCCATTGGGGGAGGAAGCGGCTGCTCAAATCGTGTGACCTTTGCTTTGGAGCCCATGTAGGAATCTGGATTCTGCAGCACGGCAGCGGCGAGAGGAGAGTACGATGCGAATTTGTGGATCAAATAGCTTAGAACGTCGTCGGGGCGGTCTTTGCAGACCTGCTTATAGAGGTCGAAAATCACATTGTCTATATTTTTCGTATCCAGGTACTTCCTGAGGACAGGATCGTCGGGACGCGGGAACTTGGGCGGCATCCACTTTTTGTGTTTTTATTCTAGTAAATTTTTCACAAATTTTTGTCAAATTACCTTTTACTTGGCTGCCACACATGCACAGGTGGCCCCAGCATCACGAATCGCATACTCCCCTCACGATCTCATCAAGGTCTATGCTTTCAAGATATTGATGGGATGCGCGAGTACTGTAGGGCTGATCAAGCCAAAACGATGCAATTGCCTTAGTGCATTTACGCGCCTCGGCAGACGACTCGGCAGATAGTGATCTAAGAAGGAGGAGGAGAAATCTTTGCGTGTGGTAGCTTGTACACTGCTCTGGAGAAAGGGATTTTAAGACCTCCATTAGCCTACCGTGAATCATCAGCGCTTCGGGAGCAGACTTCTGCACAGAAAGCACAATCATCTCTGCTGCAATCTTATTAAATTTTGACAAAATTACCTTAACAAATATAGAGTCCTCCAAATTAAGAAGCCAGGACAGGTCCATTGTCTGAAAGAAGAATGAGCGCATGAACTCTAAAATCTGTGCACACATTCTGCTCTGAACAGCTTCACTAACTTGTAGAAAAAGCGGAAACGCAAAGCTATCCGGCTGGAGGATGCTCTTAAGATTGACAATCAGAGCCTCGTTGGCAACGAACGGGAACCGGGAAGCTTCTTCAATGAACTCCCCAAGGAGGGTCTGACCCCGCTCGATCTCCAGAAGCCTTCGTATGCGCCGGTGTACCTTGTCTTGTTTCCCGCTCAACTGTTTGCTCATATATTTCAGGAACTCTCCATGGTCCTGGGCACGAATGCTGGCACACTGTTCCGCGTAGTATGAAGACATGAAGTTCTTGTTGAGTTGCTCTATGCACGGCTTCATGCCGCTGAAACGTTGCTTCTGAGACACATGATAGCTAGGATACTGCCTTGTTGAGCTCGGATTAGCTGCTGCTTCCATCCTTTTTTCAATTACCTGTGTCACAGAGTCCACCTCTCTTTGCCCCATCATGAATTCGATACTGAGGGGCTCACTGGAGTAGGTGTCCTTTGGGATGTGTGAAAGCGTCAGAATAAGCGTTTTATATTGTTGTCCCATACGGGTGCATGGCGCCTGGTTCGTGAAATGATTCACAGTGAGATTACAGGGCTCGTCCAGCAACCCAGGGGGGTGCATTTTTTATCGTTCATAGGTCGGATTAAGTTTATCGGACTCAATTGTGCAGTGTCTTTCGGCTATGCTATGCTCTGCCATTGTACTAATGCTGTGGGCCTGCTGCCGATGGTCAGGCTGTGCCTATCGCTCCAATTGACGCTGGTTCCTTCGTCTTTGAAATATTATAAATGCTTTTTCGCGACCTGGGCGTCTGTCCGGAGCTTCTGGACGCCTTGGAAAGAATCGGTTGGCTTGAACCCACAGCAATACAGAAGGAGATGCTCACCGTTGTCTCCCACAACAAGGCCTGCGACGTTGTCGGGGTGGCAGAAACGGGAAGCGGCAAGACGGGAGCGTTCGCCATCCCAGCCCTTCAAGACTTACTTGAGCGTGGAACCAACGTAAAGGGCGTTCACACGGTGGTCTTGTCTCCTACGCGGGAACTAGCTGTTCAAACGTTCTCTGTCTTTCGTGATCTTGGAAAGGACTTCGGTCTTCGAACCGGCCTTGTTATTGGGGGTGTTGACCTAATGCAGCAGAGAAAAACACTTGCACAGCAGCCACACGTTTTAATCTGCACTCCTGGGCGCTTAGTTGATCACCTGGCGACCACAGAGGGGTTTTCACTTAAAAGCTTGCGGTTCTTGATCATTGACGAGGCCGATAAAATGCTGGAGCAGGACATGGGAAGAGCTGTTTTGAATCTTGCGAAGGACTGCCCCCAGAGACGTCGGACGTTTCTCTTTTCTGCCACCTTTCCATCAGCCGTTCAGGCCCTGCAGAACGAGTGTACAGACCGATCGCGCTTGGTGCACATTCAGGTGGGAGTTCTCACGAAGGCTGCATCGGATGTGGATGGTAGTACAAATACCCAACTAGCCGTTGTCGATAACGAGCTCCTGTCACACAAGATGGTAGTCCTGCCTCACGCTGAAAAGCAGCTAGGGCTAGTAGTTCTTCTTAACAATCACGCTGCTTGCCAAATCATGGTTTTCGCCACCAAGATATCCACAGTCACAAAGCTGGCCTTAATGCTCACCACTCTGGGTTTCGAAGTCGGGGTTGTTCATGGCAGTATGGGACAGGACAAGCGTCTCGAGGAGCTTAACCGCTTTCGCCAGGGGGAGCACAAGATCCTGCTCGCCTCCGACGTGGCCGGGCGCGGAATAGACATACCGAACGTCGATTTGGTTATTAATTATGACCTGCCAGTGGCATCCAGAGATTATGTGCACAGAGCGGGCCGTACTGCGCGCGCGGGGCGGCGAGGAACCGCGCTCACGATCGTGACACAGTACGACGTTGTGAACTTCAAACGAATAGAGGCAATGCTTGGAATAAGAATGGAGCCTTACACCCCAGATTTCAGTGAAGCAGCGGGGCTGCGTTCGCAGGTGGAGGAGGCTATTAGACATGCAGAGAGAACCGCTCGCAGCATTGGATACACCAACCCCAACTCAGACGGGGGTGTGCCTCCCATGGCAGGCATAGCTGCTGGTCTCCGGCACCAGAGACGCACTGGAAAGAACCACAAGCACTAGTTTATTCCGCTTCACCATTTTCTTCACCATCTTCGGCCTCTTCGGCTTCTTCGGCTGCCTTACGTGCGGCCTCCTCGGCTGCCTCTCGTTCGAGTCTGCGTTGCTCGCGGCGCTCAAGCCTTAGGCGGATTTGTTCTTCTGCATTGCGACGTGCCTCTATGCGGGCAGCCTTCTTGCTGGCACGACTTGCCAGTATTCGGTCTTCTTCGTCCTTGAACTTTGCTTTGAGTTCTGCTTTTGATCTCTGCTCCTCCAGGTCCTCCTTTGAAATAAATCCGGGCTTGACATGCATAAATATGAAGTCCGGCAACCTATATAGGGCAGAGTTTGCACCAAGAGGAGGAGAATAGAACCATCCGTACACACGAGACTTCCAGTAAAGGAATGAATGGAGGCCGGTCCAGTACTTGTGAGATAGGGTAGTAAGGCGCCTGTACGGGTCCGATGTTATTGTCCAGTCCTCTGATCGCAGGGGCTTGTGAAAGTTGGTGACGCCTCCGTTCTCCTCTTTCGAACTCAAAATGGCAGAGGAAAATTGGAATTTTTGCAGTTCCGCAAAGGAGATCGGGCAATCATCCATATGCTCTTGCTGTAATGCGTTCAGCATATCATAATTGACTGTGCTGAAGTCTGGTCGCTGGTGGTCGTCTATAGGCGCAACCTCATAGCTGGAGAAGTCTTCTGCTTCGGCAGAGGAAAGCCCTGCAAAGCGCTGGGCCTGCTTGAGCGCATTCTGCGGGTAGGGAGAGATGGACTCCACGTAGTAGATTAAATTAGAGAGGCGATGGTTCTCAGTCAAGTTATTATATAACTGAACTGCGGGATCTCCTGTAAACGGATGGAGTGAGAATATCCCATAGCCTATTGCGTGGAGTATGAGCGACTCCTCAGTATTTAGCACGGGAAGCGGTGACCACGAGTGCCCGTCTTGCGTTACAAAGAATGCCCTCTCGGCCTGAAGAATAACGTACTCCTTTTGGTTGAGAGCCTTGATGACAGCCACAAGCTTAACAGAGGTTAGACGATAGTCCCTCATCAAAATAACGATAGAGTAGGATATGATGCGTTTGATGGGGGTAGAGATCGTGGTCTTCCCTATCTTCTCCACCAACGCGATGTGAGAGGCAATATCTATCTCCATCGTCCAGAGAAGAAGGGGTTGTGCAAAAAAGTAAATTTAGCTTTTGTCTAAAAATGACCGAGCCGACGGCGGAAAAGGTGGTATTTGCAAAGGAGGTAACGTGTCAGCTGCGCAAGCTTGAGGCGCCATCTGAGCAAGGCCTCAATGAAAACCTACTTTTCCGCGTCATCTCAACCCCATCTGCATGCGTCTTGAAGCTGAGCAGCGAGCAGGACATATACTTCAACTTTTCTGCCGTCATCGATAGAGCAAATTATGAGGAAATGAGGAGAGAGCAGAACCTCATGGTCACGTATGCAGATTTCCCCTCTCATCTAGCTAAGCTCCTCACAACGGTGCAACGGGAGCAAAAACAATACATAGCCATCTTTTTTGTTGGAGCCGACGGCCTGACGGGCAAGGTAGACATAATAGAGAACTTCAAGGGCTTCAAGTACATTGATATCATCTCCCTGCCAGTGGAGAGTGCCACACAGGCGGAAATCCAAGAAGACATTGCCAAGCGATACGCACTACTTCGTGAGCAAAACATCCGATTACAGGCGCAGGTGAACGAGCTTCGCAGCGTGATCAAGAACCGCATTCCCAACTTTGCTCCAGGTTCATCTACCAATAGTCTATAAGGGTTTACTAGTTTGCTAGTTTGCCTGGCCCGTTCTCCAGTGCACTGCCTTCTAACAATCATATGCCTGGCCGCTTATGTAAGTGTAAATTTCATATGCCTATAATGATAAAAAGTTTTTGTCCTTAAATGCCTCCGAAACGAATGACCCTGTCCATCGATACCCACTCCACAGAAGTAGCGTCACAGGCAGACCAAGATTTGGTTGTGGGGCTTCTGGGGGCCGACGTAAGTCAATATGCTCAAGAGCTCATTCTTTCTCGTTTCTCTACCCAAATGACCAACTACACCAATATGTTCTTTAGTTCAGCAACTTTTAGCGCAGACATATCAAACCCAGAGACTCTAGTCATCGAAGACACATCCTCCATACCCCCTCCCTCTCCTTCTCAGCGGAATTCAGCCACCGTTTTAAGCTTCAGCTTGTCGGACAGTGCTTCTTCTGGACCTTCTTCCATGACTATGATGTCTCCGCGCGCACGGAAGGCAGGTGGGCAGCACTTCCCTGAGGTGCAGGTTCCCTTGACTCCCTCTCTCCGTGCAACCCCGAAGTCCTTCGATGGCGCAAGGTTGGATGGCACACCATCTTCTCCGCACACTGGCAGTCTTGCGAATTCTGGAACTGCCTCTTCAGACCCCAGACAGGGCAAAGCAACGTCTATGCAAGGAGTCGCCGACGATGCAGATTCACCCGAGAGGCGTGCGCTCATTGACAGGATTAAGAAGAATTCTCGAAAATCAGAGTGTGACGTCCATGAGCAACAGGTTTTAGAGTCTATTATTTCACTATACCCCAATGGAATTAACCTTCACACGACGGGCAGGTACCCTAACGTTGCTGCCGGAATGGAGCTTGCTCATAAGTTTAACCGGGCTCAGCCAGAAGCCAGTGATGAGGTCCGCATAATCTCTGACGTCCTTTTCGAAAGCGTGCTTGGCATACCTGGATTTCTCGTCTGGAGCGCCGTACCGATCATGATCTCGCATTACAGCAATATTAACAAGGATCCTCACACAGATGGAGCTGCTCCAACAGCTGACAATAACTATTTGTATAAAAAGTCTGCAATCCCTGTGCCACAGCAGATGTCCCGTGAAATGATAGAGTATGGCCCTTGTATTAATGAGATGTACTCGCCAGAAACGGGGACCTTGGATAAGTACACTATTAAGCCCGATACCCTCCGGACATGGTTTGCCACAGAAATGGCTGGGAAACAAACACATGAACGCCTTTTTAACATTTTGAGGCTCCCAAATCGTAACTACATAACGCTGGAGGACTTAGAGCGCGTCGCTTGGATCTTGCTGCGGCTCCACCCCGGCCTTTCGTTCCTGGCTGAGACACCCCAGTTCCAAGTGAAGTATGCGGAGACGGTGGCGGCCAGGATTCTTTTCGAGCTCGACTCTGCTGGACGGGGCGTGCTATTTCCCCACGATCTCTGTAAGCTACATATAGGTAACTTGGGCACTACTACGGTGCGCTCGGGCTATGGTGTGCTTCTGGAGGCTCTTTGGCTATCGCAGTTTGAGGCAGACATCAATCGGATTCAGAGATTTTTTTCTTACGAGCACTTCTACGTGATTTATTGCAAGTTTTGGGAGCTGGATGAAAATCATGACCAGAAAATTTCATTGGAAGAATTCTGCAAATATGGAGGCAACGTTATTAATAAGAGGGCTGCCCAGCGGGCCTTCAATCTCTTGATAGATAGAAGAAGATCGTGTAGAAGGTTCTTGACAGCCTCTGCTATTTTGGACGACAAGATAACTATGAACATTCCGCAATCTGCCATTATTGAGCAGGAGGAGAAGAAGAGCAAGAAAGGCCTGGGTAAGGGAAAGAAGGGAGGAGCGCCTGCAACGTCTGAGAACTTCCTCACATACTATGACTTTGTGTGCTTTATACTAGCAGAGGAAAATAGAGACCTGGATTCCTCGCTAAACTTTTGGTTTGAAGTGTGTGATCTAGATGCAGACGGGATAATATCTTTCAATGACTTTGACTACTTCTACCGCGATCAGCTGGAGGCAGTGGAGCTGGCAGGCACGGACGCCCCGGATAGTAAAGATATCTTCTGCCAGCTCGTAGATCAAATAAAGTCCACTTCTACCGCAATCTATCTCGTTGATGCCGACCACGATCTCGAAGATGTGGGGTATGTGGATGGAAAATCATATGAAAATAAGTCTCCTTCGAATGGAGTAACGCTCCAGGAGTTACGACGGTGTAAGGTAAGGGGGAACATCTTTGATGCGATGATAAACTTCCGTAAGCTAACGGCCTTTGAAGCGCGTGATCCGTACCTCATTTCCTGGAACACTGCTGCCCTGGAGAAGACTCCCTGGGACAGATTCTGCAAGATCCAGTATGACATATTTGTCAATAGCAGCGGGAGCTACGAGTTTACTGGCGATTCGTGACACCGAGCGGTGTCTCCAGAATAGATTGTTTCTTAAAACGCGTCCACAGGATCTGTAGTAAAGAAGAATCGAGTAGGATATCCTAGTATTGGATTGTAAACAGATAATTGGCTGTTTGCGTTGGATATTTTATAGCTGAGTCAGAAGATCGAAGCTTCCAGTGCCTTGAGAGGGGTATTGGCCCACCGTAACAGCACCGGCGGGAGCCCGCAGTGAGTCAAACCCAGAGGTCAGTGCTCCTGCGGCAAGAGAGGTGCATGCCGACTCAAAGCTGGCCTTCAGGAGTTCTTCTGTTTGGTGCCGCATTTCAAGACGGTTCAGCCCTCGGACGCATCCCGACAGGGTCATACTATCTGCTATCAACGAAAGGTGGCGTTCGTCGACCTCAATGTGATATGTGCTGAACACTCGATGGATTTCCTCAATGATAGCATTTCTTGCTGCTTCAATCCCGTAAATTTCGAAGATCTGGCTGATATTGTTAGTATAAATATTATCGAAGTTGATGAAAGGATTGCTAAGGTAAAACAGAGCCCGCAGATTCCCACCTTCAATGTCCATGACGTAGCGATCTGCAGGAAGCTCGTATCTGATGAAGCACCTGGTAATGCCACGTACCTCCTTCAGCACGAGTGAGCGGATCGCTTTTTCGATGGTGGCCAACGCAATCACATGGCTCGGGTCGCTGTTGACGAACTGAATAGTGACAGAGAGAGGCAGTTGATCTGGTGAGACGCCCAACGCAGTGTCCTCTAGTGTGAAGCTGATGCGTTTAAGAGTAATGCAAGTAGTGTTGACGGCCTTTTGTGCCACTTCAATAAGCTTGTCAATATCGGGAAAGACCCATTCTTTTAGAAAGTCCTTGGCCTTTGCGCTGAGGTTAATATTAGAATCGATAAGGCTTAACGCTTCATGTCCTCTATGTTGGTCTATATCGTTGAGTGAGGGGTCTGTTTCTGCGTGAAGCGCAGATTCTTCAGTATCGTGTTGTTCTTGCGCATGTTGGGTGGAATCAGTAGTATCAGAGGCATCTGTGTCCAGGTTAGGCTCGGAGTCGGTTGGGTTACTTACACTGCTATTCTCCTTAGAAGTATCTTCCTGGGCGTCACTATCCTCTTTACCAGTAGAGTTCCGCGGGCCTGCTACCTTCTCAACATACTCGGGAAACGACGTGTCCGACGGGAGCTTATTTTGAAGGCTCTGGATCGTCGCCTTGTGCGCAAGCACTTCCTTTGTAAGCACACGAGCTAAATGCTTTGGAATGGCAACGGCGAAGAGCTTCTTCAAGACAACCACGTTGAAATTAAATTCATGCAACAATTCAGAAAGAGTCAGCAGCTTCATGGTAAGCTCGTAGCGTACCGACCCGTCAGAGATAGGGCATTCTCTGAGGACAAAGCTCCGAAGCACGTCGCGAAGATAGATCTTTCGTAATTGCTGCTGAAGGCTTTTGCACGCCCTCATAGTTTCGTTAGGGCCTAGGCTGACGGTCTTGTGATGGAGGGAGTCTCCTTTGAGAACAGAAACTCGATGCTTATCCTTGAACGACATCGTTATGATGGGGGACGACGTGTTCCGTGTCATGATGATCTCCCTCAGCCTTGGAACACCCATCGTTGCATTGACTCCTCCATGACCAGCAAGGTGGAAAGTGTTCAAGGTTAGCTGAGTGGATGGCTCGCCCGTGCTTTGGGCTGCGATAACACCCACAGCACTCCCAGGAGCAACAAGGCTGCGAATAAACTTGGTGTATGCTAAGAGCTTGAAATAGGCGGAGTCAAAGCTGAGGCCGCCCATCGCCTGTGTCTGCTTTTCGCTTTGCTTCTGAGAGATGTACTCATTAAGAGCCTTGGAGAAGCTTGGGGAAGTAGAGCCTAGATAGAGGTACGGGGATAGAATCATGTGAATAGGGATTTCCTGGAACGCAGTGTACATTTCTGCCAAGTCCTGAATTGTCATGTGGTCGAAAAGAGTGTCCTTATTGTGCTTGGAGGTCTCCGGAAGATATATTGCCTTTAAGTATTTCACCAGCTTGTCACGCTCCTTGTTTGTGGGTTGAAGAATGTGCGTTTCAGTAACGAGGTTTGCCTCATCAAGCCCCTTCTTATAGAGTGTAACGTACTTCTCAACAAGCTCGCAGGCCTTGCTGTTCAAAGTTGATATGAGATTATGCGACCGTGCAAGGTTACTGTTGTGCACCTCGTGCCGTTCTCGTAAAGCAGAGGCCAGCCTATTGGAATTGTGAATGAGGTTCTCAAAGGAAGTGCGCAGTGACGCACCTGTGTAACGTTCATACAGTCCGCGAAGGGCCTGCCATTTATCGGTCGGCTGCTTTCCATGCTTCATGTCATGACGCACTTGCTTGGCAAGGGAAGTAACCGCCTCGCTATCAGAAAGATATCTACCATCGTAAAACATATCTGGGATGAAGCGGTCTATGTAAAGCTTCTGATTTTGGTACATGAATTCAAATTCTTGTAAGTATGAGGTCTTGGTGGTATCGACACCATCACCTCCATAGAGCAGTTGAACCAGCATGTTATCACTGCGACGTACCGTACCATCGTACGCAACAACCAATCCCTCCAAGTTCTTGACGAGCACACGCTGGAAATATCCAGAGCTGGCTGTTTTAATGGCTGTGTCAATGAGGCCTTCACGGCCTGCCTGGCAGTGGAAGAAAAATGATGATGGACGAATACCCGTCAGGAATCGATCAATTACATACCCTCCCTGAACAAGCTCACAGTGCTCATATGGGATGTGCGACGGAAGAGTCTTTCCTGTTTGTGTTGACGGCACGCGACGTCCTTCAAGGTTCTGCTGACCAAGACAGGTCGTCATCATCTGGAGGTTAACGGTAGAGCCCTTTGCTCCGCTGAGAACCATATATGCCAAGCAGTTGATGGACTTCTGTGACGCCATGTTTCTGCTGCACAGGTAGGCTCTAGATGGCGTTACTATTCTAGGTGTTCCATATGGGTTGTTGCCAGAGATGGATGAGCGCATCTTTAGGGTAAGATTGGATGGACTGCAGATCTTCATGAGGTTTGTGGTAATCAGATTGGCTTCATTGCTGATGTGGTTATCTAAACGCGCCTCTATAGTGGTGTCTAGTGATAGTGAGTCTCGTAAAATGCTATAGATACGAAGACGATCCTTCTCTGATAGCGCCTTCAAGCCAACAGATCCTTTTTCTGCAAACTTCATGAGAAAGCTAGCATCACTAGCTTCAAGGTTACCTAATAACCCTGTCAAAGTGAGGTATTCGCAAAGAAATTCAGCCGTGCGAATAGCCCCACTGGCAAGGACATCGTCACACAGCTTATAGCGGGCTTTCTCAGCCGTGTCACGCAATACCATGTCCTCAACTGAACAGGTGAACCCGTGCCGCTGAAGAACATAGGTAGCCAATCGTCCGAAGTTGCTTAAGAACCATCCACACCTGTTATGTCCATAAAGCTCGAAGACTGCATGTGCTAAGCCGTGCGGTACGGTGGCAATATGCTGCTTGTCTACTATTCCTGTTAGAAGGGTGTTGTTTATGATGACAAGTCTTGCCTCTGTCTCCCGAAAAGGACCCCATATATCTGTAGGTATTTTGATGCTTCCAGTGTAATTTATTGGTTCTCGTTGACAAGAGACCTTGTGCAGCATTGAGCTGATGACCGCCTTTCCGGTCCAACGTGCAACAGGATAGACAATAGCTGGCTGAGGAACGAACATGAAATCCTCATTCTCTTTGGTGAAAAGATGCTGGTCTGGAATGACCGTCACTTTGCAAGTTGAAAATGCGTTGACTTCTTCTGACCTGGCTGATGGTTTAATAGCAGGTGTAAGGTGGGTATGAAACCCGTCATATGCGCCCATGTCTGTGAGTTGTGGCACAGAAGTTGCGTCAGAAAGGGGATAGTCCTCGAAGAACGAAGCTGGATGTCTAGACACAGGCTGAGCACTTGATACTAAGCTACCGACATCGATAGGTCTCTCTGATTGCAGCTTGGATGCTCCATATTTTCTGCCTAATGCAATGTTAACGTCGGACTTTGCACGCATGACTGTCTTGTTCTTTGCCACACCCATATACTTCATGTCACTCAAAGAGCCAAATACATTTTCTGTGGTCGTTTGTTTCGAGATCAGGTCTAGCCCCAAGAGTTGCTCCTTTGAGCGACTTTGCAAAGATGACTGCTCGAAGCTTGAAAGCTTATTACTTCCAGTGGCTACCATGATATACTCACAGAGTGACCCAAAATCGAGGAACGTCCCCATGGAGCAGAGAAAAATACCCCCGATCACGTGATCTTGAATGAGACCCCGGATAGGCTCTCCAGATGTAACAGAGATAAAATGAGCGTCGGCGTGGACCAAGTTGGCATACTCTGAGGCCGCCTCATGGGTCTGCGGCTTGAGGACGCAGCACTCGTCCCCATCAAAGTCCGCGTTTAGACCCTTGCAAGAAGCAAAATGAAACCGAAGAGTTTGCGCATTGCTGGGTAAGACGCGAACGCGTAAAGCAATCATTGAGTGCTTGTGTAGTGTGGGCTGCCTGTTCAGGATAACAAAGTCATTCGGCAGTGTATGTCGTAACAGAATCTTCGGGGGCTTAAGAGTGTCTGCAAAGGATGTTTTCATTCCACGCAGATCGTAAGACCGCATATTCTGCAGCGCCGGATTGGTGTCAAGGGCGGCCTGGACTTCTTCTGATTCTTCGACAGTAGGAGCGACTGGCTCCCTGCTGAAGTCGACGAGTAGGGTGTGTGCAAGAGCCTTTCGCTGCTCATAAGAAAGCTGTGTAAGAAGCACGCGAGACCCACTTTCATCAATAAGCAAGGATGCACCGGGGTATGTTGGGCCATTGATAATCAGTCGAGCCATGAGCTCCACATTGTACTCGTTGATTGGCTCTGGGAAGGTGAGCTTCTTGGCAAAGTACTCAGGCAGGCCTATCTCATCTGTGTCCAAATTAGCATCAGGAGCAATAACGGAACGGCCAGCGTAGTTCCCACGCTTTCCCATAATGTTCATCCGAAAAAGACCCTCTTTTTTCTCAAGCAACTGCTTGATTCCGCTGGAGAAGATAGTTTTTGAAAGCACTGTTCCGTCTAGATACCGCGAAACATGCAGCTGAAGAATAAGCATAGCTTCAACAAGCGCTTCTGGGACAGGCTTCTGAGAAGTTGATAGCTCTACCATCCCGTTGGCAAGAAGCTCTGGATCCTTGACAAAGTTATATCTATCTGTGCGGAACATTCCTATGCCTCCTAACTCGTCTATTCCATCGGTTACCGAGGATGGCACGTGGCTTGCACGCACGTTGATATCGTCTAGGGCATGCTTTGAAACAAACTCAGCAAGCTCAGGACTGCTCCTGAGCTGCTCTATGGTATTGCAAATTGTTAGAATCGCAAGCAGGTGAGTGTTCATTGGATGATCTATGAACGCTTGATTAAGCATTAGTGAGGGGCGCTGGCGATTGGGCGGAACTAGGAGAGTCTTTATAAACAATGTGCTAGGAAGGAACTTCTTTCGATATTGAGGGAAGGACAGCTCACAACCAGCATCACCTATAATATTCTTTATTGCTACAGAGCGCATGAAGGCATAGTCTGGATCGTAGTTTGGTGTCGTCGCACCGGCCCTGTCCGCTGAAGCTTCTGAGCTGTGATAGATAGGTTCACCAAATAAAAGGTCAAAGAGATGTTGATTCTTAGCCACAGCGGCATTGAGTTCTCTAAGCACCATGATGGGCGTACAGTAAAGCATATCAGACAAAACAACCTGCTTATCTGGCTTCGAGATTTCCTTATCTTCAGTGGAGTCCTGGCCTTGCGCAACCGGCTTAGTCTCTGCTGGTACCTGCTTTTTCTGCTTTCTTGATGAGGACCGAAGTTGCCTAGTCTTTGGAGGAATGAGGTAAATGTTGAATGCACTACGCTTCACTGCTTGCGTAAAGGGGGATGCACAGTGAGGGCAGGCAGCTGGTGGCTTGAGCTGTAGTAGGAAAGTCTGAAGCTGATTTCTGAGCATTATGATTGAGGACGTATACTGGACTGGACGGCTGTGTGAGAGATAGTCATACGCCTTCTGTCGAAGCTTTGCCAGAGTTAATGCAAGGGAAGTGTGCGATGTACCTCTGAGGATGGAAAAGATCTGGTGCATATCACACACTAGCCCTGCATCCAACAAAAGTAGGCCTGTTTCAATGGTTAGCGCCTGCAACTCCGTTATAAGAAATCTGTGGCAAGAATGACACACAAGCTTATATAGTTGTAAGGTATAACGAAAGAAGAAGTGATTGTAGCAATAAACCGGGAGTTCAACATATCCTGCGTGTCCTGGACAGTGTTTCCACCGAAGACCGCATGTCTCACAAACATCGTAGAAAAGCCGGGGGCCCATTGCTGGATCGTAGTAACCTCCCCGGATAGGAAGGCCGACATTATCAAGTCCTTGCTCCGTGACAACGCGGCAAGTAGCTAGTTTCCGTATGTCATCTTCGCTGTACGCAGAGAGCGTGAGACCTGACAGAGAGGCCGATACAGGGTGTAGTTGCATTTATTTAAAGTGCCCCACCCACCACGTGGAAGGACGACAGGAAGCAAAAAGGCTTCGATTTACACTTCAGTATGTGGAACGCTAGCTCATTATGTTTCGCAAGGTCCGCGAAGCTAGCCGTAACTGCGTCGTCGCCTTGAGGGCCGTCGAGGGCCGTGAGCGGTGCCGCGAAGCGTTTAGAGCATGCTGATCCACAGGACCATCGTGATAACCAGTTAAATTTGGACTTCTTGCACTCATCTGATACAGCTGAGCAGACATAGGGCGTGAGGCTTTGGTAGGAGGATCAAAATTGCCACTATCTCCGCCACGTGGGAGCGACTGCCGTTCTGGTGTAAAGATGTGGAAATCTGCTCTCTGCGCCTGAATCTGTTCAACAAGACGCGACTTGTCCTCTCGAAGGCCAGCAATCACCTCTTCGCAGCGGCTCAATTCCAGGCGGTGCCTTTGTTCAAGCTCCCTAAGCCGTTCATCGTTTCGCAGATTGTGGGAGTCGACAGATGAAAGGATGTTGCTATATTCCTTCTCCTTGAGTCTAAGCTTTGTTAGCTCTGCATTTAGAATATCAGTCTGAATAGCGAGAGTATCGTTCTGCCGCTGGACTTCTCCCATCCTTTTCAGCCGCTCGTCCTGCTTGTTTCTGATTTCCAGAAGTTTATCATATTGCTCTGATATGCGTTTGTTGTGCTCATTTGCAGCTAAGAGCTTTGTCTTGTACTCAGACAATAGATCTTCGAGTTCCCGGGGTGATTGGCCAGTACTAGATGCCTGACGTGCTAACTCTGCGCGCGCATGCTCAAGAAGACGCTGTGTCTCCTGATACATGTTTGCGTACTTCTCTGCCCCGGCTAGAAGGACCTCTAGTTCAGTGATGCGGGACTCGGCCTGATAGCATCTCTCTTCCCAAGCAGAATGGTCAGAGGACGTAAATCTGTACTTTTCTAGGGCTTGCTCAAGCCTAGATACCTGCTGTCTGAGGCCAATGACCTCATCTGAATGGGGCTGTGCTGCTCCTACTCCTTGCGACGCTAATGCGCTAAGCTGTTGTTTAAATTCAATGACATCGCGCCGCAGGCTTTCATTATCAAGTCGATAAGCCTGCAGTTCCGATTGGAGCGCCAGATTGGTAGCCGTGACCCTAGATAGGTCACTTTCTGCCGTGTCCTTTTGTGTTTTCAACTCGGAAATCTGTAGCTCCAGTTCTGTCAGACGAGGGCCATCGTCTGCAGACTTTGTTGACGCCTGGGCCGTAAAGGTCATAAGGTTAGAGTTCACCGTTTCCAGGCGATCTATCTCATCTTTTGCTGCTTGCAACTCCTGTTTCAAAAGAGAAATTTCTGTTTTGGCCCCGGAAAGCTCCTGTTGCAGGCGCTTAGCATCCATTTTTTTCTTGCTTCTGCAATCTGAAATTTGCAGCGCAACTAGACCACAAGGGCCATGGGTACTAAGGCATACACATGGGTGCTGTGAGGCTCTGCAGTGACTGAGCCAACCAAGCAAGTCCTTGTAGGCGAGCTGGAGACTTTGTGTAAATTTAGGTGACCAGCAAACAGTGAGAACAAGCTCTTACTGGGACTAAGAGAGAACCTGAGAGGCCGCCAACTATCATGCAAGGGAGAGCAGCGAGGAGATACAGATAGATAGGATCTTAATAATTCTAATTGGCACCTTACCCAGTTAAATGGAACCCGATAGGATCCCCACTCATCCTCCTATTCTTGGACCCTCCGCACAGAATCACATGTCTGCTTCAATGATGTCTCACATAGACCCAGTACGCCCCACCAACAGGAACTTAAGAGAGCTGCAAGAGGGCTTTACGGGCGACCTTTCTGCGCTGCAGCGGGCGATGCATTCATTTTTATCTTCAGATGAACTTATTGCCTCCATAAAGGATCGTATCGAGCGCGGGAAAAGCTGCGTTGATATCGATTTACTTACCCTTCACAATAGCCCTGACGACTCTCATCGGATGCTCTACACCACCTTACTAACAACTCCGGACGTGTTTCAAGTCTTCGACCTAGTTCTCCACCAGGTCGCGCTCTCCATTGTCGTGCAAATGCGTGACGAGCATTTGAAGAGGCTCTGGGATGAAAACCCCAATATTTCCAGAGACGTCTTCCTCAGTAGCACTCAGTACAAGAATGCAATCAGTTACTACTCGAGAGTCGCTAACAACTTGCACCTTCGCTGTTACCCTGTCAACTTCCCCGAAGACGATAGCCAGTCCCTCCGAACCCTAGGACCCATGCATGCAGACAGTCTGATCTCCGTCAGTGGGATGGTTAGCAACATCTCCTCGAGGGTTCCGGAGATGGTAGAGGCGTGCTTCCAGTGCACTGTTTGCAAGGACGTGAAGAAGGCCAGTGTCAAGCGTGGGAAGATAATATCGCCAATACAATGCACTAACTGCGACAGTCTCCAGAGCATTGAAATCGTTCACAATATGTGCACCTTTATTGATAAACGGGTCATCAAGATACAGGAGGCCCCAGATCAGTTGACATCGGGCACACCGCCAATCTCCTGCAGCTTTGTCGCCTACGATCTTGATTTAAGTGGAATTAGGCCTGGAGACCGCGTTGTTGTCGTTGGGATTTACCGCCTCCGACAGACACGCCCGAAGCAGTCTCAGGCAGTGTGTAACGCGGCGCTTAGACCTGTCATAGAGTTGCTATCCATATTTATCTCTGACTCAGCTGCAACAGATAGCTATCTAAGTGCCAAGAAAGATAGTGACGTAACTGATTACGAAAGACTAAAATCTCTCGATCCAAATACGTCCTACGCTGAGTACTATAATCACGTGACACGTTTATTCCCAGATATGATCCCAGAAACAGATTCTGGAAGCGACAAGCGCTTCTTGAAGCTTATCAATTCAATTGCTCCCAGCATTTTTGGGCCAGCTTACTCTGATATCAAAACTGGGCTTCTTCTCCAATGTTTTGGAGGCGTACAGAAGGATTCATATAGAGGCCAAATACATGTTCTGTTGGTTGGAGACCCCGGCCTGGCCAAGTCAAAGCTGTTGCAATATGTAGCCAAGATTTCACCGCGTTCGGTCTATACTAGCGGTAAAGGTTCTTCGCAAGCTGGACTGACAGCAACTGTGTCCCGGCACCCTGAAACGCACGAGTTCTACTTGGATCCAGGCGCCCTTTTACTCTCCGATGGCGGAATATGCTGTCTTGATGAATTTGACAAGTCTTCTGAAGATGTACGCTCCTCGCTGCATGAGGTAATGGAGCATGGTCAACTTTCCATTGCGAAGGCAGGGATACTGGCTACCCTTTCAGCCAAAACATCTATTCTAGCTGCAGCCAATCCCATCGACTCTTGCTACAATCCAAAGCGTACAGTCGTACAAAACCTAAATCTTCCCCCATCACTGTTGAGCAGGTTTGACCTCATTTATCTCCTTCTCGACAATCGACACGACACAGAGGCCGATCGCGCGCTTGCTAGTTGGCTTGTAAGCATGTACATAAGCTCAGGGCAAGCAGAGCATTCCGGACACCTATCCAGCAAGAACACCGCTGCCGCTACGCCTGATGCATGGGACCCGCAGGTCCTTCGTCAATACATCTACTTTGCGCAAAAGCTATCTCCGGTGCTTTCTAAGTCGGCGCAAGATGCGCTTCTACTGTCGTACAACCAGTTGAGAAGCGGGTCGTACTCTGCGTCAGGACGCATCACCGCCACGCCCCGGCAGCTTATGAGCCTTATACGTCTTGCAGAAGCACGTGCACGCATTCGCTTCTCTAATTTCGTAACAGCAAACGATATTTTAGAGGTTTCACGTCTCATGACAAGGGCCATGCATCTCGCGATGACCGATCAAAGTGGGTTTATCAACATGGATATCTTTGCTGAGACAGGGGGCACTAGCGAGGCGGCTAGCTTGGATATGCTTTGTAGGGCCATTATAAGGTATAAGAGCCAGCGGATAGCCGAGCTACAATCAGTGGAGAATGAAGAACAATTGACTGTGACTGTTCTGGAGCTTCTAGCCAATATGAACAGAGGACTTTCGACAGACCAGATCTCGACGGGGGAGTCGGTATCTTCAGAGTTGCTCAACACGGCATTGGACACACTTGTAAGCCAGGGGCTGATCGTCAGGAACGGTGACGACGTTATCTTCATCTGACGCGTTCACTCATTATAATGTCTGCAGAATACACCGCCCCACTCTACTCTGGATTGCTCTACTCCGGGTGAGTATTCATACTAGGTGCCCGAGCAATCCCACTAAGTGCAGCAGATCCTACATATCCTCGGCTACCAATTATCGTGGAGCTTCGCAACATAGGATGAACAGAGCCCACAGCAGAGCTGGAGAGAATCCCACTTCTCTGGGTGATCTGTCTGGATGGCCCCGCTGAAGAGACCACGGATCCCGCACTCAGCGCTGGTTGCTGTAAGGCCAGATCATTCATAGTTATTCCCGACTTGTCAATCATTGCTGAGCCCCCTGTGGTTTCTGGGGGATTCCCGGTGTTGGTTTGGTCAATGAGTCTCTGAGCATTTGCGGAAATCTGACTAGCACCGAGGAGATTCAAGCGGGTGCGGCGACCATCTTCGTCCCTAACGTGTATAGAGGTACGCAGAACAATGATCTCTTCATTAAGCTTAAGCTTTTCCTCTTTGAGGGTAGATATTAGATTGTCTTTACGGGCTATTTCTTGCTTGTACCTGGCCTCGATCTCTTTGAACCGTTCGTCATGCTTATTAGTGCCATTATCCAAGTGTGAGAGAATCCTACTGTACTCCCTTTCTTTGTTTCGGAGCTTTTCCACCTCCTTTTGCATAGGCTCAAACCGCTCGCGCATATAGTCAAAGCGCTTGCGCAGCTCATAGACTTCATTGAGCTTGACGTCTTGTTTCTTCTTCAGCTCCATTAGTCCCTCAAACTGCTCCATCACATCCTTCAGTTGGGAGGCTTTTGCAGCCAGGGATGCCTTTAGGGTTTCTATCTCTGCCTCGGCCGAATCTAGAGTGCGTTTCTCCCCAGACTGGTATCGGGCAAGCTCCTCCTGAGCGAGTTCAAGTAGCTGGGCCGTTCTGCTGCCTTTTGTCTCGGAGTCCCGAAGCGCTTCCTCTAACATAGTTGACCGCTCAGCAATTTCTGTAATAGCCTGAAGTCGCTCCGTTGTCAGCTGATATTCATTATCAAGGTTCTTGTACGCATCGAGATTTTCAGTGAGAGATTGCTCAAGGCTCGCGACCTTCTCTCTAAGCGCGGCACACTCTGCCTGGATTGCCTCATAGTTAGAGAGCTTGGCTTCGGCAGCGGCAAGAGTCTTCCTGGTGTCCTCGATCTCGGACGCCATACTAACATAAGCTGCCTCCTGTCTCTCATAGTCGGCAAGAAGTACCTCAAGTTCCGTCACCCGCGATTCGGAGACACACAGCTTATTCTCCAGGTCACCTACTTTCCTGGTTAGAGAGTCAACGAGCTCAGAGGAGGCTTTTGACTTCTCCTCGTTAGAGGTATTGGTAAGAATTTCCTTTAACTTGCTTATGTTAGGACAATAGGAACTTATCTCAAATAAATCCTTTTTCAAACTATCGACAAGAGCAAGCAGGCGGTTAAAATTAGATTCGCAAAACGAAGGAGCTGCAAGGTCTGAGCGCAAGCGATTTTCGGGCAAGAAAAAGTCAACAGCCTCGTTCTCTAGCTGGGGTGCCTTCACTGCCGGCGCTGTTGGCAAAGGATTGTCTGGAGAGCACGGTTGAAAGACGGCCGTGTGAGGCTCTGCTTCCACAGAAGTGATTCCCGGCGCGGAGAGTCCCGGAGTCCCACCAAGTTCGCTGACAAGCGCAGAAAGAGTAATGATGTCCTGAGAAAGTATCTCATTATCCGCGGTAAGCAGGGCCAGCTGCTGTCTTAGCTGCAATTTCTCGTCAACCAGATTGGTGTTCTCTGCTTCCAGATTGATGATTTTGTCCTTCGCTTCTGCCAAATCCGTCTCAAGGGAGTGATAGCGAACGTCAGAGCGGCTTTGCTGGGAAAGCTGTGCCGAGTGATCCATGAGGTTCCGATTGACCTTCTCCAGTCTATAAATTTCGTCGCGTAGGGTCACGTTCTCCCGTTCCAAGACCGCGGCCCGATGAAGCGCGTCTCTGGCCTCTATTAAAGGATTAGAAGACATACGGTGCACGATTTTTTTGCTTTTCGTTTTTTGACTTCCACAATAAAAATATAAAACGGACAATCATGAAGGAGCTCACGGACTATGCCAAAGCCTACACCGAAATTGATGACAAGATGCTAATTGGGGAAGGCACATTTGGGAATGTTTATCTGGTCCGGACACTTGCGGGGGACCAGCAAAGGGCCTTAAAGGTGATTGACATGCAGCGAGCTCCTGAGCGGTACAAGCCTTCAAGCTACTCTGATCTGGAGAACCTTACTTCTATGGTGCACCAGAACCTTGTGCGCTACCATGATGTCTTCTATGATTCGCAAGAAAACAAGGCCTACCTTGTGATGGACTATCACGAGCGATGCTGCCTTGCCGACATTATAGTCTTTTACCACAGTCATAAGAAGTATATCCCCGAGTCAGTTGTGTGGCGCGTCTTGGCGCATATGATGGCAGCACTTTGTTATTATCACACGCCCTTCAAATCTGGGGCTTCGCACATGGGCCGCATGGTTCACCGGGACATCAAGCCAGCGAACATATTCCTCGCTGCAGACGGGTACTGCAAACTCGTGGACTCTGCTTCGTTTCGTCTTCTCGACAAGACAACCATCAACTCCACCATCTTTGGGACGCTGGGCTACTGTTCGCCAGAGGTCCTCAAGATGGAACAGTATAGCGACAAAAGTGACATCTGGGCCCTTGGAGCAACCATCTACGCAATGTGCATGCAGCGGCCGCTGTGCAAGGAAACCGACCCGGAGAAGCAGCGTGAAGCCATCTCGTCTATAGAGTCCATCGACATCACATCAGCGGGATATAGTACTCAGCTTAACACAATACTGAATTTCATGCTGGCGTCCAATCCTGCCAAGCGTTTTTCCGCCAGTGATCTCTACAGCTTTCCTGCACTCCGCGACTATTATGCTCCTGCTTCTGAAGGTTGGGGGCTAGACTTCAGCTAGGTGCTGTCCATGCACTACTTGTGTTGGCCCTTCCCTGAGTGAACTCTTTAAGATTTGTTTTGTTTGCACTGAGGCATGCTGATCGAGACGTTCGCGCTTCTGGGATCGGAGGACACCCAGGGTGGATTGACCTTTGTCACATCTAGCCAGTATGCGCTGTTAAAAGAGCTCCTCGAGCGGATCTGGGAGGCTGTTGAACAGCTTCATGACTCCTCTCTCCTATTCTATAAGGGAGGCCGCCGAGGCATCCCAGTGGTGCTTCAGCGCATGTGTTTTACAGAAGATGCTCTAATATTCCGGCTTTTGGGGTCTCTGCTCAAGCGACTGGACGACATATATGCAGGAAGATATGATATGGGAATATCCATCCTCTCTGTCAGTCAAGGCAATCGCGCGATCTGTCTTTTCACCGGAGCTGAGACAACCCTGCTTGATTGTGAAGCTTATCATGTTGTCTCCTTGCCGGCAATAAAGTCCTTGATTGGGTACGCACACCATACCTACTCTGCAGAGGCCACTACTTCGACCATTATTATCCGCCTCATCGTAGTTTTACCCACTGCAGCGATCCGCATATATTTGGTTGAGCCTCCCGGACAATTCGAAAGCGCACACTACTTCGACTCCATTGCTGCACTATCAGAATTAGGAGACTTAGGCACAGACTCACGTCAGGTAGACGAAGCGATCACCCACTGGTGCAACATGCAGGATTACTTTGCACAGATTGTCACTAGCACCATCCCAACATTTTGCTACATCGAAAATGCATTGAGCCAGGGCATGAAGGTGGACGTTTCGACAGTAGAAGACCTCGACCCCGAGGTCCAGCTTCTTACAGAAAGCAATTGTAACGATGGCACGATTGTGCAACTTTCGTGGGTTTCTGGAGTTCAGCACCGACCAGTAAGGTTTCCCCAACACACTCCAAGGCTGCATTCTCCAAAGGCTATCCTCCAGGCGAATGTCTGGAGACAGATAGGTGGGAAACTCCCCGACGAGGCCCTCTTGGACTTGCACCTTTACAACGCATATGTTGAATTGGATCTCGACATCGGTAGTAAGTGCGTAAGTCGATCCGAAAGTCCTGTTCACCTTCCTCTTTGCCAAGCTTCCTCCGCAGATGCAGATATTTCGTCCGCTCCTCCCGTTGCACTCCACGTCCTCAAGTCTCTCCACTCACCTGGACAATCGAACAACAATGATCAGCTATCTCTCTCTGCCATCTTAGAACCAAACAATGCCTGCACACCATCCGCTACATCCTTATCAGGATTGTCAGGAGTCCTTTGTGAAAGCTCTACTTCTCACTTGAGTCAGGGGAATTCAGCTCGTGTTTGTCCAGGAGGCAATTTGTCTTCTGAGTATATCGAGGCAACTAGAAGCTTTATCATAGCTGGAGAAGAGTTAAAGAAGATACGTCAAGAGACAGAACACCTTAGTGAGCGCTTGTTTATGATAGGACGTAGCAATATGCAACAGAAGTTAGCCATCATCAGTAATGCAGTCTCTTTCTGGGAGCAGTTCCTTTCCTTTACATCACCAATGAATACAACTGGCCGGGGCCTTTGTGACCCTGCAGGTCTATCCTGCACTTTCTATAATCGTCCTAAATCTAATGAGACAGTAACTCACGCTGTGCACAAAAAGCTACGTGACTTTACCGGTCTTCCTTGTCGCGCAAGGAGTGTTCTCTGCAGAAGAGTAGAAGAGACTAAAGAAGAGCTTTCCGACCTCTTTCCTCCGATCGTCATGCCTTTTATTCAAGCAATCAAACACGAGCTTGACATTTATCAGCAGCTTATTAGGGTGTACCATGCTTTTGATAAAAGGAATTGTAGTGAGCTGCTCTACAATGATGTTGATCCAAAGCACCCCGATAGAATTGTAGTGCGTTTCCTGACCGAAGAAATAGAAGGCCACAAGAGGCACTCTGCTCTGGCAGTAAAGAAAATCTCATCCCTCTCTAGTATCCTCCCTTTCGATAAGACATCGGAGACTCCGTCTTCCAACAACAAAAAATCACCACTCGTCACGTGCGAGCACTCGTCAATGGTTACTTCAGCCACTGAAATTCAACCTGCTCTGGCAGAGCTCCGTGACTATGTCTCAACCTCCATGAAGAAAGTTTTTCGCAACGCAGAGTGTGTTCAGAAAAGTTTCATGTCGCAAACCGAGGTCAAAGTATGCCTTTATACAAATAGAAAGATAAAGCATGCGTTAGACCAACTCAAAAAGGACTTTGAAGGCGGCTATTCCAGAACGCAGAGTGCGAGGACTCCAAAAAGGAGTTCTTCTTCCTCTCGCTCTCCGCTGGAGTCTACTTGGAGGATTCACTCGTCCATCAAAGCAGCCCTTACCAAACTGATAGATAGGCTTGCTGATGTGGACGCCCTTACCCCGGACATCACGTCTATAGCAGCTTCCCTTGCGACATGTAAGGACGCCAGTGCTGCGCTAAAGCAAAGCATAAGGCGACTCATGACAAGATCATAATCTAAGGTTTACGAGAGCACGGGTTCTACATCTTGCGAAGGATTGCCACCACGTCTGCGTGACCCCCTTCACTGGCATAGTTTAATGCCGACTTCCCGTGATTATCTCGGAATCCATTCTCCATGGGCCCAAGAATCCTACAAATGGAGGCATAGCCTGCGTGTGCTGCAGACATTAACGCGGTCCACCCTGTATTTGTCTGCCTACCAGCTTCGCGCTCCAAGAGCTGCTCTACCACTGTTAGGTGTCCATTCTGTGCTGCAGACATGAGAGCCGTCCAACCGTCGTCCATTGTCAATCCTGCCTCGCGAGGGATGAGGGCTTGGACGCACCCTAAGTGCCCACTATACGCAGATCCCATTAAAGCTGTGTAGCCCTCATTATTCTTCATGCCACCCTCAGCCTGGAGAAGGCTCTTGACGATGGCCACATGGCCTCCAGAGGCTGCCACCATCAAGGCCGTTGCTCCAGATTTGTCACGGAGGGTACCCTCAGTCTTTACCAAAAGTGGAATTATATCAGCATGGCCCTCTTCAGCAGCCAGCATAAGAGCAGTCCCTCCATCATTTTCTTGAACTCCCATCTCACTCTTGGCAAGAAGCTTAACAACAGAAAGGTGTCCATTTTGCGCGGCATACATCATGGCTGTCCACCCTCGTTGATCGCAAAGCTTCCCCTCCAACTTGAGCAGCTGCTGGACTACCTTAGCGTGACCGTTCTGAGCAGCAAACATCATAGCAGTTCTTCCATTTGAGTCCCGCATTCCACTCTCTCTCGTTGCAAGAGGTTTAATGCTTGCAAGGGAGTTGTGCTGTGCAGCAAACATTAGCGCTGTTATCAAGGTGTTTGTCATTTTCATACCGCCCTCCCGTCCTACCAGTGCAGAAACTATCTGCGAGTGGTTCTTCTTTGCTGCTATCATAAGGGCAGTTAATCCATCCTTCGTCTCTTTGCCTGCGTGAAGCGGGATCAACTGCTGGACAAGCTTAAGCTGATTCGAGTCTGCAGCGGTCATCAAAGGAGACCAGTCACTTCTATTTTCCTTCTTTGAAGCCCCAGTTAACGCGATGGTAGAGGTCCCCTTGACGATACTGGAGATGTCTGCAGACTTGTCAGCTGTCCCTGTGGCTTCATGAGATGGCAGCGCTGAAGGCGAGGATGCCGTCATAAGATCCGTTACATCTATTTCGTTGTACAAATAAGCAGGGTTAACAGTCGTCGCCTGATGGGATGGCGCATGCACTGGCTGAGGCAGCCTTATCGTATTATCTTCCACCATAGACAGCGGCTTGTTGCTGTTTCGAGCACGAAGTGATGTTGCGCTGTGGGAAGGAGCCTGACGATTTTGTATCTCTAACGGCTGGATAGTCTCAGATGAAAGGAGTCCATCATACTTTGTACTAGATTGAAACTGCTTAGTCAGCTGTGTGTTCTTTATGGACGCGCCCCCACTAAAGGTATTAGTCAAACCGGTACTTGCAGGACTGAAGGCCTTTGATGACTGGAGAGGCGAACTACCCCCATCACGAAGAGTGGAATTTAGAAGGCTAGTGCCGCTGCTATATCCGAAGTCTGCCGCAGTTGGTGATTGATTCATTGTGCTCGCAACACTAGAGCGGAGCTGTAGCGCTTTGCTGAATTTGCTAAGATATTGAACCACGCCGTCGTGGCGCCTGGATGACGCGTGGACAATTGCTTGATCGATATCTGGTGCAAGTTCCTTGTACGTATTCTGGACTAATAGCTTAACGGAGTCAATGTATCCATTTGCAGCAGCGTAAGTTAATGCAGAACGTCCCTTTAAATCAGTCTGCCCCCAGAGCTCTTGGCGGAGAAGATGAATCGCATCTAAAGCATTGTGCTGTGCAGCAAGAATGAGGGCATTTCTTCCATCTGGAAGGCGCAAATCCTTCTCATAATATAGAAGCGACTCTACTCCAGGCATAAAGTTTCGCTCGGCAGCCAGCATGAGAGCGGAGTAGCCTATGTTGTTGACTGCACCGCATTCTAACGGACCAAGAAGAAGGGTCATTTCTGCATCCATATTCCTCACTGCATACATTAGAGCCGTTTCCCCGTTACTGTCCGTAGTTGTTTGGTACACAGGAAGGTTGAATACTACGCCGTCATAGTCGCGTCTCTTTACGGCATCGAACCACTCCTGCGCGGAGCCAAAGGGTAACTGCGCCATTTCTAGGTAATTATTTTTTGGCTTGTCATTACGCGGATTTGGCGCCTCAAAGTTGCGGCAATGCATCTTTGCCTTACTTAGTACATCTGCCCGCTTGTGAAGAGCAGGATGTATTGCTTGTTTATATCTATCTCTTCCTTTATCAAATCCTCTGTAAATTTATATATGTACTTCACATGTACATATAGAGAGTACTAGGTGAAAAGAATGCACTAAGTTGGTGATTTGTTGCCTAAGTTGCCCACAGCCATGGTGCAGAAGCTGTTGTCAGAACACTGATTCCCTGTCTCGACAGGACCATATCTGGATATTAGGAATGAGCACTGTAAAGTGTGAGGCTGCATCTCCTTATTCGGAATCTGTACTCTTCAAAGACACATCACGGAATTCCTAAAAACCATTCCATTTGATGAAAAGCCCCCGAATATTGGAGGCATACGACATCCTGGGTATCATTGGACATGGGCCATATGCTACTGTCTTCAAGTGCAGACACAAGGCGACAGAAGAGACGCACATTATCAAGGAATATTTGCTTGATGCAATTCCTCGGCAGTGCATCTCTCTCCTCAGGAGGGAAGCAGATCTACAAGCTCAGGTGCAAATAGACTCCATTCTGCAACCGTGCTATACATTTGTTGACCATGACTCTCTCGTGTTGTATATCGTACTCCCCTTTCTGGGGGCTAAAACGTTGCAAGCAGCAATTGAATCAGCAAAAACAGATCAGACATACTTTACAGAAGACGTGGTGTGGAGTACTGCATACTCCCTACTAACGATCTTGAAGGACTTAGCCTCTTATCCACTTCGTGAAGACGACGCCCCCAGTCTGAAGCCTCTTCATTGCAACCTGAAGCCAACAAATATCCTTTTCCTTGACGAAAACCTTTCGATGGTCCAACTGTGTGACTGTTCATTTAGCCCCGACTTGCGATTGACACTCAGTTCAACCAAAATTGGGCTGAAAGCGCACAAGAGAGATGCGGACCACCTTTATACAACAGCCTATATGGCACCAGAGATTCTAAAAGATAAGAAAGCCCACGAAACATCAGATATTTGGTCTTTGGGCTGCATTCTCTACGAAATGTGCACTATGAAGGCACTCGTTTCCGACACACTTGACGCCGCCAGCTCAGAGAGTATGCTGAGTGCTATTCTCCCCATCCGCAAGTTGTACGGTTACTCGGATGTGTTGAATGATTTCCTCAATCAGATGCTCACTCAGAACCCATCTTTGCGGCCTGACTACGATACTCTTCTTAATCACAGCAGAATGCGGGCCCTCAGGGATAGAAGCTCTGTCGCTCATCTGCGCGATAGAGACAGTGGACGGGCCTCTATTTACTCAGCTACCTCCACCATGTCCCCTCGGTCGACCCTTTCAACTAACCTGAGTCGGATACTTCCACTGAAGTCTCGCATATCGACACGGACCGTGGAGCTGGCCTGCACAGATGTTGACGGCTCATCTGTGCCAGTATCTGCAGCAGACTCGTTTGTTGTTGCAACTCAGCTGGAGGGCAACTCTACCACGCCACTAATAGAAGCAGTTATAGCAAATGATAAGGAGCTTCTTATCGCTAACTTCTCATACGCAGGACACGTGGATGAGCATGGGAAGACCGCCCTGATGTATGCTGCAGAGTTGGGCAGAAATGAGTTCATCTTATATCTACTCCCCTTTGAGAACGGACGTGAAATAAATGGCGCCACAGCTCTTCAATTGGCCATTGCAGCCGGAAACGATGATGGGGCAGATATGATAGCGTATTACGAATGTCCTGAATACAACAAAATACAAGATATATACAATGACTGGATGGATGGGAAGCATGGGGCGTTTCAGAAATCCACAATCAACGCAACGTTTGTGGGAGGACGGGCGGTTCCAGGATCTAAAACGCCGACAATCTCGGTAATAGTGAGCCCCCTCTCTGTCAGTCGGGCATCCTCTACACTCGACGATAGCATAGATGCATCTTTATCCTCTTCGGTTTCTGTACAAGAAGACCTTAGGTCGCCTCTCGACATTCTCAGTTCGTCCATCGATATGTCTCTACCTCTGACAATTTCCCGGTTCACGCCGTCGCAGGAACTATCTACCTTCAGAGCCTGCGCATCAGGGCTTCGTGGCTCTCGAGGATTAAGTTCCAGTGAACTAAATCTCATATTTCGGACGAACTCAACAGGTCTCATGCAAGCGTGTGCAGCCAATGACATTGCACGGGCTTGGTGCCTACGTTTTCAAGCCGGGGCACGGACAGCAGAGGGGAAGACGGCACTGATGTTCTGTGCTGAGTCTAACTGTATTCTAATGGCGCGTGTGCTACTAGAGACAGAAGCCGGTCTTATTCTCAGGGACGGCACGAGTGCATATGAAGTAGCAGTTGCACACGGCCACACAGTCATAGCAGAAATTCTTTCTAGATATGAGGCAATCGCAAACAGTGTAAAGCCATCGCCTAACCCAGTAATCAAAGCAAGCATGCTAGGTGACATCTCCATAGTTAATTACTTCATTCATCAATACAGGCAAGCCATTAAAGTAGGAGACGTGCTGCAAAGAAAGCTATCACTAGAACTTCTGAGTGGAAGTGCACAGGATGGAAAGACAGCCTTGATGTATGCGGCAGAATTAGGTAATGCAGAGGTAGTGCAACTGCTTCGAATGGTTTTGGCACGGTGTCAAATGACGTCCGACAACCACCTGAAAGGTAGGACTGCGCTCATGTTCGCATGCAGGAAGAACCACTTAAATTGTGTGTTTCCCCTCCTTCAGCTAGAAGCACGGATGCAGGATGCACGAGGGTGGACTGCACTTATGATGGCTTCTTACCTGGGGTACACACAGATTATTAAGGCGCTTCTGGTGTGGGAAAACGGGATTGTACTAGGATCATCGACAGAATCGTCGGGCGCTACTGCTCTGATGCTTGCTGCAGAGGCTGGAAATGTCGCGGCAGTCTCTCTTTTGGTGAATTACGAGTCTCGAAGGCAAAAGGAAAATGGCTTCACTGCGCTAATGATGGCCGCCCAAGAGGGTCACAGCGAATGCGTTAAGATCCTGATGAAGAAAGAGGCAAGATTAAATCGAACAGATGGATGGACGGCCTTGATGAGCGCTGTGCAGAGAAATCGGGTTGAGTGTGTAAAGCTTCTTATGGCCCACGAAGCCGGGATGTCAAAAACAAGTGGGTACACAGCGCTGATGTGTGCGGCACAGTGTGGCTGGGAGCAGTGTGTTCGGATGCTTCTTCCTCTGGAATGGCACATAATGCACTCCAACGGCCTAACAGCAGATGCATTTGCGAAGACAGATACGCTTCGCCGCGAGATGAGGCTTTACATTGAGCTTCAGGAGAAGCGTAAGTAAACAACCGGTGTTGAGCTATGCCAAAAATGTGATGGAGGACTATGTCTTCACGACAACAGCAGTTCTCGGTCCGAAACGGGCCATTTTGCGTCGAGACAAGGACGGCGCGATATTTGTCAGTCAGGAGATCAGTCTCGGCAGTGTGGCGCCTGCACAGAAGCAAGCCATTCTTAGCCTTTTTCGGCTTCTTCCAATGATACCCTCCTTCTCGTTTTGGCGTGTTCTATATGTAAGTTATGATGACAGTGCAGACACACTCCTGACGCTCTCCCGGGGAACACCCTTGACATCATTGGCCAGTCTCTATTTTGAAGCGGTAGCGGCCTACACAATATATAGCGAAAGAGAGCTAAGTGTCATATGTGCTCAGTTGATCGATTGCTTCGTAGAGCTGTGCCGACCGGATCTGGTAAAGATTGCGACCACAGCCAAGATGCGTCCCCACCTTGATCCGTCATGCTTCTGGTTTGATGACCACGGTCTTCTAAAGTGTGATTTGGTGCATATGCTCTCATCTAGGAGGCTCGCATCCTACTCAACTGAAAGCTCCTGGGCCAGCGACTTTGTGGCAGCACTAGGGAAGACTCTTTACTTATTCGTCACAGTTGAAGTGCCAGCCGTGCAGGCGCCACCAAAACAGTATTTTTCTGAGTACATGAAAACTGTACAATGCTTCACTATCCCGTTTGTCTCTAAGTATAGTAGAAGATTTTCAAAGCAGTTCATCGATTTCGTCAATAGGCTCAATCACCCCTCCAATTTATCAAAGCTGACGGCCTCCTCTCTTCAGAAAAGCTCAGTATATCTCTTTGGCAAAAGTATTCTCAACGATATCATTGGTGTTAAGACCGATTGCTCCGGAAATTCCTTGCTGCACAAGGCCGCTCTGGAGTGCAGTGGCCTTGAAGCTAAAGCGCTTAGCTCGTCACTAGCCTACCTTTGCCGATTACGCAATACTTCTGGAGAGACAGCCTTACAATTGGCGATAAAACATGGAAATTTGGAGCTCGCCAAACTTCTGATTGATGAGGAAGCAGGTAGCTATTCTGACACAAAAGAATCTGCAGTGGAGCTGGCCCTTCTTCGGGGTTCATGCGAAGTAGCCAGGCTATTAATTCCATTTGAAGGGAAGATACTTACTGAGCGGGGGTATACGCAGCTGATGTTAGCGGCTTCGTTTGGTGAGAGACGACTCGTTGAGAAGTACATCCAACGACAAGCAAAGAGGCAGGCAAAGAATGGGGTCACTGCGATGCATTTGGCCGTTATATCTGCAATCTCGCTTCATAAGTCTATCAAGCTTCTGCTGCAAGAAAGAGATCGCTTGGCAACTGACAGCGGCCACCTTATAGTAGAGGCAGAAGTGCCGCTGACCCACAGCTCTGTGACACCACGAAACACACGATCTCCACGGTCTATTAGTATCCTAACCAAGTCTTGCGGTAGGGGTGACCTGTTTGCACAGACAGCTGAAAAGGAATCAGCCTACTCTAGGCCACGTGTCACTTCGTCTAGACGCCCAATAACATCGGTACGATATCCAAGACAGACGCCGGCTCTATCTGCTAGTACACGTGTAGGAACACCAAAAAGCAGCTTCAGCTCACGAGGAGGCCAGCAAATATCTCCTAGCATTACCGTACCATCGATGCTATCCTCCTCTCCAAAAAAGAGGAGCGGAAGGTGCGCGACTTCGCGGTCTGGAAGCTCTAAAACATCTCCCATGGCGCGACCGCGCACAACCCAAGTCACAGCCCAAAAGCTTCCTGCTGAAGTTACTAAGCACCGGGCTCAGAGCACGTACGGAACCCAGCTTGACGGGAGCATAAAGGTACCAGTGATTCAGCTTGATAACCTGAGTGGAAAGCATGTGTCATTTCCAGATGCTCTCAGGATAAAAGACGATGCCAGCGTTGTAGAGTGTAGAATTAGAAAGCTCAGATCTCTGTTTCAAGCCTTCGTCGAGATTATCCTGCTCCTTATACCACTGGAAAAACAGATCTCTCAAAGGAATGGCCTCACGGCGCTCATGATAGCTGCGAAGGCTGATATTGTAGAACTAGTTAGGCTGCTTGTCAATGATGAGAAGTTGATGGTAGATGCACGCGGAGAGACTGCCTTGATGATAGCAGTTAGGAACAATGCAGCAGCAGCTGTCAAAGGGCTGCTTAGCCACGAGGCAACCCGTGCATCTGCCAATCGTGAACGCTATACCGCATTGCACCTAGCAGTGCAAATGAATAACAGCATTCTTGTTGAGCAGCTAGCAACTCTAGAGAATAATATTCCACAGGCATGCTACACGTTAAAAGACTTTCCTAGCAACAGGAATGCGCACACCTTGATCAACGTGACCGCCCTCATGATGGCGTCTATCGGTAATGCTCCAGAATGCGCTCTGATTCTCTCCAGATACGAGGCCGGGCGCCACGAGCAGCTCTTCGGCTATACTGCGTTGATGCTTGCCGCATACTTCAATCACTCAGCCATTGTCGAGCTTCTTTTACATTCTGAATCGAGGGAGACTATGCACAACGGCTGGACAGCGCTCATGGTTGCCAGCAGCAGAGGAAACCTTCGCTGCTGTGCTAAGCTGGCAACTTGCGAATCCAAGCTGACCGCTCAGGGGCTGACTGCGCTCATGCTAGCGTGCAAGCACAATTTCCTCAATATTGTGACGCTTCTCTATCCGCTCGAATCAAGCATCTATCACAAACGAGTAAGAAACGGGGTTGTGGAGCGTTGGTCCTGTTTAACATATGCGGCTGCAAAGGGGAGTACGGAGGTGGTAATGTTTCTCTTGGAACATCACCCCTCTCGAGAAGACATACGATTGGCTGCGAGCTGCTCACATAATCCAAAGATATCAATCCTACTGTCAGCATACCACTAGTGAAAGTGGGGCATGCTGTTCATATTGCGACATCGGGTCTTCTTCATAGACAGCGCTTCGTAGAGCTTCGTTGAACCTTTGACTGTGTCTAGAAGAGAAGGCAAGCTATTGACCATAAACTTAAGGCTACAACCTGCGGGAAAAGACCTATTCCAATTGTCTCTCCATTAGTGCATCTCAACTCTTAATACATACTGTTTATCAATGCGCGGGATTTCTACAAAAAAGAGCAATAAAAATGGCTCAATCACAACACGACTGCAACGGACTCATACTAAATAGTCAGATCAGGCCTAATCACCAAATGATCAGAATAGAAGCTAGATACTTTGCCTGTCGACAAGCAGAGACGATGAATGTAAGTTATTTTTGCCAGATGGACTTCTGCAACGAAGAGATGGAGATACTGGACAGGGGATTCCATAGTATGACGGCTCCTTCTGTCGCAAATCGAAGAGGAGTCTCAAGGGACTCTTTAAACGTCAAAAGGTATTAATCCAGAGTCTTATCTATAAGATAGTCGGGTGAAAAAGCATAAGGTGAAGCTAATTAGATGACGCCATAAGAGTCTGATAACCCAGAGGGACACATCTTTTGCTCTACCGTTAGCTAATGACAATACCCCCGCAGATCAGAGCTGCTGGGAGCGGGAAAACCACTGATGATTTAAGACCCAGGGACAGGTCTGGGGCTGTGGGCAAGATAGGCGGCTGAACAACAACGGTCGCGTGCATCAGCTAGATGCTGGCACCGCCCAGAGATCCCGGCGACACATTGGATCTAATGTAGAGGACTGATAGGAAAGCCTCTGCTGTGGCCTGCTTATTCCTTTCATAACAAACAGTCACTGATAATAGCGTACCTCTAGCTACATACTTACTCTCATCTGAGCTCCTCCACTTTCCTCTCTGCACCAAATACTGTAGATGACAGCACGTGACTCTATTATTCTCCTGAACACTGATCTAGGCACCCTTTGTCGATGAAAGCCACACTCCTGGTATCGACAACAAATATCATACCATCTTCATCATTTCATGGCGTAATTCTCAAGAAACTTGCTTTCTAAATGGCTATTGCCCGAGCGCTGGCCCAATGTTCGATAAGCTTATTTTTGTAAGCTTGGCCCTGCAAATGGCCTTGGCGTCGCAAACAGCAAGTAAAGCAAAGACAAACCCAACGCCGTGCGCCGCCGCAAACCCCGGCGCGACAAACTGCGCCGCCGACAGCTGCAACGTGGAAATCGGGGGCCAGACCTTCTGCTCCAAGTGCACAGGGGACAAGGTCCCGGTGAACGGGGAGTGCAAGGCGAAGACGGACGCGGGCATGTGCACGGCCGGTACAAGCGATAAGGCAGGGACGTGCACTGCATGCACGGGCGCGCACAGCCTCTACAAGGGCGGATGCTACGACGAGTGCCCGTACGGCCCCACCGCGAACGAGCGTGTTTGCGCGGACGCGCCCGCTGGCTGCGATCTTCCTAACTGCAAGTCATGTCCCGACGGCACGTGTACAGAGTGTAACGACGGATTTGTTCTAGGTGATGATAAAAAGTGCGTGCCTTCTAGCGTCAACAAGAGCGGCCTTTCCACGGGCGCCATAGCTGGCATCGCTGTGGCCGCTGTCATCGTCGTCGGGGGCCTCGTCGGCTTCCTCTGCTGGTGGTTCCTCTGCCGGGGCAAAGCGTAGATTTAGATGTGACTTAGGTAGTAAACGCATACTGGTGCCGTATATAGACTTGTAGGCGGTGCTCTAAGACATGCTCGAGCAGTGCGTGCCCGCGGAACCCCCTCAGTGACGATCGGATGCCGCAATTCATCCATCAAGCACGCCTTGCAGGACAGGACGACGTAGACCCAGTCGGATGAGTGAGGCTTGCTTGGATCGCCACGAGCACTAGTTCTGGTGTCGGTTCCACCCACGAGAGCAGGGAGCTCCTGGTTGCCGAAGAGAGGCCTCAGAGAGTTCATTGCCCCTAAGCAGTCAACTTGTTACTACAGAGGGGCACGGCACAGGAAATAACCGGTGAAGTGAATTATCTTGGATGATCTGTAAACAATACCGTGAATCGCAAGTTTACCAGTACACGCGTTTCCTTTGTGACCATGGAATAAAAATGTCGTCTGTGGATGATTCAGGTCAACTCCTTCAGAAGCACGACTGCGCCCCGCCCCTCGCGCCAGAGAAGGACACGAGCGAAGAGGGCGCAGGTAAGAGCAGCCCCGCCGAGTCTCCACAGACAGATGATGAAGGCAGTGTGGACGAGGACGGCGTCACCACACTTATGGAGGCAGCTAAGAGGAACGACGTGGATGCGGTGAAGCGCTACATCCCTTATCAGGCAAGGATGATGGCGAGGTTTGTCAAGGCAGGGAGAGTAGAGATATACGATGGGACGGCCCTGATGGTCGCCGCAGCGCTTGGAAACGTTGAGACGGTGAAGCTGCTGATGAGGTGCGAGGGCGGCATGAGGGACAGTGAGGAGTGGACAGCCCTCATGTGGGCGGCACTTGTTGGCCGTACCGAGGTCGTGAGACTACTCCTGAAGATTGAGGGCGGCATGCAGAAGGGCAGAGGTTATACTGCCCTCGTGCTTGCAGCAAGGCATGATCATCTGGACTGTGTCAAGTTGTTACTGGAGAAGGAGAGGGACATAAGTGGCGTAGATGCCATCCATATGGCCAATAGATGGAATAACTCCGAGGTAGCATCTTTTCTCGAGAGTGAGGGTATTGTAGATCCATACTTGCAGATGCAGCCCAGGAAGCTTGTGAGTGAACGCGCTTAACTGTTGATTGCATCCGACGGGGACTAGAGTCTCCCTTCAGCTGTACAAAGGGATGGTCAGCCACTAGGGTGAAGTGCTGGCTGTCAGTGGGGCACACAACCACCCGTGTCCGCAGAGGTCAGGGGAGCAGGCCTTCTCACCCTCGGTCAGCGCTGGAACGCCGGTGGGTGAAACGGTCGCGCAGGTGGCCTTCTCATCTCCTATGCAGAAGCCCCCACAGATACAGGGCCGCTGTAGACTTGTAGACATAAACTCCTGTGGAAAGGATCGTTTCCAAAACGGTAGATTACCAAAATAATACCAGGATGGACACTTCCTCGTCTGAGCCTGCAACAACAGCTGTCAGTGTCTTACCGTTCACCCCTAGGGAGCTTCATGAGCGGTTAGGTGATGTGCTTAATGAAAGCACTATGGTGACAGTCTACTCCCTCAAGGACTTTCCGGACCTCGCTGTGCAGGAGATCCTCATCGACGGCCTGGACAAGGGGGATCTGGACGCCATCAAGACAAGATTGACCGTCATCCTTACCCTCTCCCACCCAGGAGTCCTCAAGCACCACCAAGTAGTCGAAGACGAGGGCCTCATCTATGTCGTCATGGACCGGCACGACAAGACCCTTGAGCGCCTCCTCGCCGAGCACAAGCGAAGGAAGAACCTCGTCCCTATCGCTGTGATCCTCTCAATTGTGAGGCAGCTTGCCGCCGCCCTCGCCTACCTCCACGGTGTCAATGGAGCAAATACTAGGAGGTTTGTCCACCGCAACCTCAGGCCTGCCAACGTCCTTATTAGCGCAGACGGAGAGCGCTTCGTCATCGCCAACTTCAGCCTCTGCAAGGACGCCCTGAGATGCGGGAGCACTCTCATAGGAATAATGGCATACGTTGCCCCCGAGGTGCTCCTCCACAACGAGGCCAGCCCTGCCTCCGACGTATGGAGCCTCGGGGTCATCATTTATGAATTAGTAACTCTGAGGAGACCGGACTTCTTGGGGGGCAAGGAGCCGGCAGAGGTCTTCGTGACGGGTGGAGGCCGGACCTGAGCGGTCTCACTGATGGATTCATAAAGAGTGTTCTGGAGAGGATATTCGTGCTGGAGCCAGAGAGGAGGCCGATGGTCAGGGAGCTGCATGAGACGCTCACTACATTCGACATCCCAGTTAGTGAGTTGGGGGGTCAGTGCGTGATGCTGAAGTATAAGTGCGGATCCTTGGAGGCTGCGCTGAATGGCGCTAACGCCAGGATCGCGCTGCTGGAAGAGGATGTTAAGACTAAATCCACTAGATCGACGCACTTGAAGACCAAAGTAAGGAACATCTAGCTATGATTAAGGCACTGGAGAGTAGGCTTGCACAGTTCGATGACAGAGTGAATATGGCTGGCCCTCAGTCCAGCCTCCTTTTGCTGCCCAGGCTGATGCGTGCCGCGCACACGAATAACACAGAGACCGTCCGGATGCTGCTTGAAGAAAGACTCGGTGTTGATCAGCGCGACGAGCAGGGGCACGCTGATCCCGTCGAGTTGCTTGTTGAGGAAGAGAGGGGCCTCCAGGACAAGAACGGCTGGACTGCACTCATGCACGCCGCACACAACAACCACCCTGAGGTAGTTGAAATTCTTGCCCCTTACGAATGTGGGAGAAGAAACAAGAACAGCCGTACTGCTCTGATGATCGCCGCACAGGAGGGCCATGCGGAGGCTGCTTCTGTTCTGATTCCGTACGAGGAGAACTTAATCGACAGCGAAGGCAAGATGGCCCTGATGATTGCTAAGGAGGCAGGGCACAAAATTATTGTGAATATTCTTGAGCCAACCGATACATTCGGCGACACGAGGCTTATGCGAGCAGCCACACGCGGTTGCATAGAGACAGCAAAGTTGGTAATAAGATACGACAGTGGTGCACAAAACATGGTAGGTATGACTGCGCTTATGAACGCGGCTTCTATGGGGAACGTGGAAATAGCAAGATTGTTAGTAGATCTGGAGGGGGGTGTAAAGGATAGGAATGAGATGACTGCTCTTGAACATAGAGCGCTAAAGGGTCACTTAGAAGTGGTAAAGCTTCTATTAGAAAAAGAGGGGCATCTGATAGACAAGTCTAATGAATATTTCTTTGACAAGATTACTTCTAGGGGATACCTCGAGATAGCGTCTCTCCTTAGGGGCAGTACACCTAGTGTCAATGGTTGCAATGACCAATAGACTGCTCTGTAGTCTCATGAATAAATCTGTCGTTTCTCTTCAAAAAGAAGTTGGTTTGCTGGCCGCAGTCTGAGTAAGTCCATCGTACGAGTCACTATGTTGAACGGCATCCTCGCTCATCATTTACTCCACCCACCGGTTGCTTCCAGTGGTGTGCTGCTGGGGCCCTCGCCTGCGGGTGCTGTCCGCAAATCTCGCGAGTAAATTCCCACTCAATTTTTGGCGATGTCCGGAGACGAGGGTTGGCTATGGAATATGATAATGACCACAGTAGTGGAAGGGAGGAGCTATTGCGTTCCTCAGCTGTTCTGCGGGTGTGTGCCCAGACTGGGAGTGTGCACAGCTGGATCTGAGGCGAAGGAGAGCCCGCGAAGACCCGATCCACATCATGAACGCAAGATCGTACCTCCGGGCCCCAGAGAGCAATCGTGAGGTTCTACTTGGGAGACCACTCCGAAGACGTTTGCCCTCTCGGCAGGACACACACGCTGGCTCTGTGGCCTACCGTGCGAGGGTGCCAAGCAACCAACCGAGCATCTAAGAGAAGCAAACAACGACAGACACAGAGTACCGGGCGACGACAAACCGATCCTTCCGTCCCACATACCGAACCAGACAGCTGCCATGCTCATCCACCAGGGTGCGCGCATGATCGCGAGCATCGAGCAGCCCGGGACTGGGGTCGCGCTCCCCGCAATCAGGGGCCTGAACGCCCTGGTAGGAGGCCTGGAGGACTCAAGCAACACCACGGAGCAGTCCCAGAGTAAGGCAGACCCAGACCCCGAGAAGGCGAGGCGCCGGATAGCAAACAGGGTGAGTAACGCGCTGAGCTTCGGAGCAGTTGCCAAGGCTCTCCGCGCCCTTGATGATACGCCCATGGTTGACATCAAGCCGGAGAAAGCCAAGGCCGCCCTCAGCGCGTTACACCCGTGCGTCCCCCCGAAGGCTACGTTAGCCTTGACTACCCTCCATCGATGAGCTCAACGGGCTGGAGCCGGCAACCGAAGAAGAAATGAGGAAGGCCCTGTTGGGACCCTCAACAAGAAGGCCTCGGGCGGTCCAGCTCAAAGCGAGGAAGCAGAACGACGACTTCGTGAAGTACCTCACGCAGGCGTACAACGAGCTGACCACCCACCCCGAGGCGATGTCCGACGTGATGGCCATGTTCGAGTTCCGGGCGATCCTCATCCCGAAGGAGTCCGACGGATACCGTCCGATCGCGATGGCGAGACGGTGACAAACATCTTCCACCGCGTCCTGCTGAAGCGGCTGATCAAGCATGCCAACTACCTCTCGTGCGAACAGATCGCCTTCATGCAGAACGCATACGCGGTAGGCATGAGGAGGGCCCACGAGCTCATCAGCAGGACAGGTGCACGCCGTCTCCCTCGACACAAAGAAGGCCTTCAACTCGCTCCCGAGGGCAGAGGTCGTCAGAGCCCTGAACGAGGCGGGCATCCCGAAGGTCCTGGTCGACTACATCAGGAACTTCCTCGACCTGAGGCACAGCAAGGACGTGAAGTGCGGGGTCTGCGGCGTCCCCCAGGACGACCCGCTCAGCACGCTCCTCTTCTGCATGGCCATCGAGCGCCTCTGAGACGCCTCACGGAGAGAGGCATCGCCTTCCTTGCCTATGCAGACGACATCGTGGCGCTCCACGATGAGGCCTACCCAGCAGGCGCAATAGTACAGCAGGCTATGGACCTGACGATAAGGAGCGACAAATGCAAGTCCACCATGGCGGGCGAGGAGGTGACCTTCCTCAGCCACCCGGTGTCCCCCACTCCAGCCAGTCCCGCACCAAAGGCCATCGCAGGTGCCGAGACTGCCCCCATAACCACCCACCAGAAGCTCATCCTGCTGTCACTCTGCGTGGTCCCGATGGTGAACTACGCCCCCCTGGTCGAGATGACATCGGACAAGGCGGACTACGAGGAGCTCGACAGACGTCGCACAAGGCTTCAACAAGCTAACCAGCAGAAGCTGCGATCGCCTGGTCGACTTCCTGGCGTACCCGAAGGAGAAGAGCGGCCTGGGCCTGCTCATGCCGGGGCTCTGCCACGACGAGCTGCGGAGGGCATGGGCCTCCCCGGACGTCAACAAGGGGACCAGGGACCCGGTGGAGCTGTCGGTGGGCGGCCAGGCACTGCAGGGGAAGGGGACCTACTTCAACCGCCTCCTCACGCGCACACATCAGCTTCCGGACAGAGCGGCGGCGTGCTGACCGAGGAGGAAAGGGCCCTGAAGGAGAGAGATGGCTCGATCATGGCGCAGACAAGAGGCACCTGCCCGGGCTGCCACACGGCAGACCCTCGACCACGAGGCACAACATGATCGTCGCGTACCTGTACCTCCGCGTCTCGGGGAAGCTCAACCGGAGCTGGAAGTCAAGACCCACAGCCACCTCAGCGACCAGAACCAGAAGCCCGACATCTGGCTCGTCGACAAGTGCAAGGCAGTGGACGTGGGTGTCATCCAGCCCCGCCAGATGGATACCACAGCGAGAAGGCCAAGAAGTACAGGGACGGGACGCTCCCGATCATCTATGAGACGGACGGATCCCTCCACCCCAGGTCCAAGAGGCACCTCGAGGAGCTCCACGTGGACGTCGAGAAGCTCTCTGTCCGGGCTGCCTTCGCCATCGCCCACATGGCTGCAGAGGCGAACGAGCACCTGACGAAGCTGATCAGACGCGACCGGGCCGAAAGCCTGGCCACCCAGAGCGACCGCCTCCTGTCATCCTACTTCTGACAACCGAATGAATCCATCCCTGGGACCTGTCGACAACGACCGAAAGGGGGCGCAAGACTGGACACACAACCGAGTGGAATCCCAGCCAGTGGAGAGGGCCCCGTTAGCTGCTGCTGATCTACATGGACAGTATTGAGAATGACAACAAAGACCAGAGCTTCGCCAATCGTGAAGGGAGAACAGGGAGAGGCACCCTAGTAGACCAGCGAGCCCGTAAGAAAACCTCGAAAAGATCGATGTGCACGCCCGCAGCCAACCTTCGTCTCCGAGCTGGTCAGGGACTGAGCGAGGCTTGCCCGTGAGATTTCTGGACCGCACCGCGACAAGCCTCAGCGGCACCACATATAGAAACTCATACATGACGCTCCTCTATCAGATATCCTTGTCTCCATTGCTTTTAGCACTATATGATGACTATTAATAGTAAGTTTAAAGATAATTTTCTGTTCAAATAACATCTAAATTTATTCAATGTAAGAGATGCTGATATTGGAAGTGCTATTTAATGAACTTTTCAAATAATCTTACAAGTGGTAAATATTCCCTCACTATATATTAGAAGCAACGGGGAGTTATTTGAAAGATACTGCCTGGAGTTCTAATGATTATCAATTAATGATAAATAGTTTTGTTTCTAACCAGTCAGTAAGTTTCATGAGGAAGCAATTTTCTTTAAAACCGTAGTAGTGCCATTGTAGAATAAATTTATAGTTACCACTTATGAAGTCTGCGGTATATTGTCGTGGAGAATTGCTCTAGAATTGTTTATGGTTATAAAAATATTGACTAACACAACGGTAAACACTAAAACAGGTCTGATGTTATTTAAGTTGTTACTATAATACATTTCTTAGAAGTGCTTCATACATAGAGATTCTTTCTACAAGGCTGGTTAAGATGTTGTTGCATCCAAATGTCAACTTTTTATAAGTAGAGAGGAACTGTGTGCACAGTACTCCATTAGAAGAGAATGAGTAACTTTAAGAATAAATTACTTTTGTGGACAACAGGCCTAATTTCAATTATTGTACGATAAACATTCGCTATATTACATGTAACCTAGCAAAGTTATTGCCGATAGTAAATATGTTTATCTGGCAAGAGACCGAGTTGTACAGAGTATAATGCTAGAATTACCCTGAATTTGGCAATAGCAATGAAGAGTAAATCTTTTTAAGGCACTGGACAGATAGTTAAATAGTTCCAAAAAGAACTTTGTCCAGTTTGTTGGTTATGAAGATTTAGTGTGATGAAACTTTCAACGCATGTTAGATCTTATGTCCTGCACCGTTTACGATGCTAGTGCCTAAAAGGTGTCTATTTTAGGGAGTGAACGATTGTCAGAAAAAGTTAGGATAAACCAATAAAATTACAAATACTCTATTACAAATAATTTCTATTAAACCAAATATTTTATATAATCTTTAATTTGTTTCCTCCCTGGCTGGGGTGGCGTAACGGTCTAGCGCGCTCGGTTGTCGTCCGATCGGTCCGGGTTCGATTCCCGGCCCCGGCACTTTCCCTTGTTTTGATGACCGAGCCACAGCCGACCATCCCCTCTTCCCTCGAGCGGTATGCGATCGACTGGTCACCCACAGGGTACCTCGGAGCAGGCGCGTACGGCACGATCTACAAGGGGATAGATAAGGAGACGGGCAAACCTGTTGCTCTCAAGGCTGTCGGCATTTCAGGCGTTTTCAACCATCTGGTGCTGCGTGAAGTGACCTTACTCGCATACCTGGCTCAGGTTACGGCTGGCGGCCAGCCTTTTAAGAATCCTGCAATCGATCTTATCTCGAGCTTCAAATTACGACTCGATGATACAACGAAAGACTTACCCTTTGCGAAGCATTTCGAGAACTGCTCTTCGCTAATCTGCCTTGTCACTCCGCTCTATCCACACGACTGTGAAAGGTTCCGAACGTACAACTTAGTAAGCAGCTTTACACTGTCCCAGATGGTGTTCTTCTGGCACTCTGTGGTTACTTGTCTTCGGAACCTTCACAGACTGGGGATCGCACACAGAGACGTCAAGCCGTCGAACATTCTTCTGGATGGCAACGGCTCTGCTTTTCTTGCAGACCTGGGGATGGCTAAGTATTGTGTTTATTCCTCTCCAAGTGCTTCTGCTAACTACGCTGAGCCTGAGGTTCTTTCCGCCGATCACTACTCCCCCATTTCAACGGGAACAACGTGCACCCTCGTGTACAGGGCGCCTGAATCGACGCTCAGATGCTATGATTTCCTCTCTACTAATGGTTCCCTCTTTGACCGACAAGAAAGTGTAACACCCACGTCTCTTGATGCTTTGGGAGATGTGTATTCACTGGGGTTGACTCTTCTAGAATCAATCATATCTCGAGTTGTATTCTTTCTTCCACTAGAGCATGACAACCCTCGCACAAATAATAACTCTAGCCCCTCCAACCCAAAACCGCCCAGACAAGACGCCTCGCAAAAACACAATATCTATCTGTTTAAGATGCAAACGCTCTTCATTTCATGTGTCGCTCGGCCGAGGGCAGAAGTGAGTCTTGGCCACCCTGCCATCAGTCATCGCCTCATCTGCCTGCTCAGTGGGTGGACGCGTGCACCCTTGCGTGTTTTAGGCAATGGAAGGAAGTCCTATGCGGTGCTAACCCGTTCGAGGCTTCCCCTCCTGGTCCCTCTGCGACTTCCCCCCGACCCCAGCACGACGGCCGGAACTCACCTGCGTGCTCGCCATGCAGAGGAACAGGCGCACCCTGTCCACGGCCGTGAAGACGCACCGCAAGGCCCCCTCTGTCTCGTACAGGGCGCAGAACGTGTGTGTCGAAGGGGCCAGCTCGCACGTGCCGACAGAGCGGGGGCCGTCTGCGCCGCTCTCCACGGGCATCCTGTGGAAGTGGAGGAGGTCTCCCCTGTAGAAGAATTTCAATGCTGTCAGAATAAATTCCTCATGCGAACCGCCGCGCTGGACGGCCTCTCTCACTCAGTTTCAATGCTTCGGTGCCGCGTATCTCTGGCGAAAACGGAAGAAGGCGGGCACCCCAGCACCCGACCCTCTGCGCCTTTGTAGGATGAGCGGTACCACAGGCATGAAAGGAGGGGCCCTCACACCCACCGCCTCAGTGAAACTCCCTGCTGAAGAGAGCATGCTGCAGTGACGGGCCCCAAGATGGCTGACGTTATCAGTAAAACTCTCCCTAACTGAGTCGCTTAAAGAATACAGAAACGGCTCACGAACGCGCCACTTCGTCGACGGGACTACGCCTCTAGGAACCTCCCGACTTGTCTCCGTTACGTTGTCCACGGCGCCAAAGGCTGTGAGCGGCATCCCTGCATCTCCCGTTTGAAGAGCTTTTCCACGGGTAAGGAGCTCGAGCGATACATTTGGAAGCGTCTCTCCCGCCTCGGGCCCTCTCTACGCAGCCTCATTCGTCAAGCAATGCCCCAGTCGAAGGCCCCCTGTTGCCCTTCCATGCCTTTGTGATCGGCTAGTATTTCAGATCATACTACACCAAACCCTGGTGTCCAAGTGCAGGCGTTCCACATGGGCCACCACTGTTGCCTGTTATCCCCTCCAGTAAAGACGACGCTAGACCGGAGCACCTTCAAGCTCCTTGGAAGTCTTCAGATACAGCTCTTAGTTCTCGTCGCCAGAGTCACATCTGATTAGGATTAGCAAAGATGAAAACCAGAACGCCATTACCATAACCAGGGCATGATAGAACTGGGTGGCCTCTACCATGCAGCAGGAAACAGATCCGTTCTCTCTGTGTCTTGTGCTCCCAGAAAAAACGGAACTCTCTATCACCAGCTGTCCCGGGTTCAGTCACAAATCCAAGGGATGCATAGATCACGACTCGTACCGATACACTGTGGATGCTGCAGCTCTCACAAAGAAGATGTCTCGACGCCATAACAAGAGCAGAGACCTCATGTGCACACATGAGCACCTGATAAAGGGTGTAGAGCTGATGCACGTCTTAGCTGAGAGATTGGGTGCGTTTCTGAGCACGCTGGCTGACATCAGATCGAGGGAATCCTACCTGTTCGCTGATCTAAATGCGTCAACCTAGGACGGCGCCCAGGAAGCATCTAGCCGAAGCAGAACACCCCATGTTGAGCGGCACCAGATGACAGTCACTCAAGCATGAGCAGGACGAGCATCTGCCCGCTCTGCACAAAACTCACTGGAGCCAGAGCTGTCCAAATGTACTGCGGCACAGACAGCAAGTGCAAGGTGCTACTGCGCGAAAGGATGGAGATGGCAGAGGAGATGCACCTCGTCACACTGTGGACCGCTACATGAGCAACACCCACCAGAAGGTTCCGAACAAGAATAGGCCACCGAGCGCATGAAGGACCCCCGGCGAAGAGTAGCTGCCGCCCCATGGGGCTCCTCTCCCACGGGCCCCCTCGACCCGGACTCCTCAGAGGGGATCAGGGTAGCGTACGGGCTGCACCCTGGAGGGACACGAGCCCCCTGTTCTGCAGCCAGCGGAGAGCACGGGCATCTCTCCCAAGGTAACTGACGACGAGATGACCCGGGGGTCCGTCCATGGGTTCTCGAGGTCTCCTGGACCTCGCCTAGATCTGCGTACTGGAGGTCCTCATCCCCAAGAACGAGGCAAGCATAACCTGTGGAGCGACCACGACGGCTCTTCACAGATACTGCCGGGCCATCTGAAGTCTCAGGCACTGGACACTGGGGCCTGCATGCACATATAGTATGCGCTCGTATGCGCACACGAGACTGAGGAAGCCAGGCGGTCTCGCTCGATTACAGGGCGCCCTCAACAGCAGCCCCGGTCCTGCACAGTCTCGATCAGGGGAACGTGCCCCTCGCTCTAAGGAGCTACACGAGACCTTCCTCTGGCCACAGCACACATGGACTCAGTCCCGTGCAGTGTTCCTCAGGGACCCTCTAGGTATGCTCCTATGCTGCGCTGGACGGAACGCGCTCACTAAGCAGCTGAAGGAGGTGCCCCCTCAGTGCCTGCGCCGACGACGTACTGATCCTGCGCGACGACAACAACGAGGCAATGAGGTTGGCAAACCCACGGACTGACGATCAACACAGACAACTTAAGAGCACCGAGGGGGTAGGAGGGCTCCTTCCTGGGTGTCCGGTCTCGAGGAGCGGCTACCCACGGCCTCCAAGGAGATAGAGAGGGTAACGAAAAGGTTGCAACTGTGTCAATCGCCCACCACCCAAGCCAAGCTGATCTGGATAGACTCACCACGCGACCCCTACGGATCCCTCGGAGGGCAGGCCTGCCCTCTGGACGCCCGGCTCGAGCAACAGCGGACCGAGCTCCTGGCTACGCAGGACAGCGGCAGTCGGGAGTCCACCACAAGCAGCTGCGCGGTGCTTGACACCTCGACGTGAGACGTGGCACATGGGCAGGCTGCCAGCGGGACAGCCTCGTGGTGAGCAACGCATCGTACACGAAACGTGCCCTGGTCGCTCCGATGCTTCAGATAACGCCTCTCGGAGAGCTGTGACCGGGCCAGCCTCTCCGGCTGAACGACTCATGGCTCCACGTACACTCTGCGGTACGGATGGGTGCAGACCACACCAGCCGAGCCGGCACACTGCACAGGGTGTGGACCTGCGAGTGTGTACTGGCTGCTGACCACCTGGCACCACAGGTGCACTGCGGTTCATGAGCAGAAGGGCGAGCCGGGCGTCTCCTCCGCGCCAACCAGGGGTCGACATGAGGGTCCACGGGCACACGCTATAATCCAGGAGGACGCATGGCGAACGCACCCCGACGGTAGGATCGATGGTCCACTCCATGAGGAGGCGAGAAGGAACCCGAGTCGGCATTCCGAGGCCATGACACATGCGATCTTCGTCGTGGAGCACTACACCCTCAAGGCCAGACCGCCACGACTTGCGACAGGGCCCTGGGGCAGCGGTACCCACCAGGCGCCAGGCAGCAGCCGGCCCCATGGAGGTTGAGCAAAGGAAGGGAGAAGTCCATCGAAGGCGCTGTGGAAAACTAGCAACAGCACGAAAGGGAGCCAAACAACATTAAACCTCTTCTTTTCCCATCAGAGCTGGACGGAGTCTGAATTTCGAATGTCGGATTTTGGATGGTAAACAAGGAAGGACCTATCTGATGAGGTGGCGGATCGCGCGATGGACTTACTCGGACAGCGGCTAGCAAACCAGCCTCGGTGAAACAGAGAGTAAACGCGTAGAGTACCACTAGACATCAAGAGAGATAATGTACGATCCATAACTAGCGTGGAGTGCAGCAAAAGGGTCTGTCATTCACTCTGGGATCAGCTTGAAAGGATGTCTACTATCTCTTTGTGATCCTTCTTCTTAGCGATGTCGAGAGCAGTGGTACCAGGCGAGTGACCATGGCAGCTGCAGGTTGTCTTCAGATCTTTCTCGGTTTCCTTAAGAAGCCTTGCACACTCCACGGTGTTGCTATATGCTGCGTTCATAAGGGCGGTCCAGCCCTTGGTCGTTTGCATGCCGCCTTCGTCCTTCATTAGGAGCCTGACGCACTCTGGATGATCATTGCGTGCTGCCCACATGAGGGCAGTCTGATGATCGTTATTCTTCATACGAGTTTCTTGCTTGAGCAGCTCTACAATCGCTTCGTGCCCTCGTGCTGCTGCATACATAAGCGCTGTCCACCCACCAGCATCCTGGCTTCCCTTCATATGAAGGTTGTTTCTGACTGCGTCAATATCGCCACGGTAAGCGGCATATATGAGATCCGTCCACCCTGAAATGTCGCCCTCGTGCTTTACCAGGAGCTCAACGCACTTAGAATAGTCCACCAGGGGGTCATTGGAACGATTGCACCGTGCCGCGAATATGAGAGCGGTCCAACCGCCTACTTTCTCTCCCTTTTCGTGCTCTGCTAGCAGTTCTACTATTTCTGCGTATCCATGTGCCGCAGCCATCATCAGAGCTGTTCCTTTGCGCATGTACCATCCGCTTATTGTGACCTCTTTGTATGTTTTTCTTCCCCTCTGGATGGGTAAGAGTGCTTTTACAGCCTCCACGTCATTTCTACCAACAGCTCGCATGAGCGCCGTGATGCCGTTCTCATCAATAGGATCAATAAGCTCTACGATATCTCTATGTCCTGCCCTCGCAGCAAGTACTAACGCAGTGTTACCATCATTATTCTTCTCATCTTTGCTAGATAAATATCTTCTGGCTACTTTGACATCACCGATGAAAGCAGCACACATCAAGGGAGTCCACGAGGGGGATTCATGTCCGCGGAGAAGCAGAGCGATGTCCGTATGTTTGTTTTTGAGGGCATGCACGAACGCTGTGTTGTCGTCCTTATCCTTCATTCCCTTCTGGAGTGGTATAAGCAATTCCACCATTTCGGCGTCTCTATCGGTAGCAGCCCGCATGAGCGCCGTGATGCCGTTCTCATCGGTTGGGTTTTCGTGAGGTATAAGTATTTTGGCAATCTCAAGAGACCCACCCTTGAGAGCGTAGTACAGAGCAGTATGACCCTGGTCATCAACCATCTTCTTTCCATACTCCACTAACATCTCCACTACCTCTTTATGCCCGTTCATAGCAGCCCACATAAGGGCTGTCCTACCATTGACGTCCCTTTCTTCACACTCATCAAGGTGCTCCATGACCCTGTTCACGCTCCCAAGAGCAGCGGCACAAATGAGGTCAGTCCAGCCAACGTACTTTGAAAGTACCCTCATTATCTCTTTGTGCCCATTCACGATAGCCCATGCAAGGTCAGCCTCTCCATCTAAGAGACGGGCTTCTACGCTCGACCTACCACCAGCTTCAAGACTGCTACGCCCATCATCGAGTTTGGCTAAAGACATTTTTGTTTTAATTGCTGTAAACGGAATGTGTGTGACGGTAAATATTTTATAATTCACATTATCTTGTTTATAGCTCACCGTAGTCAGAGTATATGCTCCGCTGGGTGGTTGTACCCTTCTTACTCTGTATAATTAGTTTGTAGCACACAGTGCTTAGTGTATATATGGCTTCGAATTCTGGCTCCAAGCACACGGTAGATTATATAACGCTGTAGCTGACTGGGACTCCTGCGCAACTTGTGTAAGATAGAGCAGTTAATAAAATCCAAGGAGTTAGGTAAACTTTCCTTTACGAAACAACGGTATCCACTTGTAGTTTACCCTATTCTGGGCCGTAACTGCCTATGGATTCGTCCCTATCAAGTGGATTGCCGTGTCAGTACATGTATCCCATATTGTAGATAGTTCCAAGAGTTACTCTCTGTTTCACCGAGGCTGGTTTGCTAGCCGCTGTCCGAGTAAGTCCATCGCGCGATCCGCCACCTCATCAGATAGGTCCTTCCTTGTTTACCATCCAAAATCCGACATTCGAAATTCAGACTCCGTCCAGCTCTGATGGGAAAAGAAGAGGTTTAATGTTGTTTGGCTCCCTTTCGTGCTGTTGCTAGTTTTCCACAGCGCCTTCGATGGACTTCTCCCTTCCTTTGCTCAACCTCCATGGGGCCGGCTGCTGCCTGGCGCCTGGTGGGTACCGCTGCCCCAGGGCCCTGTCGCAAGTCGTGGCGGTCTGGCCTTGAGGGTGTAGTGCTCCACGACGAAGATCGCATGTGTCATGGCCTCGGAATGCCGACTCGGGTTCCTTCTCGCCTCCTCATGGAGTGGACCATCGATCCTACCGTCGGGGTGCGTTCGCCATGCGTCCTCCTGGATTATAGCGTGTGCCCGTGGACCCTCATGTCGACCCCTGGTTGGCGCGGAGGAGACGCCCGGCTCGCCCTTCTGCTCATGAACCGCAGTGCACCTGTGGTGCCAGGTGGTCAGCAGCCAGTACACACTCGCAGGTCCACACCCTGTGCAGTGTGCCGGCTCGGCTGGTGTGGTCTGCACCCATCCGTACCGCAGAGTGTACGTGGAGCCATGAGTCGTTCAGCCGGAGAGGCTGGCCCGGTCACAGCTCTCCGAGAGGCGTTATCTGAAGCATCGGAGCGACCAGGGCACGTTTCGTGTACGATGCGTTGCTCACCACGAGGCTGTCCCGCTGGCAGCCTGCCCATGTGCCACGTCTCACGTCGAGGTGTCAAGCACCGCGCAGCTGCTTGTGGTGGACTCCCGACTGCCGCTGTCCTGCGTAGCCAGGAGCTCGGTCCGCTGTTGCTCGAGCCGGGCGTCCAGAGGGCAGGCCTGCCCTCCGAGGGATCCGTAGGGGTCGCGTGGTGAGTCTATCCAGATCAGCTTGGCTTGGGTGGTGGGCGATTGACACAGTTGCAACCTTTTCGTTACCCTCTCTATCTCCTTGGAGGCCGTGGGTAGCCGCTCCTCGAGACCGGACACCCAGGAAGGAGCCCTCCTACCCCCTCGGTGCTCTTAAGTTGTCTGTGTTGATCGTCAGTCCGTGGGTTTGCCAACCTCATTGCCTCGTTGTTGTCGTCGCGCAGGATCAGTACGTCGTCGGCGCAGGCACTGAGGGGGCACCTCCTTCAGCTGCTTAGTGAGCGCGTTCCGTCCAGCGCAGCATAGGAGCATACCTAGAGGGTCCCTGAGGAACACTGCACGGGACTGAGTCCATGTGTGCTGTGGCCAGAGGAAGGTCTCGTGTAGCTCCTTAGAGCGAGGGGCACGTTCCCCTGATCGAGACTGTGCAGGACCGGGGCTGCTGTTGAGGGCGCCCTGTAATCGAGCGAGACCGCCTGGCTTCCTCAGTCTCGTGTGCGCATACGAGCGCATACTATATGTGCATGCAGGCCCCAGTGTCCAGTGCCTGAGACTTCAGATGGCCCGGCAGTATCTGTGAAGAGCCGTCGTGGTCGCTCCACAGGTTATGCTTGCCTCGTTCTTGGGGATGAGGACCTCCAGTACGCAGATCTAGGCGAGGTCCAGGAGACCTCGAGAACCCATGGACGGACCCCCGGGTCATCTCGTCGTCAGTTACCTTGGGAGAGATGCCCGTGCTCTCCGCTGGCTGCAGAACAGGGGGCTCGTGTCCCTCCAGGGTGCAGCCCGTACGCTACCCTGATCCCCTCTGAGGAGTCCGGGTCGAGGGGGCCCGTGGGAGAGGAGCCCCATGGGGCGGCAGCTACTCTTCGCCGGGGGTCCTTCATGCGCTCGGTGGCCTATTCTTGTTCGGAACCTTCTGGTGGGTGTTGCTCATGTAGCGGTCCACAGTGTGACGAGGTGCATCTCCTCTGCCATCTCCATCCTTTCGCGCAGTAGCACCTTGCACTTGCTGTCTGTGCCGCAGTACATTTGGACAGCTCTGGCTCCAGTGAGTTTTGTGCAGAGCGGGCAGATGCTCGTCCTGCTCATGCTTGAGTGACTGTCATCTGGTGCCGCTCAACATGGGGTGTTCTGCTTCGGCTAGATGCTTCCTGGGCGCCGTCCTAGGTTGACGCATTTAGATCAGCGAACAGGTAGGATTCCCTCGATCTGATGTCAGCCAGCGTGCTCAGAAACGCACCCAATCTCTCAGCTAAGACGTGCATCAGCTCTACACCCTTTATCAGGTGCTCATGTGTGCACATGAGGTCTCTGCTCTTGTTATGGCGTCGAGACATCTTCTTTGTGAGAGCTGCAGCATCCACAGTGTATCGGTACGAGTCGTGATCTATGCATCCCTTGGATTTGTGACTGAACCCGGGACAGCTGGTGATAGAGAGTTCCGTTTTTTCTGGGAGCACAAGACACAGAGAGAACGGATCTGTTTCCTGCTGCATGGTAGAGGCCACCCAGTTCTATCATGCCCTGGTTATGGTAATGGCGTTCTGGTTTTCATCTTTGCTAATCCTAATCAGATGTGACTCTGGCGACGAGAACTAAGAGCTGTATCTGAAGACTTCCAAGGAGCTTGAAGGTGCTCCGGTCTAGCGTCGTCTTTACTGGAGGGGATAACAGGCAACAGTGGTGGCCCATGTGGAACGCCTGCACTTGGACACCAGGGTTTGGTGTAGTATGATCTGAAATACTAGCCGATCACAAAGGCATGGAAGGGCAACAGGGGGCCTTCGACTGGGGCATTGCTTGACGAATGAGGCTGCGTAGAGAGGGCCCGAGGCGGGAGAGACGCTTCCAAATGTATCGCTCGAGCTCCTTACCCGTGGAAAAGCTCTTCAAACGGGAGATGCAGGGATGCCGCTCACAGCCTTTGGCGCCGTGGACAACGTAACGGAGACAAGTCGGGAGGTTCCTAGAGGCGTAGTCCCGTCGACGAAGTGGCGCGTTCGTGAGCCGTTTCTGTATTCTTTAAGCGACTCAGTTAGGGAGAGTTTTACTGATAACGTCAGCCATCTTGGGGCCCGTCACTGCAGCATGCTCTCTTCAGCAGGGAGTTTCACTGAGGCGGTGGGTGTGAGGGCCCCTCCTTTCATGCCTGTGGTACCGCTCATCCTACAAAGGCGCAGAGGGTCGGGTGCTGGGGTGCCCGCCTTCTTCCGTTTTCGCCAGAGATACGCGGCACCGAAGCATTGAAACTGAGTGAGAGAGGCCGTCCAGCGCGGCGGTTCGCATGAGTGACCTATTTCTGTCTCCTGGTATGGTCAGGGATTAAAGGAGCTTGCTTGTATGAATTCAGAAGCGCGCCTATAGACAGGAAACTTAGCGGAGTAGCACTGGAATTGACTGGTTAGTGGAGTGAACTCAGGATGTAAAATGTATAACAAAAACCTCCAATTTAAGGCGACAGATCTGACATCTAGCGGTGTCAGTGGTGCCATGCAGCCTCATTACACTCAGGGAGACCATGTGCAGCCACTGTCCCGCGAAATGAAACGCATAGTAGATGGGAATGTACGTCCCTTTTACTCTAGTCTTTTCCTTGATCCAGAGGAGGCGCAATATTTACAGCACTTGGCAGAGAGGCGCAGAGAGTCTAGATTGGCCTTTCTGATGCGTCAAGAGGAAACCAAAAGAAACATCCGAAATCAATCCCTTATTGTTAAGGACTGGGCAAAAAGGGCGCCAAGGGCCAGCGGACAGAGTGCAGATGGATGGTCCAAATACCGCTTGTCAATTGAAAGGCAGAGCAGGGAGATTCAGGATGTTGAGGTCGACGATCGTGAGTCCTTTACGATCCCTGCGCGTCCAAAGCCAGGGTCACAAGTAACTCAGTTTCAGAGGTCGATACAAAAGAAGACAGCATCGCTATTTGATGAAAAGGCCCCAGTTCAGAAAGGATTAGCAACATGTCGCCCACTGTTTCCTATTGCAGGGCCTCAAACTGTCACAGAAGGTGACTCCGCAAGAAGTGCTAGCCCTTGTTATACAAGGCTTTCAGAGATAGGCGCGCGGTACTCCAGAGAGAAGCTTGAAAGCCCATTGAACCGATGTCTTACAATTGACGCCGAACAGATTTTGTCAAGCATGCAGCGCCATGAAGATCGGTTTAGTGCAAGATTAGTGTCACTTAGTAAGCCGAATCCCTTAACAAACACGGAGCCGCCATGATCGGCAGCGCCGAATGGAATCCAAGGTACCTTGTGCGCCAATTATTGATCCTTAAATATCTATAATTCAAAAAATCCCGCAGGACACGAATTTTGAGGAGGGAATGCGCTACTACCATACGGAAGAGGACAACCTACGCGAAAATGATTTTGTCAACTCCACTGGAGCTCTCAAAATGAGTGGCTATGCAAATACGACTCGCACCCAAAGGCACGGTTGCCCGGCCGATGAGCACGACAAGGACTTTTCGCGGACACTTAAGGACACAGCGCCCAAGTATTACGAGCAGCCAGCTCCAGTGAAGCAGCGCACAGAAAAGCTCGACATAACGTTTAACCTACGACCGCAATGCAAGACTCACACAACGAAGTTTGCGGGTGTGGGAGACCTAACAGTCCCGGAGGGTCCAGTTTTGGCAACTGCAGGGAGAGTTCAGAGCATTGCAAAGAGGTATGACCGGATCCACAAAGAGCAGGACGAGACGGGAAGGATTAGTTTGGGTAGCACACCGCTGAATACACAAGAGATGTGCGCCCAGGTGAAGCCCCGCAAGTACAACTTCAACTCCATGCAGCAAGACATTGGAGCAGGAAACTATTCGGTGCATCAGACGACCTGCGTTCAAAACCCGGTCCTCAAGACAAAGAATCCCCAAACGTCGTATTGGACCCCGTGCGGAGACATTTTTGAGAATTAGTTTGCGGTCAGTAAATCACCCGAGCACACGCCTAGCTCTGACTTGTCATGAAGAGCAACAGCAACTCCAAGAAGAGTCTGCGCTCCGCCTTGTCCATGACTGACACTACTATCTCCGTTTCAGACGTTTTAAGGTGGACAACTCCTGATTTTCCGGACCCAACCAGCTCGGCAGTCTGTATGTCTTTGAAGAGCATCGCAGTCTTTGTTTTGTGTTTAAGTTTGTCAAACCACGTGACGGTGAGAGCGGAGGCATGCATATTGACTGTAGCAGTGAGCCCAACGGTATTGCATATCTGGCGACAATCGTGGGCTGCGCATAAGCCTTTGTCAAGAGCAAGAAGAAGCTCTTGCACATTGTATTTTTGCTTCTCATACTCACTAGCATACCAAACTCTAAACTTGTTAACAAACCCGCACTTAGACTCGCGTGGGTCAGCAGACGTTTGCGCCATGTACGACGCGAGCTTTGTTCTCCGAGACTCAGATATGGACAACGTACTGATAGGTATACAGGGTACGGATGCGCTATGCTTGGCCTGTTCTACAAAGTCACCTTCTGCTAATGTTTCATTTAGTTCCACGTTTGGTTCTGCTGGATACGGACTTGACCACTCGTCCGAGTTTGGAGCTGCCTCCTCAAAAGAGGAAAAGGGGGAATCCTGGGTGGTGACCTTTTGAGGTGGAGTTGATCCCCAGCTATCAGAAGTGATTGAACATTGATGTCCAGGTGCTAGCTCTTGAATATTGGGCTGTATCTCAGATGGCTGCATGTCTCCATCATCTGAATTACTGACGCTGCCTCTTATTAATGATAGGTCTACATGATCTGAGGCTTCGCACTTGGAATAAACTGAATCATGCCCATGAGATACCATCTCAGGCGGAGTATGTTGCTCTGATGTCCTCTGTCTCACAATTTCAGACTCATCAATAACAAACATTCCTGCCGAGAAGGGAGGAGCTAGGGCAAAGGAGTGATCCGAAGGAGCCGTTATAGGAACGGACCTTACCACTTCTGGTTGTATGTCACTAGCTTCTAATTGAACCCCGTCAACGTTTGCACCATCATCGACCGCCATAGTTTCTGGATTTGTTTCAGTAGCCAAAGGTATTTCTGGCTGTGTCTTCGGCTCCTGTTTGAAGAACGGAGAAACCGGGATTGCCGAGTTATCTGTGCGAATGAACGCAGAGAGCAAGGCAGACATCGCCAAGGGTCGTTCTGTATCTGCATTGGCTGAACGAAACACGTGCTCAGCCTTCGGCGACGGAACATCTGGATTCTTGTGACACTGGGAAGCTATGCTGGATGTCTTTTTTATCAGGAGGTCAGCCGAGACCTCATCATCGGAGGAGAAGGTATATGTGATAGAATCTAAACAAGGATTAGACGTGTCGCGGTCTTGGGAATAGACAATTTCTGATGCATTAAGAAATGTATTGGTGAATTGCACTGAATCTTTTTCCTTTGCTGAGGACATAGGGACATACCGGGTTGTGACAGAATGGCGGCTAGCTGCGATAGCAATAGGCAGCTCATGTGCAGATGAAGAGACACTATCCAGAACATAGGGGACAATATCTTCATAATTCTGAGAGTATGCCTTTAAGGCACCTTCCACAATGTCATTGCATGCATACGAAAATCCAATTCTATCGGATTCTTCCTTAGTGAGTTTCGGTTTGTCGGAGAAAGTGTGTGGTAGCAGCGATAAGATAGAGTATTTGTCCATAAACTGAGTGTCTCGCTCAAGCAGTCTGGAGGATATACCTCTACCATAGTATGCTAGAGGCGGATCAAAAAGAAGGTGAATGCCAGCAAGCGTGGATGCTCTTCGCAAATCTTCTAGGGATGCCACTGTTAAGCGGTTCCCTATCAGATTAATTGATCTAAGAGAGCTTTCCTTCATAGATTGGAGTATTTGCTTTAGAAAGGAAACACACTTATCTGTCATACCAGTACAGGCCAGGTTGATAAATTCTAATGAAAAGCGGTGTTTTGCTACAAGGAGCTTATCTATAACTTGGCTGATATAATAAAGGCCTATGTCCTTAATTGGTGTACCGGAAAGATCTATAGTCTGCACTTGAGGTAGTTGTAAGATGTTGTATATAATTTGCCGCATATCGCCCTCCCAGCTACTGGTAGCGCTGGGATTGCTGGTAGCTGTCCTGCATAAGTTTGACAAAGATAAATAACTCAGGTACTCTTGCTCGTACAAAAGGTCCGTCAGGTTGACAAGAGTAGGTGGCTGCAGGGAAACACCAGTGAGATCAAGAGTTTGTATCCGTGTGGTCCTGGCGATAAACGCACAAAGAGCATCAGATTCGCCAAGCCTGTAGCAATTGCGGAGAGAAAGCGACACCAGAGGAAAAGGAGCATCGGCCTCCTCCATGATTGTAACGACCTCACTGAAGAACCGGTCACTAACTAGTGTGTAAGAAAGGTCCAAGTGTAACAAGTTGGAAAGGTCAAGCACCGGAAGAATTCCAGTCAACGCGGATGTCGACACGCTAGTCTGTGAAAAGTCCAGACCATAGACCACAGCTCCTGCCGAGCTATACGACAGCATAGTCGCCACATCCAGAATGTCATTCTCTGTGAAAGCGGTTCCGCAAAAGTCCAGGAAGATATAGCATGACTTGCTCTTCAGCAGCTTAGCGATCTCATGAAGGTCATTTCTGGAGAGTGCATCCGAGGAAAGCTGGAGGTGTAGGTGGAGACCGACTTGTGTCTGCCAGGACATCAGGAGGCCCTCGAAGTCGCTAAGACTTCTGATGATGTAGCGCTCAGATGGCGCGTTTGTAGGTGCAGAGCCATTACCTGTGTCCGGGCGCATCTCTATGAAGGATGGGTCAATAAAGTTCGATCAAAAAATCGGATGACTGACGCGTACGACCATCTTTATAAACTGATTCTTATTGGGGACTCTGCAGTCGGTAAATCAAACATCCTCTCGAGGTTCACCAGCAACAAGTTCAATGCAAGCTCGGCGGCGACCATTGGGGTTGAGTTCACAACGAAAACCTTGACTGTCGAAGTTCAAGGAAAGATGATTTCGACGAGGCTCCAGTGCTGGGACACTGCCGGCCAGGAGCGCTACCGCTCGATCACGTCTTCCTACTATCGCGGAGCCCATGGGTGTTTGCTCGTTTTTGATGTCACAAAGCGCACATCGTTTGAACACTGCACAGAGTGGTTGACGGAGCTTAGAAACGCGTCGGCAAACTCCACGGCCTGCAAAGTCATCCTTGTCGGTAATAAGGTCGATCTCAGGCACTTGCGCGAGGTCACGACGGAGGAGGCGACGGCGTTTGCCCAGCAGCAAGGCCTTTCGTACATTGAGACGTCTGCCTCATCTGGCCACGGTATCGATGATGCATTCAAGCAGCTCGTTACTGAACTAGCCGTCGTCGAGCTGGCCAATACAGCCGTAGCAGGGGCTCAGCGCCAGCTTCCGGTGGGAGTAGCCCCCATCTCCCAGGTTAGTCTTAATAATGCAGCAAAGACTAAGCAAAAGAAGCGTTGCTGAGCCTGATTCCCCGCCAAGTAAACTCTAATTGTCGTCACAAGCATTCTCAATTGCACCAGTGCAAAGATTTTTGACGCGATTATTTTGTGATAGAACAGGAGACTGGATTCGCTTTCCATCCGGGCAGAGTCGGATATGATCCTGCTTGACAATCGCATGCGCGAGGCCCCTTCCGAGATTCAGGTGGGAGAGCCGTTCCCCATTAGCTTTCAGTCGCATGAGTCCAGCGAGTCCGCGCTTCTTTCCACGGAGCTGCAGCTAAAGGCTCTCGTAGACGACGGGAGTTGTGAGAACCTGGACGTAGAACCCAAGGATAGTGACCACCTCATAAAGAGCGCCGTGAACACGACTCTCAGCTCTAAGGCACACGCCAGCACACAATCGGTGGCATTGTTTGCCTCACCTCGCAAACCGGCAGAGCAGACCTCCGCCACTTGCACCTCAGAGAGTCAGATCGACTCTATCCAGAACGACACATTGGCTGTTGGTAAGCACGTTGCAGTCGGGCAAGCTCACTCTAGTGCTAGTTTCACGTCCAATACGACAGACCGTGGAAAAGCGAACAATCCGACGCAATCCATAGTTAACACGCTTCTAAATTCTCCTGTGTCCGGGATCTTCGAACACAGTGATCACAGTGACCTGAGCGTCCATAGTACCAAGAGTAGCAAGAGCTGTAACAGTACGCTCCACCAAAGCGTAGTGCATCCAAAGAGCTTCGTCAAAAGCTCCCTATCAGATCAGAAGTCCCATCTGGGACAAAAGGATTATGCGAGCACCCAATCACTTACATCCAGTTGCGAGAGTGCCCTCAGAAACACTCACTCACTGCCACACATATCTCCACTGTGCTCTTCGTTGAGGTCCGTCATACTCAGCGCTAATCCCATTGATGTGGCCGAAACCTCTCCGGAAAGCCAATCGGTGAGCCTTTGCGCAGATGGTATATCCCTTCTGTCCGCACGCCGTGGAAGGGCTATCAGCCAAATAACCCGCCGGGAGCTGCAGACCATTGGGGTGAACTCGGCCGTAGACGATAGTACCACGTCTCTGCACGAAAGGCCGGGATACTGTCCGGTTTGCAAGCTTTTACGTGTTCCTTCGGACTTGCGCCTCACGCAGCGCGCTATGGCCTTGTGCCCCTCTTCCTCTCAGGCTGAAGAGCTTATCCATTACTGTGTGTGTGCCCAAGCAAGCGCCTTTCCAGATGCAGGAGAGTTCACCCATTCTTATTCAGAGCCTGCATGTACTAACTACAGTAACCACTCTATTGACAAGCTCATTCTTTCGTGCTACATACAGAAGGACAACTGCGATGCTAATAGCCACGCCCCGTCCCCTCTTCCTCGCGCTGCTCGTAGTGGGGCATCCTTTGGCCCGGGACCCTTGGTTTCTCAGGAGGATGTTGGCAAGAACAATGACAGAACGGTGTCTGCCAACGATTGTGAGTGTTTACCGAGTCAATTTGTCCTGTCGCACGTATCTGTATCGCACCCTTCCTCAACAGTGGGCCCCTGGATGTTACCCTTCAGCAAAACAAGGTCGCTTGTGCTCACTTACACCGAGAGGCTAATAGTTTCTGCGATCTCGTACCTGTCACTTCGCTCCGGAATATATACCTCAATGCAGGTTCCAAGCGAGGCAGCGGCATCCTGCTTCACGAAATATGAGCAAACGCCAACTGTAATCGGATGTAAGACGAACCAGGTACTTTTGTCTAAAGTAGATACGGTCTGCGAGCCTGGTAAAAAGCACTGTTTAGAAGCTGGGAGTGAGGTAAGAGAGATTGGCGACGACTCTACTAACTCAGTCGGGAGCTCCGGGGCGGAAAGGGTGCGGTTAGCCTGCAGGCACCGAAGGAGGTCTGCCGGTAACACAGGAAATTTCAAGGCAGTGGGCTGGGCAGACGATCTGGGTGGAACGGAGGGGCGCACACAAAAGCCCCGCTATAGCACTTTATCTCATTCAAAGTCCGGGATGCTCACACGATTGCCATATGCAGAGCTCCAAAGACTTGGATACGTAACTCCACTACCGAAGCAACGAAGGACGCCGGTAAAGTGGAAAAAGCCTAGTAAGGTTTTCTTACTTTCTAAGGAAATATCCACCTGCTCGTCTAGAGAGCCGTGCATATCTGTGTGCTCTCTGGCCTTCACGGCGCATGGCGTATTCAACTGTCTGCTGCTTCTGGACATAGGGCTCATTGACTTTTTTCATACAGCACGCATGTTTCGGTGGATTGGCGTTGTAATTACAATCGTTCTAGCAGGAGTTTTAGCATCTATATTGAAGGAGCTCAACACATACCTAGTCTTTGAAGACAAGAGTCCGGGATACGTCTGTGTTCCATATACACGGATATACGTCTCCCCGCGCCAGATCGTGGCTGTCTGTCTGCGCTTCCTCCTGCCGACAGTTTGCTTTATGGCAACAGGAGTGGGGCTAAGCCTGTACCCACAGTCACGTCTTCTGATGCTTCTGTTGGCTCTACTCGAGTGTATGTTCGTCGCAAAAATAAGCAAATTCTCAATTCGGAACATTTCGTAGCCGTAGACAGCCAAAATAAATGCCTGTCAAGCACATCTACCTTGTCCGCCATGGAGAGACAGATTTCAACACGGACCCCGAGCCCCGCATCAGAGGCCACGTTCCCAATCCACTGAACGAAATAGGGCGCCTCCATGCCAAGGAGGCCAGCGCCGCATTGAAGGACGTGAAATTTGATGCCATCTTTTACAGTAGAATTCCCCGTGCCAAGGAAACGGCCGAGGCCATTCGAGCCAATCAGCCCCAAGCTCGTTTTGAGGAGGAGCCCCTTGTTTGTGATATCTCTTGGGGCGACTGGGAGGGAAAGACGTACCTCGAGGCCTTTGGGACGCCCGAGCGCGTGCATCTCTTTAAGACAGACCCTGCGCGCCTCGAGATACCAAATGGAGAAAGCTTCTACTCCGTTCTGGCGCGCCTCGAGGCCCTGGTCCACAAGCTTGAGCGCAGCACCGACGAGACCATCTGCATTGTGTCTCATGGTGCCGTGCTCAACCTTTTCATGTGCTTGATCACCTCCGCCCCGCTGTCGAAGTTTTGGATGTTCTATGGCGATGCATGCTCCATTTCGCAAGTGGATATGCACGACCCTTCGACGTTCCACATCCGCTCATACAACGAGACCCGTCACCTGTCTAAGAGTCTCCCTAGTAAATAGTCGTTAGGTTCTGTGGGGCCTAGTCGACGGGCTCAGATCTCCGTGCAGAACAGGCCCCTGGTAGCGGATGCGTCTGGAGGCGCAGGACGCCTCGCTGGACCCGACGTCCGTGCTCTGGACGAGGATGTCCGTCAGAGCAAGATCCTTCTGCCGTCTCCCAAAGAACAACACAGTTTACTGCGCAGGAAACCGGAGCACTCCAGTAAGTCAATTGATTGGGCCACCCCAAATCGAGTTTTAGTGATTGTCCAAATAATTACTCATCACGCAGACTGAGAGGAATCTGTCCAGAGCAAAGTAGTGGTCTATGGACACAGCCCCAGACATCAGAAGGAGCGCCAGGACATGCAACACGGTGAAAATCTGTAGCTGTTTGAGTCGCATAGTCCAGGAGGAACAAGGGCATGAGTAATTGTAACACGTAGGCACGCCGTTTTAAAAAACCTCCTCTTGGCGTGCGAGGTACCAACATGCCGTTCGCTGACGAATCTGCGCTTCAATCTGGTGAGCTACATGGCGATAGACCGGCCAAGACGTAATATTTTCAACATCTATAAAATGAAATAAACCGTCCACACCGGGCCATATCCTATAAAACCATAAACGTTTTTATGTCTCCAACAATGATAGCAGGCTTTACGTGGGCCGAGACGGTCATAAGTGCCGGGATGGTTGTGATAGCCTCGTTTTTGATGAGGCTGACTCAGACAAACCCGGCTCCCCTGATTGTTTTGATCCTCGTCTTCTTCTTTGCAGACACACATGTTGCCACAACCATAGCGAATGCATGCGCGTGCGCCCTGACACTTCCGGCGTTTATCTTAGACGCCTTCCGACACAAAAAGTACGACGCCTTCTCTCCCTTGCTTCAGTGGGACCTTCTCATCCTCTTTCAGCCCTTCAGTTTGCTCGGCGCTTTGGCAGGATCAATATGTAACGCCATTTTCCCCTCGTGGGTCCTCAACATTTTTGTCTGTCTATTTCTGATCCTAGTCGTCGGAAAACGCATTTCCTACTTATTTTTGATAAAGTCCGATATTGAGGAAGAAAAGGCTCTGCTTCGTCAAGATCAGTTTACTGCAGCCCCACAGCTATATCCGCATGACAATACAGCCAGACACGTAAGGCAGGCGAGTTATCTGCAAAGACTCTCGTCGAACACTAAAACCCAGCACAACTCTATTGCATCCACACGGAAAAGCCCCAGTGTGTGCCTTATTCGGAATGAGCAGATGCACATCTACACCCTTGGACCTACAAATGCACAGATCCCGGAAACCTTCGGTGAGCCAACCACCGGGCCAAAAACCTGTACAAATCAAAGTAGCCTGGCTACTACCGAGTCCCTTGAGCACTCCAAGCTTGTGGAGCAGCTTCTGGAGGGCCACTCCGTGTCAGCATATGAAAGCATGAACTTCGGCCTCACGTCGTCCTCACGTAGTTCTTCGTCAGACAGCGTCGTCAATCAAGCATCTTGCCCCCAGAAGAAGGTCATTCATGGGGTCTCCTTCAAAGACCATCGGAGAAATCTGTCTTTCATGGCTCGCAACAAGCAGAAGACTGTACCCAAATCCATTCCAGTACCTGTCAATGGTCCTAAGAGCAAGGCATCCTCCAGCGCAACACCAACCTCGGCAGTTTCTCAGGGAAAGGTCTTTCAAGCACACACACCTGCAGCAAATCGTCGCACCGACTTCCTTCAACAAAATGAGCATAACTCAGAGAGCGAAATCAAGGAAATAACAGTTCAGCTAACTGAACAAAACAGCATCCAAGACTGCAGAGTCCAGTCTCACAGCGCGCTTGAGCTTATGTGTGAGAGCCGTGAGGTCGTTCCCTCCAAGTCCTTGGCACCAGACTTGGGCGATGCTATGAACAAATCTGGCACCTGCTCTACAAGTAAGGCTGATAAGATGTTACTAGAGGTCTCGGATCCATGTATACATGAAGACAACGCCGAAAATAGCTTTCTTCACAACAATCCTCTAAACGATATACCGAAGGCAATTCCGTTGACAGACAAAGGGACAATTCGAGGGTTTGGGATCTCCCATTTCAACGCCGTTGATCCACTGCGTACATCTATGTTCTGGTTCCTTGAGGTTCTCGTTCTGGCCGCCATCGGGTTGGCCATTCGCTTCAACACTATAAAGGGATCTAGTTGTAATGCATTGCTTGCCACTTTCCTGGGTGTCGCATGTGCGCTGTCTCTTGTCCAGGCAGTGTTCCAGATGGCTGTTATTAGGATCAGGATCAAGGCATTCTATACGCTGGTTAACGAATCACTACTGACAACCAGCACGGACGAGCATATTCGTAGATACAAGCTCACGTGTGGGACCCTCAGGCCCGAGCCCCTAGTGTTCATAAAATCCCATATCAAGATAGCACTATACAGTTTTGCATCTGGCCTGACAGTGTCTCTCGTTGGCTACGGCGGCGACCTTGTCGTTTCAGGTCTGTTTGACAAGCTACAAATGCATAGACGCACTTTTGTGGCGTTGCAGTTTGCATACATCTTTTTCAGCTCTCTCTACGCACTCCTCATGGAGCTGGCTTTTAACATTGTGTGCGTTACTCCAACTGTTACCTATGCCGCTGCTACTCTTGTGGTCGGCCTCCTGGCATATGCGCTCTGCGATCGGCTAATGGAGAGGCTATCCACACGGGGAATTTGCATTATACACATCCTATACTCGGTGTTCTACGTCGTCACCTTCCTTGTCGCCATCTCCTACCTCATCATGTTCTTTGTGTCGGCAGCGACGACCGGACACGTAGGCGGCACAGAGCCCCTATGTTTAGATAAGCGGCCTTATTGCGTCAGCCCTAGAGCCAACGAAACGGCCCAGTTGTGACAGTGTACTGTAAATCAATATTATCGTCCTACAGCTGCTAGCTTGGTGACAGGAAATTTGCTTGGTCACCGAAGTTTGCGATGTAAAAATTAAATGGCCCAGAAGGCGAAGATCCAACGCGTTACGGGCTCGGAGCACGTCCTCTTGCGGCCAGACATGTATGTCGGATCCGTCTCTGCCGCAGAGACTTTCCTCTGGCTTTACGAGCCCGGTCAAGGTCTTTATTACACCAAAGCAAATATAGTACCTGGGCTATGTAAGATCTTCGACGAAATAATTGTCAATGCGTCTGACAACAAGCAGCGAGACTCCGATAGGTCTGCAGAGCACAAGATGACCTATATTAAGTGCAGTGTAGATGTGGCCAGTGGGGCGATCTCAGTTGAAAACGACGGCGTCGAGGGGTTGCTCCACTTTGACGAGAAGGAGAAGATGTACCTTCCGACCCTTGCCTTTGGGATTCTCATGACGTCAAGCAATTATGACGATACAGAGCAGAGGGTCACAGGCGGTCGCAATGGGTATGGGGCGAAGCTTACAAACATCTTCTCAACAAAATTTACGGTACTTCTGCAAGAAAATGGCCAGGTCTTTGAGCAGACGTGGACAGATAACATGAAGAACACCAAGCCGCCACGCATAGAGGACGTCAGGGACAAGAAGAAAAACTTTATCAGATTCAGCTTCACTCCTGATTACATGAAGTTTGGAATGACGTCTGGACTTGACAGGGACCATGCCGCCTACATGATGCGGCGGGCTGTAGACGTGGCCGGCTGCAACATCGGGTTGAAGCTTATCATCAATGGCACAGAGCTGAAAATAGCAAACTTTGAACAATACGCTCGAATGGTATATAGATCTATCAATCCGGAGATCACGCAATTCTACGAAACTAGTAAAGGTGACACTGCTCAGGTCAATACCAATGACTCTGACTCTGATTTGGATATCAAGTCTGCTGCTAAGGCCAAACCAAAAACTAAGAGAACCAAGAAAACTATAGAAACCAACAGCCTTCTGATCCCCGTTGATGATCTCTCCAAACCAAGCGACTGGACGCATGACTATCTCAAAGTTATACCCGTGAATAAATTCTGGGACATAGGGCTAGGATACACCGATAGCGGGGAGCTGGTGCAGGTCTCCTTTGTCAATAGCATCAACACAACCGACGGAGGTACGCATGTCGATGCTATACTAGATCTTATAATGTCCCAGCTTAATGACGTTTTGATAAAGTCGTTCCAGCAGGACGCAAAGAACGCCAAAAAGCTTACAAGGCAGCAGCTAAAGTCGTGCTTGGTTCTGTTTATCCGCTCTCTTGTCGTCAACCCGTCTTTTGATTCTCAAACCAAAATTAGTCTCAAAACAGATAAAGCTGCGCTCCTCCGTAGCCTTGGAAGCACCCAAGCAGAGCTTGCGACCTTGGCGACACAGCTAGTGAAGCGTATACAGGAGATCAGGCCCCTTTGGAATTCGCTTCGGCAAGCATCTTATAACCAGGCAGCAAAACTGTTGACGAAAACAGACGGGTCCAAAACAAGCCAGCTTCTCGGCATCCCTAAGCTCGATGACGCAATCGCTGCTGGGACTCGAGAATCGTCCAAATGCACCTTGATCTTGACCGAGGGAGACTCTGCCAAGGCCCTTGCTGTTGATGGTATTTCGAGCATTGAGGATGGTAAGAAGTATTACGGCGTCTTCCCTCTTCGGGGCAAGGTCATCAACGTGCGAAATGAATCAATTGATAAGGTAAGCAATAACGCGGAGATCACCAATTTGAAGAAGATCCTCGGATTGAAGCAGGGAATGGACTATAGCACTCAGGAGGCCCGTAACACTTTACGATATGGCCACGTCATGATAATGACAGATCAAGACCCCGATGGGTCGCACATTAAAGGACTACTTATAAACCTATTTGATACCTACTGGAATGGTCTTGCAAGGAGCAACAAGTTTCTCGATTTCTTCATCACGCCAATTGTGCGGTGCACGCAAGCCCGCAACATGAAGACATTCTATACCATTCCAGAGTACAAAAAGTGGACGCAGACAGTGACTGATCTTCCAAAGTGGAACATTAATTACTACAAAGGGTTAGGATCCAGCAACACGACCGATGCCAAACAATACTTCCAACAGATAGCAAACAACAGAAAAACCCTTATCTACAACCCAGAGTCTGCTTCAAAGCTGAAGCTGGCCTTCGACAAGAAGCTGGCAGACGACAGAAAGACCTGGATATCGGGCACAGATCCAGACACATATCTTGATCTCTCGCCCACAAAAATCGACATAACGGCGTTTGTTGACAAGGAGCTTGTACTTTACGATATCGAATCTAATCAACGTGCAATTCCGTCGCTCATGGATGGGCTCAAACCTGGTCAGCGAAAAGTGCTGTATGCATGCTTTAAGAGAAACCTGAAGACGAAGCTGAAAGTCTCCCAGTTATCCGGCTTTGTCTCGGACAAGGCGGCATACCATCACGGCGAGGCCTCGCTAAACGGAACCATCGTCAACATGGCGCAGAGCTTCACAGGCAGCAACAATATTGCCTTGCTCTACCCTGCAGGTATTTTTGGGTCCCGCGCACGAGGTGGCAAGGACAGCTCTGCTCCTCGTTACATTTCTACATACTTGGATCCTCTTGCAAGGTATCTTTTCCCAGAACCGGATGATGCTATTATGCAGTATAAGGAAGACGACGGAAAGGTTATCGAGCCGTTTTACTATGCTCCCATCTTGCCTATGGTTCTTATCAATGGCTCTGATGGTATCGGAACAGGGTTTAGCACAACAATACCCCAATTTGATCCTTTAGATATGCTCCATAGTATAAGACTGCGGATCTATGGGAAGACAACCCGCCGCGAGAAGAGGACTCTCAAGCCGTTCTCGAATGGCTGGAAAGGAACAATGACCCATGAATACGATAAGAGTGGCAAATTTGTCCGCTGGAGAATGACAGGGTGTTTTTCAGTGGTGGATCTCAAGACAATACAGATAACGGACCTACCAATCGGTGTGTGGACGGAGTCCTATCGCGAAGAGATAGAGACATGGGTTAAGGGTAACGAAGACGCAGGGACCGCGAAGAAGCCAGCAACCAAGGTCTCTGCAACCACGAAGGGAAAAGCCAAACTAAAGGGAGCCTCTGGTGCTGCAAAGGAGAAGCCGGCCGCTAAGGACCAACTGTATGACTCCGTTACTGGCTATTACAAGGGCATCCATCCAGCCCTCATGAAGGTCATAGACATGAGTGACAACAATACTGTCAATATCATCGTCACTCTTAGTGATGAATGCGCAAGATACCTCATTGGCACCTCTGATGTAGACATAGAGACCTGCAACACAGCGGGGACGGCAAGGTACGATAACATAGTGAAGGGCTTTAAACTCGATGGAAGCATTAGACCGTCGAACATGTGGCTCTACAACGAAAGGAATATGCTATGCCTTTATCACACACCCTTCAAGATCATAGACGCCTTCTACGCTAAAAGATTAGACTTGTACAGAGTGCGGAGGAACAATCAGATAATTGACATGGATGATAGATCATTAATGCTAAATGAAAAGGCGCGGTTCATAAAGCTCATCATCGAGGATAAGCTCAACATAAAGAACGTGCCCCGCGATTCCGTCACAGAGCTGTTATGGGGCAAATACCAGTTCCATCCCTCTCGCAAGCATCGTATAATTCTGCTCAGTCATCGTAATCTGATCAATAAAAGACAGGCACTAAAGATTGATGAGGACTCTGAGAGACCAGAGGAGGACGATGATGCAGACCAGCGAGATCTAGAGAAGCACCTCGAGGCGACTGTGAAGGATCTTATCGGGCCCCAGTTCTTCGATGCCATTAATAGCTGGAGCGGATTCACTGTTCAGGATAGAAACGAGTGCTACGAATACCTCTTACGTATGCCGATTTCTACAATGACTAAAGAGAGCTACAGAAATCTGCTGTCTTCTGCCGAGCTAATAAGAGCAGAGGCCGAAAAGCTCAGGAACACCACGGTGGAGAATATGTGGCTCAGAGACCTTGCAGCGTTCGAAGCAGCCTATGAAGTGGATCGCCACATGGAGCAAACCAAGTCTGCAGAGACACGCCGGCTGACCGTCACAGAGACGATGATCCAGGGCAAGCTAGAGGAATCTGAACGAAAATACAAGGCCATGGATGACCGGGTCGGTGACTCAGACAATGAGATAGAGTACAGTACTACTAGAGACGATCAAGGGCTCAAGATAAAGGGGGAGCCAAAGCCAAAGAAAGAACATGTGCCGAAAACAGCTCCTGCCTCCAAGGCAAAAGTACAAAAACCGGAAGAGGGGCTTGAAACCGCACCTACTGAACCGAAGAGGAAAAGACCGGCCGCAGCACCTGTTGACACCAAGAAGGCCTCTGCAAAGCGTGGGAAGAAGGAGGAGTCGTCCTTTACAGAGTCAGAAACTAGCGCCACAGAATTAGACAGTTCTGTTCTGGAGGACGATTATTCTTATGTCAGCTACACTTACGATGAAGACGATGAAAATGGAGAAGATGACCTTTAAATCTGGTGCGGCGATAGAAGATACTTGCGGTAAATGTCGTGTGCTTACTTGAAAGTAAACGCTCGAAAGGTGCAAAAATCTGTCCTATTACTGATTGCGTCCCACACTAACCTATACCTATTCAAAAAATAGCAAAATAATTAATTATTTGGGTTCCCAGGAATCAAAGAAATGGACAACGATGATCAGGTTTTCAACGACGTGTTCAATTTATCCAAGGGCGTGTTCATTACTATTTTGGTTGTGATCATAATAGTCGCCCTTGGCATGGTGGCTACGTGCATCACCCTTCCGATTGTCCTCTGTGGACTCTGCCCGTGTTGTCACTGTTGCGAATGCTGCGATCGAAAGTCTAGAAGGTAGCGTTGGCTTAGTGTGCTTTGATGGGTAGATTTCTGGTTCCGCTTCAGACACTCGCGAGTGCCACGTTCTGGTGGTTCACGGGCATATGTCTAGGATGTGACGCTAAGAACCGTACTTAGTCCTGCAACATGACCCGCTCTGATCAGTGTGGAATATGTAAATTTACCGATTGATTACGGCCGTCGTTACCAGCATTCCGCAGATGAACTGATTGTTTAGAGCGGTAGCAGCCTCTGTGGCCGCGCAGTCAGTGGAAAAAGAGAAAAGGGCATACCCGTCGTGGTAAACCTGGCCGGTCACAGCACCGAATCTCTCCAAGATTCCCTTGAGCCTCTCCAGAAATTTACCAGGTAACCCGCTCCCTAGACTAGCAGGGCATGCGCAATCATCTATGTAGTTGAGAGGCCTAATGAATGTCACTCTTAAAACCTGCTGCGTAAAAACGCCTTGTTCTATGTCTGCGCGAGAATCTTGGATTGCCAGCTGTTTACCATATAGCTCAACGCCGGATAAAACGGCCTTACAATACTCAGCCATTTCTTTCGTCCCCACGTCAACGAATCCATATTGCTTCTGCAAACCCGTCAGGGGATCCACCGGGATGTTAACGCGTTGCACCTGGGCAACCTGTGTAAAGAGCTCGTACAGCAGATCTTCTGTGACCTTGCTATCAAGGTTCCGAACAAAAAGGGACGTTAATTTTTTGACTTTGATGGCTAGGGCTGCAACCAACATAAGCGGCCTGTTTGAAGACGACTTTGAGGAGTGCACTGCAACCCTGCCATCCTTTGGAGAGTGCGAACCTGCCTCCAGACGTACGATCACTGTTGAAGCGCGTCACCTAATTCTCCCAAGCGCAGAAGCTACGCAAGCAGGGCACCCCATATTTGCACACCTTCAAGCAGAAGAAAGTGTCCTCCATCAGATAGCATCAAGCAACCATCGTGTTCACTTCTCTGAGGATGTGGACTACACGATCCCGTCTAGGCGTAGTGTCCTTGACGAGCGCTCATCAAATATGCATGGATGGAAGGGTGTGTCTAGAAAAGGCCCGGCTTATGACTACGATTCGGAGGCAATTAGCCTCGTCAATAGTGTGTCTTCCGTCACTACACGAAGATCCACCCGTACATTGGCGTCTCACTTATACCCATCCTCGGCTGTGGCTCCTATTGATCACGGTAGCACCTCTTATCCATGCGCTACGGCACCTACCTCAACAACGAAAAGCACCAAGAACACTTTGGATAAGCATAGAGCAAGAACACCTTCTTCCAGAGCCAACAATGTAGTATTCCATAAAGTGCCACTGCCTACAATCAAGTCTAGTCTCCCTAAAAGGTCCTACATCAAAACCAAAAGAACTACTGGAAAGTCACCCTTTGAGTTGATCTTTCTGATATCCTACCCCATGGTTCTGGGTTACCTCTCGGTCTCTCTTTATATCCTGTTTGATTACGAGGTGGTCATAGACACCTCTGGATTAGCGAATCTCACCGGTCTGGTTTACTTTACCCCGTTAGAGCAAATCTTGATTACCCAGCTCTACCTAGCTTTTGGCTCTTCTGCCGGCACCATCATGGAAAAATACTATTCACAGTTTAAAGACAATCAAAAAGATACGCAATCACGGATTATGAGCGAACGGGTCGTTGCTTACTATTTCCTCTTTGGACTGATACTGTCCCTGGTCATCTCAGTTACTATGGTTCTGTTTATTGACAAGCTTGTGAGAATCTTCGCGGCCAATCCAGCAAATCACTATAACTACGTTGCTTCTACGCTGGAATATGCATACCCCATTCTCTTCTTTGGCCCATTCATCTACTTCATAAGTTCGGGCTTGGTCCCTGTCCTGCGAACAATGAGCTTAGGCGCATACTGCCTTGTTCGCCAGCTAATTGGGGGAGCAGTCTTTCTCGTAACAACAGCAATACTGATGATAGCATTAAAGCTTGCCAATAGCGGGGCTGCGTGGGGGATACTGGTTGGAGAGCTATGCACGGGTCTTTTCTTCCTATTCAATTTCCTGGAGCCGCTTCACTTACGAGCTAAAATGCTCGAGACGCGCCTCCAGTTGGCCTTCAAAGGCTGCCGTTTCTCGAAGAAGACAACCACCACTTCTTCTCTTGTGACGGTATCGACCAGTGAAACACAAAAGACGACGCGTAAATCCGGTCTAAAATCAAGGGGTGCACGATCACACGCAGAAGCCGTTCCTCGTATATATCTAAAGGCGCAGCGATACGGTGACTTCGACTGCTCTCTCTTTTGCAAGTTCTTAACACGTGGGCTGACTAACTATTTAGGCTACTTGACCCCACCCCTCACTGCTCTGATAGGCATCATCCAGCACTACAAATACGGCGGCAAGAATGCACATCAACGCCAAATCGCTACCGGACTGGCTTCGCGTTACCTGGGAACATATCAGTCGCCACTAACTGGCCTAATTGCTGGAATAACAACTGTGGTAGATTATTACTGGAGCAGAAAGAAGTACCTGAACTTCAAGAAGGCCTTTTACACCGGAACGCTAGCGATGCTTCTCTTCTGCGTATGCTACACTATTGTATTTGAAAGCCTGCTCCCGTACTTCGTTCAGTCGTATGAGCTGGATAGCTCTTACCAGAAGAACATTGTCAAAAATGGACGGATTGTGTTTAGTTTTATTACGTTCCAAACACCTTTTTATATGGCCGTCATACTAGCCCAGATCCTCAAGCAAGATAGGATATCAATCTTTTTAACAGCGTTGCGACTTGCCATTGGCACTGCGTGGAATATCATTTACCCCTTGGCTACTAACTCTACCGACTACATGATACATGGAATCGCCATAGCAGATATCCTCGGCGGGCTTAGCGGGATGGTGTATCTGCTTGTCAAGTTCAACTATATTCGGGGAATAATACGTGAGGAGCAGCTCAAGCACAAAACAGAGACAATCATGCACAGGTGTGCTAGCATAACGCAGTTAGAAAAGCCTCCTGAATCCATATATGTCTCTCTTCTTGAGAAAGTAGACGCCACCACCTATGAAATCAAGAAAGACAGCTGCCTGGGTGAGTCTACTGAGATCGGTTATCTGGAAGAAGACATTCCAGCGACAAAGACGTCCCCTTCAACGATGTCCTGTCTGTCACGTATGCAAAGCGTCCAGTATCTCTCTCAAGCTGAAGAGCAAAGCATATCCATTGCACATAAAATCACCGCAATTCCAACTCGGTATACTAGCGCGTTAAGCATCATAGACACCGCGCCCACTCAAGACAAATCGAGGAAGCACCGCAAACTAAGCCTGTGACGGCGAAGGGTCGGCATCATTTCTTGAGAATTTACTTTAGAGGCCGTGTCACCTTAGTACGTTGTAGTGAGGATCCCCTAGAATGGTGTAGCTAGGATAATATGCAATCCAAATATCGGCCTCTGATGAGCCCTCAGGATCGAAGATGCGGACGTCGTCGTCTGGCGTAAGTAGGTGTATCCTCACCCTCAGCACCTTTGCCGCTACAGAGCACTCCAGCTCGTCTCCCATGGCTTCTGTCTTCACGCCCTCCACGTACGCTGCAAGCGACATCTGGACCATCACATTTATCATGTCTGCATAGATATCTGCATGTGCGGCAATGTAGTCCCCCACTAGGTTTCGTAGATGCCTGACAGCCTCTCCCGAATTCTCAGATGGCCCGTGAAGGCCTGCAATCAGAGAATTGTACAAACAGTGATTGTCTGCCTCAACGGTTATGACCCGCTTTCCCAAGGCGGCGGCCTTCTGGTTGATCCGTTGGATGAAGCCAAAGCGCGCTCCAGGGCCTGAGCGGGCTTCTGTCTTTTTCACATATCTCTCGATGATCTCGTTATCCATTGCGGTGCGATTCACCGTCGAGCGAAGGACTTTATGAGATGCCTGCTCTGCCATGCGGTTTGCATGAGCCAGGGCACCCCCAATTAGGCCTCTTGCATCCTGTGGAGGGAGAAAGCCGGCACGTACTGGATCTTCTGCGACATTATCTGTTTTCCCAGAGGCTACAGGATGTGAAGGCCCTGCGTTCAAAAGGATCTGGGCTTTCTTCGACGCTCGCTCAGAGCCGCTGAGCACAGCTTCTTCTGATACATGGCGGTCGCGCATCTGCTGCTTCAGCCTTGAGAGCTGCTGCACGGCGCGGCTCTTATCGATTGGTTTCGTGTACTCGGAGCGAATGCTCGTTGCAAAGCGTTCGTATTCGACTAACTCCGCATGGTGTCTGCGTTTCATGTCCTCCTCTGCTTCCTCGGACGGTGGCTGGAAGCCTGCCCGGAGGCTGTTCGGGAGGCGATCATTCCAGTCAAAATAGGACATGCAAATTTTGAAATTTGTTACTCGTCCCCAAGATATACGGTATTAGAGAGACGGCCTTCTGTGCCATCTGCAACGAATGTAGAAACGGGGATAACCTGTTTTCCGCCGGAGAATGTCTTGTGCAGTCGAGATGAGAGCTTGTCTATTTCCTGGGTTCTTGTTGTTGCACGAAGCGACATCCGCAGCCGCTCTTTATCTGCAATGCGTGGATCTCTTATGGTCCTGTTATCCTCGATGCAATGCTGGTTGCCAACGCTTGAGCTTGCGTTCTCGGTGTCTCCAAGTGCCTGGAGAATGGCCTCTGTGAACGCGTCCTTCACGGTTGTATCTGGCGGCTGTAAACTAGAGTTAGAGTCCTTTCGTAAAGCTGTTATTTGCGCCTGAAGTGCCTTTATTGAGCTCTGAACGCCCAGAAGCTGCTCCTCATAATTGCGATTTGGCGACACATGGTCTGGTACGTCTACACGAGGACAAGAGAAAAGCCTCTGGTTTATGTTATGGAGGGTTTCATCGGAAAGTGCGCTTCTTAATAGAGACGTAGCTCCTGCGCAGATTAACGGAAAGTTAACAGAAGATGGCTGAACTTGTGTTTTGTAAAGCTCCCGAAGCTGTGAAAGATGTACCTCTGGGTACGTTACCTCAGCGCTCTGATCTTCTAACTGTAAGCCAGGAGACTGGGTGTTCCCTAGCTGCCTTAGGAAAGTGTATGCATCGAGTGGAATGTCTTGGAGCTCCTTGCTGAGGGCTTGCAGAAAACGTAGTGCATCCCCAATGTTTGGAGGAACGCGAGGACGAGGCACACTCTCTGGACCCGGTGTTGTTACCTCATAGTTATGCTTTGCAAGACATCGGATGACACTCTCATAGCAGGCTTGATCCTTTTCAGCGTTTAGAAGCTCTCTGTATATGTCTGAGATCCTTTTAGCCAATAAGGCTTCAACATCAAGCTCTTCCAAAGCGAGGCTAATCTGCGTACTGCAGTATGGAACCAATTGCCCCGGAGAAAAGTTCAATCTCGCGCTGCTGGACGAGCTTCCAGTTGCCGCAATGCTCACTTGACGGATTAGCGGCGAATTCACAGGCATGTTCAAAGATTCGTCGAAAAACGTTGTGCCAGAAAGGTTTTCTTTCGCGGCCTGGTCTATATCTGTGCCATCAGCCATTGCACTGAGGTCGACAGAGGATAAGCGCCGCAAAAGACGCTTACTCTGCTCACGTACGCAGTAAATAGAAAGGCGAAACACCATGTTCATGTACTTCGCCGAGAATCCTAGGAACTCCGACCGGGGCACAACTTCAAAGCCAGCCATGTTGCTCAAGGCAGAGGCAATGACGTATGCTCTATCGCGAAAAAGAGACAGCTCACAGGTCCTAAAATGTATCAAATTGGAGCCCTTTTCTGGCTTAAGAAAGGCGAACTGCTGCTGGGCTTCGTGGCGATCGGCTATCATCAGCAAAAAGTGCATAACGCAGGCCTTCTCACGGGGAGACCCCTTCAGAAAGGTGTAGCTGTTGGGTGTAAACCCATAGGTCTCGGAGAACAAGGCCGACTCCTGGAGAAGAAAGATATTAGTAAGTGCAACGATCTCCTGGCTCTGTGGCCGGAGAATCCTCGGGACAGCTGGCCTATGCGATGGGCCTTTTTGCGGAAGGGGCTTCTGCATGGTAGCTGCCGCAGGCTACGTCTCAGAATTTGAGCAGCACACAAAAAAATCTCCATGGCTGAGATTAGCCTCCACAGCTTGCTCGGGATTAGCACCTCTTTCGGCACCTTTCAGGCCAGGAATTTCATAGTCCATCCTTCTGGATCCCTTGTCTATTCAACGGGAAAGCTTCTAATCATACACAATCCGGAAACAGGCGAGCAGCGCATATTTCCGGGGCACACACAGACAATTACCACAGTGGCTGTTTCACCGTGCGGGAAGTATGTTGCTTCCGGGCAAGATACCGATGGAGCAGGCCAGAGTTGCATTTTCCTCTGGACCTACGAATCGGGCGAGTCTGTGGTACTCGAGGCTTTCCCCTCCGGAGTTAGGTTCATTGACTTTTCGCCAGACTCCCACTTTTTGGCGGCATGTTCATTGACATGTGGGCTCGTTGCGTGTTGGTCATGTGATGATTACACCGTTATAGGCCGCTTCACCGCAAAGGATGCATCTTGCAACACATTTGTTGCGTTTGGCCAGATTGCTCCGGATGAAGCAAAGAAACCTCGGCCTTCGATGAACTTCGTCTCAGTAGATTACAATAAGATTTACAGCCACCTTCTGGTCTTCAATAGAGCAACTCTTACATATGAAATGACTACCTCAACTATCGCCATGCCAACAACAGGCACAGTTCGTACGTTTACCACTGGGCTTGTCTCGGGTGATTTCTGTTTCTGTGGCACACCCTCTGGGGAGCTTTGTGTATTCAATCTAAAGACCTCCACCTTGCGAACTATCCTTAAGTACTTTAAGTGCTCTGTCACCAGTATACTGCTATTACAGGAATCGCGCACATATCCTGTAGTTGCCGAATGCTACGCTTTGTCATCCAGTGACGGGGACGTCATAGTGATCTATGGGCAGGACATGCTCTTTAACGTCGTGTCTGACCTATCAATGGAATCTTCCTCTATCACATGTCTCTCGCACTGCATTGCAGGCGCGTGCTTGTACGCTATAGTAGGCTCTGGGGCTGTATTCCGCTTTGAGCTAGAGCGAGCTATGTTGCAAGGCGATCTGGCACGAGAAAAGTACGATTCCGTCTACTTAAATAAGCGGGGCAACGTCGGGGAACTTCCTGGGCAACAGGGCTTCAATAACTTCGGACCACAAGATCGCAAGTTTACCGTGACCCCTCTTCGAAAGTCAGATGCCCCGCCCACTAGCGCAAATCTCATAGTAGGCTTTTCTCTGGGCCAACGGAGTCTTGTTTTCTCATTTCCAACATTACCCCTTGTTGTTTCGTGTAGCCTTGTTGTTGGCGGCCAAGAGTATCTCGTGGGCGCTACCCAGAGTGGTACCGTGCAGGTCTGGCATCTGCTTGGGCTTGGCTCTGCAGCGACACGAGATAACCCCACTTCTTTAATTGCAACTATGCAAGTCTCCTCAGCAAGCACGGCTGCAACAGCAATCTGTACACTCGAGGACACTATCTACGTAGGCTTTAGCAATGGAAGCATTGCGGCACTGAAGATGGTCCCTGTGGCAGGGGAGGGCTTTGTGTTACGAAAACTCTTTGACATACCAAACGCACATAGAGCAGCAGTTTCAGCTTTGGATGTTAACTCCCAATTCCTTGCCTCTGGCGGCGCAGACGGGGGGATCTTCACATATAGCCCATCATCTGGAGCCTACTTAGCAAAGATCACAGGCAACTTTTGTCACATCTTCAGCGTCAAGTGTGACATCCTGGTCCCCACCATCTTGCACGCTAGCTTTTCTGAAGGTTATATCCACACGTATGACTTGAAGAACGCAGCACAGCCCAAACGGTTAAAGAACCGTCAGTTGCCAGGGGGGTCGAATGGCTTTGCATATTCGATCAGCCAGGTTCCTGTGGGGCGCTACGAGCTGGCTTGCGCGTGTGTGGACGGCCTTCTCCGGTTCTTTGACTTCGATGTAGATGCCCCTGTACAGGCAATTGCCCTTCCATCTTCTGTCTTCGTTAACCGTAAAGGTAGGTATATGATAGATTGCAACGACAAGGTGCTGATAAGTGCTGGATGCGAAACCGAGGGCGACGAAGTGATCATGTCTCTTGTTTGTGGGGCTGATGATTGGATCCCAGCCGACACGCAGTTCTGCAACGGGGTAAACGGTGCCAGTGTATGGCTGAGTAAGCTCGGCTCCCAGGTTGTACTGACGGGCTTTTCCGGAGAAGTTGCGGTCTACGACATAACCCTCCAAGCGGCTTCTGAGACACAGTGAACATCCCCATTTACTCTTGAACTGATCCACCACAGCTCTACTGGCACGCACTGGTGTGGGGCTAGGATGTTACAGGCGTTGCCGCTATTGATAGATATGAACAACGGCCTGGGATGTCTTCTCTAGAAACGCAGGAAATGCAGACACCATTCCCTCGCTAGCAATGAGCCGGACTGTTTCGATCACCGTGTTCTCATTGAACCCCACTTCACAGAGGCTCTCTACTATAGTGGATATCGGAACATTTTCTAGTATGCTTTCGCATATGTACTGACGCCAGTTATTAGGGATGATCTGTTTCATGAAGCAGTAGAGCTCTCTGACGCTCACAAGCTTGAACTGCACGTTGAAGGAGAGCTGCAGAAGATTTCTTTTCACGTTGTCTATGAACTCGGGGCTCTTCGACTCCTTGAGAAGAGCGGTCTCAATGCTGTCCTCTGTGACATAGCCCCGGTGAATGTAAGCACAGTTATACTTCATATATTCCGCCAATATATTCAAGGTGCAGGAGTAAAGAGGTGTGAAAGGTGGGGCATGGCGCATCTCCTCAAACATGGGATAAACGAGCTTCTCTGATACTTCTGGATGCGTCATGCTAGAAAGCTCTTCTACCTCGCGGTATATGGCGGAGACCTCGTCAGCGGTCGGCGTCAGTTTCAATCCAGCAAGCGCGCGGCGGATATCTGACCGAGTAATATAGTCTCTCCCCTGGGCAAAGACGTCAAACAGCCGAACCGTGGTGGTCTGAGGCTCTTTGTAGAACCAAGAAATACTACCCAGACCCATTTAATTTTTGAGGCCCTAAACTCCTTCCGATCACTTCTGCTGAAGCTGCTCCAGATAACCCGGGAGGTCATGAAGGGCCGTGATGGTTGCTTTGGTGGATGCGTTAGCACTCATCAAAACAGATCCTGCGACGGGCGTTGAAAAAGGGATGCTACCTTCGGGAAGCATGTATGGAGCTGGAACGAGAGTTAGGTCGCAGTATCGCGTGCAAAATGGGGAAGCCGTTGGGTGATCAAAACGGTTGGATAATAGGGGCCCAAAGAGCTCCTGCTCACTTTTGAGCAGAGCATCCGGCGTCGTATACCTCGTCTTCTGCATCGTTTTATTCACAGCCTTATAGAGGGGGAGGTAATCGGGGTTCCACGGCTGCATGGCGCTGTGAATCTTTTAAATTTAGAGATGAAGAAAGAAGGACAGAACATCCTCCTCATATATGGGGATTCTAACGGGGCAGGGTACCCCCACAATTCCAGAGCACCCAACCTGGGAGACGCCTCTTGGCCCCAGCTCCTCAGTAAAGCCCTTGTGGCCAACGGGGTAGAGAACTGGACGGTCCACAATGATTCAGTACCGGGACGCAGCCTTTCAGGAGAAAGTTCTGCTAAGGAGCAGTTCACTCGGCTTATTACACGATACCAGGACAAGGCCCAGACGCCAAGACTCATTCTCATCTTAGCTCTGGGCACCAACGACCTGAGTTATGAGGCAACGGCTGCTCAAATAACAACTGAAATCAATTGGTACATATCTACTTGTCGAGCAAAGCGCGCTGACGCGGATATTCTTTATGTCACACATCCAGGGATAGTGTATGCGAGACTGACAGGCTTCTGGGAACGGAAGTTCAAGGGTACGAAGGGCTTAGAGCAAGCGGTTCACGCTCTTCTGCCAGACGTAGCATGCACTGTCCTGGACTCTCATTGCCTTGGTACAAACATTGTTGGAGACGACGGGCTCCACTTCACCCACTCGGGACACGCAGCCATGATGCAGTTCGTTTACCCTCACATTGCCAGATTGATATTATCTGAGTGTGAATCTCACGCATCTAGAGAGACGCAAAACCCGGTTTAATAATAAATCTGGACTTCATGGATTCCTTTACGACATCTCCAACCCCCAGTAGCATGCCCCCGTCTGTATCGGTGACCCCATCTCTCCGGTCTTTGGCCACACCGCTTGCGGACCATGTGAACTCCACGCAATATTGGGCGCCCATCGATCCCCTAGCCATATCAAACAACGGGTTTGACTCCCAGACCTCAAGCCCCAGTCACACATCCGGCATAACAGCTAAGTATTACAGACCCCGGTCAGCTGTCCATAGAAGAGACACAACCCCGGAATGTGTTTCTCTCTTGAAGCAGATTACTACCAACTCCGTAGCTAGCAGCATTACGCCTGCGCTGTCTGTTTCTCAGTCAATGACGCCCTCCTATTCTGAGTACGAATTCTATGATATCCAGGCCCATCTGGGTAAGCCACACACCCTGACTTCCCATCTGCCAACCCCCGCCTCTCGTGCATCCAAGAACACAATACAGTCGTTTGCACTCCCACGTGCGCCACAATCCAATGGAGGGCCCTTGCGACAAGGTCTTGAGCAAAGCAACCAGAGCAAGTGGGCAGAACTCATGGTGCGAGCCAGAAATACATTGAAATGCAAGGCCGGCGCACAGGTCAATGAGCAAGCGATATTGCACATGTTTGAGCGTCTTGTGAACTTTGCAGAGACGACACAAGCTCAAAAATCGCTTCCGTCTGTTGTGTCAGCCAAATCACAGACCAAGCCAAAGCAGCGCGGGAGTGTTCTACGGTCTGTACCTCTAGCTGGGGGCGAGGTGGATCCAGATGAGGAGCTCGAGTGCTCCACGCGTGGTATCCGCAAGGAAGACAAGGATGACTACCGTAAGGTTTTGCTGGAAGAACTGGAAGCTTACACTGACACTGCCCTTGGAATGCATGTAGATGCCATGGCTAACGACATAGACGAGACGGGCGTCTTCTCTGTTCAGGCTCGACAAGCAGCTCTTCTAAGCACTTTTCAGGAAGGATTTAGATGCGGATTCATTTGGGGAGTCCGATTTTATGATCCTGACCCTTCCTGTGCCGTTGCAGACGGTGAAACATACAGAACCAGGGGTAGAGCGTCTCCAAAGGGTGCGCAAGCGGTCTCTCAGGATTGCTCTGGAGAAAAGGAGGGCTTTAATGCATTGCTCAAGCAATTGCGTACATCACAGCTTCAAGACCTTCTTTCTAGAATAGCATTGGAGCTTCCTACGCAACCCGCAGCTCCAGCTGAGTGCGTGGCGCTGGTCCAGGCTGCAGTAAAGGGCCAGAAGCAGGTGCTAGCGTATCGGAAAATACTGACACTTGCAATTGAGAAGCTCCTCTTTTTTAAGCACTTAATCACAATGACTCGCACAGCGTTACCCTCTCAGGTTGATCTCATCGAGGAAACCGATCCTGTGTTGCTTAATCAGCGCCCCGAATTCACCGACGCCTTTGTGGAGCAGCTGCCGGACATTCTTCATAAAGAGGGTAACAGGGTAGCATATGCGCTCAAGGAAGCGTGCAGGCTCAAAGAGTTCCGTGCGGTCATAGCCAAAGCCCTTGGGTATCAGCAAGTTGAGCAGCTAGCTGATCTGTACGACCTTGAAGACGTTAGAGATGCTCATGCAGAGCTACTTACCCTCTTCCGGAATCTTCAGCGAAGTGGGTCTTCGCAACAAGCAGGTGCCTTAGACATATTACTGCCTCTCGGGCCTTATGTTGATGAATTTCAACGGCGCACCGTGAAGTCTCACATCGGCCTCAATCCGACTGGGAAGGATGACCTTATAAAGGCCGCAGACACGTTCTTGTACAGTGTTGGCCCAGAGCGCTTTAAGCTTGTCCAGGATGGCGTTGATGCTACTGTCCGGCGGCATCCTGAGATACTTTTGAGGCTGACGAAAGAAGAAGCATACTCGGCCGTTGCAGTATTTGTCTTCGTGGTCAACTATTGCTGCAAGATGTTCAGTTGCACGTCGGTAATAGGGCTTCTTCCAACCGTCTCAAAGATTCATGTTCAGCTCAGTTCTTTGCAGAATCTTGCGGCTGCGCTAAGAAAGACTCTCGGATTCACGGGAGACGCGTCCCACAACAGGATCATCGAGCGGGTCAATGCGATCGCCCTTCACACAGCTGAACGAGTTGGTGTCTTCACTCCCACAGAGGCAGGTGAAATAATGTCTGCTCTTGGAGTCACCAACGTGGCAGACGTCATCCCAGCAATAAGCTTGCTAAAGGCTAGAGGGCCATGAAGCTGCAATGATTAATTCTTAACCTATCTTTACTGAGAGCGAAGGGAGATCCCTCACGTTGACGCATGAGCCAGGACAGGAATCGGGACAGCTGCGTGCTGATAGCGACTCAGATTTTTGTTAGCCTTTAGAAGAACACTTGTGGGCCGTTGCACCGGGTCAATTTTTAACATAGATCTAATGAAGGAGCGTAGTTCAGAGGAATACTGGTCGGGCATGTAAACCTCAAACTCTGAGGATTCGCTGACATACACGGGCGGCACTCTCAGGGTGCATAGTTCCAGAAGGACACAGCCGAGAGACCAAATGTCAGACGGGGGCCCGTAGTACTCCCCCTCTTTAATCTCCGGGGCACGGTAGGCGGGAACCCCGACCACTCCAGTCACAGATCGATCTACCTCATTAAAGGGACTGTTGCTTGCTTTTGCAACGACTGCGATCTCAAAGTTATCCAGCTTTAAGACTCCGTCCCCATTGATACCGAAGCTCTCGGGAGAAATGTATCTGTGAGCAACGGCGCATCGCTCGCCGTCCTCCGTTTGATTGTGCAAGAACGCAAGGCCGGCTATTGCTTGAGCAGCAATGTTCCAGACGATAGCCTCGTCGATATAAACGCTTCTTCCTGATCTGTATGTTCCTAGTGCGGGCGGCTCGCCTTGGTGACTGACTACTCCAGAAGTAGCAAGACCACGATAGTAATTAATCAATTCGCGGAGGGATCCACCAGCGCAGAGCTCTGTCTCCACATAGTGGACATCTGCCTCTGGATCGCCGAAGCTGGCGTAAAACCGAACTATGTGGCGGTAGTACATGCACTGGAGAATCTCAATGCCCTCTATGAGCTGGCGGCGATCCGCAATAGACATGGATGTGACATTGTACTCCTTGAGCTGGACAAGCTCGTTGTCATATACGCGATAGGCACTAAAGCAACGTCCGAAGATGCCCTCTCCTATTTGCTTCAGCTCACGATAATCGTTCTGCACTCCGCGGACCACAGTGCGACCATGTAAAGGCATTTTTTAACGGTGTTTACACGCCAAGATACGAAGCTCTCAGAACGAGCGTCATGGACAGTATCACGGATAGATATGCCATCAACAACAAGCCTTATTTGCGGACCTCTCCTTGGATTGCTCCATAGATACTACAACCGGATTCATAGATGGGGTTTGAGCTTGCTGTATCACCAGCAGCTCCGCAAGAGTTGCCACACAAAGATGCTGGAAGGCGCATTGCAGATTTGCGCCGGTCAGCGCACTTGTCGTGTACATTCCCGCAAATCGGTTTTCACGAGCAAATTTTGCGACTGCCTCACCGTTCTTTGCGTACCACGCGTTGGCTGCCTCTGAATCTATCTTATTACAGCAAAGAATACATGGTATGGGGACATCTGTATCCATTAGCTTGACCTTTTCGTCTATGTCCTTCTTCCATCCGAGAACGTCCTCGTAGAAAGTTGGGCTTTCGAGGTCCCCAACGACCACCGCGGCAACTGCGTTACGATAGTATGCTCTAGTCAGGCTTGTGTAGCGTTCTTGACCCGCGATGTCCCAGAGTTGGGCTCGTATGCTGACAGACGGCAGGGCGTATATGGGGTGTGTCTTTGGCAGGGACATCTTGCTTCCACCTTCATAGCAAGGGGGTCGATAGGAGCTCAGGTTAATTTGCATCGTGGACGTGTCGCTAACGGTTGGCGCTGTGTAGTAAACATCTGGAGGAGCTCCTGTGAGGTATATCTGGATTTCCTCCTGAGGGATGACAAAGTGGGTAATTGCAAAGTCAACGCCCAGCGTCGATTTGTATGAGTTGGTGAAGGTGTTATGGACGAGTCGCTTTATGCAGCACGTTTTGCCAGCGTAAGCCTTGCCCACAACAAGGATTTTAAACATAAAGGGTGTGGCCTGCTGGTTGGTACTCATCTGAGAAGCTTGATGTGCCAGACGAGAGTTTTTGATTGCTATAAATTATGTCAGAAATCCTAGCATTCAAAGCCAGAACCCCATGAGCAGCCCCGTCCTCTTCTAACAAAGTAAGTAACAGTTTCATTTTGCAGTTGTAACCTATGAAGCATTGAAGCATAGCTCTTTGAGGTACTCCATTCAATATCCTATGTTATAGCCTTGACCCTGCTCCATCCGATGCGTGCTTAAAGCGCTGGCCCTCTCAGAAGACTTCTCTGAAGTGTTTGAGCGGGCCAATGGTCGAAGAAACTGTAAGGTTCGGAAAGAAGTAAAAGAAGTAGCTTTTTATAAATAAGAACGTAGCGGATATGCAGCTTATTCTAGAATACAGAGGTTAAATTCCAGTGTCATGGACTTTCACAAACGCGAGCCCGGGGCCATGATTACGAACTGAATTGGCCAAAAATTAAATTGGCAAAAATCTTCAAAATCTTGCATCTATGCAACTGCAGATAGCTGCTAGAAAGCAAGCGCTGAAGGAAAATGAGGTGCACACACCAACGTTTTCTGCGCCAACTTTCTCTGTGCATGATTCTGTTCCCAGATTGACTGGGGTAATCGGTCCACCCTCTCCCACTGTTCCGAGCAGTGTGGAGGGTAAGTTGAGTCGCAAGTGGGACATTTCCTTCACACGAAAAGAAGAAGATGCACAGAAGTTAGATGAGCACGATATAGCAGCCGTTCTTCGGCCGAGGGCCCCCTCTATCGACGAACATGCCCGCCTCGCCAAACTTGTCGTTAAGTTATGCTCGAAAAGAAACAGAGACCTGCGAAGGAAGATTAGCAAGAATATTGAACAGTCCCCGCCCTCTACAATCGAGTCTGCCTCAGCAAAGCGATCGGTCGAAGAGCGTCTCCAGCGTCAACTTGACAGATACCAGCGGGTCCTACTATCTAAAAGAAACGCTGGGGCAGACGAGCTAGACACAGAGTTGATTCGCAACGCAAGGAACGTCTTCTCCTATGTTCATCTGCGCGATCGGGTGAGGGCCGACACGCACAGAGACCTCAGTGAAAGCGGAGATGACCTATGGGACTGTGAAGACTAAGCCGGAAGAAGAACGACGTGTGTGCAGAGAACACAGGCAGTGGATTGCTGCCCCGTGACACCGTTTGCATCGCACATGTTAGCCATGTATGCAGCTCTTCCCAATCCCTGGAAGAAATGGTCAATAAGGGGTCCATCTTCGCCGTATCTGTAAAGGAACATCGCACTGCCAATCACAAAGCTTAGTTCCGTGTCATTGATGCACGAAATTGCTGCGAATTGCAAAGGAATCTTATGAGGCTGTAGAGACCTTTCCCTCACAAGTGGGTCCAGCCTTACGTTCTGCACGGCGCAGATCTCAGCGAGCAAGTAATCTGCTAGCGCATCAGACGCCTGCAGGCAGATGTGCAGCCCACTTTCATGACCGTGGACTGCTGGGTCCAAAAGGAGATCCACGCACAGTCTACGAGTCAGGCGGCATATCTTTGAAACGGGAGTGTGCAGGGAATCACAGAGTATTCCTGTGATGGCTTGCGAATTCACCTCAGCGGTGAGATCCAAGTACTCAGAACTGTCGCTGCTCATATATTTTGTGTCAGAAGCTTCTGGAATAGATTGCGAGCAGATAGGAGAAGACTGTCACCTACCGATGATCCTGCTCCATAAGTTACATATTTTACGCTTATCTAATAGGTAAGCACTGCTAGGTTCGGCTGAGCTGCTTCCTGGACTGAAACCAAAAATGGGGTTTTATTCGTCTTTGACCCTCATAGCGGGTTTCCTTCTCGTGCTTATTGCACGAGCCCTCGGAATTGCTGCCAGAGCGCAAGTAAAGGCCCGCACAGAGGGGAAGAGGGTCATTCTTTTTGCGCCGTCCGATAAAACAACGACCTCCTCACTAAGGGCTCTGCGAAACTCGTACCGGTTCACTCAGCAGATATCCTATTTAACATCCTACAACCCTACGCAACCATGTTTGCTAATGCAGAATAGAGTCATTCACCCTGCCACAGAGATCCCTCCTTTTGTTCTGGACAAACTAAACGAAGCGAGCGATGGTATGACGGGGCTGGTGCTTCTAGAGCTACAACCTAAGCGATACGCATCTGTGTCGTTGCCAGGAGCAACCCATTTGGCGCGCTTTATAAACACATACAGGGTTTTACGTTGCTTGACGAATTGGGGCTGTAGTAATGCAGTAATCTTCTATAATCACGTACGCGTCGTTGGAATAGGTGATCCAGACTTCTGTGAGAAAAGCTCCTAAGGACTTTCTCTCGAAAGGCTCCGCTGCCTCCACCTAAAGTGAACATTGGTCAGCTAGTCACACACGTAACTGCCTCATTGATCCCTGCGCCTCGTCGCTGAGCAGTCCCCTAATGCTCTTCAATAACTCTTTCAACCAAATTTAGCAAAGCTCTTGATGAGCTCTCCTCTCAACGATCGCGGCCGCAGGCCCAGCAGTGGGAGCCTGGTAAGTCTGCTTCCCCTGCACCTCCAAACTATATACCAGCTGAGGCCGAGCAACACATTCCATGAGGGGCAGATGAAGCTTTCTGAGAATATTCCAAAGTTGATGGGGCAAGGGGACGGTTTACAGATGGATACTGGAATAGCTAGCCCCTTGCTTGTCCACTCGCCCACTGCAGACCTTCCACTGGTGAGACGCAACACCCTCCCATCTACCTCCGCCTTGAGTGATACTTCTAAAACTGACACTATCAGCTCTACTTCAGAGATACTTTCTCATTGCAGGAGTAAGAACAGGATATTGGGGGCGTCCTACAAGCCCCCACAATCGTTCATTTACAATTGGACAATCCCCGTTAATATGGAGGACATTCACGCATTCGTTCACAGCGAGCTGATCACTGAGCAGAGCGTCCGGTCAGTGATCTTTTTGCAGAGACAGATCCGCTTGCTCCGGCGCAGTGCGGCAATCTTGAGGCTCTTGGAGTCGGCCCACCGCCGGGCTTTGGTCATTCCAGGGATCGTCTTCCGCCTCTGGCGTGTCTACACCTTCATAATAAGAATGTATCGTCATGTTCTACATCGTAAGGTGTTCTCGACTTGGAGAACAGAGATGCTGATTTGTATCAAACACAAGCAGATGGAGTATCTATGTAATATCTTTCTACAGAGCAAGTACTTTGCGTGCTTCAAGGAGAGGGCCCGCATCAACACGCAGCTCAACCTCTTCGTCGTCACATTTACGAAAAGGATCAATCTGAGGGTCACAAATGACATCTTTCAGTTTTTCTTATATCTAATGAAGTATCTTAAGACTTACCGCAAGCAACTAAAGGCATTCATTGAGCGTGATGAAGGCCAAGCAAACGGCTACCAGAGTCTCCAACTACCTCCTGATAATCCCCGATCGGTCTACAAAGAATTACTGAAAGGAATGCCAATAAGATTTTACGACATAGCAAAGACGTTAGTTCCTACTCGATCTTCGTATCTCATACACAGCTTTGTCTTTGATATTCAGTATCGAGTGCAGGTTGTCCTGTACATTCGCTTGACTCTGCTCAAGTACACTCTCATCTCACCCATTTTTGTAGCCTGGCTAACAACAATCAGAATGCTCCGAATCAGGAAGACTTTCCTTCTTTTGACCTACGATAAGCTTCTAATCACAGCATTCTACCGGTGGTCAGACCTTGCCCGTGGAAGACACAAGCTCATGACTAAGTACTTGGGCCTCTGGAAGCAGTACATAGATAAGATACGATTGCAGCGGTACAAGATTCTACTGGCAAATCAATTCAGGGTCAAGTCGTTGGTTCAAACGTATCTGCGCAGATGGGAGGACTACTGCTTCTCGAAAGACATTGCCCGTCTGATGGCTGCCTCCTCGCTGGCTGCGCGCCCTGGGTATGCTAGTTTCTTCATATGCACACTCTACCTGATGATAAACGGATGCACCGTTTATGACGCTGTCAATCGACGGATTGTCAAGAAAGCATATGTTGTTGAGTCATTTGCTGAAGATGGGAGAGTAGGATATCGTACCATCGAGGATGATGATGGCTTTTTGATGATCCCTGGTGACGTAGCGACTAAGACACTGGAGAATAGAAAAGCAAGGGAAGAAGAGGCAGCGCTGCAGAGAAAAGAGAGCCAACTGCGTAACCTCTTTGATGCCCACATAGGATCTCGACAGGCCCGTGCAGCTGGCTCGACCTTTCTTACTCAACGTCCAGATGATGAAAGTGACTCAGAAGGCGATTCAATTAAACGGTTGGTTGCCCCTCCACCCCGGAAGAAGTCTGGTAGTCGCGGAACACCTGTTCCATACTGCATGTCATACCACGATGAATTTTGCCTCAAGTTCCGGGTTTTTCAAGTTCTCAAGCAGCGCCCTATGGCAAGGCGGTCGTTTCTACGCTTTGCTTTGCTTCTTCAGGCCGGGGACAGAATCTATAAGCAGCTGGTTTCCTTACAACTGTGGAAGGCGTACATCTTAGCCAACAAGGAGCGTCTTGCAAAGCAGAAGAAACATATCGAAGGAGATGCACTTCACGTTACTGCTACTCGCACAGATAAGGATGCACTCCAAGACATATTCTTAACAGGCGCAATCAGCAATCACTCTGACGCAAGAAGTCAATCTGATACCGACCCAGTCTTATCAAAACCTACACTTAATGAATTGGTATCTCAGAAAGCTCCTGATTCATTTGTGCACCTTCTATTTTTCAAAACACATAGCTTGCTATTTCTTACGCTATTGCACAAGATCACCCACTTACCATCAGTCGGGTCCATGATCAACATTTCTGACTTCATCCCAGAACTAGACCTTCACCTTTTTAAATCTGTTATTTCCAGAATACTGTCCCTCTCAACTAAACAGTTAGAAAGTGCCTGCTATTTGACCACGAGATCTAGCCTGGGCACATGTTTATCAAGACTGAAGACCATGCAATTGTTTGCCAGTGTTGCTATTTTACATACGAATTTCAAGTATGCATCATTCCCACGCCAGAAAACTACCGACTTAGCTCCTAGATTTCAAGTTTCTACATGGGACAGAAGAATGAGCAATCTTCGTTCCATATTGAGCTGCTGTGGCCTTGATACTGTCTACTCGCTTCTCAGGAACTACAACAAACTCCAGACAATGGCCAAAATGGAAGCTGATTTACTAGAGAAATATCAGTCGATAGAGATGGATGTCACAGCCATGGAGCAGCATGCGGAGCCCCTTGAGGCTCTTGTTCCCCAGATGCTCCAAGAGGATATTGCTGTCTGCAAACTGTTCAACGAAAAGCAAAGCATGATAAAGACGATATTGGACAACACAACCCTAAGTGGCAACACCAGTAGTTTGATGGAGCGCTTAAAGCGCGAGAGAAGCTATGTTAGTAAAAATACAACCGAGCTAACAACAGAAGCTGCACACAAACTTCTTCTCTTTGATGCCCATGCGTCAAACAGCTTGCTCTTACAGAGGCTGTTAGATGCCGTTTCTGCAGAAATTTCTGCTGGGATAACGACTAAATTGGAGGCAAAGCTGACTGGTGCGTTGGATAGCCCCCGCCACAGAGGAGGAACTAAGCTACGGGTGATGCAGATGGCCGATGACTTAGATGCTAAAACAAGAGTTTTGAAGTCTGCTCTTTGCAAATGCTTTCTTGCCCCACAAGCTATTCCGCATCGTCTCAGAAATCTTCTGGAGTCCGCTACTCTTTCCCGCAGCAGCACTAGCTCGTCCTCTTCTGATAAATATTGCCATATATGCAGCGGCTGCCTGTGCTTCTATTGCTTCTGCGACCAGCGTTGTCGTTGCATGAAGAATACAATAATGAGGCGGTCACTTATATTCACTAATTATCCAGCGATTACCTATGCATCGTATAAGCGTATAGATTCTGCGTTAGCTTTCCTCTCTGAGATGAGCGAGGACTGCAACGATATAGATGAAGACTATGCCGCAAGCCTTTCTTTGTCTTTACAGTGTTTTCGTGTCTGTGGAGACACATTTCTTCGTCATCAAATAGATAAGGACTGTTTGCGACTCCTTCTTATGAACACTGCTGACTTGTCTGCTGCACCATATAGCTTTCTGAATAATGCCATTATCACAGATTCGCTGGAAGCGGGAGGGACAGTAAAGATATCTGCTACACTAGAAAATGAGACCGAGGAGCCGGTAGCCAAGGTTATTGTGGCTCACATTCAGCATAAAAATAAGAACAGGAGGAAGCAAAAGCGTAAGGGCAAGACAGCATTTCCAAAGAAGGCCCTGTCACAACCCCTACTGTTAGAACCGGCTAGTGGTTTAGAGGAGAAGCCTCTTCAGACATTGGAAGACTTTGAAATTGGAAAGACTGCAGATTTACTGATCAATTACGCAAACAGAGAGCTGATCGAGCGGATAGAAGTCTATAAGCAGGTAGAAGGAGAACACCCTCAAAGCCTTGAAGCGCCTACGTATCCCAGGCTTTCTGTTCAAGCCCCCAGTGGATCTATGCTCAGGAATGCTTTACTTTACACGGAAGTAGTATTTACCACACGTTCCTTTACACCTTCTGCATCTCCACAAAACGTGTACCTATCACTCGATGCCCTTGACGATGGATCGTTCAAGGATTATGATGATAATATTGCCTCCATTCAGCGGGCACAGGAAAGGCTACTTTCTCTTGAGCTTAGTGAGCCTGTAAAACACTCCATTAACACACCACTTCAGTCGGGCTCACAATCCACAGCTATAGAGCCTATCTTGCCATCTGAGCAAATTAGCACAAAGCAGGGAGATACTCAGCAGATGCACATTGAGCCCGCACAAGCAAGGCAGACTACTCAAAACACGGGCAAAATACGACCAGAATCTTCCTCATCTAAACCATCCACAAGACATGAGCTCTTAGGGCGTAGGTATCAGGTCGCTATTTCTGAGAATTCTCCTGCTTATTCAATCAGCAATCTTAGCGATCCAGATCCTTCGTCCGCTCCAGCTTTTCCACTGGCACCCACAAACCCTATATTGGTACCTCCAATTGTTACAAGGGAGTCATCATCTCATTATACTGTAGCTAAGACTGATGCTAGTCCGCGACGAAGTTCATCTACGAGCAGACTGGTTCCTGTACTAGCAGAGTTGCCTCCAGGCTTTGAAATTGAACCCACCGGGGGATTGTCTGCTCAATCTTGTCGATCAAAATCACCCAATGTTGCTATTCAAGATAACCAGTCCGAGCAACACGAACGGGACCGAGGTGAGGACTCCTCTGAAGCATCTCTTTTAGCATTCTTTCAGGATTTGCCTCCTGACAGAGAAAGCTCGTCTCGCAGTGTTCTTGTCTCCAGCCAATTGAGGTCTCGCGAGACAGTTCGTCAGATAAGTCACCAAATAGACGAGGAATTGTCTAGAATAGCATCTGCATCACCCCATAAATCAATTAGCTCTCGCCCTTATTCCTCTGAAGCTGGCGCAGTGTCACTAAAGGATGCTGAACTGATTAGCCCCCTGCCGGTCGCTGACGTATTGGTTGGCATAAACACAGACCTTAACCGATTACAGCACAGCTTCTGCCGGGCACCTAGTGCACCGTGCAATCCTTCAGACAGCGCATCACGGACTGCTACAATTGTTAGGCCCAACAGTACACAGAAGCTCAGGTTGGAAAGGCCTGCTTCACAGGCATCATCTCTTCCTGCAAGTCAGGAGACGATAGGCAACAATAAAGTCTCAAAGCATACACTGCAGACATCACCAGCCTCTAATACATCTAGAAGGTTTGCTTCTGCACAGAGCGATAACTCGACCAAGGATGGGCACACTTCTGCCTACACAGCTATTAATCTACAATTAGAAACTGTCACAGATGTTACGTCATCGTTCGCTGGAACCCCCATATCCGCAATCCAACAAGGTAGTATCAATGAGGCCACATCTATACCGATTCTAGAACAATGCAGTGAGCGTCTCTCAACGTCTGACAAGATACTTGATATTCTTCAGAATATTCAATCAAAATTTGTGGACGTAGAAGCCGACTCTGCGGAAGAAAGAATTGCTAACCTCTTTAAACATCTACAAGAGCCCGCGCTTGAGTCGATAGACGTTACCATTGAAGGTCTTACTACGGATGGCCAGAAATATGTTCCTTCAAATGTCACTGTTGCAGAGCAAGAAAGCACATCAGATGACGAGCTTGACTTTTTGGTGAAGCCAGCACCAACTACAGAATTACTTCAGCTGACTATGGACTTAGAGAAAACCATTTCTCGGCAGATGCAGCTACGCAATTCGATGCGAGTGGCCTCTCCACGCATCGGAAACAAGAGCGTTTCACGGCTTGCGCACCAAAAACTTCTTGATGAATTGGGCAATATCATCCCCAGAGTAGACTTGAGTGATAACTCTGCACTTAGGATGCAATCTGGGTTGATAAGTACACCATTCGAATCTATGAATGTTACGGAACTATCGATTAATCATCAATATTCACGCTTACAGCACATTGAGGAAAAGATACAGGACATGGTCGGCCCAAAAGCTAGGAACTGGAAAGAGCAACGCACCATGCTCCAGTATATCAAAGAGGCTGATGACCTAAACTTATCTAGCAGCGAATCCCTTCTGCGGGATGAGGGTGACTCCTTTATCATAGATCTGGATAGCATCACTTCGTCATCCCCATCATTATCAGTGAGCGATCTTATCCCACCAGACTCACCCTTATCTGATCAAGCCAGCAATCGTGCATGCCTAGATATGACCGAATTACCAACTGTGCACACTCTGAGCCGTGGTGGAAGCTGCGCAAAGAAGATGTCGAGACCTCAGATACTTCAAAGAAACAAGAAAATTGGTAAGATAACCACAAGATATGACAAAAAGCCACCTTCCTCAGGTGAATCTAACAAGCGCACTCTTTCTAATCCTACACTAAGAGAACTAAACGTTACATGCTATAATAGAATCTTAAGGGAGTGCAGGTGGGCTCGAGATGCTTCTAATAGCGAGCGCACAGTCTCATCTGCAGACGCCTACAAACGAAACACGATGCTGCGAAGAAACGAAGGACTTCTTCAGGGAAAAGGTACAACCACATTGCCAAAATATAAGTGGAAAAAGCTCATACGCGTGACATCTTCACCAGCCATGAGATACTCCGAACAACATAGCATCCAGAAGCCAAAACGACGCTCTTCGATATCCATTCATCTGGCTGCTGCGAAGAAAGAAGCGCGGGTACACCTGCCTACGTTAGCAGTGCACACATCCACGGGGATTGCAACTCTTGGAAATGCCATGTGGAATGCGCCGACAAAGCCTCTTCAGCCTTCTCTCCTGACTAAACGAATGATTGCTAAGTATCATCGTGCTTCTCGAAATCCAATCTTGAGCCCCACTTTTGTATCCTCAGAGTCCTCGAGTACCATGGATAAGACACATATCAAAGCAGAGTATGTAAGCGCATGGAGAAGGACGAAGAGGTTAAAGTATGTTGGCTCAGCTAATATGTTCCGGAATGACAAAGTATTGCTGGACGCTGACCCAGACCCTTCCTCTATACCTACTCCCAAGCCCGTTCGCCCACCAATTGAGGATATGAAAGATTATATAGTATCAAAAATAGACGCAAACATCTTTATCACAGCACAGCAGGATGATCAAGAGATAGAGCAGACACAGTCAATGCGAGAGATCTCGCGGCCCTCAATGATAGTAGGTGATTTACCATCTTCGACCAAGTCCTCTGAAGATAGCAACCAGCAGGACATTCCTCCTGTGCAGCGGAGGAACCAGGAGCTCATTCGGATGCTAGAGGAGTGTCTACTCACGGATCCAATTACAAATAGATACTCTGAGATGATCAACGTGATGTCTGTTAACACATCTTCTCTCTTTGAGCTAAGCACAGAGCAGACTTCAAAGGAAGAAAGGCAAACCGATTATACGTTAATTCGCGAGTTTGCTAAGGCAGCACCCAGAACAACGCTGCAGCAGTACACGGACATTGAAGCAGACATACGGATAAGGAAGCAGGTGGAACAGACAAAGGTTGAGCTTACAACGCTCAGTGCCGAGGCTAATAGCTATTGTAGCCCTACAACAATCAGCATGCAGAATTCGGCAGCAACCCCGACGGTGATAAAGAAGCAGCTAGAGCCTGATGATCCAGGGTTTGCTCTGACACCATTCTCTGTGTGGGGGTCAGGGAACACACAGCAGGACCATACATATGTGGCGTCGTATCCAGAAGCTAAAATGACAGACGAGGAGTTCCACAACATAGTTCTATCGCAAACCTTTGAGGTTCTCTCCAAAGCAATCCAGCTAGCGCACGGGAACAAGATGATCACAGCACAAAGATGTCGTGAATCCATAGAATCAAAGAAGATGAGCGCATGGGAAATAGCTGCCGGGTCTCGGCGGTCACAGAGCACTCGTGATTTGTGTAGCAAGAATGCCCAGCTGATGTTCTCCCGAGCAGTGCGTAACGCTCTTCATCAAAAGGTGTATAACGTGAATGCTACCCCAATAGTTCGGGGCTTTGGTCTACGAGAAGGAGGCCAGACCCCGGATCTCTTACATGGGGGTCCAGACATCCTATCATCTCTGCTAAGGTGGCGTCATAAAGTGGAGGGATACTCCAGCACACAGAAAAGTCACGAGAAGACAGGATTGTACGCCATTCAATCACACAAGCTCACCAAGGGAGAGATGACAACCTTCCAAAACTCTCTCTGGATAAGCCCTGGTCGTAAGACGGTTCCCCTGGACGTGAGTAATTTCAAGCTGGTTGGGTCTCCAACGCACTCTAATGCCGTATTAAAGCGTGAATCCTGCTTTGGTCGCTCCTTAGCTAACGTATCACGCAAAGGAATGCTACATCATGTTTCACCGTATGCAATGAAGCGAGGGCATACAATGAGCATAGGTATGCTTGCACGAGCTTGTGCAGACAGGGGTAGTGCCATGCTCAAGCCGCAGATAACTACGGTGAAACCTGCGTCAGAGTTGGCTGCCATGAGTGCTAAAGCACTTCCTCGCGACGTGCTTGCTCGCATGCAACTTGAGTGCACCTATGTTGTGTCTGAAGAACATAAAGAACGAGAGCATACAGAGTGCCCGAACAAGCGATACACACTCGGCCAGGTGCTTAAAGTACACTCCAAGCCAATAGTAGTCTCGGACCAACGTATTATAAACATGAAGACAAGTGTGCACATTATTGACATGAACGGTCGGCCACTTCAAAAGAGCCCTAGCCTGCCCCCAAAGCCGCATGGAAGCAAGTATGGGGAATCACCAAAGAGTCCTAGGCATGAGATGGGCATCCGGTTGCCGGTAGCTGAACCCTCAAAGAAGAATGTTCCACGGCCAGTTGCCCAGCCCTTGCATTCGGAATCGCAACGAGCACAACTGCTAACAGTCCATGGTATGCTTTCTCCTAGCCCAGTGGACGAAGACCATGAATTACCGCGAGAAAGCTCGGCTGGATACCTCAAGCATCAGCGAAGGTCCAGACACCTTCCAGGCACGCTAAGCCAGATACCCGCAAGCAATGCAGACACATCCATATCTTTTACAGATGACGAGAATAACTAGGCTGCTTAGAACATCGGGTGTAGCGCCTTGCGAAGAAGTCTGTGCTCCTGGTCTAAATTTGTAAATCCCTTGAAGCAATGCGGGTTGCTCTGCTCGTTGCCTTCCACGGAACTGCCTTCCACGGCAACGCATACCAGCCCACTGGAGGCTCGACGGTCGAGGGAGCCCTTTTTGAGGGGTTGCAGAAGACAGGATATCTTAAGGAAAATGAGACCATTAAGGATATAGAACTGGAGCGCACCGGAAGAACCGACGCAGGTGTTTCTGCTGAGTGCATGCTGTACACGCTGCAGCTCGGCAAGCTCGTCCCAGCCGTTCCCTGCCTGCCTCCTCACAACTCTAGGGTACTTGGAGCTTTGGAGGGTCTTCCGATTGAGCCGAGTTCTATTTGTATTCACACATCAGGCTCAGCTACATGCCTTGCTTTCCACCTCAATCGGGTTCTTCCGTCGCAGATACGGGTCTTAGGGTTATCGACAGCCATTCCAAAGGACTTCTCTGCACGACACTCTTGTGTTGCACGAGAGTATGAATACATTCTAGGTTATAACGTACCGCCAAATCTGCGCGAGAAAGCAAACTCAGCAGCGCAGCGCTTCCTTGGGTCTAATAGCTTCCATAATTTCTGTCACCATGAAAGGGATCACAAGACAGTTTACAACAGGCAAATATATTGCTCTGAGGTATATGAACACGAAAATGCGTGCATTTTTCACGTAATTGGATCCGCATTTTTGTATCACCAGGTGCGCTATATGGCTAGTATGTTAATACATATAATGGCAGGTCTAGAGAACGAATCTGCCATAGAGTATCTCTTGACAAAAGAGCTATCAATATCCGGGCACTCCTTCCCTCTGGTTCCCTCACGGTATCTTACTTTTAAATGCGGGTGGTACCCTCCATTGCCTAGCAGTGGATCCTTTTATTGCTCCATTAGAGCATATGAGGAACTCGTCAAACACGTGCTAGCAAACAATGGCTTTCCACGCTCGCTGTTGAGCCATCGATTTGAAGGAGAGCCCTTGCCCGTGCTCCACACATTAAATATAAATAAAAAAGTTCCATACCAATCCGTGGAACAATTAGCTAATCACAGGGAAAATACCAAAGTAAAGGTAGTCAAGGGATAGGCCGCTACGCTCTAGTAGATATCACTCAGTAGGCACACCGTGTTTGCAGAGCCATACAAAAGTGGGTTGGTGAGGCCGCTTATTGCGTCGCATGATTCACCGTCAAAAATCGAGAGTTCCCCGAGAACGTGACCAGAATCATTAATGATGAATAGATTACCGGTATCCATGCTCACAAAGAACCAGTCACTGATGCTAGCCAGGTGCACATATACAGGCCGGCCTGAAAGCTTGACGTCCCACGCCAGTGACGTTGGAGACGTTTTGTTTATTCCATATATTTGACCATTCGTCGCCGTCACTACAATGTGTTTTTGGTAATCGAAGACATCGGAGAAGCACTCTTCAGAAAATTGCATTGTGTCAGAAAGCATGCGCAGCTGGATCCTTTCCAAGCCATTCGGAGCTGAGTGTTCAGCGGCCTTCGTTACATTCACACTGTAGTATGCAATGCAGTTACTTCCTATCACAGCCAACATCTTGCTATCGTTTATCCAAATCATTCTGTTTGCCTTCTGTACCGAACACTGGTAGACACCGTTCAGCCGAAGGGTCTTGTCCTCGGAATGAAAGGATAGTATAATAATATAGCCATCGCCCAACACTGAGAATGACCTGTCAGTCACCCAGCACACATCTGCGCACAATTGCTTGAGGGCGTTATGTTCATTAAAGTTGATGTGAAAGTCACTAGTGCACAGTGGCCACGATGTTAAGCTGCTACTAGCATCAAAATCTTTGTTCCTTGTGATGTGCACAAAAACGTCTGCACACGCTCTTCCTAGGTCGCCTGCGTGAGAACCTATGTCTGTACCTAGAACGTGCTGCTCTAGGAGCATGCTTGTATACGTTCCGATGTCCAAAACGAATGGTCTAGTGGTGTCTCCAATCACTACCACATATCCTTTACAATCGGAAAACACTATTTTCCGGACCGCAAAATAGCCAAAGGGATGGGCTGCATAGATTGCTGAGATATTCAAGGAGCTATTGCAGGTGCACACGAGAATCATTCCGTCGCTGAAGCCGATTACCATGTATAATAGATTGTCGATTATCGTATGCGTAGCAGCTGTGGCCAGCATTTCTGATGTAACAAAAGCGTTGTTGGGAGGCGACACCAACATGCTGTATGAAATGAAGGAGATCTCGATACCAGAGGACTTGCTTCCCCGGCTTGTCCGACTGGCACGCGTCCGTTCCCGACTTCTGTTGTTCTCTATCTCGATTACAAGTATACCAACATCGGCCACTGTTATACACCGCTCTACCAAAGATCCACGCATGCCTGTTTCCTGCGAAGCGATATTATCGAGGATACCTTGATATTTGACGGGTAGATATATGTACTCCTTTGTCACGTTCACGTCTGTGGGCTGCTGAACTGTTTGTAGCATAGACTCAAACACCTGGGGAGGCACAAGCCTAATATCTTCATGTGCACCCTTTGCATCCTGCTGGGTCCCCTTGTCTGTTACGGACACCTCATCATTTCCATCTTCGTTGCCCACCTGGTCCAACCCTGCGGCATATATCCGTTTTATTATTTCTCTTATGTACTGATCTTCCCGTACCGTTAAGTTTAGAGTCTTTGGATGCAGGTCGAGCATGGCAGGCGACATGTTGATGAGATCTTCTGCAGCGGGAAGGATCTCTTTCTTCTCTATGAGACAGTCCATTATACTATTCTCTGTGTACTGGGTTGTGTTATTGGCTAGCAGCGCAAGAGCCTCGCCTGCTGCCTGATCGTCTTTATCGAGAGACTTCTTAGATACCGTAAGCGAGTTCATCAACTCGGTATCTTCTGCTGCCGGAAATTCTTCAGGTTGTTGACCGTGTTCGTCTAGATGGTTAGACTCGGGGTCTCTATTCCGAAGTGTTTTCACTGAGCATCTGTGAGGCTGGAAAAGGCTGAAGGGCTGCTCACATATATGTAGTCGCCCATTCGCATCCATATGTACTTCTATGTCGAGCAGTTGCATGCCCTTTTCCAAGAGAGTCAATAGTGCGCCTACAGGAACTGACCGATCGGCTATTCCAGCAGAAATAATACCAGATTCATGTCCAAACATGAACGCGGCATGAACATATCCCGACTCCAAAAGGAAGCGATAGATGAGGTAGTTTGTCTCAACCGGACTCAACATGTGTTTTTAATTTTTGAGCAGCCAATGGTGTTCTCAGATAGAGAGTGATACTTCAAATTTACCTCTACACTTGCTTCTATTCTAGGCTCCCCCCTTGTCTGGCGTGTGGCTTCAGCCCTAAAGGCACATTCTCGGTATGCATTCCCTTCTGATGAAAACGGAACTCTACGAAAACAACATGCATAGACGCAGATAAAAGTTGACAAGTAGAAGGGCTCTGTTGTTGATGTATGCACACTTAAGAACCAACCTCCTGTTCTGGCTGCGGTGCTTTTTAACACTCCTGAAGAGGGTGACTTTAGAAACCTAAGAGCGCACCCCACATGACAAGAATTACAATGGAGGGCTCGAAGGAAGACAATGGCTCGCGTAGGCCATCAATTTCCTTTTTCACAAAAAGTTTGCCAGAAAGTGCCTTGGAACTAGGTGGGATTGTGCTTTTATACCATGATACCTTTCTTCAGAAGCATCGTGGGTTATAATTAGAGGCGCGCTCCATATTCGAGCCCTAAGAAGCAGAGATGAGCCTCCCCGGGGCCATGAATGCTTGTAAAAATTAAAATTTTAATCCATGCAGGTCTCGACACAGGTGGACTGGTTTGACGCCATCAGAAACCAGGATTACGAGGCGATCTATGATGCCGATGGGGTCTTTCACGGTTCTCGTGACGCTGCAGGAGAGACAGGGCTGATGAAGGCAGCAAAGTTTAATGACATTAAGCTCGCCAAAATGCTGGCCCCTGTCGAGGCAGGGATTGTCAACAACGAAGGACATAATGCGCTGATGATTGCTGCGCTCAACAACAACTCCGAGATATGTTCCTTTCTGGTCGAAATTCCCTCTGAGTGTGACCACAGACTTGGGTATGGGGAGGACGCCCTTATCTTGGCTGCTAGCGTGGGAGCGCTTAAGTCTGTCGCTGTGCTGCTGCCCCATCTGGAAAAGACTAAGGACCTCAAAGGCCGCACCTGTTTGACGTATGCAGCCTGCAATGGGAAGCTCAATGTCGTCAACTATCTGATAAGATACAAACAGGAGATAACGGACATGGAGGCCAAGGCAGCCCTCGTTGCAGCAGCTGGTAACAGCCACGCCGATTGTGTTCATGCCTTGACTATATACATCAGAGACGGGAAAATAAACTACCTGGCCACTGTGCCGACTGAGGAGGATGATATGGATAGGGATTACTATCGCTATGATGACATTCTTCCGCAGACGGATCTCGGACTCCAAGGTCTTCAAGACTCGAACATCTACAATGTTCGCCCGGCAGAGCTCCACCTCACACAGCGGCCTGCTCTCTCATCAAGCTCAGCTCCTGCTAGCAGTGAGGCTCCTGTGGCTCCTCACCAGGGGACGCTAGAATTTGTCCCGGAGCCGGGAGTTGTCGATGCTCTTCAGGTCTCTGGGTACGTAGAGCCAAGCCTAGACCTATCGCCGAACGTCTCGATCATTAATAGGCGAAGTCCCGGAAAGGGAAAAGACAAGGATAAAGGGTCTGCTGTAACACTACGCGAAAAGCGCCCCAAAACGCCGACTATCAAGTCTGCTACTGCTAAGGTATCAAAGGCGCGCACTCCCACGACAGCGCTCAAGGTAGACAACACCAAACTAACCTCTACTGCTGAAACCAGGAATATGGCCTCGGAGCGCACTCTGACAAGCAGCACGCTCTTATCCAACACATATAACACGAGTAATCTTAACAGGAACCTGAACAGATCGCTTGTGCAGAGCAATCTGCAAACTACTTCCCCTCGACGCTCCAACTACGTGACACCCGGTCAAGCAAGCATGATGGGTACATCTACCCAGCAGCGGAACATAAGCCCCACAGCATCTAGGTCTTCGTACGTTGATAACGCTCAGTACTCTCTGTACGAAGCAATCGAGAAGGCGTCGAAGAAGAAACTTATCACACCACCACAGGGCACCCACCCACGGTCTCTTGATGCAGATATTCTTACAAAAGACCCACAGTTACAAGAAGCGATGGTTGCACGCTACTATGAGGACGTTTCACCCCCGCCAAGGCAACCCGGGGCGTCTGCATCTACTATGGCTGCGCTAAATAAATCAAACATAAAGGCCATTCGTAGCAACACGAACAACAGATTTGCAGAGGTCAATCCTCTCTCCGGAACATTTTATGGACCCAGTACTACCGCTGAAAATTTCAACCCGACGGAATCTAGTCTAACGGCAAGCATTCTTCACCCCGTCAGTTCTAGAGATGTTAACTTAGTTACCAAGAGTCGCACACTTTCTCGAAGCAAATCGGGGTCAAGGAACCCTAGAGCAAGGTCTAATGCATTGCCCCAAGAAGACTTTAGCGTTGACCAAATAGAATCCCCTTCACGCCTACAAACCCCCACTATGTCCATGAGGTCTTCAACCATTCGACTAAAAGAAGAAGTAGATCTTAGACCAACCTATGTGGACCTCAGGGCGTCGACCTCTGCAGACCGCTACGAGGACACGCTCTGCCTTAACCCCTCCCAGACAGCCATGCCCATTGGTCCGCTGAGCAGGCACATCCAAAGAAATGACATAACAATCCTGGAGATCCCGAACTTTGAAGCTGATCCCAGTTATACAGACCTTATGCAAGGAATCTACAATGGAGACAAGAAGCTTATTAAGCAGAATATGAAGACACAGGCAAACCTATGTTCGGACACCCATATGACAGCTTTGATGGTTGCTGCTCGCATTGGGGATATTGCCAATGCAAAGTTGCTGATAAAGGCAGGCGAAGCTGGTAGAAAAACTAATGAGGGGTGGACAGCCCTCATGGTTGCTGCGTTTCACAACAGTGTCGAAGCGGTGAGGCTTCTTATGGACCATGAAGCGCGCAGTGTCACCAACGATGGTTGGACCGCATTAATGATAGCTATCAAGTTCAACGCAATAGGATGCGTGGAACTGCTTGCTGGGTGCGAGGCTGGGATCCAGGATAGGAGCAAGGTCAGCGCGATGATGATCGCTGCATACATGGGGAGGTCTGGCATAATTCCTTTACTTATCAAAGAGGAGGCGAAGCTCTGTGATAGTTATGGAAGAACGGCTATGATGTACGCTACTCTGAATAATGAAGTCGAGTGCGTCGAAAAACTGGTGTATGCAGAGAGCAACGTGCAAGATCCGGAGGGGAGAACAGCCCTAATGATGGCGGCGCAGCTCGGTCTGAACGACATCGTGCTTGTCCTCCAGAAGGAAGAGGCAGGAAAGCGTGCCAACATGGGCCGTACAGCGCTGATGTTTGCTGCACGCAACTGCAACCTCATCGGCGTCCAAGTGCTCGCCGGAACGGAGTGCGGACTCCAGGACGCTGAGGGTTGGTCTGCTATGATGATGGCTGTTTTAGACAACCAAGCTGAGATAGTTAAGTCACTGAAAGACTACGAAGCAAATCTCAAGACAAATAAGGGGTTCACCGCCTTGATGTTTGCGGCCCGCTTCGGGTTTGACGAGTGCGTAGAGATCCTAGCACCCGTCGAAGCAGGGGAGCAGACACCTAGTGGATGGTCGGCACTGATGGCTGCAGTTTCCAACAACAACCTTACGTCTGCAAGATTGCTAGTTCCATACGAAGTCATGCTTCAGGATGCTAAGAGAAACACTGCGTTGATGCTTGCCTGCAAGAAGAACAACAATGAAATGATCAAATTGCTTAGACAGGCCCAGGAGGCTGTGCGCAGTGTTCGCAACAATTCCCGTAGGTAAATTACCTGTGCATCGTATCCGAAAACAAAGATGCGGCGATGAAGAGGACGATTGCTGTCGCCATAGAAACCGCTTGGAGAAGGACTGTCCGTGGGAAGGAAACAATCCTGCTGATTTGTGGGGAGCTGATGATACTGAGGTGAATGGAAATGCCAAGGTATTCCAGGGTCGCGACAAGAGCTATGCCTAGATTACAAAAAACACTCCAGGACGGTAAAACATATATCCAGTGGGCGAACAGCAAGCAGAGAAGCACGACAGTACACAGTGAAATTCCTATGCAGAGGTGGCCCACGAGCTTTAGGATGGCATTGTATGTTGGTGTAACATCGGAAGAAATAACAAAACGCATGCTATTCGAGATGTGAGCGACGTCAGAAGGATTCAATCTATTAACGGGATCGGCCTTTCCCAAAGAGAAGTAGGTCGAGGTGGACATTAGTCCAATAGACGCAGCGAGAATCATACTAACAGCAAGGAGCATATGTTGGAGCACGCTCTTCCCATCATCACGTGATCTGGCTGTGCGAGCACCGACCCCAGCAGCCTTTTTAGAGCATATACCATTAAGCTGCTCACCAAAGGTGTGCATTTTTATAATGCGTTATCCAGTCCTGTATTTCTGGTTAATTTATGCACAAGTCGTTTTAGATACACTGTGACGTTTCACCAAGGCAATTTTAATTGATCCGGAGATTGAAAGTTACAAGGTAGGCAGGCGTGTTACACTCTTGCAATAGAGCTTGCCATAACTTCGACGTATATTATGGACTTCCTTTATAAAAACTAAGGGCAGAAGATGTCTTTGTGGCTGCAAGCCTCTGGCACTTCAGAGAATGAGCTTCTAAGCACAGAGATTGTGCTGAAAATGGGCTCGGCAAGATGATCTTATGTTCACCTCTTCTAGCTATGCATCTGTTATGACACATTCAATTATTTTAGAACTACACCGTATCACTCCCTGACTCGCCATGTGCTTCAAATCTTTCGTCCTTTGAGTCGGCAACAAATGTAAATTTGAGTTTTTTACCACAGATATAAGCTTTCTATGTCTGGGCCTGACGCTTCAAGAGGACCCTTCCTGGGGTGCTGTCGAGACTAGTTTCTCGAATTAAGAATAAATGGATACAAATCTTCACGTAGTTCCACAGGCTCGGCTCAGTGAGCCCAGCGACTCGTTTATTTTATCAGCAACAGAACGGTCCGCTGAAGCAGACTCTCGAAGCGGGCTACAGACCGAGAAGGAGCAGCTTGATCCGATTAGTCTTTACGATGTCTCAGCAACCATGGAGAAGATCGCAAAACTATATGAGCCCGCAAGCAGCCTCCCCAAGCCTGAAAACTACAACCCTGTTCATGGATTTCTCACCCCCGAAGATCTGGATGCTTCCAAGCCACGTACTCGGCAAAAGAGAAAACGCACAGGAGAGTACCAGTCACCGCCTCACAAGAGATCGCGTAGCCAGAACTTCAGGTATATTTCTCCATACAGCCAACGAGTACAGAACCGGGTGTCGGATGACGTTCGACTTCGGCGACGCCTTGAAGAGCAGGAAGATACCTTGCACCGGACCAGCCGCACACTACGCGAATACTTGGATCAACGAGAAAAGGAGGAGATGGCAGAGTGCACCTTTAAGCCAGACCTGACTCCTTCAAGAGCGTTGTTTCGAGCAAGATGTGATCAGGATCCACATTTTCGGTTGAACTTTTACGAACGAAATGATCGAATGGTGGCCCAGCGAACAATATCTCCGCACCTGCATAGTTCGTCCCCGCAACTGATCCGCTACGATAACCATAATTGTAATTTTATCAACGACGGCTCTGCCCTGGATGCCTACTTGCAACCGAACAGGCTCAAAGTAATTAAGGAAGCGACTCGTCAGAAGCTCGATCTTCCTCGGGCACTTCGTGACGAGCAAGCGCGTGCTCGGCGTGCCCAGACTGCACAAGCGGTGGAAAGAAGTCTTTCGCAAAAGACTCGTGAGTATCTTAGCTCCAACGTTGTTGATCGTCTACACGTTAGCACACCCCTTTACATGCAGACACGCACCTATCGAGAGCACCAAAAAGCCATGGAACGTTTGGAGAAGATTCACGGCCCACATATACAGAGAGAAATTGCTTTCCGTACAGGCAACCGTCCACACTCGGCCCCAGGTTTGAACATCGCGCGGGTGTTGACCGCTCAGCCCACTTATGCCCGTGTTGTTTGCGATGACTTTGTCGCCGCAGTCCACAAGCCTATTCGACCTTCAAGCGTTGGAGAGGACTCGTCCTTTAGCACGCGGCTTTCACACATGAGCTCTCTCTACCGTGCACGCATGCGCCTATCAAAGCGCACCTCTGGAACACAAAGCCCGCCCCTCCGGATTTCAGCCCTTGATCTACCAGCTCCAAGCTCAGTATTGTTACAGGCTGCCTTGCGACGTGAAGCCAGGAAACACAAGCAGCGACCAGCTACAAAGCCCCATGTGATCTATAGCAACGCAGTACCAATTCCTTCGTGTGCTGCAGAGTCATCTTTGACTCCTGAACTCTTCCAGGAAAGTAGACAGAAGGATCTTGCTCTGACGGACATCCTCGTCCAGAGCACGGACGTCGGGTCCAGCGAGGCGTCCTGCGCCTCCAGACGCATCCGCTACCAGGGGCCTGTTCTGCACGGAGATCTGAGCCCGTCGACTAGGCCCCACAGAACCTAACGACTATTTACTAGGGAGACTCTTAGACAGGTGACGGGTCTCGTTGTATGAGCGGATGTGGAACGTCGAAGGGTCGTGCATATCCACTTGCGAAATGGAGCATGCATCGCCATAGAACATCCAAAACTTCGACAGCGGGGCGGAGGTGATCAAGCACATGAAAAGGTTGAGCACGGCACCATGAGACACAATGCAGATGGTCTCGTCGGTGCTGCGCTCAAGCTTGTGGACCAGGGCCTCGAGGCGCGCCAGAACGGAGTAGAAGCTTTCTCCATTTGGTATCTCGAGGCGCGCAGGGTCTGTCTTAAAGAGATGCACGCGCTCGGGCGTCCCAAAGGCCTCGAGGTACGTCTTTCCCTCCCAGTCGCCCCAAGAGATATCACAAACAAGGGGCTCCTCCTCAAAACGAGCTTGGGGCTGATTGGCTCGAATGGCCTCGGCCGTTTCCTTGGCACGGGGAATTCTACTGTAAAAGATGGCATCAAATTTCACGTCCTTCAATGCGGCGCTGGCCTCCTTGGCATGGAGGCGCCCTATTTCGTTCAGTGGATTGGGAACGTGGCCTCTGATGCGGGGCTCGGGGTCCGTGTTGAAATCTGTCTCTCCATGGCGGACAAGGTAGATGTGCTTGACAGGCATTTATTTTGGCTGTCTACGGCTACGAAATGTTCCGAATTGAGAATTTGCTTATTTTTGCGACGAACATACACTCGAGTAGAGCCAACAGAAGCATCAGAAGACGTGACTGTGGGTACAGGCTTAGCCCCACTCCTGTTGCCATAAAGCAAACTGTCGGCAGGAGGAAGCGCAGACAGACAGCCACGATCTGGCGCGGGGAGACGTATATCCGTGTATATGGAACACAGACGTATCCCGGACTCTTGTCTTCAAAGACTAGGTATGTGTTGAGCTCCTTCAATATAGATGCTAAAACTCCTGCTAGAACGATTGTAATTACAACGCCAATCCACCGAAACATGCGTGCTGTATGAAAAAAGTCAATGAGCCCTATGTCCAGAAGCAGCAGACAGTTGAATACGCCATGCGCCGTGAAGGCCAGAGAGCACACAGATATGCACGGCTCTCTAGACGAGCAGGTGGATATTTCCTTAGAAAGTAAGAAAACCTTACTAGGCTTTTTCCACTTTACCGGCGTCCTTCGTTGCTTCGGTAGTGGAGTTACGTATCCAAGTCTTTGGAGCTCTGCATATGGCAATCGTGTGAGCATCCCGGACTTTGAATGAGATAAAGTGCTATAGCGGGGCTTTTGTGTGCGCCCCTCCGTTCCACCCAGATCGTCTGCCCAGCCCACTGCCTTGAAATTTCCTGTGTTACCGGCAGACCTCCTTCGGTGCCTGCAGGCTAACCGCACCCTTTCCGCCCCGGAGCTCCCGACTGAGTTAGTAGAGTCGTCGCCAATCTCTCTTACCTCACTCCCAGCTTCTAAACAGTGCTTTTTACCAGGCTCGCAGACCGTATCTACTTTAGACAAAAGTACCTGGTTCGTCTTACATCCGATTACAGTTGGCGTTTGCTCATATTTCGTGAAGCAGGATGCCGCTGCCTCGCTTGGAACCTGCATTGAGGTATATATTCCGGAGCGAAGTGACAGGTACGAGATCGCAGAAACTATTAGCCTCTCGGTGTAAGTGAGCACAAGCGACCTTGTTTTGCTGAAGGGTAACATCCAGGGGCCCACTGTTGAGGAAGGGTGCGATACAGATACGTGCGACAGGACAAATTGACTCGGTAAACACTCACAATCGTTGGCAGACACCGTTCTGTCATTGTTCTTGCCAACATCCTCCTGAGAAACCAAGGGTCCCGGGCCAAAGGATGCCCCACTACGAGCAGCGCGAGGAAGAGGGGACGGGGCGTGGCTATTAGCATCGCAGTTGTCCTTCTGTATGTAGCACGAAAGAATGAGCTTGTCAATAGAGTGGTTACTGTAGTTAGTACATGCAGGCTCTGAATAAGAATGGGTGAACTCTCCTGCATCTGGAAAGGCGCTTGCTTGGGCACACACACAGTAATGGATAAGCTCTTCAGCCTGAGAGGAAGAGGGGCACAAGGCCATAGCGCGCTGCGTGAGGCGCAAGTCCGAAGGAACACGTAAAAGCTTGCAAACCGGACAGTATCCCGGCCTTTCGTGCAGAGACGTGGTACTATCGTCTACGGCCGAGTTCACCCCAATGGTCTGCAGCTCCCGGCGGGTTATTTGGCTGATAGCCCTTCCACGGCGTGCGGACAGAAGGGATATACCATCTGCGCAAAGGCTCACCGATTGGCTTTCCGGAGAGGTTTCGGCCACATCAATGGGATTAGCGCTGAGTATGACGGACCTCAACGAAGAGCACAGTGGAGATATGTGTGGCAGTGAGTGAGTGTTTCTGAGGGCACTCTCGCAACTGGATGTAAGTGATTGGGTGCTCGCATAATCCTTTTGTCCCAGATGGGACTTCTGATCTGATAGGGAGCTTTTGACGAAGCTCTTTGGATGCACTACGCTTTGGTGGAGCGTACTGTTACAGCTCTTGCTACTCTTGGTACTATGGACGCTCAGGTCACTGTGATCACTGTGTTCGAAGATCCCGGACACAGGAGAATTTAGAAGCGTGTTAACTATGGATTGCGTCGGATTGTTCGCTTTTCCACGGTCTGTCGTATTGGACGTGAAACTAGCACTAGAGTGAGCTTGCCCGACTGCAACGTGCTTACCAACAGCCAATGTGTCGTTCTGGATAGAGTCGATCTGACTCTCTGAGGTGCAAGTGGCGGAGGTCTGCTCTGCCGGTTTGCGAGGTGAGGCAAACAATGCCACCGATTGTGTGCTGGCGTGTGCCTTAGAGCTGAGAGTCGTGTTCACGGCGCTCTTTATGAGGTGGTCACTATCCTTGGGTTCTACGTCCAGGTTCTCACAACTCCCGTCGTCTACGAGAGCCTTTAGCTGCAGCTCCGTGGAAAGAAGCGCGGACTCGCTGGACTCATGCGACTGAAAGCTAATGGGGAACGGCTCTCCCACCTGAATCTCGGAAGGGGCCTCGCGCATGCGATTGTCAAGCAGGATCATATCCGACTCTGCCCGGATGGAAAACGAGTCTAGTGCTCCCACATCGAGTCCTGCACATGTCAACGCAGACTGATGAGCTTTCTGAAGGGCACTTGTCGGCGACTTCAGTTGAGAGTGATCCAGTTCGAAGCTATCTTCGTTTAGTGACGAGTGCCAATTTAGCGACAGATAGCCGCACCTCTCAAGTGACGCAGGGGTTTCAGCTCCTTCTGAGCGAGCTGATTTGTGCACCGACTTTGCTGGGCCCATCGACATAGCTCCTACAACATGATGATGATCTTGCTGTAAAGAGCCCTGTGTATTTGTGTGCTGTTTGTTTATAACAATGGTTGTCGGAGTCATGGACTCTTGCCTATAGGATAAGCCGAAGTCCAGATAGTCGTCTCCTATATCTGGACCCAGCAACTCTGTCCGTGATTGAAAGTCAGTACAATGGCTCCTGCTCCTTGATTTGGCGTAAACATTGCATGGAGTATCACAAGAGCAGATTGAAGTATATGTCCCAGGAACCGGGACAGCGTGTTTGTACGTATCGTGGCACAAGTCACTGGGGTTCAGCTGAGTGTCAAGGTGAGCTGAGCAGTGCAGATCTCCATAATTCAGTGGTCGCGTGTTTAACATATCTGCAGGTCTGTTAATAGAAGAAATTGCATTTGTAGACTTCGAGGGGTCCTGGCAGAAGCAAGAGTCTAACCATTTAATAGGAACCATTTTAGTGCTAGTTGCTGTGGAATTATTGATAGAATGGGGGTGTATTTGATTGTCTTTGTTATAATATACTTTAGATTGATACGTTGAGTTCAGTGTATTGATAAAGTCTGCGTTGGATTTGCAAGATGAGACTGTGGACTGAAAAGGGTTATGGCTGCTATCGCCGTTGGTAAAACTTGTATGCTGCGGGAAAAGAAGATCTTTGGAACTAGCATCTTTCATCTTATCAACGGCAGACGGTGCTAAACGGTCGTTCATTATTAGGCCAACTGCGCGCTGATCAGACTCTATCTTTTGGTAAAGCTTAGTTCTGTCTATACGGTCCAGCTGACTTTTCCACTTTTTACGCCAAGTCCTAATAGAGGGTCGTAGAGACGTGTCTGGCTCGATGAGATCCAACATTGCCAGCCAGAGATCTTTACTGTAGGTGATGCGCGGCGTAATGAACGATAAAGACCTGTGAAGGTCAGACCCTGCTGCATCGTCCTCGTGCAACTGTGCACTTAAGTTCCGCCCAAATACGTTAGCATCCAGCATGTCTAATACGGCTTTTTTGTGGCTTCTCAAACACTCAAAAGACTCGCCGTTGGGGGGAATGTTGACGTTAGTCATGACTTCAAGGATTGTCATCCCAAAAGAATATACATCTGCTGAGTAATCTGGGATTCCCGTACGCAAAAATTGGGGGCATATATATCGACTATCCCCTGTGTTACTTTCCTTGAATGGTGCTTCTTGAGCGTGCCCGAAGTCGGAAAGGGTAAAGACCAGGTTCTGAAGGATTGACTGAGAATTGCATGTATTGATCACTGAAGACCTGCTCAGGGACGTATCTGAGGACACTGGTGAGAAGATAGGTCTATTAGACTGCTTAGTTTGGTCACCGCATTTCATACTGTCCTGAAAAGAGGCAGACTTGATAGAGGGCTGTGAACAGTTTGAACAGTTAGCATCTCGGTCAGGAGGGCCTGGAAGAACTGGAAACTGGCGAGGCGTCAGTAGGGGAGTGTGCTGTACGGATCCTTCGTTAGAGGAGGATGACTCAGGACTGCTGTGCTCTGTATCAACGGCAACTGGAACTACGTTGACAGGCGTGTGGGAAGTAGAAGGCACTAATGATAAGAAGTTCATTGGACTGTGATTTCCATATGTATCTCCGCACATAGATGTTGACAAGAGGTTGTTTGCCCTATATAATTGATACCCATAGGGGGGCAGCAAGCAAGAGATATCCGAGTCCATAAACCCCATCTGTTGAAAAGGATGCACATCGAGCACAGCATACATGTCCTTTGGCCTACAAAGACGATGGACTTTGCTTGATGATGCGTATATGCAGGGGTCATGCTTCTTTTGAGAGCCAGTAGATCTCGTGAACGGGGTTTTATAAGCCTGTGCGGGACTAAATGCATATCGCGAATTAGGATAGCTATAATCTTCAAAGAACGGTGGTTGGATGTCTCCTGAGAAGCTGCCATTTTGAAAGTGTGCACTGTGAGAGAGATTAAAGAGCTGCATGTCGTCAGGGAGTGACCCTAGAAATGCATTTTGCCTTTTTTGTCCTTGCAAGGTTGGTTTGTTCAATGACTCTGCCAATTCATTATGTCGGGAATTAGTTTTAAAGTTATTTGTTCTGTACTGTGCATATTCTGTTATAGCTGAGTCGTAGGTAGATGTAGGTTCCAGTAGCAAAGAAAGAGACAGGTCGGTTGTGGGCCGAGATACGCTCCAGGTTGTTAGGCCTTGGGAGCATGATCTACTAGGAGGAGACGTAGTGGCCTGCAAAGCATGCCTGCTAGAGTTATACATTGTGTGCCCCCGCTTTCTGAAAGTGTCCACCTTGGGGTTCTCTCCAGAGTGGTGGTATCTATCAAAATTGTACTGGATGGCTAAGTTAGGCTGATGGCTGCATTGCCCAGTAGTCGCTGGGGCAGGGAGCATTGCACACCGTGACTGGTGAGGAATTGATGATAGCTGCTTTGTAAATGTATCTGCTTCAATACTGGGCGAAATGTCTCCCTCTAAATGGCTCGACAAGATGCTGGACTTGGAAGAGTCGTGGTTGGCATACTTGATGGATTTCTCATCAATATAGAGGCCTGACGACGAGCAGCTATCTAGTAAGAAGTTCTTAGCTAAGCCAATGGTTATGGCACTTTTAATACCGCGAGAATCTTGGTCTACTGACTCTTGATCCTGAGGAGCTGGCATGGTAACCGTAGGTATTTGGGAGTTATGGTCATAATGGCTCAATGATAGTATCTCGTCCATCAAGGTTTTTGGCTTAATTGGTACACTATTGACACTCCTACAGAGAAGAAAGGATGGCTTTGCTATGTGATAGGTATGCTTTTTGCAATGGTTGAAATAGTATGCCCAATGGTTAGGTCTTCTCCTGTAAAGGAATCTGGTATTAAAGTACAGACTGTACAGGGGCTTCCTACTGACCATGGCGAGAAGGGCTAGTCGGTAGCTGTTATTACGAGGAAGCTTTCGAAATGCAGCACACAATACTGACTTATCCTTCTGAAGGCTTACAAGCTTGGTTGCGTGTTTTGGGTTAGTTGTGGACGAGTCTTCACTGCAATTGAAAACGGCAGAATGGCACGTGTGATCATGCTTGCATGTGGCTAGTAAGGTTATTGCTTTGTTGCTCTGCGATGTTGGTGATGTATTCTGGAGAGTGGCATCAGTGCTGAGATGATCGACCTCCACTTTCTTAGAGGGTTGCGTTGCCGTCAGTGATTCTTCTAGATCCTCTATGACGTCATCTGCCTTCTCTAAAGACTTTGCACTTACAGCAAGCACTGAGCTGTGGCGCATTAACTCATTGGGGACACAGTTGGATTTCATCCCTCCCGAGGATTCCTCCTCAACGCGAAAGACCTCTAGGTCTTGCTTGCTTGAAAAGACGACCGAGTCCACGCTGTTTTCTATTGTGCTTTGGGGTTTTTCAAAGGAGCGTGTCCACTCTGTGTCACTTATCCGCTCAGAGATATTGACGAAGTGAAAATTAATGACAGGTTCAGACATGCCCAAATGCGGAATACGCATGCCTTGGTCGACATCTGCGTCCACGGCCTGGCAGTCCATAGTTTGGTTCAAGGTGCTACTGAACCTATGCATTGGGGTGGAGTATCTTGTCTTCATCGGGCTCCCTAGCTCAAAGTGCTGAATGATTAAGTGGGAATTATCTTGCACCTCATTGTGAAATTGGTCCTCATATTCACAAAAGATGTATTCACGCGGATAATTATTCGACAACATTGTTTCTGTGTGCTTCAGGACCACTAGGGTGCTATCTGAATAGCTTCTCTTGATCAGGTTGATCTTGTCGAGGAGGAACCCTCCCTTTTTGTGTCGAACAAAGTATTTTCCGTCAGCTGCACGCTCATAACATGGTGAGATAATAAGTGGAAAGCTCTGTCTATGTGTCGATAAGATGCAATTCCTGAGATCACTGTGGATAACTTGCGCGCGAGGAAAGGTGGTGTGAAGTGAGAGTTGATCCATAGATGTCGTGACGTTTTCTGAGGCGATTGGATAAAGGGTGTCCTCTGACAGTTTTTGATTGACTGCAGTGCTCACAATACTGGTATGCATTGGTGTGCTGACAACACTGGCTACACCAGTTGTGGGAACAGTGTTGGTTGCACTAGCTTGCTGAGAATGAGAGGAAGAGGCGACTGAAAAAGGCTTATTCTGGCTCTTATTAATGTATGTGTCCTTTGCCTTGTCGGACTTGGATCTTGCCAACGCGGCGGCACGCTGTGCTACGTAAGACCTCTTGAGATTGGGATCGTTTATGGGAGTTAAGCGGTCCATACTAGTGTCAATGGTGTAGCTATCTCCACAATTCTTGGGAGGGACGTTATACCCATCTATCCTGTTGGTGACCAAGATGTTCTCTGGCTTTAGATCACAATGTGCAATCCCGTTAGCGTGGATGTACTCCAGAGCCATAGAGATGTCTGCCATCAGTATCCAGATGAGATCCTCAATAAGAAAATGATAGTAGTCAAGAATGCTATCGAGACTACAATGAGCTAGGTCTGTGACAAAGTACGTACTATTGTCCTCTATCCAACAGAGATAGCACGGTATACAGACAGGGCACTTCAGCGATGTGATCAGAATGCCTTCCTTGACGTCTTCACTGGTAGCGCTTCGCTTCTTTTTCATTGCATAGAGTCGTCCGTCCCTTTGGAAAAGAACCTTGTAGGTTTTCCCAGAGCATCCTTGTCCGAGGATCTCTAGCACGGTATAGTTAGCCATTATGATTGAGTGATTGACGCGTTGCATGCTCTTTATGTTCGTAGACTTATCCAAATAAACAAGAGAGCCTTCCATGCAGGTGCGGCGCGCCATGCTTGCTCCCAAGGGAGTTTCCGGCCGCTGCATTTTCTGCTTGGCCGGGCCTTTCTGCTGTAGTATAGGTGGGTGCGCCGAGCCTGCAAAAGGCATCTTGTTGTGTATAAGCTCTCAAATTTGTGCGATAATTTTCTCTAAAATTGTACAAAGTCCATTCTTGTGTACAGTTTGTACAAAATTCTAAAGTTTAGCTATGGAGCGAGGGAGCCCAGGATCTGGGCTCTGTCCTGTTTACTAAAACTCTCTTCCCCAGTTAATGACCTAGCTGAACGCCTGGCGGATAAACTTCCGAACCTCATCCAGCTCTGCATCCAGCGTCTGAATAGCCTCGACAATGTGGCATACATATTCTACGTGCTCTAGCTCCTTGCTAACCACGCCCAGCACCTTCTTTTTAAAAAGGGCCTCATCCTCCTTCTCTTCTTCTCTCTTTATATCGAGGCCTGCAAACTGTACCCGCTTCTCCTCCTGCTCTTTCTCCGACAGCCTGCTCTCCAGCTTCTCGAGTCGCTCTTCCAGGCTCTTAATTTTCTCGTTTTGCTTATTGATAGTTTCAAGCTGATTCGTGATCACGTCGTTTTGCCTGGTGATGTTCTTGATAAGCATCTTTGTGTTGGTCTTCAGTTTCTCTACAATGAGTGGTAGGTCCTCTTCCCGCGTTTTACCACTGGACCGCTGATCTTCATCCGATCTTTTAGGTTTCGCCTTTTCTGCGCCACGTGAGGACTCTGGGTCGTCATCCTCGACATCCCATCCGTCGCAGTCTCGAACTTTCGGCTGGGCCCTACTGGAGGATCTACTGTAAATTTGCATTTTCCTGGCTTTTACAGATTCCGGCATGTGCACTGCAGAGGCGCGTGTGCCGTCGGTGGATTGGGACGGGCCGTTCTCCCGCGTGTGGCTCGAGCTCATTCGAGGGCGCAGATTAGTTGCTGCGTATAAAAATCGAGCAGATGATGTATGGTAGGGTAGGGAACGTTTTTTATTTTAGAGCTGTTGTTCAATCAATGGATCCTTCTTTCCCAGCTGACCCGGCCACCATTCTCCCACCACCAACACTAGCCCAGATGAAGGGGAGCTCTTCTGAAATAGCAAGCCCCGGTGCAGGGACCCGCAGAGGCCGGCGCAGAGCTCCCGCCAGGTCGCAGGTGGGTCCACCAGTAGCATTACCTCTACAACCAATCAATTCTGCCTCTACCTTTGCGACTCCTCAGACGAACACTATTCCACTGAGTCCCTCCGAGTCAGCAGTGCAGCCGAATGAGCTGCAGATCCTTGATCCTGCTTTAATTAGCATTACCCAAGAGAGCATCCAACACAATGTGTTCTTAGACGACTCCAAGGAGCAAATAGATGCTGCAAGCGACGCTGGCGATGCTCTACCAGCGAGCGTTGTGACCAGCGAAGCCCCGCCGTTCCCTGATCTAGGCCCCCTATCTTATTTCAGACAGACTCAGCAGCCTGGAATTTCACCTGAATCTGCAAAACTATCCATGGCCTCTAGTGAGAAGACAACTCAAGAGTTCGCCACAGAGGGGGAGACAGATGAAGCACCTAAGTCCGATAACCTCCATAATCAAGAAATACGGATGGAACTAGCTGACCCCAGCTTTGACGGAATTATCATAAATTTACATGGAGGTCCTCATATGGGCAGATCTGATTTCCGTGCTTCAGAAACAGAGGCGAGACAGCAGGAAGCAGCTGCTTCAAAGGCACATACAGCAGCGCAGCCTTTAGCTATAATGATGAATATCGCAGATCAAAAACCCCACTCTTACTTCAGCACTAGCATTGACAGGCTATCGCACAATTGCGATAGCGAGGATATTACCCCTGCTAACAGATCCGTTACTGACAACCAACTGCTCGTTTCGGGAAGCGCGTTCGACACTGACCAGGATCTACGCTATTTGAATAGCTCTCCCTCTCATACCCTTGTTCCTGGAGCGTCTATCTCTAAGCACGCAAGCCTTAACAATGCTACTAACAGGACAAGACCAAATCACGTGGTTTGTCACAGCGGGACCCTCAAGGAGCAGAGCGAGACGGATAATGCTAGTGAGATAACCAATCCCTACGTCAAGAAGCCAAGGTTATCGTCGCACGAGTTAGTCACGGCCACCTTTAACAGGAGAAGCACTGTGGAGCCCCCTGACTACTGGGCTGAAAACTCTAACTTGCAACAAGAGTGTGACTCACCAACAAAGGGACTGTTTCACGATAACAACGTGGAACCTAGATATGCAAACGATCCAACCACGTCTGCCTCCCTCCTTCGCGGCGGGATAACCGAACTCTGTGACTCTACTCAGCTACTTCTGGATCCTTGCAATGCTGAGCTTGGCACCGGTGCTGGAGTCACTCTTACTACCGTAAAAGATAGTTCAGAGAAGAGTGTGGAGAGGGAGTCCGCTCCGACCGTCTCTGAACTTTCTGAGGGCGAGAAGACCGCTAGCACGGCTTACTACGAAGTTAGCAAGGCTGAAAAGCCAATGAACATGGCTGCGCAACAGGATGCTATGAACTCGGATAAAGGTGGGATACTAGCGGCTCCCACGGCCGAGCCCATTCTAGGAACTGCATCTCCTGTTATCTATGATACACGCTCCGTTGTGCTCCTTACAGAGCGTCGCGCTAAGTCGTGCAAGGGTATTACCCCATCCAGAATCACACTAACCAGAGATACTATTGTACCAAAGCCCATAGGCTCCAGGGAAGGCACCCAAACGGGTGTTACTGAGGCCAGTAATATAGATGAGAAGTCTAATAGTCCATTGGATCTCACGTCTTCCATCGAGATTCCCCATGTTTCCCTGACAGAGTCTGTCAGACAAGACGCTAAGCAGCCGGCCACTCACGCCTCCGGCCAAGGAAAGAGGACAGCGCACGTTCCCTACTATAGTAGAAGATTTGATGATGATCCTACTCTGTTTCCCATCCTGCCCTCTGCATCTGCTGCAAGAATCCTCGGTTATTTAGACAGCCTACTGGGAGAGGAACTATCAGCGTCTTCGGGATCCCAGAGGAATCTTCCCTCATATAAACAACTTATCCTACAAGCTATCCGCTTCCGGCTGCTTACAGCATGTCCAGAGCTACGTAACTGTACATTTGACACGGATGACAACAGGACCAACTTGGCACGGTTTTGCAGGGACCTTCTTGCTTCCTTGTCGAGCCCCTGCTACTCGTCATTACCAGAGAAGCCCAAGGGGGCCTCTAAAGCTTTGGAGGACATTCGACAGGAGCTGCTCTCGTCACCCCCGGAGACAGTGGTTAACCAGTGTTTAGACCACGAGATGTACGATCACGCACTGTACCTAGCCATAGTATCTGGAAATGCTGAGGTTCTTTGCTCTGCCTTGGCTGCATTTGAGGGTCATGTATACTCGTCTATTGACCCCACTCTTTCTCTTCTGTACTCCGCATATGCAACTAAGAATCGGCACTTGCGTTGGAGCTCAGTACAAGGCAGCAGTAGCGACTCAAAATCATCACACTTTAAGACCAGTCATGACCAACATCCGAGTTCAGCCACAAATGCTACTACAACCGCAGACTTTAAGGAGCGTCCACAGATGCTGACAACGATGGAGCAAGGAGAGCTCTACGCTGATGCGGGAGGACCCCGAATTCATTGGGATGGATCTCTGGTGTCCTTGCTGCAAAATTCTGGGCCAGGATCTAGCATCAGAAGACAGTACGCCACATTTACCGCAGGAGACATTCTACATAAAATAGCATTCTCCTATATTCATGTTCTCACCAAAGATGAGCGGAACGATGTCCTGGTATCGCTTCTGGTGTACTCTAAAGAAGCATCTGAGAATCGCTATCTTCGTGCACTTCTGTGTATTCTATTAGGAATCCCCCCTGTCTATGATAGTTATGGTCGTTTCTGCTTTACAGACCTTTTTCCTGCGGAGTCTGGACAAATGGAGGGGCAGACATCTCAACCCCATGTGAGTGGACCCATTAATATTGGGGGGAAGCACATTCGATCAGAGGTGTCTACTGAACTAGAGCTCTTCTTGCAAAAACTTCCTACGAAGAACATTCAGTCCGTTGATCTATTTACTTTCAGAATTCACGAGATTTTAGAATATATTCATTTTCGTACAACGCATATCCCGCACGAGTTATTCTATCAGGCAACAAAGCCGGTGCTATTGGCCAATCACGGGTTCCACCACTCCTACAAATATGACCTTACTCTGCCGTTCTTCCCCCACCTCCTTCCATATAAGCTCGCGTTTGCAGGGTTTTTGCGAAGAGAGAGCCGGACCAATGATACGCTAGCCAGGTATGGTCTTTTATACACCACCATGGCCTATAGCAGTATCGAGCAAGTTATTTCACGGGTTAATCTTTCAGGTGAGTACTTGACGCGTAAGGATGCGGTAGCCGCAGACAGCGACGCCCTGCTTATGAAGCCGTCGTGTCTTCCAACTGATTCCAAGTCCACGCCCATCAATGATCTCTCTACCGCTACCCTAGATTATCCCTTGGGGTTCGATTATCCAGCTATTGTTGCCCCTATTGAGTGCGGGGATATATTTATTAACACTCTCCGTCTCGCCAGCAATTACAAGAAAGAACTCAGAAGCAAGGCATCAATTTCTGCTAAGTATATTAAGGAATTGATGCTCATCTCGTCTGAGGCCATAGAATCCGTACATCATCTGCAAAAGGAAGCGTATCATTGGCTAGACGACTTGCTGTGTGAAACGTCCTTGCGTCCGACTCAGCGCGCGTTGCTGAAGGAGATTCAAGTTCTGATCGAAGGCATTGATATAGATTGTGTCCTCACTTCTGATTTTTCAAGCAACTACACGCCACACAGAACTTCTGGGGATAACCTGCACGATACGAGCATCTTGGGCGATGAAGTACCGATTGTTCGACGTCAGTGCATGAGATCAACGTTAAAAAGCAACAATGCAAAGAAGCAAAAGAATATGGCTGCCGCAGACAAGGACAGCCACGATGAGCGTGAGTGCTCTGAAAACGGTGCGAGCACTATCAACAGATCAGCAGAGCCGAGCTTAACTGACAGAGGTAGGCTCACTACAGATTACCTCTTTGGAAAGGAGCCAGAATTTCTCTTCCAAGCATTTGTAGGATGCACAGGGGGTAAATCAAAGTTCCAAAGATGCACTATGCTTCAGGGGGATATCTCTGAAAGCTGCGACTCATGTGAAGATCCCCAAAAGGTGGTAGAGGACTCTTCGCTGGACTTCGGCGTCCATCCAGAGTTTGACAACGATAGCTTTGAAAGTGAGGATAACGATCTAGGTGCCCTCGAAAAGGTTCTCCTAGATCCGGAAACAAGTGGATCGACCAATGTAACCAACCCGAGTGTAATTCAACAGCACGAAAACTATCGAGGCCAGACTGTGACACGTTCATCCTTGACTCCTGCTCCTGTGCAGATCTACACCGAAAACGTCACCATCCCCACCACAACCTTGATCAGAGCAGAGTACGAACCCAACAGCAGCATAGATCAAGGATCTGCTTCGGATTCACAGTCAATACAGGGCTCAGCATTTACTACATCCGTAATACAGAATCCGGAGCAGACTTATTCCGGCTCAACTGAGCCTGTCGTGACAACGTTAGTGGAGAATCCACCAGGATTTCCATTCATAACCCCAGAAGAGAGGCATACCACGGTTCCCCATCTTCCTCCTCCTCTAGCAATCCCTCCAGGTTTCAGAGGGAAGACTTCTGAGGTCCCCATTTTTGAACAGGATGTGTCTACTGACGAGTATAGCACTAGTTCAGACCAGGATGTTGTACCATCCGGAAGGTCCCCGCCCCCTATCATTCAAATAGATCCCTTAAGTTCCCTGGCAAGGGAACTACCTACCCAGGCCTTGACCATACCTCAAGTGCCACTGAACGTTTCAGCAATAACTGTTCCCAAGTTCACTGCATCATCACACACATGCAATACGCCTGCAGTCTCGGAAGTCACAACCCCTGTCAACCCAACTGACCTCAACGCTACAATGATTCCGTTACCTTCTCCTCTTAGAAAAAATGTCCTAGTCCCCGATAGCAGCAATGAGAAAGGTTGCCAAGAACCTATTCCAGAACAGCCAAAGGATAAGCGTCCTCAGCCATTGATTTTCAACTTCTTTAAACCCTCAAAGTCAAAGCAGGAAGGCGACGGCGTAGCTGTGGTAGATCTAAAGGCTAATTCCACGGGGCGAATGGCATACTCCAAGGTCTATGAGTGCTGGGTCACACTAGACGAGAATGGCGACGAGATACCTCCACCAGTACAGAAGGAACCCACGCCACCCCCAGTAGCGGCTGCTTCATATCAGCAGCTTGGCAACGAATCAAACAGAAGGGCACCTGCTAGCCGAATGGCTAATAGGACCGCAGCCTCGCGCTATAAGCTCGTCCGGGACTAGCATTCTTAATGCCTTGGCCCGCGTACTCTTCAAAGCCATTATCTCTAACCCTTGTAAATTTCAAAAATGCAGCCTGGCGATGGACCACTGCACTATCACACAAAGGAGCTAAGGGCAGACAAGGTCATCAGTTGCTACCCGGAAAAGCTTCCCGTAATACGGCAATCTGGCACGCGGGTTTTCTCCTCGCTGAAGACAGATGACATCGAAGGCGCGCAACCGCATTCCAAGGACTTTCGAACAAACCGAAGCGTGGACCCACTGGAACCGGATTACAAGCTACCGACTGTCGAAGAAAGGCCCGTCACGCCCCCGCGCTTTCTGCGGGACCAGATAGATATATCCGACATTGAAGGTGCCAAATCAAAGCCTCTTTACACTAAGAAGGTCCGCAACACAAATCTAGACGTCAGCGACATTGCAGAACAGAGAACAGAGGTCAAGGAGATCAGGCCCCGAACAATCGACTACATGATGCTCAGTTCAGACGTAAGCATTAACGACCCCAAACCATACGAGTTCAGACAGGCAGACTTCAACCCCAACAACCCCATTTATCAGTGGAAGCACGCAGAGCAACCTGTAGCTTCGGGGTGCACCCTAACAAATGAAAAACTGCTCAATCGAAACGTAGTCGAACGGGGAGACCTTTCACTCAAGGCCGATGACATTTTGGAAAACGACCGTATCAAACGGGAGAGGCTGTACGGCTCGCTGCGAAAGACCACCAAGGACACTCAATCGTGTATTGACATTGAGGGGGCGAAAGCCATGTACAGCTTCAACAAACTCAGCGACAAGTGTAGAAGATATTATGGGAAAGACCCGCATGATCCATCAATTAGAGATAAAGACTATGCATTTTTATGCGGAGCAATCAGTGGTAACAAGCAGCCACCGATCTACTCGGCAGATTTCATCGGAAGAAGACTCAGTCACAGCTACTCGGGAGCTGAAAAGAAGGGCTTTGGAATTAAAAGGTCCATAGGAGATGAAACTTATGATAACCCTATGTCCAAGGCCGACCCTACTGCCTATGTTCCTTCGCATAAAGACGCCCCTTCTGTCGAAACAAAGTACGAACTAGAGCACGATCGCGAGAAGTACATTGCCTATACTAAACTCAATCCACACATAGTACCCGAGTACCAGCCGTGCCCAAGTGAGCATGTGTATAAGAAAAAGGTGGAGCTCTATGCAGACGACTCCCACATGCCCCATGCAGGTCAGGTCGTGGGAGTGAAGAAGTACCGCACAGCATCTGAGCTCTGCGAAACCCTGCCGGGGCCATCTAGAGCAACCTTGCTAGAACACGAAAAGCCCACTGTGGGCCGTAAAGAAGCAAGTAACATAGGGCATTGGCGTAAGGTTGTTGACAGGCTGGTAGATGCATCAGAGACATACGACAGAGAATATTATAACGAGTTCAACGCGGCTCGAAGCACAGCGGTCACCCTTAGAGACTTTAGTGGAGGACAACAAAATACGGCAACAGCACCAATACTCAAAGAGGGAACTAAATCCAGCACCATGCTCCGCAGCTGCAACGTGACTAAAGCGCTGCAGAGGACAGGCAGAAGGACTGATGAACACGAAGTCCAAATGGTTAGGAGCCTTCCAGCGTACTAGTAAATTCCCCGTCAGATCTTCAAATATGGAAACAAATACTTGTTGCCGGTGTCAAGTGCATGCACAACTGGGCTCTTCCCATCATATGAGCAGAGGTGGCTCTCGGCCTCTGCAAGGGCTGCGACGCACTCACTGTGTCCCTCATGGATGGCGTAAATTAGAGCGGTCAAACCCATGTACTGCCGCATACCGACTTCGTGCTGGAGAAGAATCTCCACAACCCCACAGTGGCCTTCCCTAGCTGCCTCCATCAACGCCGTGTGACCGTCCCGTTCACTGGTAATCTTTGCTTCGTGCGGAATGAGAAGCTTGGTAAGAGAGATAGAGCCTGCTGCCGCAGCATGCATGAGTGCGGTACGTCCGTCGTTCGTCTGCATGCCTTTCTCCAGCGGCAAAAGCACCCGTGCAGAGTTGAAGTTTCCTGCTTCTGCAGCAATCATTAATGCAGTCTGCCCGGTAGGAGTTGTCATGCGTGCCTGCGTGCTGGAGTAGTTCAAAACATCCTCTAACGCATCCGCTCGGGCGGCCTCCATGAGGGCTGTAAAAGCTCGATTAGTTGTTATAGTGTAGACGTACTCTGTTGGTTCCCCCATAATCTCCCACTTGTCATCATTCTTTCCATTTGGCGGCCGTGACATTGGAGCGTCCAACTTTTGACGCAAAAGTAATGTAACAACGTGCCTTAAATTGGGATGCAAAGTCCGAGTTAGTGGCTAGTAGTCTCGTAAGATGATGGTCTGAGGGACGATATGCTATATGTGGAGTTATCCTGAGTCAAAGGAGACACCTTACGATTTAAGTTGTGGGAAACCGCACGCTCAGGGACTTGGAGCGGAGTCGCTGAAGCTTGCGAACGCAATGCTGCAATGCGTTGCAGGTAGGATGGAGACTGGTTCGTAGCGTTATAGTATTCTGGAGTGTGGAGAGGATTATTCCGCTCAACACTGTGCAGTGAAGGTCCCCCGCCTCGAATGCTCCTTAGGCTATGGTTTGTGGACTCAGCTCTGCCACTAATGTTTTGTCGATCAAGTCCATGAGTAATGGTCGGGGGAACAAGGATGGACGATTGGGGGTTGTCGTGGCCAATTGCTATGCTGAAGCTGCTCCCACTCGGTTCTCCTGGAGCATTATTGTCTGTGTCGAACGACAGAAAGGGCATTTGTGGGGCTCTTACTGGGGGCGCTGTCTCGGCTAGCGTTGTCTTAAGACCTATTGGCTTGGGATCTGGCGTCTTTTCCACAAGTGCACTTGTCGATGAAGACCCCTTGTCGCTGGCATGTCTCCGAGACAGCTCTTCTTTCAGCCTGCGACACTCAGCTGTCGTCTCTTTTAGCCGCTTAGCCATAGATTCAAACATGGTCCTACATCGTGGGCAGTTAAAGGCATAGAGTTCTGGCGTGCTTGCAAGGGTTTCGGTATTGTCCTTATCAAGATATGAGTGTCTAAAGGACCTGGAGCGATCAGAGATTGGGAGCGGAAGCGAAGGTCCGTGTGCAGAGTCTTCAGTAATCGATTTGCCTATACTTCTACTGCTTTGATGATGAGACACCATTGCTCGCCGCGACTCAGTTGCCGACTGATCGCAGAACTGTGCTGCAACAGACAATATGCTCCTTGCAAGCATATAGTGATTTGCCCCTCTAGCAACCTCACTTGCGTGCTCTGCCTCCTGATGAGTGAAGGAGCCGTGCTTGAGTAGATACTCTGCTGCTTCGTCATGCCCCAGCTGCGCCGCTAGATCTAAAGCACTCAGCCCCTGGCCATCAGGTGTGCTCTTCCAGTATCTGACCAAGACAGATAGGTAGCCCAGAAGATTTTGCCGAACAGCCGAGTGAAGAGGTGTGGAGCCCTTCGATGTCTTTAGGTGTATCTCGTAGTGCAAAAGCTCATCAATGCATGCAAAATTGTGTTCGTCCATAGCCAGTTTTAGCGCCGTATCTCCGTCATGATTGTAGCACCCTTTTTCACGAGGGGCTAAGAAAAAGACAACTTCTGGAATATTCAGTTTTGCCGCCAGCATTAGTCCCGTCTCTCCATGAGGCCCACGGGCTCCTGCAAATCGCTCGGCATTCGCCTTGATAGCCTCTAAATTGCGTTCCCGTATCGCGCAAAACCACTGATCGGGATCCCGGAAGGACATCTTTTTATTCTTCCTAACGCTACCAGAGATTCATTTACACTTTGCAGCGCAGGTCCAGAAGAGAGCCTAAGACCTTGCACGCTCATACTCCTTCATATCCTCAAGGATAGCATTTCTGTTGAGCTCCGTCGCCCAGTCACGCGCAGACTTGCCCATGGAGTCCTTGATGTCGTACTCGGTGCTGTAAAGGAGTTGAGCCACGTGCCTACGGTTAAACTTAACGGCAAGGATCAGCGCAGTCGTTCCGTCCAACGACTGCATTCCATGCTCGTGGTCGAGCAGAACTTTTACGCAGTCAAAGTGGCCATTAGCCGCCGCAGCCATCATGGCAGTGCCTCCATCACGCGGCCTAGAAAGGCGCTTTTCAGGATGTAGCAGGGCGGTAACAACCTCGCGAAGGCCGTACGACGCACCGTACATAAGTGCCGTCATCCCTTCATAATCCGACATGCCGCTCTCTTTGGGCGAGAGCTCACAGACGCAGGCTATGTGGTTGCGCTCAGCAGCACATATGAGCGCGGTCTTCCCGCGGTTATTGATGAGTCCCGCCTGCGTGTTCAACAAGATACGGACAGAGTTGAGGTTTCCATTCTTTGCGGCGTTTATCAGTTCTGTATCCCCATTAGGATAGCGGCCAGTGGCGCTGTCGAGAACGTAATTCTCGGCACGCATGGAGGCAGTAATGCTATTGATAGCCGCTGCCTCAGGAGTGGACTCAGCCAGCTCATCGAGTGTCGCCTTGAGGGAAGCTACCGCTGCAGACTTGTCGGTTGCAGCGGCGGCAGCGGCATTGGCGGCGTGCAAGGCGGCATTGGCCCGGATCCTTGCACTCTCAGTCAGAGCCTGGTTGATCCTGTTGGCTGCAACGAACGAGGCGGTGGCGGCAAGAGAAGGCTGGAACCACAGCGGATCATATATGCGCTGGGCTGCCAAGACGTTGTTGGCAACCGCAGAGCGAACAAGCGTGTCCTGGACAGCTGCCGTGGCTGCGGCGTTCGCGGCGGCAGTGGCAACGGTGGCCGACCCTGGAACAAGAGGGTTGTAGAGCTGAGATGCCGTTAGGGCTGCTTGGGTAGCAGCGGCCTGAGCAGCTACTGGGTTATAGTAGGGAGTCGTGGCGAGTGCAGCGCGAGTAGCAAGCTGGGAGGCAGTAATGGCAGACGCTGTAGCCAGTGACGGGGGAATAAGCTTCGAGGCTGTCACGGCATCTAACGTCGAGGAGTGGCCGGTACGCGCGATTTCGTCGGTGATTCTCGATGACAAGACGGCATTCTCGATACTCGCCGTAACAGGGTCAACGGCAGCCAGGGGATTAAGAGTGCTTCCGACGATGCTGTTACGAATCACTGCGGCGTCGACCGCGAGCTTGGTTGCAAGAGTACTGTCCATCTTGTAATCCCTGATGAGATTTGCAACCGTGTGATAGCTATGAAGATTGGCATGTTCAGCGGCGCGTTCTAGCTGGAGTGGGGTCCAGCCAACACCATACTTGAGAATTGTCTCACAAGCGACTGCGTTGCCCTGATCAGCGGCAAGGTCCAGTGCTGTCATCCCACGACCATCAGGTTTGTCCTTTAGATAGTGGACGAGGAAGGGTATGCTCTCCGGGAAGAGATTGCGAACAGCATAATGTAGCGGGGTCGAATCGTCACGCAGACGATAAAACGCCTCAAACTGAGCCAGAACGGGGACAGAGTCGAGCGCACGCTTCTTAATGGCGATGGTGATGGCGTTTTCGCCGTGCCTATTAAACATGCCCTTCTCGAGAGGCCCCAGCATGCGACACATTTCCGCGTCATTATTTGAGGCAGCAATCATGAGCCCCGTGTTCCCTTCTTGGTCTACAGACTTCGAAAACGCTGCTGAGGCTGCGGAGATCTCCCCGTAGTTCTTCTGCGCAATGGCACGGAACCAGTCCGACTGCGTTGAAACGACCATTTTTTAAAAATGTCACAGGGTGGAGAATTTTATACACTTGGGGGTCACCGCGCCAAACTTACAGGACATTCACTTTTTTGTGTTTAGGAGGTTGACAGTATGTTCGATATCACGAACCATATAGGATGGATTTATAGTAGGAGGAAGATACATATTCGACCTCGCCTCAGTGTTCGATGGGGTATGCGAGTCTACCACCTTGAGAATCTCTTGACGGTTAAACCTTTTGGCCCAGTCGCGCGGAGAGATGCCGTCACGGTCTGCTATTGCGTGCTCAAGTGGCCAGAGTAGGCACGCACAGCGGCGCCTATTATTACGAATCGCATGAATTAGGGCCGTTGATCCATCGTGGGCCTGAATGCCCTTTTCGTGGCGGGCAAGAATATCGACACAATCTATGTTCCCATTGGAGGCAGCCGCCATAAGGGCCGTGGAGCCGTCAATGCGCTTGGTGAATCGCTTCTCGTGTGACACAAGCATTGAGACAGCCAGGGGCAGATTTAGGGCCGCAGCTATCATGAGCGCCGTGGTGCCATCCGCATCCTGAATTCCTGCTTCTATGTTGCACAGCTCCGTGATCATCAGCGTGTTGTTTCGATCTACAGCATGCATGAGGGCAGTGCGTCCGCGAGAGTCGACCTGTCTTGTCTGGTGGGGAAGATACTTCCTGAATTTGATGATATCACCGTTCTTCACTGCAATTATCAGATCAGAGTCTCCAGCAGCGCCTGGTTGCAAGCGCCTCTGGGACATAGGAGGAATCAGCGTCTCAGGTTTAAGTTGAGACGTACGAGCGCTATCAGACCGAGCAACGCTCGACGCCGAGTTGGTGCGGGGCTTGACCTCCGGCCTATAGCCCTTACCGTAATGCGAGCGAGATGTGCTACGACTGCTACTGCGGCTTCTACTACGAGAGCTCGCCCTGCCCGATCTGCTCGGAGACTGGATGCTGCAAGAAGCTGAGTAGACATCCCCGCGATAAGCGGCACGGTGGTCTCCTCCGTCGTTTGCGATCTTGTTTGAACAATAGTTGAGTGGGCTCTCCACTGTCCCAGGAATATACTCGTGTGTCTTGCGGTCTATGTGTCCCGAAGAGGTCCCAGTGACCCTATTAGCCTGACTCACAGCCGCGTTACCTTCAGCCATGCGAAGGCGAGCATTTGCCTCGCGAAGAGCGTCCTCTAGCCTTGCAATCTCTGCATTCTTGACGGCAACGATGTTATCCACGACATCGGCCGAAATCACCGACTCGTCGTCACGTCTCCCTCTGAACCCCATGAAGTTCGCATAATCCACGCCATCGGCACCGGGATCCTGATAGGCGGAAGCCAATACCTGCGGCCCATTCTGCGACTCGTGGATCTGATCGAGTGTTTCGTTACTAGGATACGCTAGCTGTCGCATAGAATCAGTAAGCTCTCTGAAGCTGTCCGTGCACGGAGCTGGAGCAGCGAGCTGCCTCATAGATTGGATTGCCGGCTGGCTGAGAGACCTGACAACAGAGTTGGCTTCACTGACAGGGACACCGGCAGACAAAAGAGCGTTCTTCAGGGCTAGACCGTCAACGACAGGCCCTCCAGGTGCAGGCTCAGGCTCGAAGGCTCGCAGATCTTCTACTGTTACTGGCTCTCCTGTGTCTTGTCTTGAATTTGCGACACGCCAGTACCTCTTAAAAAGGATCGGGAGAGTAGAGACGATCACCATCTGTCCACATGCACGAGCATGCTCAATCGCCCGATCTATTTCTAATTGTGTATATGGGGTACCAGAGACCAGCAAGTGCTCGATAGAGCGAATGGACCCCAACTCAGCTGCAAACTCGAGGGGTGTGCGGTCGGCCCTAGAGCGTGCTCTCTTATAACGGCTTGTCAAATAAGAGATGGCTTCAACACAGCCCATACGAATGGCGTAATGGAGGGGCGTGTCCCCATTTGAGATCATTTGTTCAGACTCGTATTCGCAGAGCACACCCAAACAGTCCACGCTGTTGTTCTGTATCGCTAGCATAAGGGCACTCTCTCCACGGCTATTATAAAGCCCAGATTCATGATCGCAAAGGATCTCCACCACGGACCCGCAATTGCGTCTGGCAGCCTTCATGAGCGCTGTCTCCTTGGTGGAGTCTATGGTTCGTGCATACGTTTCAACATTTTCTTTGATGAAGCGGTGATCATTGTCAAAAGCGGCATTGAACCAATCGGTCACTGTGTCCGAGCCCATATGAATTTTTGATTACACGCCTTCGCGCACATCCTCCCCTGTGACCCTCACCCTCTCTATTTACTGAAGCAGTCCTTGTAATGCTTAAGCTCAATTGCAATGGCTTGTCTGCCGTATTCCCGAGCATGCCAGACCGCGTCGTGGCCCTCATTATCAACCATAAAGATCTCCTGCGAACACAGCAGCTTGCAGCATTCCAGGTGGCCATTCTGTGCAGCTAACATAAGCGCCGTCATGCCCTCCACGTTCTGGTATCCTGCTTCGAACTCTAAGAGAATTGAAACCACAAGCTCGTGACCGTTGTTTGCCGCAAGCATCAATGCAGTCATTCCGTCGTGTCGTGTGAGCTTCGCCTCGGCATACATAAGGGTCTTGCAGACGGTCATGTAGCCATACTGAGCCGCGTACATCAAGGCGGACATCCCATCTCTATCTTGCTTTCCACTTTCCTTCAGAAACAGGAGCGTTACGCAGGATACATGGTTCCGTTCTGCCGCGTACATCAGCGCTGTTTTACCAAACTTGTTGACATACCCCACTTGCGTATGTCTCAGCTGATCGACGAGCATCAAGTCACCGTTAAGCGCGGCAAGCATGAGCTCCGTTTCATCCATCGCATTAGTCTTGCTCGGGGGCATATGTCTTTGCCGGTCCACCGTGGAGCCCGACCGGCCCGTGCGGGATTGATTCCTAGACTGTGTTCTGGACTGGGCTCTTGAGGTAGAGGTAGATCCATGTGCCTTGGTTGCTCCTGTGGCCGTACCTGTAACTGAGCCAGAACGACGCAGAGTGTTGCTCCCCGCACGTGTTTGTGAACTCGATAGGGCTGTTCTGGTGCGAGATGTCGAACGGGATGGAGAGTCGCCATATCTGCGGGAAATATGTGTGGAGTATGGAGCAGATCCCGGCTCGCAGTTCAGTACAGTGTCACTTGGCATAGACCGAACCCGGCCCGAATTACTCAGAGATCTCCTGAGCGTATCTGCAGTAGAGCTACTGGACAGCTTTGTCGTCCCTGATACGACATTCGAGACGTCTATTCCCAGGGTTCTGAGGGTCTTGTAGTCATTTGCCAGCTCGATAGTTGCTGCGTCTTCGATGACTTGTTGTCGTTGAGACGGAGACAGACACTTCAGGTGCCTTTCAGTGAATCCTCCTGTCAATTGCATCGACGAGTTCCCCCTGGAAGTCCCCAGCTTGGAAGTAGTTGCTTGCCGCGACGGAGTTGCCGTGGCCGAATGGCTGAAGTCCAATTGGTTTTCGATCTGAGAATGCGATGGGTCGACAGTATTATTTGTCCCCACGTAGCGATCCGGGTTAGCCTCGCGTTCGATGGCCATGGCGTGCTCTATCGACCCCTGGTAGTGCCGCTCCTGAAGTTCTTCCAGGGCTCGGATCTTCTTCTTGAGGATAACGTTATCATTCTGGGCAACATCAAGTCTGTGTCTAAGCTCTGACACCGTCTGATCCCTATCGATTAGCAAGGAAACAAGAGCGGTGATGTTCTTTTCGCAGTTTAGACAGTTTGTGTTGTAAATTGCATAGGGGGACATGCTGTGCCCTTTCCCCATGCCCTCTATCTGCTCTGGGTCTAGCTCTGGAGGCACAACTGGTGCAACAATTCGTGCGCTGTGAGCGTGTAGTTGATTCGCAGTGACGTCATTATAATACTGATCACTTCGGGCATTCTCGCAAATATGTCCTGTGCCGCTGAAAATCTGGCGTCCTCCCTGCGTATCGGTGGGCGGCGCCGATGTATTGCGGATGGCATACGCACAGTCTGGAAATCCGTGCTCCTCAGCAATTTGAGCTGCACGATTGATCTGATCTGCCGTGGCCACAGGGAGTCCGTGGCGGATGAGACGCTCCATCATTTCTGTGTAGCCTAGTTCTGCTGCCAGCTCGAGAGGCGTCCTTCCAGCGTCATCGCACTTCTGCGCCAGAAGAGGAGCCAGGTACGGGACAAAATCAATCTTGTTTGACCTCACAACGTGGTGTAGAGGAGACGACCCATCATACCCCGTCGAATTAGCCTCATTCCGCGCCAAAAGCTCGATCCCCATGAACAAGTTGTTGTCTATGGCAATGACAAGCGCCGTTTCCCCCATCTTATTGAACATGCCCCGCTCATAGCCAACCAGGAGCTCCATCATCTGGACATCTTGCGCGCGCGTAGCCAACATAAGTGCGGTCTCTCCGTGACTATTGACCGAGGACGCAAACCTGTCTGCGTAGCGCTCAACAAGCATGTAGTTCCTCTGGTGCACCGCCTCGAACCACTGGCCAGAAGTCGTTATAGACATGGCGTAGAATCCAAGCGGTAGTTTTTTATGAATTCTGCTAATATAATTTACTTAATCAGCGTGGGAAAGTAAGTGCAAACACGTGCACAGCAGCCCTTCTATTGCTGTATGGCTATCAAGCAATAGCCTTCGCTCTGTGGCGGGCTGCTGCGTGGTTTAGGCACATAGACTCTCCGAAGAATGGCTTAAGTGACATAGTAGAAAACCCCAGCTGTGCCTGCGGTCGAGTGGGCGCTGCTGTAGAGCTTCCTCTGCTGTAACTTCTGAAAGCCGTGTCCACACAGCCAGATATTGGGTCACGAGGGGACTCACAAAGGAGCTCCTGGTCTGGAATCTGGTCAATCTCACGAAGAACGGTTGATAGTGCACCTCCTCGCATGCAGCCACCATCTATGGAAGTGCCGGCACCCCTGGTTTGGAGAGACACGTTAAGTTTATCAACATCTTCGTCCTTCAGATGGGAATTGAAGGTAATCAAGGTACATGGGCTCCCATCAAGAGTATATGTTTTGTTCAGGCTAGCCGCTCTCCTTGCACGAATCCTGCTCATGGCCTGGCTTATCTCCTCCCTTGTCATTGAGTTACCATTTGCACGTGGAAGCTCCTGTGGCTTCATCCTCGTGGGCACTTGCTGGGGGCTTTCTTCGAAAAGGAACCGAAGGCTATCTGGAGCCAGAATGCTTGATTGCGGAGATGACTTACTGAGGCTACGGCGCGGACTCAAAGCACGTCTTTGATACCCTATGGCAGATATGTTTAAGTTTTCTGGGGCTCTGTTGTTTAGTCTGGCCGCTATGAATGAGACACCTGTCCTCCCCGTAGTGAGCTCCTCAAGCTCTTTCCTATTCTGATAGGACTGCTTCCAATGGATGTTGGCCTGTAATTGGTCTATAGCTCTGGCTTTCATCTCCTCCTTGGGGTCGCCCGTGCTGCGCGCCGGCGAGGCCCATTCCGCTGCGCGCTGCCCCAATAATGGAGCCACCGATCGACGCTTGGGGGTGGCTAGGTCAGCCTTCCGTTCCCCGAGGGGGGATGTTTTTGTGCACAGGGTGAGTAGAGCAGGGTGTGTTCGGTCAGCTTTTCCTGTGTTGATCAGTGCTGAGATTGCGCTTCAATTTTTTACCAATCCTGTCCTGTGTCGATTGGCGTCTAGACTAAGCAGAGCATAGAGGTATTTACTTTTTAAGGCCATACCATCAAACACATGTCACTGGGAGAGCGAAAGGGTATGTCTGCCCAGACTCGTAGCTCAGCTATCACATCGCATTAAATGAAGTAAGGGGACATAGTGAGTGACGAGGAGTAAAGAAATAGCAATCAGGATAGCCGCCCATAATCTCTCTAGCTCGTTACCAGATTGGTATGGTAGGCCAGAGTTCCAAATCACTGAATTTCAATTAAAACTTATGACGCTCTGCCTTACTGACCTCCCAACCGAGGATATAGATGATTTAAAGATCTGCAACCAGAAGAAAGACCATAAGGACAACCGGTGGCGCCGCAAACTATCTCCAAGACATACTGGATATACGTCGCAGTTCAACGAGAACTTCAACACAGAAGCCGTCAGTGCTCACGTCAACTCATTCAACGATTTCATTGATTCCTTAAATACAACAATCATCAAACACGCACCTGCAATAGTTATTAACCTAAGCACATCCAAGGCTATTAAGGTCGAAATAGTCAATCTAACCATCAAGCCTCCTTCTTTTACACCAGCTTTTGCCCGGGAAACACGCGCCAACTATTGTGGCCCACTACACGTTACCCTCAAGGTGTCGGACGGACCAATGTCCAAGACCGTAGTCATCAATGCCGGAGACGTTCCGGTCATGGTAGGATCAAAGCTTTGCTTGTTGCATGGGAAAACACGGGAAGAAAGGATACGACTCCGCGAGGATGAGCGTGATGCGGGGGGATACTTTATCTCAAATGGTCAAGACAAAGTTGTGCGCCTTTATTTGGACTGTCTGTCTAATACCCCCCTTGCGTTCACCAAATATCGTTCTTTGTCCACGATTTCTGAATTTGCTCCTGCAGGCGTGCACTACAAAGGGGTTCGAGAAGATGGGCACGTCTACTCCACAGTCATACAGGCACGAAAGGATAACTTTCTCAGCGTGAAATTCACAATAGATGGAAGATACATTTATGTGCCTCTCATACTGGTTCTGCGTGCTCTAGTTTCGACAACAGATAAGGAGATTTATTCCACCATCTGTACCATCTGTGCTTCAGCACACCCCAAAGAAGATGGATATGTCTCCCTTCGGGTTGAAGCTATGCTGCGAGACTTTCACAAATATCGCATTTTCTCCCACAAAGCCTGCAAGCAGTTACTTGGCGGTAAGTTCAGGATGATCCTTTCCTTGTTAGATAGGTATGACTTGACAGATGTGGACTGCTGTGACCTATTATTCGAGCAGTACCTTCTGATAAACATCCCCAAGGAAGACACCAGAGCCAAGTTTAATATGATGTGCCTCATGGCCCGCAAATGCCTGCTGCTCTTTGGTAGCTTTATAAAGCCAGACAGTCCAGACCTGCTGTCTTCGCAAGAGGCTCTTACTCCTGGCGCCTTTTTCAAGGCAGAGGTCACGTCTACCCTCATCAAAATCATGCGTCTTGTCTCTCGAAACGCCACCTCCACCGGAGCCATTGGCAGCTATGAGCTCTCAAACTCTTGGATTTCTCATTACATAGCCTCTCCCAAACTTTGGAGGCCCTTGTCTAGTGGCCTGCGATCTCTTGCCGGACCGGGAGTGATGCGCGCATACAAGGGCCACGACTACTCTAATATGAGTGGCCTCTCGGTCCTTGCAGATAGGATAAACTACGTCCGCTTCCTGGCGCATTTTCGTTGCATAAACCGAGGAAACGCCTTTGCGACTCACAAAATCACTAGCATTAGAAAACTGTACCCAGAGTCCTACGGCTTCCAGTGTGCTGTCCACACCCCGGATGGTGCGCCATGTGGAATACTCACGCATCTTTGCTATAAGGCCACGGTCCTCAGCTCCACCCCAACCACCGATCAAATTGCAAATCTATTCATATTATTGGCACAATTTGGGCTTTCCCCCTCTCTTTCTGATATCTACAGCCTTTGTGTGGTGCTCAATGGCACTATTCTAGGCTATTTAGATACGAATGAACGTGCAATTCAGCTTGTCGCGTGCATTCGCGCAGCAAAGGTAAAGTCTATTATTTTCCCGTACACCGAAGTCGTTTTTATAGAGAAGGGCAATAAAGATCATCTCTTTCCGGGAATCTATATGAACACATCCATGGGACGATTCTATCGCCCTGTCCACTCACTGACTAATAATTCACCAGAGTATATTACTCCTCTTGAGCAGATATTCCTTCAGATAGCCATCTATGGCGACGACGTGCGCCTGGGGGTGACTACGCATCAAGAAATTACCCCAACCTCCCTTCTCTCCATTCTTGGGCTTCTGGTGCCATTCTCGGACCACAATCAGTCCCCCAGGAACATGTATGAGTGCCAAATGCTCAAGCAAACGATGGGAATCCCGTGCCGCAATCTTGCATATAAATATGATACAAAGTCCTATCTCCTTACAACTCCCCAGAAGCCTCTTGTGCGGAACGCAATCATACATGATATTGGTGGCTTCGATACCCACCCAACAGGCACGAACCTAGTGGTGGCAGTCTCGGCGTATACCTCATACGATATGGAGGACGCAGCACTGATCAACAAGGCCTCGCTGGAGCGAGGTCTTTTTCACGGAACCGTTTATTCGGTTCACGACATAGATTGCTACGACGACAAGCTAATGAGATACATGCGAACCGTAGCCACTGCCGTGCCCTACCTCAAGCGCAGCCCAGACTATATTGTGACTCACATGGATGAGAACTACGACACAGAGCTAGACGAGGACGGGCTTCCTCCCGTTGGGGCATACCTGTCGCATGGCAGTGTATTCTACCAAACGTATGACCCAACTAAGCAGTGCTACTCAACCAAGCTGTACCATCACGAACCGGGGTTTGTGGAGAAGGTCATCGTTATTCATAAAAGCGCTGCGAAAGGAGAGTATTGGACCGATAACGATATTGCTACAAAGAAGAAACGGGACTCTTCGTTTCCAGCTGGAGACTCCAACTCATCCAACCTTGATAATGATGCTTCGGATGATGAGATAAGTAACCAGCCAGGTAGCGGTTCCGAATCAAATGAAGATAACCAAACAGCAACGCCGCGGTCACACGCAAGCAAGGCGGAGAGAAAGTCCTCTAGACAGTTGCAGACCCGTGCTCGAACTGAGAGCTCATCTCTACACTTTATTCAGCGCGTGCGCATAGTCATTCGGCACGACAGAACTCCTGTTGTGGGAGACAAGGTTGCAAGCCGACATGGCCAGAAAGGAATCATGGGGATACGGTGGCGGCAAACCGACATGCCCTTTACCTCCAGCGGTATAGTTCCCGACCTCATCATTAACCCCCACGCTTTTCCATCCAGAATGACAGTCGGAATGCTTATAGAGTCACTTGCCTCCAAGATAGGCGTGCACTACGCTGACTTTGTTGATTCTTCGCCTTTTCAGTGGAGTGACGAGCGTCGCGCTATAGATGTCTTTGGTGAGCAACTTCTCAAAACAGGCCAATTTAATAGGTACGGGTCGGAGGTCATGTACAGCGCCATAACTGGGGACCCAATGCCAGCCGACATTTTCATTGGCGTTGTCTACTATCAGCGTCTACGACACATGGTGTCAGACAAGTACCAGGTTCGCGCAGAAGGCCCCTCCGACAAGATCACAAAGCAGCCCATCAAGGGGCGTAAGAGGGGTGGCGGCCTGCGCTTCGGAGAAATGGAGCGAGATGCTTTGTTGGCCCACGGAGCTATGGCGAGCCTTAGGGGTAGACTCTGCACAGAGAGTGACGCCACGGAGCACGTTGTCTGCGCTGCATGTGGAAGTCTGCTTGGAATGCAGCTGGGCGGAAGTGTCTGCCGAGAATGTAAGGCTACAGGCCACGGGCGGCTCATACAAATACCCATGGTGCTGCTCGTTCTTGCCAATGACCTCGCAGCGATGGGTGTGAGAATGCGCTTCAATGTATCTCTAGTTGAGTAGGCATCTACTAACTATCAATTTGTTCGTCCAAAATCAAAAAAGTGAATGGGTGTCTCCTGGGTTCTCCTGGGGCTTGCTCTGGGGGCTGCAGCCATCGTGCTGGCCATGTCAATTTACATATTGCTTTACTGGTCGAGGCCTAGCGACAAATGGGTCGAGTTGCCGTCTCGGATTTTAGTTGTCTTCTCTCTTTTCTTCCTGTTCATGCTCCCTGTCATGATCCCCCTTGATCGGGCGAATAGTTCAACGTTCAATGCTACGTCTCCAGTTGGGATAAATCCGACCATCATGTCATATATTTGGGTCGGATTGATGCTCTTCGCAATTTTTTTGGCAACATTTCTCCTCCCTCTCTGCTACTTCTACATCTCTTCTCGTAATGCCGGAGAAACGATAGGAAGGTCGTTGCTTGGGGGCCTCTGGAAGGCCGCAGTCATCATCGCGAGCACGCTGCTCTTGTCTGCATTTCTGTGGTGGCTACTGGAAGTAAGGAACACCTGCCCAAAGCAGACGACAAATGCCCTGGCTGCACCAGAGAGGATTCTGAAAGCGTCCACATCTTCGACCATGCCTATCTACATTTACTTCATTGTTTTTGCTTGCTTCCTCGGTAGCATAATTTTCGTTTTGTTCTTATCCGTCGGGCTATTTATTTATCCCGTATCATACATCATTAGGTTTATCAAACGGCCTCATAGCATGAACAAGGACGAGCTCCTCACGTTCAAGCAGCGCTACAAGCAGAGGTCACTCAATCTTTTGAAGGAGTACGACAGAATATATGAACTACTGATCAAAGAGTACAGCCGAGACCACGTTGAAAGGATGATAAAGAGAAACGAAAGAAGCGCCCTGTTCAGCAGGTCATCTTTAAGGAAAGAGGCACGTAATTTCGAGAAGCTTGAGCGAGACCTCGAGGAGATGGAGAGGGAGTACACTGACACTCTCGCCATGAATATCAAGGAGACAGCTAATCCACTCAAGTACTATTTACTACTGGTACTTGGAATATTTTTCTTAATAGTTTCTGTGCTCTGGTACATCCAGATAATAGCGGCCGCGCTACCTAAGCCCTTTTACATTTTAGACAAAGCATTCGCAGCCATGGACAGTGCCTTGCCTTTCCCCATCCTGTCGATAATCTTTTACAGTAGCCTCGCCATTTATATCTTGTTCTGTTTTGTTAACGGGGTGACAATCCTGGGACTCAAGTTTGTGTTTTTCATGAAGATCTACCCTATGGAGCGGAACAACACGCCCCTTGTGGGCTTTGTATTTAATTCTATGATGATGTGTGTAGGTGCGCTCCCGTCTCTCCTGTTTCTTATCGTGATGATGAGCGAATATACTAATGCGTCTGGTGTGTACAAACTCTTCAAGGACACAGTTGCCAATGCATGCAAATTCGATGCTTGGTTTCTGAACATGTACTGGGCTATAGTCGCACTATCTCCGGTTGCAGTAGCCCTCTGGGTGACATATGTATTTGTTCAGTGCAAGCGCTGCAAGATTCGTAAGCGGACTAGTGAGGATGACAGCAAGAAGAGTAAGAAGGGTACGAAGGAGTCGAAGGGCCTCATGAGCGTATTCGGGCCCAAGGAAAGTGGAACAGGCATCCCTACAAAGGGAGCCATGGTGATGAACGTTGCAAAGAACATGATTGGACTGAACGACTGATCCGTGGTCACCCCTCCTCCTGCCTTTTGTGCTGTCTTGTGAATATGTTATTAGATTCACTGGCTTTGTCTCCGACGCCTCCGTCCCCACGAGCCCCGCGGCTACCTCCAGCAGAGATAGGCCGCATGGTTTCAGCCCTCCCGCTCTGTCTGAAGCGTCCGACGAGGAACTATGTGAGTTCAAATATTGCATCTGCTGTTCAGTGGGGTCGCCGCGAGCTCAATAGAGATCTCCTCCAGAGCCCTCCCGTTGCGGACATGTATGCAAGTATGCCCTACTGCAGTCTCCGTAGGGCTGCTCTGCACCCTTGTTCCTCTCGAGCACGAGTGCAGCCTTTTAGATCGTCAACCTCCCCGTCTTCGCGCCTCACATCGTCACTTTTTGATGGGAACCAAAATGCAGACGCCATACGAACCCAAGCACGTATTCAGCATGCCTTGAATAATCTTGTCGATGATATTCCTCCTGAAGGTCGTGCAATTAGCAATGACTTGCTTCTCAGTCTTCATAGCTCCCTGTCCAACTCTGGTATCAACCCGCGCAATGGCGCTGGAGAACCTCACCAGTCATAGAATTAGAAATCTGACTTAGCCTCCCTTTATCTACCTACGGGTTGTAAACTACAGTGTCTTCGATACATCAGTTGTTCTTCCCATACTATCTCTATGTCCCCGTGACCGCTTAAAGATAATTTACACATGCCCGAGGAGCACTATCTTGCTCCCATCATTCGAGCATTTTTGACGACGCAGGCTGGAATACAGCTGCTGAAGGAACCAGTTGACCAACCCATAGACTCGCAGCGCAAAAGCTCTCGCAATTTCTTAGAAAGCTCTGAAGCTAAGCATGAGACTCTGCGACTCAAGTCCAGCTATTCAAGCCCCTGTCCACCCGCATCTAGATCTGTAAAGTCCCCGCATCCAAATCAGAACATGTCAAGATGCAGAAGAACACCCACCAATGGGTCAACGCCACGTGCAGATAGGCCCAATCTGTCCCAAATCCAGGATAATAGTAGCTCCCCTGCGTTTACTGCGTTTGCTCCTCTTTCACTCCAATCATGCAGGGATTCAGCAAAGGCAAAACCTTCCTGGCTCAACAAAAATCGAGTTCTAAAAAACGATGCCTGCTCGGCGAGCTTCGCCGCGGCCAAGAACTCGGCAGCTCCAGGCAGAGGCGCAGGCACCTCAAGCTACTCCCGAGGGTGCAGGTCCCAGAAGTTCTCTTCCCTCCAAGAGGACCAGGCCTCACACAACACGCCCCCGGTGCACAAAGATAGTCGCCTCGCGAGACTTTGAGGCGGTGCCTGGCCCTGCAGGGCACCCTAGATATGAATACACAACAAATATAAAGTTCTTGCCGCCATCTTACTTTCAGTATAAATACAGGTCAGCGACACGTCAAGGATCTGCCACTCCTTCAGTCCATCACTTGGCAGAGCATTCTCCGCCAGCTTCTCCACGGCGCTCGGCCAAGTCTACCAAGCAACAGCGGACAAAAGCAGTGAATGTAGAGCCGAAGCTGTCCCTCAGGCAAGATAAGGATGATCAGAATGAGCTGGAGCTGAGACAGAAATGTACAGGGGCGCAGTTTTCGGATAATCTTGTCCCAGCCTTAATTCCAGCGGATACAACTTCGCCACAAGAAATCTTGCATGACAATAGTCCATATAGGTCTCTAGATCCGGTCGTTCCCCAAGGGTCTCCTTCTAGCACTACTTCAAAAGGGATGCGGCTTCGTGCAGATTGCGGGCTTCTTCAGAGCTCCAACATGATTTTCGAGCCGTGCCCATCGAATCCAGTCAACTGCAAACAAGGACCTCTCCTGTCTTCTCTCCTTGCAAAAGGCACACTAGATAATCTACAGTCCCTTAGCCTCACTGCAGTAGAAAACCCCTCCCTTGCCACCCTTGCCAGGCGCCAAGCCCGTCATGCCCGTGTAGCTTGGGATGAAGAACCTGAGAGAGATGATGAGAAGAACCCTTCTCCCTTTTCCAGTATTGTCCAGTTTCCTCCGCCGGTTATCCAGCCAACTATTCCCGCTGCACGGCGAGCACGGTCGGCAGAAACTCTCACCGTGTCACAGGATGTGGACGATTCCTTGTTAGACTTCATGTTTGTAGACCTCTAGCGTGATGTCGATAGTACAGCAGATATCTACAAGTGTACAGGATAGGAGATGGAGCCTTTTCTGCAGTAGATGCCCACAAAACAAAAATGCACACATGGATTCTTACTCTCCTAATGTGCACGTGTAGCAACCGTCACCATTATCTGCACAACAGTAACCATTACTTGAAGGGCGGCGCCTTGTGCCGTTTGGCAGCTAAGGCCGGCACTGCAGAGCGCATTCTATTCAGTGATGTGTCAGACTGTCCTGAGAACTGTACATCATGTACAGACCCGTATATCTGTGAAGTCTGTGACCACGGGTACACCCTTACCAATAGAGGACGGTGTGTCGACCTTTGCATTGAAGGAGACTCGGAGACAAATTGTGCTGTTGGTCACTGCACTGTGTTTGATGACACTCTATGCTCAAAGTGCGCACACGAGGGAGACGTGCCGGCAGCCGGGGTATGTAACACCGGGGTTACAACGTGCGTTAAAGACAGTCACGGAATCTGCATATCTTGCGAATCAGGACACCTACTTTATCGAGGAGGCTGTTACCCTAGCAAGAGTGCTTTAGCCCAGTCTATATGTGCTACCGATAACCAGATAGTTGTCGAAGGCATGCTTTACTGTAGCCTATGCAATGACGAGAACGAGGCCCCAATCAATGGACATTGCACTGACGAGCATTCCTCGTACTGTGATGCAGAGAGTGGCCAATGCATCAACTGTGTTGCCGATGGATACTTTTTGTTCAATGGTGGCTGCTACAACGCCAACGAACATCCGGGATCAGCCATTTGTGCAGAGGTTCGTGATGGTGAATGCACAGAATGCGGAAGTCATTATCCTGTGACTGACGGCGTATGCACATATTGTCCCGTGGATCATTGCTTGCTCTGTGAGAACGAGTCCTGCACACAGTGCCAACAAGGCTATGTCCTACGAAGCAGTGGGAGGTGTGTTAAGCTATGCTCAGAAGGAAACGGGCTTCAGAGCTGTGCAATAGGCCACTGTACAGCTTTTGAGGGAACGTTGTGCACCAAGTGTGCCTATGAAGAAGACGTCCCCGTAGCAGGCATATGCACATCAGGCCTAACAACCTGTCAGAAAAACTTTTCCCAGATTTGCATCAGCTGCGAGGGAGAGCATCTACTTTATAGTGGCGGATGCTACGCAACGACAGGATCTTATGGACTCCAGATCTGTTCCATAGAAAATCAAATCGCTATAGGGGGTAAGGTATACTGTAGCAAGTGTAACCAAAAGAAGGAGGCCCCCCTCAACGGAGAGTGCACAGAGGCAGCGGCCGACCATTGTGATGTACGCGATGGAGCGTGCACAGGCTGCAAGACTACAGGTTATTTCCTATTTCAAGGAGGCTGCTATACGCTGGCTAGTATCCCTGGGAATATCATTTGTGCAGAAGTTTCTGGGACAACATGTATTAAGTGCAGAGACGGGTACGGAATTCACGAAGGTGAATGCTCTCCATGTACAATAGCACATTGCTTAGATTGTAAGAGTGATGTCGCTACCTGCAACGCGTGTGATCCTAAGTACTTCTTTACCGGGACAGCTTGTGTAGCTTGTGAGGGAGAGCACTGTGCAGCGTGTCGAGATAACATGTGCGTAGACTGCACTGACAAAACAGAGTGTAACGCCTGCGCAATTCCAAACTGTGTCCTTTGTGATCCTGCCCTGACTGAGTGCCTTGCTTGTCAGGAGGCGTACGAGCCTGATGAGGACGGATTCTGTACCCCGTTGCCAGCCAGCGAGTGCCCCCTGTCTTGTCTCTGTGCCGATCAAGATGTTCCTGCTCTGTGTACCAGCTGTAAGCCGGGCTTTATAGCGGCAGGAGTTGTCTCAGGGGATACTTGCTTATCGTGTGCGCTAGAGGTGGAGCATTGTGGCTTATGCTCATACATTCCTGAGTCTGACAGCATTGTCTGTGAGGAGTGTCTGGATGGATATAGGATGGATGATGGGCTGTGTGAGCCCTGTGGTAATGGCTGCAAGTCGTGCCCACATAGGGCCAATAAGTGTGCAGAGTGCTTTGCTGAAACACCGTACTTTAATCCTGCCTTAACAGAATGTCTTTCTGCTTGTCCGCCTAATTCCGTTGCAGCTACAAATAAGAAGTGCTCATGTATTCACGGGTATTACTCAACGCTACAGGGATGTGAGAAATGTGACGAATCATGCGACACGTGTTCTGGAGGAGAGATTGACAAGTGTGTAACATGCAGATCCGGGTTTTTCCTCGCCAGTGGTAGCTGGAAAGGTCAGTGTATACCTTGTGACTTGAGCAGCTTTTCCGATGGATCGGTCATTGGAGTTGAGCACTGCATCGATTGCAGAGGGGTGCAGGAAAACGGTGACCTTATTGTGGTGTGCAAAGAATGTGATTTAGGATACACGTTAAAGGGGGAAGTTTGCGTCTTAGACGACTCTGGACACGAAGATTGTCCCTCTAATTGCATCTGCACAGATGTGTCTCCCACGTGTGTTAGCTGTCAGAGGGGATACTTTACATTATCTACGCCCTCAGCAGAGAATTGCGTGCGGTGTAGCTCTGCCATCTCTGGTTGTAAAACGTGCACAGTGGAAGGTTCGTCCTTGCGTCGAAGCACGTCAAAGGTCACTTGTACCCTGTGCGACGATGGGAAAGGCTTGGTAGAGGGAACGTGCCATAGCTGCCATGTGACCTGCAAGACGTGCAACGGTGATCCCGAGCTCTGCAGCACGTGCTATAATCCAGCATACAAGCTGAGCCTTCGGAGTGATCAATGTGTTCCCGAATGTCCCGAGTTTTCAGAGGAGCAAAATGGACGTTGTGTCTGTCTCCTGGGGTACAGCATTTCGTTCAATGGCCTGACATGCGTTAAGGACAGCTCTGCTTGTCCCTCTATTTGTACATGTGCGGTTGGAAATATTTGTTCGGGGTGCGCGGATGGATACTTCACATTCGATCCATCTAGAACTGACGCGGCACGTTGCGAGCCATGTAGTGGAGATTTCTGCTCTTCTTGCGGACGCGTACCCAATGATGCTACTTTCTTCGGTCATACTTTCAGTCCTGGTAGACGGTATGCATATAGACGATCTCTCGAATCGGTTAATATATGCATCGAGTGTGCTGATAAACAGGGCTGCAGCGCCTGCTCAATCGAGGGTTGTAACAGGTGCAGCGCGTCTGAGCACACAAAGTGTACCGAGTGCATGCCAGACTACCAGCTGTCTCAAGATAAGAAATCATGCATAGCTCTTGTTCCTATCTGTCCTCTCGGGTGTACATGTGTTCCTGGAACAAGTACTTGCAATGGATGTGCGGACGGATACTTTGAGGTAGACCCCACCGATGAAGCGAGTGGACGCTGCATGCGTTGCAGCATTCCTACCCGTTATATTCCGACGCGCATTTCCGGAGCGAGGCGCTTAGAAAGGCTACTATCTATAAGAAGAAAAAGGACAGATTCAATCAGCTTGCAAATTGTTAGGGACGCCTCCTGGAATGGAGTAGCTGGCTGTGCTATGTGCACAACGCCATCAAGCCCCGGACCTGCTATTTGTACTCAGTGCGTCCAGGGAAAGCATCTGCTGGTCTCCGGGGAATCAACGCAATGTTTGGACGCATGCCCGGATGGGATGGGATCTATCAACAATGTGTGCTTCAACTGCAATGATGAGAACTGTTTGCGTTGCGACGAAAATCTAGACTCATGTGTGGAATGTCGACCAGGCGCGTCTCCTACGTTAACTCCAGACACAGAGCTTGTGGTTTGCGAGACGGTCTGCCCTCTTGGTTGTGTCTGTGAGGATGCTGAGGACTCTAGTATCTGCACTGGGTGCCAAAGCGGATATTATGAAGTATCTGTACTTGCCAGATTTATCATGCGTCTCCGTAAAACCGACGTGCACTGTAAGAAGTGTCTAGCAAACTGCATGACATGCACTGATGAAAGTACGTGCTTGGTATGCGCTGACGGATACATTCTCCACCAGACTGATGCGTCTTGTGTTGAAAAATGCGACCAAGGGTACTACAACAAGCAAGGACAGTGTGCTCCGTGCACCGGCGAACACTGCACAAGCTGTACAAACGAAACAACCTGCACCTCATGCACAGACTCCTCATTTCTTTCTAACGGCGAGTGTGTAACGTGCAGTACCTCTTGTAAGACCTGCGGAGGGGGTACAGAGAACGACTGCCTGACTTGCCCAACTGGTACCGTTCACTCTACTGGTACAGGTCTTGGCTCGTGCTTGCAAGAATGCTCAGCGACCGCAGCAGGTAATTGTGCAGTTTGTAATGCAATTATTGATGGCACGCGCTATTGTTCCAAGTGCACGCCTGGAGAAGCACCCATCAATGGGCGATGCGAGCCAGTTTCTGCCGCACGCAATGTGATGTGCATAACATCCGGCGATGGCACATGCGAATCGTGTTCAGGAGGTCTCTTTCTCTTCAATGGAGGGTGCTATGCAACGTCTCGATACCCTGGATCAGCTGTGTGCACCTCCTCGTCGGACGGGCTTTGCACAAATTGCGCAGACGGCTTTACAAATACCAATGGCATATGCTCCAACTGTGTGCTCGGCTGCAGCTCATGTAGCAGCACAGCCGCTTCTGCTTGTACTTCTTGTACCGAGGGATTCTTCCCTGCCTTTAGTGGCTCTCAGGGCGTTTGCAAGCGGTGTGACGATACAACCATTACAGATGGCTACCAGGGCGTTCAGGGTTGTCGCATTTGTATAGCCCCTCAACAGGCTGGGATCGCCCTTTGCCTAGACTCGAGTGAAGCGGGCAATAAATCGTCTCTTTCTGCCGGCGCGATCACGGGGATAGCAATTGCCGTTATCGCCGTAATTGGCTGCGCTGTGGGTGTACTCGTATGGTTCTTGTGCTGTCGTAGGAGCAAAGCTGTGTAACTGCCATGATAACCAGATTGGCTAGATCACCAGTTTCTTCGCCGTCTCTTCAACTCCGTCATACTCTTGCGAACTTCTATAGTTTCGGGTGCATTGGGTCCATATGCTTCCATGCACCCCTTTAGCGCCCTATCATAGAATGCTTGTGCCTCCTCGAAACTAGATCTTTCTTCGCCTGCTATCTGCCTGACCATGTTCCCGGTTGTTGGCCCGACGCTTCGAGGACCCAGGCTCGCACTACCTGAAGCGGTCATCCCCGTGACTGTGCTCGCTAGTTCTATGCAGATTTGCTCGTAGGTCTTGGCGATTGCTAGATATAATCTAATGGTGAGTGGATGCACAGGACCGAAGACGGCCTCACGGATGGCTTTTACATGGGTAAAGTAAATAAGGGCGTTCCGGAAGGATCTCTGAGTATAGTAGACCCCACCAATATTGATCTTTACGGTTGCAACGTACGCATGACTGCGACCATAGGTCTCTTCGAAAATGTTAAGGGCTCTTTCATAAAGCACCAGACACTCTTTGTATCGCGCTTGATGCCGAAAAATGTTACCCAGTGAGACGCAAACCGATGCTGTCCGCGGCGAGCGCTCTCCATATTGCTTTTCGTAGCGACTAGCTAGCTTGTCTAGCAACAAAAGGGCATCTTTTGGGGAGCCAGAGGCCTGCAGGGCTGAGGCTAACGCTTGCTCTGCATCTGCCTTAATAACTGGGTTTGTGATATGGATAATAGCTGTGCGATAGTGCTGGACGGCCGTCTCGCTATCCCCCGACAGATATGCGACATCTCCCTTAATAAACCAGTAATTTCCGTCAGTTGCCATGCTGCTCACGGACCCAACTCTCTCTAAGAGCAAACTGCACTCACTCATGTTCCCTATGATAAGCTGTGTCTGCGCAAGGCTCAGAAGTTCACGACAATAATCAGCAGACCCTTCGCCATAGAATATCTTGCACATGCTTGCGGCCTTCGCAAGAAAGTCGACAGCATCTGAAGGTCTACCCTCGCAGTTCAGTGCTACGGCAATGTTGTGGTAAAGCGAGGGCAGGCCAGCCCAGGTAGGGTTGTCCGTGAGGATCTTTTCACACACTGCAACGAGACTGACCACAGCATCGGTTGTATCTCCCGATAGCAGCCGGGTGGAAATTTCGTGAGCCGTCGTCAGCGCTGCTTCGCACTCGGCGCCAGCGGACATCTGGATGTTTCTGGCCTCTGCAAGGGCAATGAATGCATCCTTGAAGTCGTTCATCCCAGCTGCTGCATGGGCATACATAAGAAGCGCCCGCGCCAACTGTAAGTTGTTCCTCGTGATGTCGTCTGCAGTTTGCTGAGCTGCACGTATGTAAGTTATAAGTCGTTTGGCTGCCTTCAGTGCGGTCGCATAATTCCCCATTGCAAGCTCTAGGTGGACAGAGTCGAATATGTGCGTTATGTTAAAAGGATGCTCTTCGGAAAGGAGAGCAAGAAGCGGCGGGATGTGCTTTTCGAGTCCCTCACGAGCCTGCTGGAAGAGCCCCAGCCGTAGCTCCGCTTCTATTCTCATGAGAAAGAAGAGAATCTGATCTTCTGCGTGCTGCGTACTCTCTGGTTGGCGGTGAATAATCTGTAATACGTCGTGACAGATCTGTAGTGTCCCTTGGAAGTCTCCGTGCAGGAGGTTGCTGTGTGCTTCAACCTTAAGCCGTGTGAGTTGCTCAAGAGAAGAAACGGGGGTATCCAGGCTTGACATGCACCAAAATTCCGTTTTTGAAAGTCTAGAAAACCCAGGAACAACCATCGAAGACTGTTGATGCTATCGTTTACAAGAGTAGATCTACAGTGAAGGCACGAGTAACCCTTGCTTGCATAGCTGAGCATCAAAGCGAAAGCCCGATCAGACATCTTGTTGTGGCTACTGTGGCACATTCTCCCCACTATTAGTAAAGATTGTGGCCGGGATTGGCTCTTGTTCTGTTACAGACATGGTGTGCAATTTCAAAGAGGCGAGATAGCGCTCGAGTTGAGACTGGGTTCCGCTGAGGGGAACTATGTGCGGTAGAGGATCGCAGAGCCAGGGGTGCTGAAGCGCCTTGCGTGCTGTAATGCGCTCAGAAATCGCCGGCTTGAGACACTGAGTAATAAAGTCCTTAGCATTAGCTGAAATACCATTGAAGTTTGCATTCTGAAAGCCCCATTGACCCTTTTCAATGAGAACCAGCAGCTCTCCTGCGTCACGCTCCTCGTAAGGAAGTACGCCGCCAAGGAGAAGATAAGTAGTGACTCCCATGGCGTAGATGTCCGGCTCTGTGGAGTATGGCTGATGGCGCAAGACTTCTGGAGCCATGAATGAGATGTATTCGGGCCTGATCAACGGTTCTCCCCCGTGTAGGTACTGAGATAGCATCACATCCACAAGCTTCACAAGGTATTTCTCATCAAGCTCCCGAGATGGCTGTGGCCCTTCGCTGTCATTGAGGTGGGAAACTATGGGCCTTTGCGAATTGCACGTTATGAGAAGATTCTCGGGCTTAATCCCCAGGTGCGCTATGTGACGCGAGTGTAGGTAGGCTAGAGCTCGACAGATTTGCCTGATGATCTCCCGGGCATCGTCCTCGGAATAGTACTTTTTCCGTATGGCATGAGTGAACACATCGTTTCCTACGCAGAGGTCCATGACAATGTACAGGTTTTCTGCACTCTCATAGATCCCGCGGACGCGATTGATGTTTTCATGGGTGATGGATAGTAGTGTATTTGCCTCTCGCTCCATAAAGTAGGGATCGAGCTTTGTTGAGGCCTTGCAGATGAGCTTAATTGCCACGGGCGTGTTTGTGCGGATTTCTGTTCCATAATAGACCATTCCAACTGCGCTTTCACCTATCTTATGATAGCTGATGTCATAGAGCTCATTGAAACTCATGCAAGGCCTGAACCCACGTGTTTCTGGAGCAAAAATGTGGTTTTTTTGAGTATACAGATTGCAATACTGTATGCAAAGCCTCTTTAAGACCCAGGACTACACATCTGTTCCAGCTTTTTCCCTGCCCAACATTGGACTCAATATCCTCGAGGCCGAAGACAGGGGCATTCAAAAGAAGCAGTCAGGTCTTCCATTCAGACCTTCTCTTCCACAGCGACATGAGTGCACACCCATTCGTAAAGATAGTAAGAGTACAAGGAGACGGTCTGCATCGACAGGCATTCCATCTAAAGGGCAAAGAACCTCCAAGGCCCACTGTAATGTAGCCCCAGCCGATCTCCCCAGCACAACCTCCCTTGCAGATTCACATGATGTTGCACTAACTTACGACGAGGCGGACACGTTATCTTGGATGCTAGGTGTACTGAGGAAAGGTACTGACCCGTGGGCACGCGCATTCAGTGCACAGATCCCTGAGCTTCTACAGTCAATCGCAGTCTCGCCTACACCCACTGCAGGAGCACCTGCAAAAATAAAGGCCACGATGCAGAACGGGTTTATCTTTGGCAAGCTTGTCGAGCTCTTAGGGTGCACAAGCATTCCAGGCCTTTCAGACCAGCACACTCCGGCCGTGGCCTATAACAATTGGACAAAGGCACTGAGTGTGCTTCGAACCAATGTGCTCGTCTCTCCTGCTCATTTGTTCATAGAAAGAGACTTGGCGCGCGCAGGGCCCGACTTTCTTCGTATGTTTCTTCTTCTGTTGAAGGATCTTAGACAAGCATACAGTAGGCCCACAGCACCTTCCCCAATGAGTCAAGTCGAGGATACTCCTTTGCTGAACCACAGCAGCCGGGTTCCATTCCCCGATAACGCAAGTTTTGCTCCACAGGCTAAAGAAGAGCAACAACAGGACGCCTATCCAGATTGGAAATTATGTGCCCCGCGTTCACACACGTTACAGCAACTACGAAGCGACATGCTCATATCATATCCCATCGAGCATGCACTTTGCAAAACAGAGGTGTCACGATGGCTCGCATGGTTATCTCTAGAGCCTCCTCTGTTTGACCACGACAAGCTTATATCTAATCCGTGGTGCAATGGGTGCAACTTTCACCTTATTCTCGGAAAGATCTACTCTGTCCTGGTTGCTGATACCAAATCGCTAGTTCTTCCAATCCCCAATCCATCCACTTATGAGCACTGCGTACAGAACAACAGCTTTATTCTCCAGTTTGCAGAGCACTGTGGAGTGTCTTGTGCATATAGGATTCTTGCTGACGACTTTACTGAACCGTCCCAATGCGAGAGCACTGTCTGGGCACTCCTCAGCTCTATTGTGCAAAGATTCCCACTCCCTGATACTCTGGCCTTCAAAGAGTTGGACCATCCTGTCTCTGCTGCTCTGCTGCCATACAATCCTCTTCAATTCTCAATGCTTGAGACATCTCTATGCCATTGGATCTTCACACTGGGCTTTCTTGCTGACCCCCCATACAATTGTGACAACATTCCTGCATTCCCAGTCCTTATTCCCCATATAAAAACTGGGTGTCTCTTTCGAGACCTCTCGCTTACTGCTCTTCGTCTGGGAATTTTCACACAAATTCCTTTCAAGGTAAGCTATAACTCTTTGCAGAACCATAGACGAAATCGCGGAGGACACGATCAGTACAATAGTTTTGGATCTTCCAACACGAAGTGCCAACATACGGGGCAAGACGTAGCTCTCGGACTCCAATTATTCGCAACACAAAAGGATACAGAAAAGACACTCTTAGAGGAAGTCTGCCAGGCCCAGTTCCCAGTACAGTTTTTATCAACCCTGACAAAATTCCAGCTAGTGCTTCTCATTGAGGACATCCATCGGTGTTGGGACAAGATTCCCCCTCGGAGTATCTGTCCAGAGCCGTACGCTCCATACGCTCCTCTATCCTTCAAAGTGGACAAGGTGGACATAAATGCACTACTACCCGCTGCTACGGAGAGGAATGGCGCTGAGGCTCATAACACTGAAGAATGTGCCTCGCTCCCCCTGGCCTCTGGAGGCAATTTGTGGAAGATGGAGGCCTCCTTCGTTAGACCACCAGACGAGGTCTTAGTTGATACGCAGCAGATTATTCCAACCCTCTGGTTTCTGCCCGAAATAAGGGGATACCCCATGAATTATAACTCAGAAAACGAAATAGTAGCACTCTTTACACCCCTTTTACAAGTCGTTAAACCACAATAAGCTGAGCGCAAAGAGCGAAGGCGGTCTGTTCTATCGCGACAACTGTAATAATAAGATTTTTAATTTTTAGAACAATCCAAACAATTATTTTAGATTGAGAGTGTAGTTTTGTTGGTACTTTCTGCGAGATGGAAGAAGATAGTGCTCTGATCTCATTGGAGCCTTGATAGTCGTGGACTTGCGAGTGATCGTGCTTACTGCATCCCTATTATCAGACAATATGTCTCTGTCCATCTCACTTCTGCAACGAGTACTGGTAGACATCGGACTGAAGGTCAAACGCTGGATCTCGTTGTACGCTGCCACGCGAGAATTAGAAGGGGAGCGAATGGATACGTTGATGATGGAGTTTTTGCCCCTTTTTGAAGGACTGCGATATTGTGACTGACTCACAGAGCGGCTCAGCCCCAAGTCAGCAGGGGCAGACAACTCGTACGTGTATTCCTGCTGCGAAGACCGCATAGGGGAGGTTATGGTTACAGGTCTGTTTGTAGTTTGGCGCGACGGGGATACTCCACGTATTGGAGACTTGGCGCTCGAACGAGATGGACTCAAGAGATGGCTCTGGGAGTTATTGATCTGAGGGACAAATGGTTTGCGCCTGCTCTCCTCTGGCTCTGGGGGAAGCTGCACGGGGCTGAATATGATGTTTGGCTTGGGCTTTCTCTGTTCTGGAGAGCGTCGAACAGGAGAATTTATCTTTTTATAAACAACTGCGTCCTTATTCTTAGATGGGGGAACGTACTGCGACGTCCCACTGTGGTAGGGAGAATTCCTTCGGACGTTATCCATGTTTTTGTTCATTGTCAAGAAATCCTTGACTACGATTTCTCTGGTGCTCTTCTTTGGCTTGGAAACTGGAAGGTATCTGTCTGTGGCATCGTCATTGCAGGTCAGCGGCCCGCTTCGGTACATTTGCCGGAGCTGTGGTTTGGAGAATTTAAACTTAAAATGCCTAAAGTAAATGCCTCCCCAGGGTTCTGTGTACCCGGCCCAGGTCTTTTATTCGGGACAGAGGCGGCCATATTCCGCAGTATGCATAGCGTCTTTTTTCTCCATAATCGATGTGGCCGTTGTGGAGACCATCATATCGTTACCCATTAGAAACGTCTCTACACTACTGTGCGATATAAACTGCTCTGAGCTTTTGCGGCTCCATATCACTGGACATGGCACTGTCGTCCTGTATTCTTTATATAGAGACGCAATCTTGTCCGCTATCTTTACTTCCCTGCGGAGGGATCAAGATGCCGCCCAAGGCATCACAGCCTCCCTGCCATTTAGCGTCTCTGATGACCTGCTCTCTTACAACATGATGATCCAGGCTACAAGGCCAATTGGACTTCGACCCAGCGTCCTTGTAAGAGGATTGGGGTCTCGAGCACGGCCCAGAGAAGCCCTGACTGCTGGCTACCTTCCTCCGTGTCCTTGCAAAGTATCAGTAACACCTTTTGGCTTGCAAATAAGTGATACAGAGCAAGCTGAGGTATTGTGTGTGCCGCATAATGCAATCACAGCAGTTAACTTAGATGATGGTGCATGTAGCGTAGTCGTTTCTTCAACGTCTAACGAGGATGGTTGCAATCTTATCCTTTATGGGCTCAGCCCTTTTATCACAGAGTTCGTGTATGTTCTCCTTCGTGCATATCCCCGCTTTATACAGATACAGCCAGGGGCTGAGGATTGCGAGGACCAGAATGCCCTTTTCGACGAAGAAGAGTGCGTCGCTGAAAAAGCAGCGCTGTGCTCGTTCGTAAGCAATCCGGGAGAACATCAATCGATTGTGTCAAGTGACGTAGTGATGGTAGCAACAACACCAGCTTTGTTTGAATCACTTACATCTCACACTAAATTGCCCAACTTAACATTGGCAGCTGATGAAGTTGTGCGCGGGGATCAGCTGAAAGATATCTCCTCACGAGCCACAAACTCCTTGCAGGCATTTGCTCAGATTGAAAGCTTATTTGATAAAATACACTCACGTGAGAATGTGGTCTCAGGGGCATCGTCCAATCAACTGTCGCCACCGCACACCCCAGACCAACCAGCAGTTCAGCACTCGCAGATCACTGCTCCGCTGAGGATGCCCCGGACCGGAGCCAGTCAGGACTTGTCTAGTATACCTACTGATAAGGCACAAAGTTCAACCTACTTCTACAAGCACCTCGAGAGAGTCTACGTCCCTGCTGTTATTGCCAGATCACAGCCTCTTGCCTCGTCAACTTTAAGTGTCTCCATCACCACCTCCGAAGTAGCTTATACTGTTGTTGTAGACCGCGCATTCCAGGGATTTGATTCTGCGTCCAGATTTATTAGGACTTGCTCCAGTCAGTCTCTGCGTAATGCCTCCAACATTTTAGACACGGCGAGGGCCGAGTACCTCCAAAATCAATCTATGTACGCGTCGCTGGAACCAATAGTCCTTCTGTCCGAGGCCCATACTCCCGGCATCATCCCTGTACTTCTTGGCTTGAAGGAAGCTCAAAGCATCTGTTTGCAATCAAGTATGCGCTTGGTTTCCGCGACCATCCCCGCTTGTCGCACATAGCACAGAGCGTTACTGGCTGCTGAGATGTTATGTGTAAAGGCGCATCTTCTCTGTGTACATCAGGCTCCAGTGGAGAAAGAGAGCAATGAGGTCGTGTCGGTTGATCTATCCTTTGTGCAAAATGAAATTCTGCTATCCGGCATCTAATATGCTTTTTATCTCATTCCAATGTGTAGCAGCTATCTGGCTACCATCTACTGTTATACTACTTTTGTCAAAATAAATTAAATAAGCGTCAGTGGGGTTGATCAAAGTGTTTGACGTGCTACCCTTCAGAATGAGAACTGCAGGAGTAGGGGAGCTGGCATAACGTAGATACTAGTGACCAAGAGGAATGTGAATGTGCCATGACATAAGCGAAGATTTTAATTAAAATTAAAAGGCAATCTCTCTAATGCTTGCAACGATGTAAATGCTATATGGCAGAGTCTGGCTAATCCCCGGAGGAAAGGGATATTGTATGAAGGTCCGAGCAGACCGTCTTTAGTCTGGGGGTACGACACCGGGACGATCCGAGAGTGCATGACACCAGAGGAGGAGTCCTACAACTTGCTAAAAAATTCTGAGACGCATAATAACTTTGACCACTATCTATTACGAAGTGAAATTACAACATTTTGCCCCAATAAATTAAATGTCTGTGGTCCACGCGCCTATAGACGGCTGTCACGCGGCTGCCCATGTGTCCTACTTCTTCTCGGATGCATCGATAATCTACCCGATCACGCCGTCGACCCCCATGGCCGAGTATGTCGACTCCTGGGCTGCCAAGGGCCGCAAGAATGCGTTCGGCCAGACCCTCAGGGTTGAGGAGATGAACTCCGAGGGGGCTGCTGCAGGCGCCTTGCACGGAGCTCTCAGCACGGGTCTGCTGGCCTCCACCTACACGGCGTCCCAGGGCCTCCTGCTGATGATCCCCAACATGTACAAGATGGCTGGGGAGCATCTGCCCGCCGTCTTCCACGTTGCCGCACGCACGATTGCTACGCACTCTCTGTCGGTCCACGGAGACCACGCCGATATCATGGCTGTCAGGCAGACGGGATGCACGATCATGGTTTCCGAGGACATCCAGGAGGCGATGGACATGGCCATTGCTGCGCACCTCACAGCCATCTATTCCTCTCACCCGGTTGTCCATGCGTTTGATGGCTTCAGGACATCTCATACCATCAAGAAGGTGGAGCTCATTGATTACGAGCATCTCAGGCCCCACGTCCCCTACGATGAGATCGAGGCCTTCCGCCAGAAGTCTCTCTCTCCACAGCACCCCGAGATGCGTGGGTCCTGCCAAGGTCCTCCCATCTGGATGCAGGCTGGCGAGGCGGACAATAAGCACTATGCAGAAATCCCAGGCCACATTGAGCGCGCTTTTGAGAAGGTGAGGGAGATCACCGGTCGCTCCTACAAGTTCTTCAATTATTTCGGTGCCCCAGACGCGACTGCTGTTGTCATCATCATGGGCAGTGGCTACCTGACTGTCCGCGAGGTCGTTGAGTACCTCGTTGAGCGCGGCGATAAGGTCGGCGTTGTCTGCGTCCACCTCTTTAGGCCCTTCTGCGGAGATAAGCTCCTCGAAGCAATTCCCACTAGTTGCAGGCGTATCTGCGTCATGGAGAAGGCGAAGGAGATCATGGCCGGCGCAGAACCTCTCAGACTGGACGTAATTGAGGCCCTCTACAGCGGCAACAGGCTGAGCGCCGTGACGACCGTCATTGGTGGCATCTTCGGTCTTTCTTCCAAGGACTTCAACACTGCAGATGCCTTCGCGATCTTCAGGAACCTTCAGGCCACAACTCCACTTAACAACTTCACCGTTGGGATTGAAGACGACGTCACACACATGTCCTTGAAGCGTGATCCCGCCTCTCCGTCCCTTGTTCCTAAGGGCACCGTCCAGTGCCTCTTCTTTGGTATGGGGTCCGATGGTGTTGTCGGCGCCAACAAGAATGCTATCAAGATCATTTCAGACAACACACCTCTCTTTACGCAGGGCTACTTTGACTACGATAGCTTTAAGGCGGGCGGCTTCACCAGCGCGCATCTCAGGTTCGGCGACAAGCCTATCCGCTGCGAGTATCTTATCCACGATGCCGACTTCACAGCCGTTTCGCAGCCGTCTTATCTTACAAAGTATAACATTTTGCTTGTGGAGCGCTGCAAGCCTGGGAGCCTCCTATTGCTCAACACGTCTGCGAGTAACGTCGAGGAAGTCACTGCTGCGATTCCAAAGAACATGCGCAAGATGATCGAAGACAAGGGCCTTAAATTGATGGTCATGGACGCAAGTGAGATCTCTCTCGAGGCTGGGCTGCCGGGCAGGATAAACTCCGCCCTCCAGACTGCGTTCTTCCTCCTCTCTGGCGTTCTGCCGCCGGATCAGGCCATTGACATTTGGAAGAAGACGGTCATCAAGACCTTCAGCAGGAAGGGCGAGAAGGTCGTCAACATGAACCTCGCTTGCATCGACGCCACGATCAAGGAGGGTGCAATCAAGGAGATCAAGTACCCGAAGAACTGGGCCAGTATTGAGGATGGTTCCTTCGTTAAGATGTACAACAAGCGCATGGAAAAGATCGTCTCGGCTGCGCCAGAGTTTGTCAAGAACGTTATGATTCCCGCGACCACGGGCCGAGGTGACGATCTCAAGGTGAGCGCCTTCCGTAAGGGTGGCTTTATGATGACTGGGACGACCCAGTACGCAAAGAGGAACATCGCTGTTCAGGTCCCCGTTTGGCAGTCCAGCACGTGCATCCAGTGTATGCTCTGCGTCACTGCCTGCCCGCACGCCGTCATTCGCCCGTACTTGGTTAGCTCCGAGGAGGAGGAGAAGCTTGCCCCGGTGATCCGCGACCAGCTCATTCCTATCAAGAATCCAGTCGTTAAGAGCAAAGGAAACTTCAAGCTGGCCATCCAGGCGTCGACACTTGATTGCACCGGATGCCAGGTCTGCTCTCAGGTCTGCCCGACGAGAGAGAAGGGAACTCTGAAGATGGAGGTCACACATAACGTTGAGGCCAGAGAGGTCGAGAAGTTCTACAGTCTCGCAGACAACGTCTCTGTGAAGACGGACGATTGGACCCTTGATGAGAGTGAGAAGGCATACCAGTACCGCCGCCCGCTGTTCGAATATCACGGCGCCTGCGCTGGCTGTGGTGAGACGGCGTATATTACGCATGTGACGAGGCTCTTTGGAAGCCGCTTGATCATCGCGAATGCAACCGGATGCTCGTCTATTTACGGCTTCAGCTTCCCATTCTCCCCATACACCAAGAACGCAAAGGGACAAGGCCCTGCCTGGGCCAACTCTCTCTTCGAGGATAACGCCGAGTTCGGCATGGGTATGCTGGTCGGCATTCAGCAGCGCCGCGAGCGCATCCTCGAAACCGTCAAGGGACTTGTTGCGAAGAACCTCGGAGGAGATAAATTCATTGAGGCTGCAAACAGTTGGATTGAGAACTATAATAAGATCGCCGAGAGCGAGACAGCTGGCGACAAGCTGAAGGAGCAGATCATGGCTCTTTCCGCAGACTGTGACGAGCTCAGGGAGGCCAAGGATCTGCTCACCCTGCCATCGAATCTGGACCTTCTTGCAAGGCCTCTCGTCTTGATTCAGGGCGGTGACGGCTGGTCTTACGATATCGGCTTCGCAGGCCTGGACCACGTCCTTAGCACGGGTCTCGACGTGACTATCCTCATACTGGACACTGAGGTCTACTCAAACACAGGCGGGCAGCGTTCCAAGGCCACGCCTCTTGGTGCTGTGGCACGCTTCGCAGCTGCCGGAAAGCGCACGGAGAAGAAAGACATGGGCCAGATCGCTATGGCATACGATAATGTGTACGTTGGGTCTATCAGCCTCGGCTACTCCCATACCGCTGCGATCAAGACCATCAGAGAGGCGTTCGAGTGGACTGGGCCTTCGATTGTCATGGCCTATGCGCCTTGCATCGAGCACGGGGAGGATATGAAGGCATCCAACGCGACCCAGAAGCTTGCCGTCGAGACAGGCTATTGGCTCACCTACACCAGACATCCGGAGCGTGGTCTCGTCATGGGGTGCAAGGAGCCGTCAAAGCCCGTCACAGACTTCCTTAATAGGCAGAACCGCTTCAACCAACTTCTCAGCGAACGCCCCGCGGAGGCAGAAGTACTGAGAACCGAGCTGCAGGACTTCGTCAACAGCCGCTACAAGAAGTACAGCGAAATGCAGGCGACCGCCAAGGCGGAGTAAGCAGTGAACTTTCATTTCATGTCTGGGCGGGGCCTTGTCAGATATGTCAGGCGCTCGTCAATGAAGCTGTTGTCATAGCGCACGAGCCCAATGGTCCGTTCGAGATGCTGCCGGATGAGGCGGAGTTGCCGATAATAGCGACAGAAGCCGGAGATCATGAAGGATGCTGCCTCCTGTCGGGCATTCCTGCAGAGAATCAAGTTCGGCCCTCCGTCATGTTCACAAACAGCCTTGTCACTGTTGGGATGGTCTTTCTTGAGGTTTTCCGGTTCTGCAATGAGCCCGATAGCCCGAAGAGGCATCATGACACTACTCAGTCGACGGCGTTGAAAACCAGTCTTTTCAGCAAGCTGTTCTCGTGTTGCCGGTATCTCCAAAGTCCTTAACACAGCCTCGTACATCGCCTCAATAGAATTCGCAAACCTCTTAGTTCGATCCTCCTGCGACAGCACCTTTGGAAAGGAAGGCATGACGTCATCCATCCAAAAGCCAGCAGCAACCACGTTCAGGAATAGAAACAACGGTGCTGTGCGGAGCCCGTCGTACCTTTCCTTCCCCAGGCGTTCGATCAGGACACTTTCCACAGCAGCAGAAGTCTCTACGTTTTCCTGCGTTATACCCACCAGTACCTTCAGAGCTGTCTCTACCCATTCGTCTTTGATCGAGTGTAGATGCTGCTCCAGCAACATATGATTTTTAGCGATGGGGTCTAGATAACGCCCGCCTGCTATGGTCAGAGCACCTTCTCCGGTTGTCCTAAAGCTTGTAGATTGGGAGAATACATCAAGAGCCTGTGTATTTCTTAGATTGCACGGAAAGAGGATAGTGGCATCAGGATCTGCATGGGGTGGGTGGAAAAGCCCGGAGGAGGACTGGAGAGGGCACGGCTCCGGGAGAACTGTGTCGTGCTCAGGAGGGTTCCATAAGAGGCCGGACGAACATAGTCCCGCCGGTGTGGAGATGGCATCGAGGTCATGAACTGAGTTATGTGTATGGATACTAAGTGGAAGAGAAGAAGACAGCAGAGGTGGAGATGGATTTTGATCGCACATCAGATCCATAGCTGGCAGAGACGGAAGTAAAAACTGTCCTTGTGAGAACATATTAACATACCATTAGCATGCTAACAATACCCTACCCTAGAATGACTCCCATAGCCCATTACTAAGTCTCCTGACAGGCCAAAACTTGCTGGAACACATTCAAAGATAAGCTGATTGAATGACGAGTCGCAAAGCTAGTGTCCTGCGTCCATCGGCTAGATCAAGCAGCACCTTTGCTAGATCATCTGGAGAGCTACAAGGAACTGTGGAAGGGTTCGTGCAGGATACATTTCAGAGACACGGCTCAGTTGAACCCAACGCTTCATCTATGGTCATGTACATGAGCTTGCAGCGATACAAAAAGGGAATCCAGGCCTGCACCAGCCCCTTTATGACGATGACACACAAGGTTTTTCCGAGGAATTCCGCCTTAGAGTCTCAGATGAAGTTTTCCCTTGGACTAATAGTGGAGCCTCTCTCTGCTATTGGAGATACAACGGTCACCTTGCAACAGGATACGGGGCTGCAGCTCCCACGGTGCTCCTTTTGTGGAGCTTATATCAACGGATATAACAGATTCACTGATACCAGGACAATGGTTTTCTGTTGCATTTGTGACGAGCTCACACGCCTCCCACCCGCCTACTCAGCCTTGCTTCGCAATGTTAATATGACACGGCCAGAACTCTCGCATGAGGCGTACGATTACCTATGCCCTGCGCAGACTGTCGGAGCAGGAGCTGAGTGCACAGAGTTGACTAGCACAAGTACGGGCCACGCCTGTTATTATGCTATAGAGTTAACCGAATATACCATACGGACAAAGAAGGCAATTGAGGTTTTAACCGCCGTCCTAGGACATCTAGACTACCTGGTTGAGATCCACAATCGCCATAATTGTTCTATCTGCATTGGCCTGCTCTTTTTCAACACATATGTGCACGTCTTAGCACGGATGTCTCCAAGCTCTCAAGACCTGTGCATATACTCTTTAGTAGATAGGAACACACTCCCGGTTCCAGATGGCTTTCTAATTAATATTTCAGATCTCCACAGCTTCAACGCGCTCTACTCATTCATTAAAAGAACCATCCACACACTAGCGCTCAAGCAGACCTTATCTTTTGTCCCTCCTACTCTGACTCAGGTGAGACAGACAGAACTTGCACATGCCCTTGAGCTCATAACCGAAATCCTTAAACCACAGGGAGGGCGCGTTATAGTGTTCGTTTCAACCCAGCCGAAGAATCTAGCTCCGGGGCAATGCGACACCAGCGGCAGAGCAGCCTGTCAGGATAATCACTTTAATATGAAGAATCGATTCTCGTGCCTCAACGCGTTCTACGGTGATATGGCCATCCGGCTTGTTCGACTGAAAATCTCAGTCAGCATGGTGCTCATGCCCGCAAGCTCTGTTTCAAGCTTCGGAAGTGTGCTAGAGTTGGTACGGCATACCAACGGTGGTCTCTGGTATGTAGAGAGGTTCTCTCCGCATACAGCAGAAGTCCCTATTCAGCTCTTTCTACAGCGAGAGTTTGGGGAAGCGACCTGTTTTGACGTCTATTGTTCGCTACATCTTCCAAAGCAGATAAGCGTGAAGCATGTGCTGGGGACCGTCATGCATCGCTCAGACGTAGTCATATACCTTGCTGCGGCAACACAAGCTTCCTGCTGTGGGGTACGTCTTCAGGTGCACGGGGAACTCGATGGAGACATCGCATACTACCAAGCACGCACATCGTTCATTACATTCTCTGGACAACGGGTGATTCGCGTGTGCACAAAGCCACTAAGATTGTCCTCTGATATAACAAAGATAATAACGAGCGTCAATCCCCACGTACTTTTGAATATGTACGTCAAACTCATTGCCCAAACCTTGCGATGGTCTCCCCATACCAGTAACCCACAAGAGCTAATTCTCAACAAGCATACCGATCTCTTTATAGTATACGCATCAACCCTTTCAGAGACTATAGACTCAGCAACGGCGGGGAAGGTCCTCCGTCGCAACTTGCGGGACTGCCTAGCTTTGTACCACAGTACCCTGCCGGATGTGGTTTGCTATCAGCGGTCTAACATCTTCAAATTGGACCTTGTTGAAGGGCTGCGATTCTTAGACTATTGTCCACAGCTCCGGGCTCTTCCGGACCTAGTCTTCTCCATACTAAAAACAGATATGCTCGACCTGAGTCCTCCACGACCTGAATCTGTGGTTAAGAGTCTCATATCTATGATAACATTGGAAGGCATAACTACGGTTGATATGATTGCTTATCTTTGTCCACACCTATACTATGTTGATGTAACAATACCTGCTCCTACCGACAACGAAGGTATAGAGCTTCCCCTTCTCTCCTCGTCATTAGAAAGGCCAGGGGTGTATCTTCTCGAGAGCTTCTACTGTTTATATGTCTTCATAAATATCAATCCTATAAGTCCACTGTACAACAAGCTGGTATTTTCTAAGCGCAGTGAATCTACGCGCAGTGAACAGCACACAGAGACACAACCCGCCGCACCTTCTTGTAATATCGTTGAGGACGATGAGCAATTGAAAGCAATCTCGGCAACAGAATCTAATTACGCGCAAGCTTCATCTCTCAAACGTTCCAGGTTCCATGCAAAGCCACTGGCCAGCACAAGATCACACAGTACCATCCGAGAAAAGCTCACCGCAGGTTATAAAGGTATAAAAGAGTTCATCCGATCTCCGAGTCTAGGTTTGAGCAACCCCAGAGACGATCCACGCCATCCATATACGTCAGTACAAATCCCCTTTCCACGGTCTCTGTCCGTCCAGCCTTCTGTCGCAGACAAACAACGGATGAACCGGGATAGACGAAGCAAGACCAAGCAACCGCACGAGACACTATATCTAAGAGCTGACAGTGACGCTGCGGCACGAATATCAGCGACGATAGACATGGTACAAAAGAGAGTGTATGAAACTAGAGGCGTCCAGCTGAATATAATAGTGGTATCTTCCCAGGGAGCATACGCAGAGATCATCGCTGAATACATGACACTCAGTGACACAGCCCGTGGAATAAGTATCGATGCATTTAAGCAGTCTATTGAAGATCATATACTGAAATCCTACGACTTATTGGAAGAGTAAAGATAGAGGCTCAGCTGAGACCAAATGTGTACATATATAAGAGGAGTGAAAAAACGATGACGTACTGAATGCACGAGAAGCCTGTTAGTATACGAAGCTCGGCCATTTTTGGACTGTGGGACATAAAGTTGCCCCAGGCAGTGGCCAGATTGCCTCCGAAGAGCATCGCTGAAACACCCAGGAATAGGAGAGCAGATCTCAGCAGTCGTACCGAGGCGCACACCTCATGAATTGCCTTTTCAATGCTTTCAAGTAAGTAACACAGTAGAAAGGCTGTCAGAAAGAAGATGGCTGCGAAGACTCTATGAATACATGTCTCTTCTCGAAGCTTGATCGGAATGACTGCCTGAGATATAAGGCAAAACGAGGAGACAGAGTGAACCATAAAGGTGAAGAGTATCTTCGCATGCACTGCCCACCCCCCTGTTTGCTTGTACCCGTAAATTAGCCACAGAGCCCCCGAGACAAAGAAGAGAAAGCCTCCCAAGCCAACCCCGATCGAGTTCACGACCCGTGGAATCCCTTTGGCAGCGGCTTCAGATATTGAGGGAAGGTATTCCGGTCGGTTGATGACCATAAAGAGGGATAGAACAGACAGGATAGACACTCCTGTTATTTTCATGGCGATAGACACGCCCAACTTGGACAGAGAAGACAGATCCTCTAAGTGCATTTTTAAACCCGCGTGAATACACAAAGAGCTTGAGGAGGCACTACATTATGAGGTCTGAAGCACTCTGTTTTTAGTTTTCTAGATACTACTAGTGACTGCTGTCCGCTGTAGTCGCTTGTTAAGTTTACATTAATAGGTTTGTTGATACCAATGAAAAAGATAGAACGGCCTTCATAAGGGAATCTCATCGAGAGAATATGCGTGTAAGCCTCTGCAGGTTCTCTATAGGCTAAAGAGTGTTGGGGCTAATCTTTGCTGCGCTTGTAAAGGGTGTACACTCCGCTATTCCAAGCAGGCCTAGTTGGCCTAGGGCTCTTCTCGGTCATCAGAACGCCAAGAATGTACTGCATCAACTCTGTGCTCTGCATGCTTCCAGGAGGCAACGCTGGAATTATCGACTCATCGGTGTGGGTGTTGCTGCCAGTCTGGCTTGTGTGACTGCTTTGAACAGTGGCATCCGTGTCCTTTGAATGATGGCAACGCTTAAGAAGAGCGCTACCCTCAAGTTCTTCAATCTCATCTAGGCTAGGGCTGATCTGCGGCTGCATCATAACAGGAGTCTTCCGGGGATCACCACTGACTCTGCCACTGTATACAGGGGTCTCTTCGTCACTGAAGATGCTGCTAGAAAACTCCGCTAAGGATGCCAGATTGCTTGAAATGTGCCAGGGGGAATTGCAGAGCGTCTTCGTTAGTCTGTTAGGTTGAGCAGTAGCAGTCTGCTGTCTACTGTTGCAGCCTTGGCGAACATTAGTATTAGTGTAAGGTAATTCTTTAGTAGAACTTTGCTTAGGAAAGTTAACATTAGTTTTAGTTGTGCGCGCGCTTTGAACACATTGCTTGTCCACTGGACGTGTAGTGCTCTTAGATTTGTGCTGATCTACCGACAGGCGTTGCCGATAGACCTGATGTTGATAGCCTGAAGGTTTCTTGCGCGACGGAGAATGTGGAAGGTTAGAGGTTGCGATATGTTGCGGTACAGCTCTGTTGGACAAAGAACGACTAGAGGATGCATAAGGAGACCTGCTGAGCAAAGTGAATACTGTCTCTACAGGGGCAGTCGGATGATGGGCCGTCACAGATATTGGCCGCACGCGGTCGTAAGACGGGGTCCTAGAGGCAGGGCACCCACCCCAGCGAGTAGGAGAGGTAACTGAGCAACGCGGAGTCGCCGGTGTGCTCCGACAATTGTACATAGTTTGTACTCCTGTAGCACTTTAAATATTTTTTGACTCCCTCCGCGGTTGCTAACCTGCTCCGGGAACCCCCTCCTTAAAAATAATATACAACAACGAATTGCCAGAGCACGCAGGCAACTCTAATTTCAGATAAACGTAATCAACATTTTAGACCTTAAAATTTAATCTCCCTATGGCTGACTTGGTTGTTCCCCGGGGGTTCGATCAAATAGCCACAGTGGGCTGTGGGGCATTCGGGACTGTTTACAGTGCCTGGGAGACGAATAAGAAGCGGAAAGTGGCTATTAAAGAGTATAAAGTACGGCAGCTATCGTCTGGGGTTTTGCGCGCAATGAAGACAGAGCTAGAGATAATCCCGCGCATAAGCCACCCAAATCTAGTCCAGCATTTTGAGGTTTTTAACGAAATACCAGGAAAGATTATGCTTTCAATGGAGTTTCTAGAAAGCGGCTCTCTGTCTAATCTCATTGATAAGTACCACCAGTGTCGGCAAAATATCCCGGAGACGTTTGTCTGGGACATTACGGCACAGATGGTATTGGCTTTGCGGTATTTGCACTCACCAATCAAGGAAAATGCCTCTGGCATCGGTCGGATTATACACAGAGATCTAAAGCCTGATAACGTATTTCTATCTAGTACTGGTGCGGTCAAGATAGGGGATTTCAACTTGTCGCGGGTGATTGAATCGGCGGATGCGAAAATGACCTTTGCCGGTACGTTTTCATACATGGCACCAGAAATACTCTTGCGGAAGCCTTACAACGAGAAGGTGGATATTTGGTCTCTTGGCTGCATAGTGTGTGAAATGTGCACAAATAGACCAATTTTCAATTTTTCGCATTCTACTGATTACACCACGGAGTTCTCAAAATTTTCAGCACAGAATCTCAGGCTACCGCAGGGAATGTACTCTAATGACCTGATTGGGTTCATATATAAAATTCTAGTCGTAGATCACAATGCTCGGCCCTCTTCGTCTGAGCTTGCTCAGGTGCCCCAAATAGTAAGTGCTGTTAAGCGACTGATTGAGCGTGGCGTCTACGATACTAGTATTCTCAACGACCTTGACTACACTCTGAAGCATACACCCGGAAATAGAACGGTGCAGTCTGGTGACGACGACTTGAGTAGGCGGGGAAGCAGATCTATTAGCACGTCCCGCACTTCTCGGCCAAGCAGTGTTCATCCCATAGATCTCCGAAAATCGTCCAAGCAGTGTGGACATGCACATGCGCAGCCCCTCGAATCTCTAGAGAGTGTTCATGGTAAAGGTCTCAGTTCTGGAGGGTTCCATGATCACGGGGGCCAAAGCGATGGTGCTGATAAAGTTAAGCGCTACCCTTCAGGAGGACCCAAAGAGATTAACTATTCACTACTGGAGAACCCAAGCGTCTACGGTGATGCGGCGGTGAGGGTATCTGATCGTGCACACAAGGATATACCTGAGAATCCTAGACATTTTGCAGATGGGACTACCGTTTCAATAGACACGAGTGCCCTTCCAGCATATTTGAAACGGATGACGGATGGGGACACTTCGACTAGAAGCAGATCTTCGTCGTCTAAGCACCGAATATCCCAAGGTTGTGCTACAACTACTCTTCAGCATTCTGCGTTTTCCGGACACGGCACTGCAAGATATGACTATCAAGTAGAGGGATCCCGTGGTACCACTGATTCACGCCCCTATTCGCGTAACCAACGAAGTGATAGCCGTGTTAGTCGCAACATGTGCAAGTCCGAAAGCGTCAATACCATGACTCCGAGCCGCCATGAGTCTCGGCAGGGTCTTCCGCACTCGTTATCGTCCAAAGACCACGTAGCTAAACGAACTCCCACAGGAGTTTCGATTCATGGGCACACAAACCTTATGAAGGCGGCGACAATCGGAGACTCGAAGGGTGTGAAGCAGTGGATTTCACAGGTTCGCCAGTACGACGAGGACGGCAAAACGGCTCTTATGTATGCGGCTATATCCGACAGCTTGAACTGCGTCGAGATCCTTTTACCCGAAGAGTGTAGGATGACGGATCGAGTAGGTAACACAGCCCTTATGCATGCGGTACTGAATAAAAGATTCAACTGCATTCAGCTCCTTCTGCGCCAGGAAACAGGGTTACGAGATATCAAAGGACGCACAGCGCTGATGAAGGCAGCTGCTACCGGCCAGCTTTCTATCGCAACCTTACTACTTGGGTCTGAAGGAGGCCTAGCTACTCCGGATGGTTCGACAGCCCTGACTTATGCAGCAAACCACAACGACATTGACATGGTTAATTTGCTGTTTTCTTTAGAATTTGCTATAAGCGAACCAAAGCTAAACGAAATGAGCCCTACGTTCACTAATACGATGAAAATGCACTTACAACAACTAAGAACCAGCCGGCGAAAGTGAACTGTATGGGTTGTCTCCTCATCAGTATCAGAGATGGAAATAGACCCTAATTGCTGCCGTCTTCTCCTAGTTGGTCCGTCTCTATCACCGCCTCGTCTGCAGGGGGCTCCGGGATGGCGTCGATCACCGCCTCGTCTGCAGGGGGCTCTGGGATGGCGTCGATCACCGCCTCGTCTGCAGGGGGCTCTGGGATGGCGTCGATCACCGCCTCGTCTGCAGGGGGCTCTGGGATGGCGTCGATCACCGCCTCGTCTGCAGGGGGCTCTGGGATGGCGTCGATCACCGCCTCGTCTGCAGGGGGCTCTGGGATGGCGTCGATCACCGCCTCGTCTGCAGGGGGCTCCGGGATGGCGTCGATCACCGCCTCGTCTGCAGGGGGCTCTGGGATGGCGTCGATCACCGCCTCGTCTGCAGGGGGCTCTGGGATGGCGTCGATCACCGCCTCGTCTGCAGGGGGCTCCGGGATGGCGTCGATCACCGCCTCGTCTGCAGGGGGCTCTGGGATGGCGTCGATCACCGCCTCGTCTGCAGGGGGCTCCGGGATGGCGTCGATCACCGCCTCGTCTGCAGGGGGCTCCGGGATGGCGTCGATCACCGCCTCGTCTGCAGGGGGCTCTGCTGGCGTTTCATATTGATATGCCAATTGAACGTTTTCATCGCGTATGGACTCCTCCTCTGATACCATCCTAATAACCATTTCTGAAGAATCACCGTGGTCTGAAGGCTGGCTACTGAAGGTGCACGGGCTTGCTTTACTGTCATCTAGTGGCTTGGCAGAAACTGTGGGACAATCTTGATCATGGTACTGATCAGCTGTGGCTATTTGATCACTCGATATCGAAGTAAGTGTTTCCTTTTTGGGGATATCTGATTCTAAAAGAATGAGTTCTCTTGGTTGCTGTGGGTCCAAAGGTTCGATTTGTCCATCTATAGACGAAGTGACGGGAAAAGTATTGTCCTTATCGACTTCTTCCGTAGTACTTTGATTCTCAGTCGAGACACCCATCGGGAGCTCTTTTAGGTCGCTTGCTAAAGAACCAGTAGAAACTATGGCGTCAACTTCATCTGTTCCTATGCTTTCACGCATGCGTGGCAGCGTTAAGTGAGGCGGCGGTTTCTCGAGTGGGCGAGCGACTACGCCGTGCTCTTCATCAATCTCAGCCATCAGCGCCATGTAAGCCAGGTACTGACGCTCCTCATCATTATCAACATCTGGAGAGTATGAAATTGGTAGAGCACGGTTTTCATACTCTTCTGTTCCTTTAACCATAGTGTCTTGATGTGTATGAAAATTCGCAGACGGCGAATCCTCTGTTTCAATAGTTGGGTCTGTCACCAGGGCTTGCTGGTCTCTGTCAGATAAGCACGTTCTCTCATCTGTCGTATCAGCGCGAGACGGAGTGGACTTTGTGCGAGCTAAGTAAGTTTCCAAGCTCTTTGCCTCTGTAGATCCAGGGATAGCATCACTGCCCTCATGATACTGGAGATCCTCGTGCAAGTCAGTACTACATCTATCACTGTATTTCTCATCGTGATCGTCATGATTTACCTTAGATGAATCCACAGACATGGGCTTGACCATCAGCTCCTGTGCTCGCTTGATTGCAAACTCTGATGCGGGCATGCTCTGCTTACTGCTATCTATTCCAGATATCCCCAGCTTCACCATTTTATAAAGTCCATCAAGCTCTTTCTGCTGTTGATTAATCGTTTCATTGAGTACCGAAATGCGTTCGTGCAGCATACTGATCTCGTTATGATAACCGTCTATCATAGCCGTTTTTTTCTCTAGGTCAATGGTTATCGACTCCGTCGCTTCACTGAGAAGCTTGGTGGCTTCTGATCTTAGTGAGGAACTGGGAAACCTCTGCATCAACTGTTGTAGTTCAGATAGCTTGATAAGTGAAACCTGATCGAACTCCATGAGCCTGTTTATAGGGTCGTACTCGGTGAGCATCTGTATAATCGTGTCATATCCGTACTCTTTGGCATAATCCAACAGGAGAGACACATCGTCGTGAGATATGTCATTAGGATATTGAAGAATAAGTTGAACCACGTGGGGAGCTCGGCTAAGCACAGCATAATGAAGAGGTGCCCGGCCTAAGGCGTCGCGGGTCTTTCCAAGATCACATATGAGTATCTCTGCTGCGTCAGCAGCATTGGCTGCAGCTGCAAACATGAGCGCGTTACGAGAGTCCAAGGTCACAATGTGCTTCTCCTCTGTGACCAAAATTTTACAGATCTCTGGATTGTTGGCTGCAGCTGCAAGCATTAGGGCAGTTCTTCCTTCCACATTGGTCATTCCTGCTTCGTGGGGAGCCAGAAGTTCTGCCATAGTTAGGTTGCCCTCCTTCGCGGAAATCATTAATCCGGTTTCTCCCCACTGGTTACAGGTCTTTTTCATCTGAGGAAGCATCTGAGAGACACATTCTACATCACCGCGATAGATCGCATCGAACCATTCTCGCTTGAGTACCGAGCGCGGAGCCATGATTTTTTGGTTTACTTATTATCGATTTTTAAGGTTCCACTGCTTTCTTCCACTGTTTTCACTTATAAACTCCCTGACTCAATTTAACATGAGCACAGGCTTCACACAGTTTACGCAGTCGACAATCGACCAGCCTGCTGTGCAACTAGACAGTCTCGATGCGGCACGGACGTTATTTCAACGAATAAAGGGCACACCTGGATCGGATAGATACATTTCACAATCACTGGAGGCCCTCCACACCTCGTCCCCATTTTGCGCACTCAAGGCATTGGACTCCATATTGCGAACGGATGCCTCCATCCGGCCCCAGAGCTTTGTGGATAAGACGGTATTTAAACACAAGCCGACTCAGGATTTTATAGACAAGCTTCAACACCTTTCCACATTTATATCCGAGACCTATGGGCTGCGCGTTGCAAATAAGGTGTCGTGCTTCTCAATAATGGATACCCTTGCGGACACGTTGAAGGCAGATACGGCGCGTCTAGAGCACATCCTGCGGGCATCTGACGACACATTATCCCACTACTTCTCCGAGAATTACGACATTAAGGCGCTACTCCACAAGCGGAGAGTTCTCAATGCGGCCACCTCCATCTCCCGCTCCATTCTGGCGCTTAAATCGACCACCCTGTTAATTGACCAACTTCTGCACAAGCGGGATCTCATCAACGCCATTGCCATTTTTCATCTTGCAGACGTTGCCATGCGGACATCCAGGACTGTGCTTGTGGATGTTGATACTATGCGGAGTGGCCTCAAGAGAGATCACGAGCGGCTATCCTATCAGTTAAAGCATCAGATTATGGCTTTGTTCTACGGTAAAGGCACTGCAACAGGATCCCTCTACACCGTCGCCAGTTTAGCTGGAAGCCCTGCTACGACCACCAAGCAGGGGTCTCCTGGTACCAATGGAGCAGCTGGGACTCTGTCATCTTCACAGTCTGGGCAAGATACTGACGTACTTTCTTCGATTCCATGCATATCTAGCTCGTATAGCTTGGGCCTCTATAGGATGATCCAGAATTTACCATTTCTCCCACTCTGTACGTTCTTGCGCTCGGTTGCTGCTCGCTCTTATCAGACAACCGACCTAATTCAGACCTTTATAGATTCACTAGGTGTCCTGAAGAGCTTTGCTTTGGAACGCAATCCGTTCTTCAACATTACTCCCTCACAGGAAGCCGTCATTCGAAACTCTACCATCGATACTATGCCTCCAGAGCTTTATGGTGTCCTGCTGGGACAGTGTTTTTTGATGCTGCACGAATCAGACATAGCCGCTGGAAGAATCGGCGACATATCGGACTTTCTAAGGGGGCTTCTGGTTGAGAACATGGATTCCCGGCTAATAGAGATGTACCACAGAGCGGAGCAAGAATCCAGCTTTGTGGATGAGGGTCAAAGTTCTACCCTTTCCACCGACAAGATGTCTTACATCTCGTCTGCACTTGATCTCCATCGAGCAGATCATGTACTAAGGCTTAGAAGACTCATTTTTAGTTCGTCTGGCGGTGTTCATGTACCAGAGTTCAGATTAGTAGACACAAATCCGCTTAAGGATTTTGCAAAGGTGACTAGACGCTTCTTCCAAAGAGTATATTTTTCCATGATAAATGCTACGCTATTGTATGGATCGTTTCTTGTTTCTTATAGTTTCTATCTCCAAGCGCTGAAGCAACCGAGTCCTTTTGACAATCAACAATCTCCCCCGGTAGGGCTATCTCTTGCAAAGACATTGCAGCCTTCGAAAAGCAGGGCCATTCTCCAGCCATCTGCATTCAACATAGACGCCATGGTCCCGATCTCTTCGGTGCCTGTAATGCCTCCCCATCCTCCTCTGCAATCTCCTGGCTCGCCGGCTCAACCTGAGCATGTAAGCTTCAAGAAGATTCTTGAAACTCTCTTCTTCATGCTGGCGGAGACAAATCCATCGTCTGCTTTGGAATTTCTAAATACAGACGTGGATTCTTCTCCATCTGGCGGGTTTTCTGACCCCACTATGTTTATGTCCAGCTTCTCTACAAGCACCAATCAGAAGCGGATCATTTCTGCCTCCTTTTCTTCCGCGGCCTCTGCCGGAAAATTGGTATCCATAAAGGCTAATGAGCAGCTCCCGTTCATCAATACCATCTTTGCTTTAGATGCCAGGTATCCATTTATAGGATATAATGATAGTCTCAAGCAGTTTTTAGGCGCATTCTATGATGCAGCCATCCGTCGCTTGGCCTACTACTGCTCAATGGTCATCAAGAGCTCTGGCTACGCTAAGTCGTCTGCGCAGATGCATCAGCAAACGCATGGTGATAAGCTCACCATTGGCGGGCACGATGGTGTGTACGCTGCTGCGGGATCATCTGCTTCTGACCAGGATGGGCGAGTTTTAACGGATACTGCGACCAGTTCTTTGTTCAGCCTTTCATGGGTTCGATCCCTATCGCTCTATTCATCGTCTCCGGGGGTTTCCAAGGCTCTGAGCTCCGTCAAACCCAATAACTGGAACGCGCTTCTAATTGAGAATCACCTTCTTTCTTTCTATCATTGCGCTGTCATGCTCACCAATGTAATAGAGATCAATCCAATAGATGAAATATTTACTCAGTTTTTCTCACGATTATTGGACAATTATACTTCGTACATAAACAGCAATGTCAACAATCTCTTTGCTTTGGTCTCCCTTCAGGATCTCGAGCTGGGACTTTACACCACCAACTCTCGAGTCTACGGGTTGGGGGTCCTCTCTTCTTTGACCAGCTTACAGCAGCCTGATGATGATGTTAGCTGTTACTCTACTTGTGAGGCGCCGTCTGAACTTACCGACGCCTTTACATCTACTACGGGACTTCTGCGCGTTGAATCTTCTTACTCTTTGGCTCGTGCTCTCCTGGGTGATGAAAGAACTGTCATGTCTGATAGACCTGAACTTACCGCATACAAGCTTGCACAGTATACACTGCGTTTTCTTAATGATATGATGGCGTTTTCATCGATGTCAAGCAAGTACTATGAAGCGAACTCTGCTCTAATTCTTAGCACCATCTGTAACACGTTCTTGAACATGATTTATATGCGCTTGCACATACACTATAAAGCCCTCTATAGCTATGCTCTATTCTTCACACCTGCTGGTAATTCTCCCATCGAAGGCTCTACTGTCAGCGGGTATGAAGCTCTTCTGGATGATTATATTGGTTCTGCAGCCATTACCAGCGATAGAATTGCAAGCCTGGACAAGGCACTGGGACAGCACGGGATCGAACAGTATGCCAGTGTGTCCTCGTTCTACAGTCTGGGGACGTTTGCCATTCTCGATGAAATTATTGACACCAGGCAGACCATGGACGGGGTCTCAACTCTTGTGGGTGTGGGACGCAGCACACCGGGCTCATCAGTCATCTCAAGACGTTCCTCTGCTGCACACTCTTTTACCTTAAACCCAATAACTGCGCCGTTTAGACAAAGCAGAACCATGGAGGGCTGTGAGAGGCCTGTCAAGACACGAACGCATAGCAGACAATCATCCAGCCTGCAGATCCTTGATGCAGAAGTAGAGCGTGCTAGTTTTAATTTTGCACTCGATGGACACAACGGGGGTATTGGCGAAGATCTTAGGGAACCAGAACAAGCCTCTATTAAGTGTAGTCAGAATCAATCTGAAGGGGATGCTCTTCTAGAAAAACTACCCACTGCGGTCCTTGTTGATGGAGGTATGCTTGAGCACGCCTTGTACTGTCTTCAAGGGTGTATCCTCGTGTATGATTATTTGAAGAAATTTACACCAGTCCCACCTTCATCAGACCATGTATGGTATTCGCGATTCGAGCTTACGATAAAGAAGATCGTGCATTTTATTATATTAGAATGGAGGCTCTATGTCTCGGTTCATATCCGTCAGGGATTTGACGAAGACCTGAACGCGCCTCCTGAACATGTGCAGCTGGGAGCACAGTCTCCTGTGTCAGCAGGGTACAATAGCTTTGTCTCTAGCATAAAAGCGCTCCGAGTACTAAGCGAGCGGCCGGACTTTAAGTGGATTATGAATTATGACACCCTCTTGTTTGATCACATCTTCTATACCGTGGAGCGGGTCTTTATGGAAAGACTCAATAGGGTTTCATCATCTGTGCTTAGACACGACCAAATGACGCGTATGGCGGCAGCACTGCAATACATTTCTTCTATCGCCACCGGCCCCGCGTCTTTCCGCTCTGTCTTCCAAAAGCTGCACAGCCTCTGTGCAGGATGATAGGTGCGGCCCTGTCACTAAGTGAACTGTGACTTACTTCTCTACTACATCATCTTCGGTCTCGTTTGGCCCGTTGTTGAGCTGAATGTCGTTTGTATCCCTGCATTCTGTATGCGTAGGTGGGCGCGATCTTGCTTCTGGCTTTTCATAAGGCTTAAGCGCTACCACACAATCTGTCTTCTTAGCTAGCTTTGCTATCGTGGCGGCATTCTTACTTTCTAGATCTACAAGGCCATGCTCGTGCACGGCAAGGGCCTTGACAGCAGCGACCTTTCCTGCTTTAGCAGCCAACATGAGAGCTGTCCTTCCTGAGTAATTAACCATTCTTTGTTCTACCCCCTGCAGCACCCCAATGCATTCCAACTTGTCCTGAAGCGCAGCTGCCATCAGGGCAGTGAGGCGTGCCCCATGGGTAAAAAGTCTGGCCTCAGTTGATACTAGCTTTTCACAGGCAGCAGCCGACCCAGAACGGGATGCTATCATTAGGGCTGTGGGCCGGGCAAACTCAACTCCCCCGACAGTAAATCCTTTTGTTGCTCTGATGTGAGCCTCGTAGGGTAGTAGGAGTTCTACAATGTCGGCATGGTCCCTCTCTGCTGCTTCCATCAGAGCAGTCCTTCCGGCTTTGTTGTAGCAGCCAGCCATGTGTAGTAGCTTTCCAACCTCGTCTGTACTGTTCTTAATAGCTGCCAAGTGGAGTAGTGTAGATTGGTCCGTATCAACCGCGTCACCCTTCCGCTCTAAATAGCTTACGACCTCTTCGTGCTTGAAGTTCTTGGCCAGCTGACACGCGGTCTTGTTCTGGCCGTTAATCCGTCCTACCATATGATGGTAACGTTTGACTAATGAAATGTCCCCTGCTTCTGCTGCTTTGTGAAGAAGTGTATTCTTGGCTTCATCCGCCACTACTTCCCGCTCTGCTAGTAAGGAGTAAATCGGTTCGTGACCGTTTCTGTATGCATAAGATCCGGCCGTCACTGCATTTTGGTCAAATAGTCCTATCTCGTGCTCAGAAAGAAGTTGTACAACGTCTAAGTGCCCTGCCCTTGCAGCAATCATAAGAGCTGTCATACCCGTGTTTGTTCTGCATCTAACCTGGTCTAATAGATGACTACATTCACGTAGGTCTCCAAAGAAGGCGCTCGTCATAAGATCCGTAAATCCTATAGAACATAGAATATGCCCTTCTCGTTCCATTAACTCACGAGCTAGGTCAGGATGATTTTGCTCAATTGCTAGTTGGAGCGCGAAGTTTCCATCTTTTCGTATAACCTGTGCCTCTGCAGCAATTAAGTGCCTTGCAACATCGGTTTTTCCTGTCAACACGGCCTGCATTAGAGCGGTATTATCTGACCTGTCCACCGTTCCTGCTTCCACGTGTACTAAAGCATTCAATGCTTCAACATTCTCGTGTTGTGCGGCCAGCATAAGTGCCGTATACCCTTGGTGGTTCTGTAGTCCTCCCTCTCTATTGAGCAGGATAGCTATTGCCTCGATCCTATTGGTCAAAGCTGCTGCCATTAATGCCGTATGTTGTCCATTAGAATCACGCATCTCTGCTTCCTCTTCCTCCAAAAGCTTCACACAAGTTGCATGCCCGTTGCACGCGGCGAGCATGAGAGCAGTGATATCCTTCCACCCTGCTAGTACATCAGGTCCTGTTTGTGTGGTTAGCTTGGCTTCAGAAAGCAGCATCTCAACGCATTTATCATATCCCCGTTCAGCTGCCAGCATTAACGCTGTCTTATCATTGCTATTGTAAGTAGATGCCAGATGGAGATACTTTGATATGTCTTCTGGTCTATTGCTAAGAACGGAACGATGCAGAAGAGTGTTTCCATCTGGATCTAACAAAGACTCATAACGCGTCAACAAATCAATAATTTGCTGGTTTCCTATTTCTAGTGCCAAAGTGCCTGCAGTTTTCCCATCATTATTCGTTATGGTTTTCTCTTCTTCTATTAGCCTGGTAACAATAGGAAGACAATTGGCCTCAACGGAGTACATACATGCCGTATAGCCCCTGATGTCTTGTCTCTTTGTTTGGTGCATATACTGTCGAAAGGTTTTGTAGCTTGCTGCCATAATTGCGATCATTAATTCTGTAAAACCCTCTTGCAGAAGAAGGTGGCGCTCGTAGTGGATGGCAGCCCTGAACAGAGCGTGCTTGTGTTCCTTCATCAACTGTGTTGTTATAAAAGATCCTCGAACACCTGCGTAGGGAAGTGGACGAGCAGCCTTTTTGGCTTCGAGCTCTTCTCGAAGCCTTTCCGAGCTCTTCTTTTCTCCCGAAACCTGACCCTTGTCTGAGCCGCCCGGTCGAGCCCCCGAGCGGCTGCTTGTTCTTGACGGCGGTTTGGCATCATCATCCATAGCTGTATTGGGCCGCGATACCTTTTTCTTCTTCCCTCGAGCCTTCTTTTCTGCAGCAAGGCGCTCAGCTTGTTCCGCTGCTTCTTGCTCCGCTGCTTCTGCAGCGGCTATCTCATCTAACTCCGCCTTGGTTGGAATGTAGTCAAGGTCGCCATAGTCCACATTCGGTAGCCTGTGTATGTAGCCACTTTCAGAAAGAAGATAGTAAGCTGCCGTGTAGGCGTGATTTTCGAGTGCAACCATCAAGGCTGTGCGGCCTAGGTTATCGGTGTAGAACTGCTGAAAGGGAAGATAAAGAGAAATGCTTCGGTATTCATCGAGTCCTGCAGCAATCATCAAGTCTGTCATCCCTAACTCAGACGTTCTAGATATGCCGCGAGAGACGTCTGCGACTCGATTCATCTCGGATGTGCAGTACTCGTCAAATAAGGAACGTAGTGTAACCCTTTCTTTGGCTACTGTGCGAGTCATTCGCTCAACCAACTCAACGATATGCACCCCAAATCTAGCTCTACAATGGAGAGACAATAAATATGCTCTCCCTTTAGTGAATTCGGTAAAGTCATCGGTTGTCAGTATCAATCTAAGGACTATTTGCCCTAGCAGAAAAACGATAGTTTCTGGGCTGGGATTTTTATAGATGTCCAAAGGCCATTGATCTGGAGGAGTAGCAGGTCTTGGTTGCTTCCGGCCATAGTACGGACGAAGTGCTAGTTTTGCGTGTCCATCCGCCTGAAGATACACGTTCTCAAGTGAAATTGAGTGGCATAGTAGCTTAATCGCTTCCTTGTGCATATGTCGATCGAAGACAAACTTAACGGCTCCAAGAAGGTCAATCAGGAAAGCAGTGATGCTATGAGTGGTGCTAAATATTCGCAAAGACGTCTGTACACAAAGCTCGTCTGAAAGTGGACGCAATGTGGCTGCCTCTGAAACTAAAGAGTAACTGCATCTAGATCTATCGTTGATGAGAGTCAAATACACTAGTAAACTAGGGTGCTTGCAGTCTATTAGATGATAGAGATTTCGTGCAAGTTGTCGACGCTTAGCAACAGTCAAGTCTGCATAAGAAAAGGCTTCCATCAAAACAGGGACCCCCCGACCCCGCTGTATAGCGATAGTCTTATCAGGGCCTGCTACAAAAAGGGGAATATAATGAGAGACTGAAGGCCTCATTCACGATAGATATTTTATCGCTTTGAGACTTAAAAGCCACTAAATTCACTATCTATCCTCATAAAGTATTTTGCAAAGGACGTCAAATTCGCGCCCAAATGAAGACTCTCTAAATCTGTCGCCTCGCCGTGTCGGCTCCCCTGCCGTGATGAAGCCCAGCCCTGAGGTCAATCGCCGGGCTAAAATCTGTAATAGAAGGAGCATTTCGCCCCGATTATGTAAGTACAATCTTCTGATCATTGCAGCAACATCCTGAGAGAGGTTAGACGAGTTAGCCAGTAGCACGGCCTTGATGAGATCGAGCTTATCCTTGCTTTGCTGGATCTCCTGACGCGTTCCCGGTGCACAGTCTACCCCAATTACTTGAACGGTGTGGTACAGTTCGGACAGAACCTTTAGCTCAGCGATGACGAGGAGAGGATCATTATCCTTGAAGCAGAAGCGAGAGAGGTGTGCAAGATAGAGGGTCGGGAAGGCAGCCAAAATCTTGGATGCTATTGCACTGGCTGATTGTGGCGGAAGAAGGTTCCTGCAAAGCGGAGCTGCACTGGAGAAGAAACGTGAGCTGGGAGGCCTAAACTCATAGGTTGACACAAGGACTGATAGCTGATTGGTAAGGAGCCCAAAAATATAACGAACATGCAGCGGGATTCTCTCTGCACTGTTCACCATACAAGTCCCAGTTGAGCTTGCCCATTGGCAAAACTCCTCATAGCTCATACATGCAAGCTTTGAGCTTGTAGCATCAGAATCGTGTGCAATATCGGCTTCGCTATAGCTGTTTGATTTGCAATTACAGTAAATTATGCGGCAGCCAGCCAACGTAAGCTCAACGTATAGATTCGAGAGCCGATGGAGTGCGAGCTCCACAGAGGCGTAGAAGCGCCTCAGCTCTCTGTGAATGATCTGGTCCAGCTCCTCATTTCGCTCAAAAGCAAGAACGTCTGTGATCAGAAAATCGCTCATCTCTTGCAATCCTGTCATTGTGGCCGAGATTATATCGAAGAAGTTGTCAGTCAGCGGTATGAATACGCCTGAGGTGGCACTTGCAAACGATCTCGACATGGCCACATCCCCCGGGTGCTCCTCCCCCAACCTCTTCTCAGCTAGTAAAATGGGCTTGACATCGCTAATCGAGTATCCCGAGTTCTTTTTGTAATATTCTACGGACGCATTTCCAAAGCAAAGAGGAGTGCCACAATCAGACACTCTGCATAGGGAGAGAGAGAAGGGGTTAGTGGAAGCAGCATCCCCCATATATAAGGCTAGTACGGACTCTCCATACTCCTTCCACGCTGCCCTGAGCTTAGGATTCTTGCTGATGGGCTCGACAGCATAAGTCCCCGGAGGAGATGTTATCAGTAGGGGCAGGATTCTATAAGTGGCCGTCCTAACGTCGTGTATCTCCATAGAGCTGCTATCCTGGACAGCACCCTCAGGAAAATACCCAGCAGACGCAGAAAAGCAAAGGGATGCATAACCCGTAACACACAATCCAATCTTTGCAACAAGAAAGGCAAGAATCCGCTTGACCAGAGTTGCCTGCACAGTCTGAAATGTCTGGGTCTTGTAGCTGTAAAAGGAAAGCCTGGGAGACGCTGCTTCTGGCGGTGACAAGTCCTTGAAGAACATGTATCTTGCTCTATAGATCACAGCCTTGTACTTTGCAATAAGGTCGCTGAGACTCTGCTCAGAGAACAACGAGCTTGAAAGGCCCTTACTGCAAGTATTTAGGATTAACGTATCAATTGCCTCATGGTGGGACCTAAAAGGCTCCAGCATAACAGTCGCGGATAGGTAGTTCTCTAGGTATATGCTTTCGTGGATAAAGTAATCTTGGAATAATAGCTTGATCGCATGCTCGGCAGTCTCTAAGAAGTTAACAGAGAGTTTCGCAATGATGCTGTCAAGTGCATCCTTGCTCTGGACGCCATCTCTGTTCACCTGTGTCACTGGACCAGTTGCTGCTTTGAGCTGACCGTCATGCATCTGGACTTCTCCCAGCGTACGATCTGTGAAAGGCCAGGGTGCAGTGACCTGTACATATGTGGGAACCACTTTTAGCGCACTGGATCTGTAGTAGGCTGGGAGAAATTGATGAACAAGAAGGCTTAGCTCTCTGTTCGACGAAGAGGTAAGCGCGTCGGGCATATAGTTCTGTACTCGCTCATAAGTAGTGAGCAGTTCGAGCAGGGAAATGTCGTCTCGAGAACCACCATATCCAGTCTTGGATGGCTTGTTAATGAACACTTCTATGCTCATAAATGCAGGAAGTTGTGGAATAAGCTGCATGGCGAGGTTATTGCTTAGCGAGCAATGAAACTTAAAGTCCGCCTTATTGATTGGCTGGTAATAGTTTCCAGGAATGTCTTCTACAAAGGCAGAGGCCTTGAATTTGTTGAGACCGTTAAGAAGGGATGAAAGTCTCGCTAACGATGAGGGAAGATCAATAGAAGGAGCAACAATCGTGTCCAAATCTAAAACTATTGTTTGGGCCTTAGCGGTGAACTCTCCATCTAAAAGGGCTGCGCTTGTTGTCCTAGCCAACGCGTTTTTACAAATTTCACAAAGTAGTGTGTATAGCGCTTGCGTTTGCTCGTAAAGTGCCTTCCTCCTTTCTATCTCAGAGGTAAGTTCGTTAAGAGAAGGCACTTTGGCATTGAAATTCAAATAATGATTGATAAAATATTCACCAAACGCCCAGGGAATATTGTCAAATTCTTCATCAGCCTCAAAATAGTATGACCAAGAATACAGATTGGTGGCTTGAATGTCAGATATCGGGTACATCATTATCTGCACCATATTGACATCTGGAACAGTATGAGAAGAGAGGTCTGAAAGAGAAGCAGCAGAACGAGAGACTTGGGAGGATACCAAGGAAGCTGTTCCTGCCTTTTGCTCGAACGGGGCAAATATGGAAGCGACTATTTGCGGATTGATACTCCCAATTGAGTTTGATGAAGCCTTTTCTGTTTCCCTTAGCAGCTCGATATTTGAACGTATCTTCTGCATGATGGAGTCTGTAAATGCCATCTTAGCCCCATCCAGGGATGAAAAGCGGAAGTCGTACCCATAGATCAAGGGGTATTCCTCAAAGGAGAGCCCTGACAAGTCTACTCCACGTAGAAGCTCTGTAATATTCAGGGCAGTGATCTTCCGCACCAAATCTTCCATTAGGCACTTTATTATGACGTATACTCGTACTAGAATGAGGCTTACCTTAGCCTTATCATTGGCATATTCCTTCACGATCGTATCGAGAGTAGCCGTTATGCTTTCTACCATTATGCGGAGAACCAGTTGGACCACCTGAATGACCATAGGATGAGGATTGGGAAGCGTCAAGAAACAGATGCGAAACATGCCCTTCAAGATGCAGAAACTAGCGGTAAAGTATTCTGTGAGCGGCGGGAATACTGTGCGTGCTGCTACCACCAAGTCTGAAAAGGGGTTGTTAATTTTTGATGCGGCGGGTGACGAGCTAACTGGATCGTCCTGCGGGTCTTCTGGACTCGGCCCTGGTATTGATGCTGACTCCTCGGAGAACGACAATTGCGAAAGTATATCGGGAACATCTTCGGGGCTTTGTAACAAGAGGCTATCCGCAAAGCGTGTGAGAAGATGAGACGCCGCTTTGATGCAAGCATAGGCAATAGCTTCATAAACTAGGTCATAGCAGTACATGCCGAGAACATCCATGGTAGCTATTACTCGACGTGCTTTAGCCAAATCGGGCCTTTTACGATAGTCTAGGGCACAGCAAAGCTCATAAAGAAGGCCATACCGATGACAATACAGGTCAAAAGAGTACTTGACTGGGGGTAGTTGAGTTGCCTGCTGAGAATCTCCAGACTCTTCAACTGTACGGCCATCCAAATGTATGGCATAAGTAGTGCAGATAGTGTGTACATTGTCTGCAATATGCTCCGGTCCATAAGATATGAGAGTGTTGGCTGCCTCTACCAACTCATTGAGACGTCGGCTCATTGAAGAGGTTGGCGGATAGGGTATTATGGAGTGCAAGGATGTAATTGAATCATATAGCCGCTTAATGAATGCGACGGTCTCAACGGTAGCAGTGTTGAGTTGCTCAGAGGAGAGTGGGGTAGGGAGCTGGGAGCGCAGTTCCGGAACTGATAGCAGGGACCACGAGAAAGATACATTTTCAAAACAGTCGAAACGTGGAACAGAAAGCAGGCTGTGCATATCAAATGCAGCAATCATCTCTTTAAGCATAAAAAGCATCTGGTGTCTAGTGAAAGGGTTGTTCAGTAGATACCGAAAGGCTGGGGGGATATATGGACTATCTTCATAGGGAGAGGATATCACCCTGTTCTGTTTGGACAATAAGTGCTCCAAAGTGTCTTCTTTGGCGCCTGATTTTGGCTGTGCGTAAGGTGAGTACTTAAGGTTCTCTGGTGCCAAAGAACCTGGCTTAAGCAAAGAAGGGTTCATATCAATAAAGTAATGATCCTTCGAATAGTAAGTGTTGGTGAGCAGCATCTCCGGATCTGCGCCACCTATTGTCTTGTAGAGCGTGCCTGCTGCCAGAAAGTGCTCGTAGTCCAGCTGATCAATAACAACAGCTCCGCTCTTAGCGACAGGTGCAAACTCAAAGTGCAAAGAGACCCCACCAAGAAGCCTGGCAATAATAAACTCATTAAAAAGCTGTAATAGAAATACCGATTTCTGCAGGTTCTTGGCTTTCCGCAAAATGTGAACGGCTTCTGACCCGGCTTGAGAGAGGGATGAAAGGTCCCCAATTAGAGTTTCGATGGTTGTGACATGCGCCTTGAATTTGCTTATCTGCTTTGCAGACTTGTCTATTTGGCTGGAAAAGCTAACCTTGTACTGCTGAAAACTGCGGGACTCTTGGATCTGCTTGGTAACCAAATCTGCCTCAAGCTTATCGAGATTGGAAAGGAGGTCTGCAACATGCGCGTCTAGCTGGTGGAGCTCCTCGGAAGAGAAGACCCTGCCAGAGCTGGCCTCAAGGATCGGCGACGAGCTCAGGAGCGAATTGGTAAAGGCTTCTGCAGCGAACGCCTGAGAGCTGACCTTACTTGCGAGAGAGGCATAGTCGGACATCCGCCAGACAACCTAAAGGCGCTGAGAAAATAATGCATGCGCACACTGGTCCCAAATTTTACAATAAAATCAAAAGTATTGTAAATTCAATTTGGGAAGAAAAAAAGTGAGGCAGGCAGTCTCCATGACGAGAATTACGCCGCCCCAGTCTGACCCCTGACGAACGGCTTCTCTGATCATTCACTCAACCCGCCGGCTCACAGTAGCTGCAGCGCGACCGCGCTCTCTGCGACGTACGCCACGCGAAAGAGCTGTCTGTGGACGACGGCGGCCCCGTCGCGCAGCACCACCATCCCAACGTTGGTCACTGCGCTCCGGGGGGCGCCGCCTAGGGGAATCTGGACCCTGTAGGTGTGGGCTGCCTCCGGACTTCTGCGGACGCTCCCCAGCGGCGTCTCTGTCTCGTTGCAGGCGATGTCCCAGATCACACATGCAGAAAGCTCTTGGGGGGCGTTCTTCTGCTGGCAGGAGAACTCCACGGTGCAGTCTGCGTCGGGGTCGCACGGCTTGCTGCAGTGGCGAGGGGTGAAGGTTAGCCCACTGCTATCTGCAATAAACCTGTGAGCCTGGAGGCGCGCTGGAATGATGGCGTAGTCTCCCACATTAACCAGTAAATTGGCCTCTGCAAGCTTTGCAAAGTCGTCGGGATCCTTACAGATGCCGATAGTGAAGCATCCCATGGCAGCCCCAGCGCGAACATCAGGGACCCCATCACCTAGGACGATGCACTGTGTAAAGTCGACGTCTGGATGCCGAACTTGGAAGTCTTTCAACAGATCTTCCTTTGTCTGTAGGCCAGGAGCCTCGGCCCGATAGCAAAGAAGCTCCGTAAAGTATGAATCCAGGCCTACGTATCGAAGAATCCACGACGTCTGTTCAAAGTCGTTGGCTGTCAAAGTGCAGATGAAAAACTTCTTGGACAGATCCCGCAGTAGGTCTTCAGAGCCGGGAACGCGGTAGTTTTCAGGAGGGAAATGGTGCTGAATATAAGCCCGTTGAGCCTCCATGACGGCTTTGATGAGCGTCACAGGGTCCAAGACCGTGGGGTCTACTACAGACTCTCCTGCCTCAGCAAGACAAGCATGTATCTTTTCTATCTTTCTTCGGAAGTGTAGGCCTTTCACATGGGGACGGAGAGAGTCGATCTGGCGCTTTACATCACCCGGTATTTCGAGAAACTTAATATAGTTGTCTGGGATTGCTCCCGTGCGCAGAGCCTCTAGCTGAAGCCAGTACCCCGCATATGCCACTCCGCACTCATGGACTAGCACTCCGTCAACGTCAAAAAAGCACCATTGAGTAGTTCTCTTTGCGTCTTCGGCAGGCATTAGGATTTTGGTTAAAGCAACTTCAACCACTTTCTATTCTGGTGGAAGCTCTTTCCTCACGATTAATTGCAATTACTCATTAAGATCTTGTCACAATACACCATCTCATGATAATTGGCAACTTTCCAAGACTGTACTATTGGGCCTCGCCTGTGGGTATGGCCTAAGACCGCATGGGCAAACCTCACTTATTTCTTAACCATGTCTAGAAACGAAGGCTGGTTATAATAGCATAGCGAGGGGATTCCTTCCGTTAGTGCATCCAGAGCTTGGCGCCTTTTCGGTTGTTCTGTACGGTGTGTATGGTCAATCTAGGTGATCTACCAGTGGCGCTCCTCCCCTTGGTCTTCCTTCATAGTAGGCGAAACCCACTCATGCAATCTCTGAATGCGCTCGTAAATGAGGGCCTAGAAGTACAAAGCACGCGTTCTATGTGACCCGCAGTAAAAATGTCGTCTGCGGATGATTCAGGTCAACTCCTTCAGGATCACGACTGCGCCCCGCCCCTCGCGCCAGAGAAGGACATGAGCGAAGAGGGCGCAGTAAACCCAACTGAGCCTTCAGAAATGGATGATGAAGGCAGCGTGGATGAGGACGGCGTCACCACACTTATGAAGGCAGCCAGCAGAAACGACGTGAAAGCGGTGAAGCACTACATCCCTTATCAGGCAAGGATGGTGGCAAGGTTTGTCAAGGCAGGGAGAGTAAAAATACGCGAAGGGACGGCCCTGATGGTCGCCGCAGCGCTTGGACACGTTGAGGCGGTGAAGCTGCTGATGAGGTGCGAGGGCGGCATGAGGGACAGTGAGGAGTGGACGGCCCTCATGTGGGCGGCACTTGTTGGCCGTACCGAGGTCGTGAGACTACTCCTGAAGATTGAGGGCGGCATGCAGAAGGGCAGAGGTTATACTGCCCTCGTGCTTGCAGCAAGGCATGATCATCTGGAGTGTGTCAAGTTGCTACTAGAGAAGGAGAGGGACATAAGTGGCGTAGATGCCATCCATATGGCCAATAGATGGCAGCATCCAGAGGTAGTATCTTTTCTCGAGAGTGAGGGTATTGTAGATCCATACTTGCGGATGCCGCCCAGGAAGCTTGTGAGTGAACGCGCTTAACTGTTGATTACGTCTAACGGTAGACTAGAATTTCCCTCCAGCTCTGGAAAGGGATGGTCAGCCACTAGGGTGAAGTGATGGCTGTCAGTGGGGCACACAACCACCCGTTTCCGCAGAGGCCAGGGGGAGCAGGTCTCCTTGCCCCCAGTCAGCACTGGAACGCCGATGGGTGAAACAGTCGCACAGGTGGCCTTCTCGCCCCTGATGCAGTAGTCCTCCGCAAGCAGTGGTCACTACAGATCCGTAGACACAAACCCCTGTGGAAACGGATCGTTTCCAAAACGGTAGATTACCAAAATAAAACCAAGATGTACGCCGCCTCGTCTGGATCTGCAACGGTGACTCTCAGTGTCCCACCGTTCACCTCCAAGGAGCTCCACGAGCGGTTAGGTGATGTGCTTAATGAAAGCACTATGGTGACAGTCTACTCCCTCAAGGACTTTCCGGACCTCGCTGTGCAGGAGATCCTCATCGACGGCCTGGACAAGGATGACGTGGACACCATCAAACTAGAGCTGGCCACCCTTCCCGAGCTCTCCCACCCAGGAGTCCTCAAGCACCATCAAGTGGTCGAGGACGAAGGCCTCATCTACGTCGTCACGGACCGGCACGACAGTACCCTCGAGCACCTCCTCGCCGAGCACAAACAAAGGAAGATCCCCATCCCTATCGCTACGATCCTCTCCGTCATGAAACAGCTCGCTGCCGCCCTCGCCTACCTCCACAGCGTCAATGGAGCAAACACTAGAGGCCTCGTCCACTGTGATCTCAGGCCTGCCAATGTCCTTATCAGCGCAGACGGAGAGCGCTTCGTCATCGCCGACTTCGGCCTCTGCAGGAACACATTGTGGAGTGGGAGCACTCTCATAGGAATAATGGCATACGTTGCCCCCGAGGTGCTCCTCCACAACGAGGCCAGCCCCGCCTCCGACGTGTGGAGCCTCGAGGTCATCGTCTACGAGCTTACTACTTTGAAGAGGCCGGACTTCCTGAAAGGTAAAGACCCAAAAGACGTCTTCATCGACGGGTGGAGGCCCGATCTGAGCGGTGTCACTGATGGCTTCATAAAGAGTGTTCTGGAGAGGATATTCGTGCTGGAGCCAGAGGAAAGACTGACAGCCAGGGAGCTGCACGAGACGCTCACCACAGCAGACATCCCAGTTAGTGAGTTGGGAGGTCAGTGCGTGATGCTGAAGTATAAGTGCGGATCCTTGGAGGCTGCGCTGAATGGCGCTAACGCCAGGATCGCGCTGCTGGAAGAGGATGTTAAGACTAAATCTACTAAGATCGACGCGCTTGAAGACCAAAGTAAGGAACATCTAGCTATGATTAAAGCACTGGAGAATAGGCTTGCACAGTTCGGTGACAGGATGAACACGGCTGACCCTCAGTCCAGCCTCTTTTTGCTGCCCAGGCTGATGCGTGCTGCACACAAATAGCACTGAGACCGTCTGGATGCTGCTTGAAGAAAAACTCGGCGTTGGCCAGCGTGCCGCACAGGGGCACGTCAGTCCCGTCGAGTTGCTTGTTGGGGAGGAGAGGGGCCTCCAGGACAAGAACGGCTGGACTACCTGATGATCGCCGCCTCCCTTTGATCCCGAGGAGAATCTAGTTGATAGCGAGGGCAGTACGGCCCAGCCAGTACGGACAGAGCCGTGATACTCGTACGAGCAGCACTGCACAGCCACTGAAACATGAAGCGACGGGCATGCTAGTCACAGCCGGGCGTCCTCATGGGCGCAGTACGCAGGAGGAGAGGGGAAACAGACACAATAGGGCTGGTTTGAGGCGGTGTCTCTCCTTGGGAGCAGTGCACCTGGTGTCGCTGTCACACTGACTTTTGGACTGCTCTGCGGCCCATGAGTAAATCTGCCGTTTCTTTTCAAAAGGGTAGAAGATGGCCAGAGATGCTACTATAGCCGGACGAAGTGCATACAAAGGCGCCTTGTTGATGTGGCGGTGGTGCAGGACAGCCAGAGGCAAAAGAGGCGCTTATGATACACAAGGATGGCGCGTAGATAAGAACAGGGGAGCTGCTCCCATGAAGACGAAAGAGGTCAAAGCTGCCCGTGAAGGTGACGGGTTTCAGTGAGACGACTGCCTTGATCCAGCTGGGCAGCACGGCCACACCAAGACGCAGGCGGTCCGAACTGGTTTCCCGTAAGCAGCAAGGTTTTCATCGCACTCTCCATTGTATGGCAATCCATCCTGCCGGAAGACGCACCGGGACGCCTGCTATGGTAGCACCCTCTGGTACCGCTATTCCTGCCAGGCCCGGTAGATCAAGCCCTAACACAGCAGCAGAGGCAAAGGACAAAGAACGGCGCCTCCGTCTCGATAGCGTAAAGAGCACCACCGTTGGGAGCAGTCTGCTGGTGCTGCCTTGCGGCTCCCTGAGCAGACCCCTAGTGGCCGTCTGACATCCTTGGGCAGCAGCTAGTGGCCCTGGTGCACCTTTGGGGGGCTACCCTATGCGGGGAGCTACAGTGCGTGGAGGTCTCACTCACACCGTTACAGGACGCCCCTGCAGAGGCCGAGGTCAGGGACGCGACGATATTGGCAAGCCTGAGGTCACGAACATCCCCAGCACCTGCCTTGCTGCTGTAGAGGTAACAAGGGCGACAGCGACCTGACTCACGGTGAGACCAGGAAATCCCTTGCCAGCACGTCTCCCGTTGGCCACGTAGCTCATCAAGCGTGAGCGATGGCACAGCGGGACCCAGCTGCACGATTGCTCCTGTCGGTCATGCGGCTCGCCCTCAACGGATCAATGTCAGGAAGTGACGGAGACTCCGCCCGAGTGACTGTGTGGCAGGACAGGCCAGTGCCCGTACTGGGCAGGTTATCGAGCGGGTGCCTGCCCCGGCCGGTTCGTCTGACACTCGAGATGCTTGTCCGGTGCATCCCCCAGCAATGCGCGGTGACCCAGCAGGAGAACAGGCTCTACTCCTCCTGCAGGCCGCATCAAGCAGGGAATCCATGCAGCAGCTGGCACATGGGTGGGGCCGGCGTTGGTAAAGACACACAGTGGGACAGTGCCTCAGACAGCCAGGACCGCTACCGGCCTGTTTGGGTAGTGGATATCACCCCATCGGCATGACACGTTGTTATGCAATAAGGAGCGGCCCATACGAGGGACACGCAGGGAAGGGCCGACTGCAGCCGCTTGTCGCCTGTGAGTGGTGGCCCCATGGTGCTCCTGCTGCTCAAGAAGATTCTCCTTCCAGACACCTTTCAGGATAGCAGCGTTGCAAGACACCGGAGAACCCGCAGAGCACAGAGGAGACAGACTGTCCGAGTCTCCGACTCCTGCAGGTGTGAAGTCTACAAGTGCATCTGGTGGAATCCACTGACTCCATGTACAGCGGTCATCGCCGTGCGCACCATAGAGAGGTTATAAGAATGATGGACGAAAGCTTTGTTCTTACTGGACTTGGAGAGCACAAACTGCACGACTTATTGCAAAACATATGAGAGCACACAGCTCCACTAGATTATTAAGCCTTATTATGGACCAACACTGTCCTTCTTCTCCAGAGCTCAGACAAGGCGACTTAGACAATAAAGAGCATTCAGCCAGATACAAGACGGCATTCATGTAGGTCTATGACAGGCATCTATGTCATACAGTTACCACACACATACCCATTTACTTTACTGATAACCAGTTATCAACAACAGTGCCTCTGAAGCGAAAAGGTATAAGCCTACTGAATATATCTGCAATCTAACAGGCCACCGATACAGAGCTAAGCCTCTATTCCTTAAGAAGCATAAATGAAGGCAGCGGCTTCAGTAAAGAAGTTTTCATCAAGGCCGTGAAGGCTTCCTGCTATGAAAAGATAGTTATAATGATAGGAAGAGACGAACTGTTTGAAGCTATCATCTGCAGTACTCGCAATCAAGCTAGAATAATCTTCTTCGACTTGTTGCTCTAAAACGTGATTGTTAATGCTACCTATCGATGAATTGTTATCTTCAAGCGGCGCCATGTCAGTGGGATAAATTGGTCTTTGTAGCGTCATTCTTTTAATCTCTGGTTCACCTTGCAGTGTACTTGGCAGATTAAGCAGCAGTTTGTCCAATGATTGTGCAGTACTCAAGTCAGTTTCTAACAGGTCATCAGTACTGTTGGTTACAAGCGATATAACGGCAGATTTGGCGAGATCACTTGGAAGCAGGGTGAATGTATTAGAAAATACATTTGATATTACTTCTGGAATGTCGTTACAATGGGAAAGTGCGCACGCTAACATATAGATGCTGATCTCATTCTGCATAAAGCGCAGATGGAGGTGTCTATGAAAGTTATCTTGTGATCTGAGATCTATGTACATGGTCACTGGAGGTAACATGGTAATATCCTTCCATACACCATCGTGATCAGCATCCTTTAGTAGAAAATATATGGAGTCGAGTATAGACCGATTTTCCTGCTTATCATGAGTACCAAGAAAGTAGTTCTCAGTTAAACTAAGTATAATGTTGCGCGAATGCACACCTCTAGATGTTTCTGCGGCAATACACTCATCAATGAGTCGAGATCCCAGACAATCTCCATAGCGCGTCTTATGGTTACACGCCCCACTTAGAAAAAGATTTCGCAAAGTCGCGTGAGGGCCAACAGTGCATCCACCGATGAAGAGAAGACTGATGGCTCTGAAGAGGTCTTCGTCCAGACGAGGATGATCACATCTGTGGGACAGCGCAGCATACTTGAGTAAAAGGGCCCGTTGGTGAGGTGGTAGTCGCTGTACGTCAGAGATATGCTTAGATAGGAAAGAGGTGAGCGAAGTTGTAGTATTTGAGATAAGATAGATAAGGATTTCTCGTGTCAGGAGACCATGCTTGAGCAAAAGGAGGAGCATGCGCTCGGAATCATCTTCCTTAAGATGATGAAAGACCTTCATGGTGATTTGGGCAATAGCCTGAAGGGTAGCCACTCCGAAAAGTCCAAAACCTGCAGTGGCCACTTGCTCTGCGAGTATGCCAAACTTCTCTGTTATGCTATTGAGTTCGTCTACTTCTTTATACGCACTAAAGATATCTGCCAGTTCTGAAAGCATTCACTCAGAAAGGGTGCTCAATGCCTGTCCCCAGCTTAAAAAAAATCAGGCACCCCAGATGAGTGGAAGGTGCTTTACATTCTCTGCACACGGGCCTCTATATGGCTTATCGTGGTCCTGTAGGACAGATATGCCTATGCGCCTGGCCATATCAACCATTTCGGATGCGTGTCCGAATGAGTTTTCAATTATTAGTTTGCAAAAGGAAAGACGGGACTTTAGGGTGGTAGCGTCAGCATCGGTAGTTTACCCTCTCTCTAAGATACAGTTTCTCCCCAGTAAGGATGTGAGTAATCCTGATCTGATCGCTACGGTATCAGACAGCCTTAGAATTTTTGAAATAGACAATCTAAAGGACGATGGTCGGGCAGAGCTTTGTTCTCGCGGCAGGTTGCTTGTTAATGAGACGCGGCCCGTGCCCATACTGTCCATGGATTGGTGTGCACACTCGCTTAATATAATAATGACTGCAAATCTAGACACAACTGTTTCCTTGTGGGACATATACAAACAGGAAGTGGATATACGCTTCGTGGCACAGGAGAGGGCGGTCACTGACTGCTGCTTTTCATTAAAGGACCCCAATAGGTTTCTTACATGCGGGGCAGAGGGAAACCTGAGATTATATGACAGAAGAAGGATGCATGTGGCCAATGAAATTTATACTGGTAATGAAGCTATTTTGAGGGCTCAGTTCAAACCAACCGATAGCAACTTTATTACATGTTTTGGCGAGAAGAGCACAGATATTATTCTTCTGGATGCTCGGAGTACAGTTAAACCACTAGCTCGCCTTAAAGGTCACACAGACTATATCAATGGAATAAGTTGGGGTCGAGACTCACACGGGGGCTACTTCGTCAGTGTTGCAAACGACGGCAGAGCCCTCATTTGGGACGGAGGCTCCGGAACCTACACTCCGTTCATGGAGTATGTGGCGACTTCGGCATCTGGAGAGCCCCTGGGGCCAATCAACTCCGTAGATTGGAATCAATCAAATCATGATTGGGTTGCTTTGACCGTGGATGATGAGGTGCAAATCCTCCACGTGTAAGGAAGATGAAGAAGTTCACTTGAGCCGGGAGGCTTTCTAACTCCTTCACACCTCAATCCCCTATACTTCTTATCAGCAGATTTCTCATCAACAGATTTATTCATTAACGGCAGTAAATAAGAGCGTCTTTCAACCTTCGGTGTGCCGATGTGGACTCAGGCTTTATGCTTAAAGGCCTGCTTTATGGTTTTGGCCCAACATTCAAAAAATGTCCCATAGCACCCTCAGTGACTTTGAGATCCTCGGACAAATTGGCAAGGGATCATATGGAGTGGTATACAAATGCAAGAGAAAGCTCGATAGCAGGGTTTATGTCCTTAAGGAAATACGTCTGGCTGGAGCCACGAAGAAGGAGATAGAGTCCGCAGTCAGCGAATGCCACATTTTGGCCCGCATTGACAGTGACTACGTAGTCCGCTACTTTGACTCCTTCGTCGAGTCCGAGACAGAGACCCTCTGGATGGTCATGGAGTACTGTGGAAGCGGAACCCTTCGAAATCTGATCACCAGCACCAAGACACGCTTTACGGAAGAAGAATGCTGGTACTATATTTGTCAAATACTTCTTGGAGTGGCCTCTATCCATGCTCTGAAGATCATTCACCGCGATATTAAGTCCTTAAACATCTTTCTTGCAGAGAACAGCGAGCCCATGAAGGACAAACCCTACACAAAATATCTGGTAAAGTTGGGGGATATGGGCGTATCTAAGGAGCTTCAGGAGACGCAAGGACTCGCCCAAACCTTAGTTGGCTCTCCGTACTATCTTAGCCCGGAGATCTGTCGAAGTGAGAAATATAACCAAAAGAGTGATATCTGGGCATTAGGTGTTACTTTCTATGAGTTGATGAACATGGGGAAGCACCCATTTCTGGCAAAGAACCAGGCCTCGTTAATCGTCAAGATTCTAAAGGGGAAGTATGAAGACCTGCCGGACGACTGCTATAGCCAAGCACTAAGAGACCTGGTCTACTGGTGTCTACGCATGAACGCCACAGGAAGGCCTGATGTTTTTACGCTTTTAGCTCTCCCGATTGTTAAAGACAAGTTGAAGTTCTTCAATCTTAAAACCCCCAAGGACATCGAGTTATCCATACAAAAGGCCGAAGAGAGCTTTACCAAGGCTGTCCAGAAGAAGGCAGCGAGCCGCGGAAAGCTGACCTCTAGCGGCAGTGCCACAAACATATCATCTAAGGTGCCGGATGCTCAGGTGACAACGGATATAGTTGATGTTACAGATGCATCTGCAAAGTCCAGCATCCGCGGACGCGGGAGTGCACAAGCCTCGGTGAAGATGAACTCTGACTCAGAGGTCAAGCCCCAGTGCAAGAAGCCCAAGGCTCGCTCCGAGAACACACCCGCTCCCCAAGCACACAGCATCTCCTCTCGTGCCCAAGAACCTGTCTATATGGAGGACTTCGACAACGACGGGGAGAATAACGAGATGGTCGAGTCTTCATCTACGCGACCAGAAACGGCTATCTGCCAGCAAGAGCTTGAGCAGCTCCTTGCTCAGGATGCCCTCCTTTCCACTGAGCAAATAGAGGTATACAACCGCATCAACTCTTACGGTTTGGAAAATGCTGTCCGCGACGAGCTCGTACGTTTCTATAGCTCTGATAAAGCGAACTCTGAGACAGAAATATCCAAGTTCGTTTTTGGCCGAATTGGTTATGATAAGGTAGAACTTACCACTCACTTGAGAGCACACGCAGACATACTGAAGAAAAGAAAAGATATAAATGCGAAGATTGTTGATCTGCTCGGGAGTGTGTCATAGATATAAGTGGCGAGTGTCTGCCCACGCGCCAAAACATATCAGTAAACAGTAGTCTCGCCAGCAAAGGTAGGAGCAAAGGGTAAAGTTGTTTACACTTAGCACAGATTGAGGCTTGCTCCTGCTCTTGACCGCTCTTCAAAGAGGCGCCCCGGTTGAAAGCCGAGTGCGAAGACATAAGGGATGGACTCAAAGGATGGATGAGCAGGAGGCAGCAGTATCAAGAAGACTTTGATACCTGTATCTTGCTTCCCCGCTTTCTCTTGTAGTCGTCTATAGCTTGTCTGATGGCGTCCTCCGCCAGAACGCTGCAGTGTAGCTTGACAGGAGGGAGACCGAGCTTATCACTTATATCGGTATTCTTGATCTGAGAGGCCTCTTCCAAACTCTTGCCTTGGAGAAGAGAGGTGGCGTAGCTCGAAGACGCGATAGCTGCGCCACATCCAAATGTCTTGAACTTGGCTTCCGAAATCTTACCATCGTCCCCGACCTTGATCTGAAGGCGCATAACATCACCACAGGCAGGCGCGCCGACTAGACCGGAGCCGACATGTTCGTCATCGTCATCAAGGGTCCCTATGTTAACCGGCGTGCGGTAATGCTGCATGGCTAGCTCAGAATAAACCTCGTCTGAACTGGTCTTCTTTGTGAGGAAGCGTGCAACAGACTGCAAAAGGGAAGTGCTAGAGAGCTGAAGGCTTGTCATTAAATTAGAATTTATGGCTGATGTTATGAACCACGAGTTTGAGGTCGGGTAAGCACCATTCCGTGTAAACGCCTGAACGTATTCCTGACTGTAATCTGACCATACCAGTGATGGAAAGTCCTCCCATTTCATATCTGCGGCATCAGAAGTCATCTGACATAAAATCAAAAATGGAAGTGGAGATTTTCGACCGGTTTGCCGGCGTTCTTACTACACTTCGTCATGAAAATGGCAACATTACACCACGAATAATAAAGGACGTCTACAGCCTTTTGGATTACGCACTCGCTAATCGTCTGTATAAATTTGTAGTTGATAGCACATGGGGGCCTTTGAGCTCCGTGGTGCATAATTATATTATGATTCGTGCTGAGAAGAACAAGCAAACCATAGAGCCAATGGCCTACAAGCTTGCTTTTTCATTTTTCTTCAAGCAAGGAGCTTACCAATATGCTTCCGGGGCGATGATGCGTCTAGCATCTCTTTGTCTTGAGCAGGCAATTATTTTAACAAGTGATACTGACATATTCGACGGCGAAAAGGCCAACAGCCAACTCGAGGACGAGATCCGAAATTTGCTACTAGAGTCCCAGCGCTCCCTTGCGATAGCTGCGAATATTGTTGGGGTGTTATCGCATGCGTCGTACTTCGTAAAAAAGAATATCTTGCCCGATTTTATAGTGGGAGCCAAATGGGGAGTGTCCAAGCAGTCCCAGCATTTCCTAGCTAAGTCGGTTTTACAAGATGTCCAGACAGCAAATATTAACAAGCACGAAGCAGAAGTCATCCTAGATAACTTTCACCTGTTTCAACAGGACGAGTTTGAGTGGACCGTTGGGCAGATTAGACGGGAATTTGTGAAGGTTAGCGCCATGACAGACCTGTCGACTCCAAGCAGAAGGGGGTATATATCGTCTGACGGAATATCTATACTAGCAGCTTCCGTTAATCAGGCGTCGTGCTGCTGCAGGCCCTCACAAGTGCTTCAGCTTTCTGTCACAGAGCTCCTTGACTGCCTGGCTCGGCGAGGCGACATAGAAGAAGCTCTATCCATCTGCAGAGCATTCAATATTGGACCCAATATTGTGCTTCAGACATTGATCAATCACATAATTTTACTACTAGATAGTATGATGAACATAAAGGATGATGCTCAGTCGTACTTTATGAACACGTTCTTTCAGATTAAGCACCTCCTTACAACCACTACTGTCCACACATATAAGGTTAAGGGGGTGGAGCAATGTCTAGAGACCCAGCTCAAACAACAAAGCATCACCAACAATGAGATAAAGGAAATTCGCGAGCGCTTCATATGTGAGCTGGAGACATGCAGAGCAATCCTTTACGACATTTTAGGCTACTTTTCCGACGAAAACGGGTTTCTCTTACCGGAGTTCTGTAACAACTGTGATCAAGCATTCTGTGGCTCTAACCTCTTTGCAGAGATCTTGATAAGCGCACTTGTTGCTAGCAGAAAGCATGAGTCCAAGGACGAGACCCGCTTGTCTTCGAGCCCCACTGAGTTGCTTAAGCTGCTGAATCTATTACTAGACGGGCTAATAGAGCGCGCATCTTATGAGCACAAGAACCTGTTTGAACTTTATATAGAGAGGCTTGGCTTAATGGACGAGTTTAAAGTCCAGCTGAGCAGGTTATCTACGATCCGTCCAACAGATGAGAATAGAGTTATCTTTGCATAATGAGAGAGCATAATTATAGATCAACATAGCTACTCTGCTCTACGCAGACAAATCATCCCAGTCACTGACGGAAACAGGGGTTTTATCATTACATTCAGTGGTCCGTCTATCAAAGTGACTGCTGCGTTTGCTTGTAGATGTACTTGGCTTTTCAACAGATTCGCTATACTTTCCTGAGTGCTCCGCCTGTTTGTTGCACACCTTATCCCTGTCTTTGTCTCCTTCCAAGTCAGACCATTCAGGACTTCTGTTGTGGGTGTAGGGTAACGGTGCGGGTGACAGGTTACGTTTCCCGTTTGGTGTCGTCAACACAGAGGGTACCAAAGGTACTATCTTATCCATCCTGCTAATCTGTTTGTATTCTTCGTTAGAGTCTTTTATGCTGAGCTTAGTTTTTAATTGTGTGGGGACAAATTTGGTGTCTGATGTCCGCCGTGATGTGGTTGTCTTTCCAGGCCTCGCCTTGCTATTACCAGCTTTGGACCCCACAATAAAGACCTTTAGTGGCGGCATCCGGATATGCTTATGGGCAACGCCCACGCCCAAATACGGAGTAAACACCACTTCTCCCAGCTCATCTGTGGACATCATGTATTCCAGATAGCGCTGCCTTGGCAATGAGAAGTGTGCGCCACAGTTTCCTTTACAGATACAAACGTCCTTTTGTGAGTTACGAAGTTTAAGCATTTTGTTCTTGGCTTTCATTGCTTTCTCTGCTTGTTCTGGAGTCAGTATAATGTTAGCAAGGCTACTGACAACTACAGCCTTGCCACTCAGTGCTAAGATGTGGTCCTTTGAAAGAGCTCCGGCACCTGTCCCTGCCATATCCGACTCCAGAGAAGACCCCGAAACTGTCTTATTTGGTTTCATGGAAACTACCTTGTCTGTGTCTCTATTGTCCAGTGAGTCTTCCTCGTCGAGCGGTGCTGACACCCTTGGATACCGTTCTAATTCCAATTCGATCCATATTGCTTCGCTTTTGGTTGTCGTGGTAAGTAGTCCTTTATTCTTTCTGCGCGCGTTGTACCGAGAACTGGGTGTGGACTTCTTAGCCGTACTGGTCGTTGACACTGAGACAGATGCATTGCTGTCATAGACTTCATCTCCTGCTCCGAAGTCATCGGTTGTTTCCTCTGTGACCAGATCCTGATACAGTTGTTGAGAGGCGGATGAGTGAAGGGTTGAGCACGAGTGGTTGGCAGTGTGCGCTCTAAAACAGCTAGTGCCAGTGAAGTGACAGAGCAGAGATAAATACAAAAGAAGTGAACTGCTCTTGTCGTGGTGTGCACAACGCAAGATCACAAATATACATAGGTTAAAGGCTAAGATGCATGTCCAACAGATAACCACAAAGAAAAAGTGCAATAGGAGTGCAGTGGGACAATGAAACCAATAAGGCAGAATAGTAGTACTGTTCTCAGATAGTAACAAGGTGGAAGTCACGCAAATCAATGTGTATGGAACGAAGGCCCACTTTGGCAATCGGTAGATTATTTTATTCAAATACAATACTAAGGGAGGGCGCAGATTTAGGATAGACGCAGGGTAAAGAGGCAGGGACATTTTAAAATGGAAGCATCCACGAACGTGAGTGAATGCATCTCTTAAACGAGCTGCTGCATGCGCCCTTAGCCCCGCAAATAGCAAGCCTGCTCCTGGCATACTCGACGCACACCTGCTTCTCCGCACCTTCCGCTCAGAAAATCTACAACGCATACGCAGAGGGTAGTGTAACTCCTCTCCGAATTCAAGCAGCTTGTAGTCAAATTTCCAATGCTTTTGGCAATTTTGTTTACAAAAACCAATTTAAATACTATCAACATTTAGGCTTATGAAATATCAGCCCAATCGGTTGGATGCTTCATGCATCAACGGGCTTCCGGGTCTCTGAATTCGTAGGAAGTGGCATTTTATTCACAAAAGGCAAAAGTTTACGCACTTTACGCGGTTTATGCACTAGGTGTGATGATGATTACTGATTGTTCAGCGAAAATACATCCAAAATCGCTGAAGCGTCCCGTAAGCTCATTGGTCCTGCATTGGATATAGCTGCTTTGAGAGCCATTCTTTTCCGATCCAAGTGGTTGGCATGTATGCGTTGGCTCTCTCGGACAACCCTTTTTAGAGCGCTTCTAGAGGTCTTTGTAACGCTGTGACGCAGGACAATCCCGGTGTCAGCCTCCTGCTTTCGTGATGCTGCCTTCAATCGTCTAATTGCTATCAGTTTTCCCACAATGTACACGAGCATTATTATAACACTAATTAAAGCCAGCATCAGGGCAATCACATGCACTGTCAGGCGAATATGCTGTGAAGTCGCACACATACCAGTACCGAAGAAGCACTCCACGGGCAAGCGAAGAAGCTGCGCTCCATAGTTTGGAGTCATGTAGTGACCGCATCCGTACTTTAAAACCTCCGTTATATCTGAGTGTTTGAACATTGATATTGTATCCTGAATCATAAAGTCTTTCACTGGTAGAGGTTCAACGGATTTTGAAGGGCGTAGGGCAATCTTGAGATCCACCTTTCTGGACGGGAGTATGTTCCTAGGAGCACTTGAGCCTGCAATGATGGCCATGTGGTATAGTGACCCATTCAATGGGATTGAGTCTAATATCTCTATGTCAATACCCTTGCCATCTATCCCGGCAGATGGTGCGTCAGACAGTACTGGGACAGTTCTCAACAGCGCAATACTACTCGTTGTTAGAGAGATTTGAAAGTGAGCCAAGTCATCTTTGTCTGTTGGTGAGAGTGTAGCTACATATACCCCATCATCCATTTTGACAATTGTGTTGGGCCTTATCAATTCAGACGATTCTAGGCAGAACGACCCTATGCAAGCCACTCCATAGCTTTCTTCAAACATACGATTTTCGGAGCAGAGCTTGTTAACTGTGAGAACAATACGGTAGTGAAGTTCACCGCCAACAAAGAGAGGAGAATCAAGGTCATCGACACCACAACTTTCTTTCTCCACGGTACTAACACTGATTCGCGCTTCGTCAAGAAGAAACAGGGCGTCTGTCATGTATTCTGGTAGGTAGTCCCCTGTCCTCCAGTGCGTTGCTTTACCGTCGATAATTTTAAATATCGGGGCAGGGACTGTATCTACACTGTTTTTGACAAGCGCAGCTCCATTACACTGGCTTGCAGCGTTTCCCCATGTAGTAAGGTCGGTCAATTGTATGACGTAAGACGCGGTGCCGTCGAGGTTCTTGAAGCGCACGTTAGGAAACCTTGGGGTCATGCACGACCGCATAGGGTCTAGGAGACTGGAAGGGAAGACGAGACTATCTTTTGGGAAAAGAATGTCCTCTTTGGTTGGGTCGCACTTCTTCGTCAGGGCAAAGACCTGGTTACGCAAAACCTTCATCGTCTTCCAAAAGTCTGTATACTCCTGCATTCTGCAGAAACCCTCAATGATGTTGCGATAGTACTTTGCATCCGATTCGTCATACAAGGGTAAAACCACAAGGTCTAGTTCGTCAGCGTTGCTAATAATATCATCTGAGACCAACAGCTCTTTGTATGGCTCAAGAAATGAAACATCGGCCATTTTTTAATTGGAAAGCAAAATGGAAACGCAAATCAATCGGAAACGGGCAAGGAAACTAACACCGAAAGAGAGCAAAGGACAAAAGAGCAGCTAAAAAAGCTATAAGATATAACTAAAGCATACTGACCACTAAAGATTAAAGATTAAAAATTATGGGCAATTCTAGATAAAAATCTGAACGAAAAGATCAGTGAGTCTATTACATGGATTGCACACTCCTTACAGAAATTTTTAGAAAGATGATCAGGATATTATGGTAATGAAGGTTATGGCAACGAAGGGCCTGTTGATTCGAGAGATGCCGATATCGTTGGCCTTATCTTTCCAGAAGAATCGCTTATTTCAACTGGGGTATCCTTACTGCTAAAACTTCCATCTATCGAGGGAGCTGGAGAGGCCGAAGAAACTGCGAGCATGTCTGGACTCCGCATCCGTGTTTCCAGGCCAGCAGAACTAGCTAATCTAGGGTCAACTAGACGCGGACTGATAGTCTCGGATGAAACGTTGTTAATGGAGAAAGTTGACGCAGGGTGTGCTGGGACGGACTCGCAAAATATCTGTCCTTGTTGCGGCAGGGTCACAGCCACTGCGTCAACTGCATTGACTGTCTCCAAGTCAGCAGCTCTCTGTGCATTGGCAAGGCAGATCGTCACCTGAGGAGGCGACTCAACATCTCTGTATGTCACAGTTGGGAGAACCGGTGCAGAGATAGAGATGAATTGTGGCAGATGTTGATAAACTGGTTGATAGACAAGCTGCTGCCGAAGCTGGGCATTTACCCGTTCGTTTTGCTCTATTATAGCTTTGATGATTGCTTCCCTTCCTTCGGGTTGGTGAACGTTGAATGGCATCTGGGCTATATTGCTATACTGCGGCATCCCAAGCATGTTCCTTAGCTGCGCTATCAGGTCACTGTTAGGCAGAGTGGTGAGGTCCTGCGCAAGAATCAGGCCATTAGCAGACTGTATAAGGCAGGGGTTCTGGATAGCGACTCCTTCTGCGGTATTGAGTGACCAGATTGGTTGGACAAGGACGGAGGATACGTGGTTTGTGAGCGTCTGCTGCGCTGAGTTTTGCAGGCTGACATTAAAGCAAGGCGAGGCATTCGCTAGTATCTGTTGCTGATGCTGATACTGTGGATTCTCGGGTGCAACACCGCACCGATCCAGAGCGGGCATAGCTGGTTGGACCTGCAGCTGGGGAGACAAAGACATAGCTAGAGGAGCGGAAAGCTGCATGGGGTTGGCACCCACAACTGGGGGTGACGACTGTGCAGGCCCCAGAGTGACATGCTCGAGTGGTTGGGTCAGTCCGTTGTCCGCGTAGAGGCACCGAAGCATGTCGAGCTTGGTTCTATAGTTGAAGAATTTATTGTATACATCTACTACATGTTTGGTAACCTGGTGAGATGTGTTTTTGTTTGTGTCCAGAGGCAGAGTGGCAATCAAATCAGTTATCCAAGATGCGAGCCTTTCCCGCTCTTCCTGGCCAACAACAGGACCAGGGGAGGAATCGAAAAGCAGTGCGATATAGTCATTGATCACAGAGATGATCAGAGTTCTGCAATCATACGTAGGCCTCCGAATAATTGCTCTCTTCTTTTCTCCATTCCACTTATTTTTAAAGCGAGTGCTTGATCCTTCCTCGTCGGGCTGAAGAACAGATGAGATTTTCTTGAACTGCAACGAACCCCATCTCACCAGAATCGTATAGAATTCTTTGACTTCTTTTTCAGTCCAGATGTGATGATCCCTGGAATACGACGAGCTGGGAGCTCTTCCATTAAGTCTCGACGAGCTCTCTGACCCCCTCCGCCGCATGGAAGCCAAGGATTGCGCAGACAACCTGCCTTTGTGTTTGTTATCTATCATAGAACAGGGGGCAACGCCCTTTCTACTGCGTGTACTCTGGTGATGACTAGAGCTACTGTGCGAGGATTCCCTAGTGCTTCTGCCACAATAGTCAGTACCCTCCAATTGACTTGTAGATCTTGCGGTGGTTCCCCCATCAATTGACATTTTTTAAAATGAGGTCTTTTAGTTCCATCGATAAGACGAGCCATGCGATCGGTTTGACCTCCAACCAAAGTCTTGTGCTTCGCAACATTTCTTACCAAGGTTTTGCCCAAAAACAGAACGTTTTTTGCATTTAATTTCCTCTAATTAGGCGTGGGATGGTAAGCTTTCAGCACAAATCAGAGAGTAAACAGCGAAAACAAGCCGAGAAACACCTGCCCTGGTAAGTGTATGTTCATGTACTGTATTATTCGCCACCACGGACTGTTAGCTGGACACAGCGTACAAACCAACTTCTTGATAAGACTTCTGCATGTAATCAATTTTTTTGTAAATTATTTATCTATCTTCCCAGCCACAATTAAAGAGCAGAAGTGCTGCACCAGGTCTTCGAGGTTCATGAACGTTTTGTGGTTATAGACCTTGGATGAGTCTGAAAGCCTTTGTCCTTTGGCTGGAGAGGATGTACCAGAAGATGGCGACAGAAGATGCTGTCCGGAGTCATAGGGTTTAGAATCGGGGCACGGAATGGCCAGTATAGGATAGTGTAGAGGCATTGAGCGAATGTATTTGTCCGTTGCCGTCTCTTCGATCTTTTCTACGGCTTCTCCTACGATAGGCACTATCTCATTACTGTCCACCTGACTGTCCCCACTTGCCCCTGGGGCCACAGAGTTCATGTTCTCTATACGTTTTAGGACCTGCGATGCCATCCGTGCAGCCTTATTAGTTCCATTAGCCCTTCTAATGTTATCAGCGAAGAGTCTATTGTTTGCGTCCCCCCTTTCCTGCTGCTTTAAAGGAGGTTCTGTCTCATGCTCCTCCTGCTTCCCACTTTCGCTAATGTCATCTTCGCTAATATCATCCCTACTGCTCTTATCGCCTTCTGTGCTTGTGCTTACGCATTCCGTGCTTTCTGAGTCAGTAAATAAGTCGGTAAACGAGAGCTCGAAATCCTGCGCTTCCTTCGCAATTGGATCCATCAAGTCAGATATGTCGGTGAGGACACGGTCAGAAACCAGCTCTCCTAAAACATCCAGAGATGAAAACATGTAGGACGCAGAGACGCAGTACATAGAAGAATAGTAGCTGTATTCATCAACCATGGCTCGGCAGGAAACTGGAAAGATAGGCCTGAGGACCTCTTCGCCATCTCTGGAGTCAGATTGCGGCATACCAATGTACATGCCAGTGTCTCTGTTAGGTGATTGCTCAAAAGACGAAGGACGTGCACAGAGAGCATATCTATACGTATATGGTTGAGGAGATGGGATTCTGTGGGATGGTGCTGGGACAGAGCGAGATTCTGGAGAACGCGGCGTTAGAACAATAACACCCTTACTAACCAGTGCCTTGGCTGGACTTGGAGGACTCGTGGACAGTCGATTGGCAGGAGATTGAAACGTTCCGCGAAGCGTTTGAGGAACAGCTCTAAATACAGTGCATCGAGGAGACCACGAGATCAGTGCAGGTGCCCCCATTCGCTTGTCTGCAAATTCAGCGATGCACTTGTCACATGCGAGAGGGACGTCGAATGCAGACCTAGCTTGTATGTAGCTGTGCGAGATGTCACAGATCATAGAGAAACGCGCGGCTGCTTCTCCTTTGTGTCTCACTTCGATGGTAGAGCTGAGAGTGTAAGAGTCGTGGCCTTTATAGACTCTAATTATCCAATAGGCTGCGGCCTCCTTTCTCTGGACGGCCTGGGCGAAGGCCTGGAATGTGCCTGCTGTGAAGCGTGTTATAAAACAGCTGTCACGGGCGGCTTGAAGAATGTGATCGTTGAGCCCTCCAAACTGATAGACATCATTCAAGATGTTCCACGCTTTACTGACGGACAGAAGCGGTATCGGAGAGCCGAAGACAAAATTGCGGCACATCTTCTCTATGCAGCGGCAGTGAAAACGCATAGGCCAATAGAACCAGCTTAATGTCAATAATTCACTTTTAGGTTCCATTGGATGGACGATTGAATGGATAGAGAAGACGTCTGTCACTTCTCCCCCACGACCCCCTCGATGACAGAGACACAGCACATAAAGGCAAAGCCCAGGAGCATAGTAAGAACGCGAAGGGTCATGCTGCAGGCGGTGTCTCGGCCATGAACAGTCTCTGCAGGAACGTAGTTCAAAAGAATCTCTTCGAAAATAATCTGCACGAACGTCCCCGCAACAAACATTATGAGCGCGTCGCTGATGTAGTCGAATATGATAGAATCTGTGGCACCACCATTCGTAGACTGGATAAGGATCCCGATCCAAGCGCCCACAGGAGTAACGAGAGAAAGTGCCGCTGTGACAGCAGCATTAGTCTTCATGGAAAGCCCGTTACGTATGCCGGACAAAGACTGAGCGCACGTTTCACACCACTTGTGAAGGATAATGGCAAGAAAGATACCGACGGCCTGGTCCACTGTCTGCGTGAAGCCAAGAGATAGCCCTGCAGTGAACGAGTGCACAGAAAGGCCCAGCAAGAGCAATAGAACGGATCGCAACTGTTTGCATTTAAAAAGCTTTCTATCAGCACCGGTGCAGTGCACATGCTGCTCGCAAGCAGGGTCAACCTTCAGAAAATAGCTTTGATCGCACTCCTTGCACTGACCAATCTCGCAGTTGCACGAGCTGCAATCAACGAGTGCGTCTGTAGAACCGACACTCATGACCACTGAAGCTGAGGTTGCGACTGCAGCCGCACTGGAGGCTCCGTGGGCCTGGAGGGAGACGGTATCCTTGTGCTCGTGGCCGTGGTCGTTACCACTGTAAAGTTGTGTCTGCGCATTATGCAAGATGGAGGGCTGCATACACACGTTGCAATCCGGATGGATGCGGGGGTTGACGTGCGGATGCGGATGACCGCCTATCCTTGCGAGCCAAATCATGAGAAAGAGACCGATGCAGAATAAGAAATAGGACAGGGGGAAGCCGCCCAGAAGAGCATCAAGCTTCCCAGTCGCTTCGGGAACCATATGTATAAATGCAGCGCCCAGGAGGATCCCAGCAGAACCTGCATTTAAATAAAGCAAGGCCTTGTCTGACGACCTGCATTTAACAAGCATGTAAGGAATGAAGGACCCGCACACACCGACTGCCAAGATTGCGAGGGAGCCACCGAGCTGGACTCCCAGCAGATTGCCTGAGTGCGTGCTGGATGCCATTTTTTGAACTATAAAATTGTTGTCCTGAAAAATTACAGGGCGTTTAAGTTGGAAAGAAACGACGGCTTCCTGCTCAGTTTGTTTAGATTACGTCCGTGTTACTGACTCTGTGGCACTTTTGTTCCTCTCGATGTTTGTGTTCAGCGATTTCTGCGAACGTGCAAGCTCATAAACCTTGGATTCATAATATGGCCGTAGACGTCTACAGGTCCTTGGGATCATCAATTAATTAAAAAATGCCGTCACTGTCGATTGTAACCATTCCCCACTCAGCATAAAATCGCTGCCAGAGCGAGGCAGGCGCCTCTGCGACGCGCTCGTATCGCATATAATTCACTTCTCTTTAGCTTACCGATTCACGTTCAATTGACTAGTCAATTGCCAGCGAAAAGCGCCGCCAGCCTCGACTTCATTTCGCTGTCCAGGCCCTCGATTCTTAGGAGCGCTTGAATCACGTCCTTGGGGTGCTCTGTCTCGAGCCAGTGGAAGAGCCTCCTGTCCTGCGCGAGGATGTAGACGTGTGTGTCCGCTCGCTGCGCAAGAGAGTCCATCACGTTCCCGGGAATTTTGGCAGCAGGCCTCAGCTCTCGCAAGGCACGGTAGATCAGCTGGATGGAGCGTTTCAGCACCTCGGGAGTCCCTGGGAACTTGTACTGAGACTTGTTGTTCAGAGAGCGGGACGCATGCTTTACCGGCTTCTTCATCTGCAGCGGAGCCGGCACAGACGACTTGGGAGGGGGTCGAGCTTTAGTCTCCGTCCCGGGCTTCACATCGGCGGCCTCAGGCTTTGTAGCAGCTTTTGCAGTGGCTGGCTGTGCCAGAGTGGGAAGTGAAGTGAAGTTGCTTATGGAGTCGATAGACCGCAGAAGCGTGGGGACCGGCGGGGTGGCTGCAGAGATCCTAGATGAGCTCTCAGTTCTAATCATGGAAGGCGAGAGGGTCGTGGTGCTGCGCGATCCTGGAGGCTGGTCTCTGGCATACAAGGTATTGACACTGATACCGGTACTTGCAGGGTTGTGGCCGTAGTTGGAGTAGGGCAGATCAGTGGCCAGGCAGGGGTCCACGGTGTGATCGAGCAGGACTGCGGGGTCATAGATCCCGTCGTCGACCGTTCTTGTGACCTCTTTGAACTCGAGGAAGTCTGTTCCTTGCCCAAACACAGAAGAGTAGGATCGCGGGTAATCGAATGAGAAGCTGTGGTACACCGATGCGTCTATCTCGCTGTCGCTGTAGGCGGGGATAGCAGGAGACCCATCTACGAGCTCCGAGAGGATACTATAATCGGATCGGTCGGTAAGTGTGTGCACATCGAAGCCCTCTCTTAAATACATTTTTAAAGCTGGACGGAAGTTTTTTTGGGCAAGTTAAAAAAGCCCAAAACACACATGCTACCTTTAGCGAAGGGGGCATGTCCTCTGCACTTTCTAGCTTTTTGGCTGGTATCCGGTATTACCATTTTTTGACAAGCTATGTTTGATAAGCTGTGGTCCGACAAGTCATAGTAAATGCAGCAGATATGGCGGCGTGGGAAGACAGCTCTTTTCTTTTCCAAGGTTAGAAGGCGATCACTCGGGTCGTTTAGTTTTCAGCCCAGCTTTTAGATTGCGAGGTTTTATTGCTTCTGAAAAAGTATACTGCAGGACGCCGAGACACTAACCTATTCAACATTAGTGTCCTATTAATCTTTGGCATGGTTCTATCTTCACGCCCCGCCCCTGTCTGCCCATATTTCTCATTTTCTCGTGACCATTTGTGCACTAATCACAATACTTTTGTGGAAAATTCACAACTTGTAATTCATAAGCAACATCCTGAGACAAAAGTTTGGATGGCCTCGGAGCTCGACGAAACTATAAAGCGGATTTCTTCGAAAAAGGGCGTAGAAGGTGTTATCATTATTAACTCGGATGGAATACCCATCAGAACATCCCTAGATGAGGAGCAGGCCACAATCTACGCTGGCATATGTTCGCATTTGGTCATGAAAGGCAAGTCCCTGATCACAGGGATCGACCCATCTGACGAGCTGCGTCTCCTGAGGCTTCGGTCCAAGAAGTACGAACTACTTCTGGCGCCCGATAAGGGATATCTGATGGTGGTCATACAAAAGCCCCAGACGGATTAGAGAAAAGTAAACAGTAATTTATGTGTGCTGCCCTCGAGCGTTATTAATTAACGCCCGCTGCAGGTCTGCTTTCTGCTTCGTGAGCTTCGAAATTTCCTCTTCGTATTCGTGGAGTTTTTGGAGGAGCGCTGCGTTGGCATCCGCATACGATACGTACCGATCAAGCTTTCCTTGAAGCTCCTTGTTAATCTGCTTGTATGTCGTGAGCTCAGCAGTGAGTTGGGCGACTCTCCCCCGAAGCCCTGTCACCTCTCCCTTGACCTCTGCTCTGGCGCTCTCTAGTTCTGTGACCTTTGACTGAAGGCTAGTACACCGGGCTGCAAACTCTGCCTTGGTAAGCTCCGCACTGTTTGCTATTCTTTCTACCTCATCAAGTTTAGCTCTGAGCACACTTAGCTCCACTGCTGCATCCTTGGATCCTCTACCATCGAACATGGCCATAAACCCCTTAAGTTCCCTGCCCTGGGTTTTAATGGTCCTCTGTAGTTCGCTTACTTTGTCCTTTTCTTTGTTGTCTTCTCCGAGCTTGTCCATCAACTGTTCATAATCGATGTAGAGCTGGTCATAAGCCAACTGGGCATCAGCGCATCGTGCAGTTAGCGATTCCACCTCTGCCTGAGCAGCCGAGAGGTTCTTTTGGAGACTCGCAGTACGCCGTTCTTCTTCTGCAAGCTGAAGTTGGAACGCGTCGGTTTCATGTTTCAGTGCCGCTATTGTTCTGAGCAAACTGGTCTTAAGCTGTTCTGCGCAACTATGCTTGCTTACCCTACTGCCATTTGATCGCAAACCCCAGTCCTCCTCCTTCATGGTAAGGGCACTGACTGTGATTCTAATCTCCTTCTTCAATCCTTCTATGACACTTTCAAGCTCTTCAATCCGGGCATTACGGGCTGCAAGTTGCCTTTCTAGAGAAGATTGCTTTTCTATCGCAGTTGCTAGCCCGCTTTGCTGAGCTGCGAGAGACAATTTAGTCTCCATCTTTCCTGTGTACTGCTTTAGCCTATCATTTTCCTTCTGCAGGGCGCATCGTTCGGTGGACAGCCGCTCTATCTGCTGACGAGACATGGTCAGTTTCCGTGCATTGCTTGCGTGCTGGGTTCGTATAACCTCCAGTTCAGCCGTCGTCTCTGCAAGCTTCTCCTTCGTAGCATTATACTTGGCGAACAGGGACTCCAGCTGACTCTGAATGGCGGAAAGATCGCGTTTATCCATTTACTTTTGTATTACCAGGACGACGGATTTGGCACAGCCAGCAGGCAGTCCTGTGAGCGAATGTCTGCATAACATTCAAATATCGCCCGCTTCTTCGTCCGCTCTGTGCGAGCTTTAAGAGCTTGGACTTCGTGATCGTGATTCTCGCCAACCTCCGACTCGTCGGAATTAATCTCTTCCAAATCCTCGGTGTATTCACCGCTACTCGAGTCTGGCGCAGCCTCGAAGTCAGCGTCATCGGAATCATCGCTGCCCATTTCATCCATGTCCAAGTCCCCAAACATGCCTCCATGGCCCCTGTTTGAGGCCTGTAACGAAACACTAATAGCGACACCACAGCCGCGAAGATACTGCTCTATGACGTCGCAGTGATCCCGGTCTATAGATGTGAACTCGTGCACGATTCCAGCTGTCGACACCACCAGCTTCACAGGATTCTTCTTGCCGGTGGCCCCTCTGGAAGTATCGTTCTCCAGCGTCATTCTACTGATGCTAGTGTAGGGGATGTAGATCGTCGCGTAAGGAAGCATCAAAAGGCCCTGGCGCTTGTCAAGGAAATAAAGGTAGACAGTCTTTTGTTGAGTCACGCGATTCTTGCATTCCACGCACGGATAAGTCGAGTGTCCGCCATACCCTTCTCGGATACGGATGGAGCTGTACGTTATCGAGCTGTAGATCTTCTTATCAAGACAGGTCTGAGAGTGCTCTGTGCAAACGAAGCTCTTCTTCGGCGTGAGATAATGGAATAGGCGAGGTATCACCATGTATGTCTCGACGCCATTAAACACAGCAATATGCCGGTCGGCCTCGTAGCTTACTCCGTGGGTTTGGATTCCAGTAGTTCGGGCAGACAGCAAACTATATGGACCGTATGGCGGATTATCTTCGTCGTACGTTCTAGGGTTGTCGCATAACATCTCCTGGAGCAAGGAATCCGCGATGTCAGGATCTCTTGGAAGAATGATCTCTCGCGTGAGCTTTCGCTGTGGCAAAAGCATGCAGATGCTATCCAGACCCTTTACAAACCCATTACCCTGTGTAAACATAATGACGAAGAAATACTCGACAGACTCACTACTATAGCTAGGCTTCTCGACGAAGAAGTATTTGGTGATGGTATCAGGAAGTCTGTGATAGTTATTGTTCCAAGAGAAGAACCTGAACGACCGTAGATTAACCTCTAGAGTGAACTTGCTGGACTTGCTGGTAAAAACACTCAACTCCGGAACACTAACGATCCTTCCACTTGCCCGCGTATCCACAACGTGCATGAGGCGGTCATACATCTGCTTACATATTTGCTTATCGGGAATTGTGAAAACAACCTCTTTGACCGACATGAGGGCGTTTGTCTCAGAAGTCTTACCCTGAAGGGTCAAAGATATCTCTCTTGCCCCTAGACTCTTGAGGTCGTCCACCATAGTCGTCGGTATATGGAAGTAAAGGTCCTCTACAGGGTCCTCACTGATCTGACTTGCTTCGCTATCTTCGCTTGCAGAAGATCCCTCCTCGCCACCAACGGGAGCAACGTCCTCATTATTGGCAAGATTTGTGCGCGAGGCGTTAGACTCCGTGAGGAAGACAGAGTTGGGAATGAAGCTGACGGCAGCGCTTGAAACAGCTAAGGAACCCCAGTTCCAGCCGGTGGTCACATAGCGACGATCAAGAATGGGAAAGCTATCGCCAAGATGGCTCCTAAGCAGGCTCAGCAGGCTCTCTTTCTCAGTCAAAGGTATGGCTGAAAATGTATACATCTGCTTCAGATTATCTGTTATGTAAACCGACAGCTCGAGGAATGGGCCACTACGCTCTCGTTTTCCTATCTCACCGATCACGATGGACCTAATTATCGACCAGGAGATGGCGAGGCTTACCGAAGCATTCGTAGAATTGAACTGCATCCCGCTATCTGCCACTGAGAAGCTCCCAGAAACAGGCACGGGCTGGAAGTCCAAAAGCTTAACGCTAAACGCCAGCACCATGTCTGCTCGTCTGCCGAATTAATTTTTTTGATTCTAAATCCGGCGGCGCCGGGAAGAGCGCAGGGAACGCACGCCCTTCTGCGAATCTGCCAGAACCGCGTTGTCTCTGTGCTAGCAAGAGAAGCATTATGTCAACTTCCTTCCATTTTCCACCCTCATTCTGTAGTATAAAAGCCCGCCCCAGTTGATAACATAAAGGCGTCAAATTTCTCAGAAAACTCTCTCAGACAGTCTTTAAGAGCCTTGTTTTCCTTACGAAGAGCTTTGATCTCCTCCCGGATGAGGCGGGACTCCTCTATGCTAATTGGTTCATCAGATCTTTTTTTGGGCACTGGTCGGCGACCGGTCTTCCCTGCGTCCTTACCTTTGACAGGTTCGTCTATCATTTGATCCAGCCGGAACTCTTCTGCATAAGAGTCCGGCTTCATCAGCGTTTCTAAAAGACTAGTGAGGGTTGCATTACGGTCCTCCAAGTCCATAATCCTAGTTACCTGAGCGGCGTTCTTCGCCCGGAGCTGCTTGTTCGCCTTCTCTAATACGCTAGTCCGGGACATTAACGAGTGGTACTCAGACTCTTCCTCTTTGGTAAAGCTATAATTTGCACTGATGTTCAGGTAAAAAGTGTCTTGCTGTGCACTTTGGGACTTTGCTAGTACCGACGGAACAGTAAACGAGCTTGTTAACCGCTGAGAAGCGGTCGACCTGTCGAACAGTTGCGTTGGCCGAACCAACTGGTAGGAGTCTATGTAGCTTCCTGCTGCGCTGCTGTCGGCACTATTTATTGGTGTTGATAGTGAGGTGCTACCTGCGTTCTGCGGCAGAGCCGTGCTGAGGCCAATAGAATGCTCCGCTGAGCGGAATAATGCTAGGTCTTGTGCCTCCGGCTTAGGCGCAGCTCGATCCTTGCTATAGCTCATAACGGGTGAAAGATCCTTGATGACATGTTCTTTGCCAATCTGCTCCTCAAGTGGAGGAACAGTCGGATGCCGGTGAGAGAGCTGGGGAGCGGGGTAGGAGATAGCCGGACTAGGCTCAGACAAAGCTGTCTGGACAATGTGAATTATTTCTTGATTTCCTAGCTGTTTGGCTAGCTCTAATGGAGACTTGTTCTCGGAACCAACCAAGTCCAACTCAAATGGTATCAGAGCCCTTACTGCTTCAGCATGGCCGTTCAGAATGGCATGCGTGAGCGCAGTGTCTCCATTTTCATTTCTCACACGCGCCTCAAGAGGAGCTAACATAGTAATTATTCTCACATATCCGTTGGAGGCGGCAAAGTGCAAGGCAGTATTCCCTCTGCGGTTAAGTATTCCGACCTCACTAGGCTTTCCAAGAGCTAGGATTTCGCAGATCTCATAGTGGCCCCGGTTGGCTGCAAACATCAGGGCTGTTCTATCTAGGAACTGAGAATCCTGTTTCCCAACCATTTCATTGTAGTGGAGCAAAATGTAATCCAAATCCCCGTCATCTGCAGCTGCAAACCACTTTCTATTGGCCATTTAAACCTTTTTTTAACAATCTTTGGCAACTTCGAGCATTTATCAAGAAATCGCCTTGACATTATTTTGGTGAAGCTCGTGCAGCTAGAGTGCGGATGCATCGTGCTTAAGAAACGAGTGTATCCCGTGGTGGGACAACCGGAGTGTTCCAGCGATAGATGTGAGGTAAGCTCGTTTGGTTGAGAAATTGGGGACACCCATCTGCTCCATCCGCTTCATTATGCGTTCTGTAGTGTACTTTTCTGTTTTCTGGGCCGAATCTACCCCTGATTTTTCGCGTCTCTCTTCATACTCTGCCATCCATCTGTTAACAGTGTCAATGTCTGTAGTGCCGATAATCTTCTGAATGGTCTCATAGCCATGCGTGGCAGTGTTCATCTTTCTGATGATGCTCTTGACGGCAGTGGACAGGCGATAGTTGGCGATGAGCCCATCCATTTGCTTCACCCACTCCTTCAGCATCTTCTCCCGCGGCGTGGCACCAAGCTGATCAGCATACCTCAACATCTGTCTGTGAGATAGCATCCTAAATTTGTATGAAAGCTCGTTACGCTTCATAAACGCATCAGAGAACATAACCATATAATTAAGATCTGCAGTTGTCAAATATCCGTACTCTGCGGGAAGCAGAAAGAACTGATTCATGTACCAATCAGTGTGGATGTCCGCTGTGTCTAATGCGCACATCTTGTTATCCATCTCTGCGTTGATCATGATGTGAAGGGCCTTGAATTGCTGGTAATCCAATCGCTCGTGATACAAATGATTGAACTTCTGATTGCTAATGGCTACTCTTTTTAACTCTCTGTATTTGTTAAGCGCAGAGGTGCACGATCCTATGGCACGTATCAAGTGCATATTGAAACCTCGTATCTGTTGATTTGCCAAGGTTACCGTACCACCCTTAGTGTCCATCAACTTTTTCAAGGTATCGACATGCTCTGGAGTCTGGAACCCAGCGTATTTCTGGTATGCGACAGGATCGTCGACCGATAGAGCGCTTAAACCGTCTGCGTCCAGCTCTTCAAACACTAAATTAGCATCAATTAGCTTCTTTGTAGTAACGCCAATTAGCTCTGCAAACTCTTTCCACTTGGTATTGACGATCTTAGCCTTCTCAAGACACAGATCCCTGGCTTCGTTCAGCTTTTCCTCATACTTATGCTTGTGCCCATCAAGCTCATGCTTCCGTGTTTCTCTGCGGGTCTTCAAAAAGTGCAGACATAGTGCGCTTTCAAGCTCCTTCGACATAGATTCTATGGAATCACTGTACGATTGTTCCTGGGCTTGGTAAATGTGATAGTTTTCTGTCTCTGACACCTGGTGAATGAAATAGTTAAGTAATTCTAGCTTTTCCTGTACACTGAGCTGGTGGAAACGGATATGTGATGGCGTGTAGTCTGCAGGTCTCTGTTTTGCTCTTGAAAAATGCAAGTATTGTAAGAGGCGTTTCAGGAATAATATGAAGTAGACGTTTTCCAGGATGTAGCTGGCTATAATGCAGACACTCATATGCAAGCTAGGAGCAATACTAAGTAAAGCGGATGGCACGTGCGGCATATACTCAAGGAAGCGGTCCTTTGCACGGGTTCTCTTTAGCTTAGGCTCCTCTGGAGCAGTGTCTTGCCCTGACCCAACGCTTGTCGGCGGCTTGAAGTCAATAGTGTTCGTCTCCTGGTCTTCTTCTGCGGTTTGGTCAATGTCTGTTATACCATAGTCATCTGCGTCATGCGGAAATGTCTGTAACTCTTGTTGCTGTTCAATGGTTTTCCCGTACGCACTTAACTCTTGTAGAAGGACGAAGAAGTCCGCAAGGCTGTCTTTGAATGCTATCTGTGCACTATTGGATCTGTACTTAGAGCTCTTCGACATACGCAGCGTCCTCTTGCCCTTTTGCCGCACTGTGATTGCCTCGCGCTCCTTCGCACGCTCTTCTCTTGAAAGAGCTATTTGTCTGACAAACTCTATGGCTTCTTGCTTCTCTTCATTGCTATATGATCTTATGGGGTTAATACACTCGTTCAAAATGGCAGCTAGAAGGTTGTCAGTAGACATAGCTGAAAGAATAGCCCTTAAAAGGTTTGAGGCAACCTTCTCTAACTGTTTGTGGTATTTGATTTTCAGTTTAAAAAAGATGGGAAGAATCCGAAGAATGACAGTAAATCTATCACTTTCGTTGATGCGAGACAGAAGATACCGCAAAGCCTGGTCATACCAGTAAGTATCTTTGCTTCCATCAATGTCATCCCACTCATCTGTATAGCTTATATCCGTTGAACAGTAGTAGCCCTCTGTTCGGTTTTCAGAGCCTTGGTCTTCTGATCGTGTGCTCAGGCGCCCACTGCGACTAGACCTTTCCTTTGCGTTTGCTATCCTTCTTTTCCCAGTAGTCCGCTGGTCCGATCTCTGTGAACTGCCCACGTTATCCGTAGTAGAATATGACGTTTCTTCTTCGCCATCGGAGTATGTATAATCTGTATAACTATATTCGCCGCTGTACTCGTCTGCTGAGTCATCGGAGACTTGTGTGTTCCGTTTGGATTTGATACTATTAGATGCTGGTCCTTTCCGAGGGGTCCTCGAGTTAGCTTGTCCAGAAACACGGACAGATACATTAGACGTCGACTTGGGGGACTTCTTTACCGCTTTTGGCGGAGGCTTCTTTTTCTCCAGCTGCTCATGGATATCATCTTCTGTTGACGAATACTCAGTTTCATAGTACGAGTACTCAGTGCTTTTGGTGCCCTCTTGCGACTGCTTATTATCAGCACCCGACGACAGATCGTCACTGCTCACGTTTTCATGTGCAGTGGAGATCTCCGTAGCAGACCCAGCGGACTCTGTGGGGCTTCGGCTGATCGCATCCGCTGCCGTGGCAGCTCTTACTACTGTTGCTGATGTTGTTGATGATGTTGATACTGTTCTCCGTACCAGTGAGGTCTTTCGTGTATATTCATAAGGAACTTCATCTACAATCTCCTCTTCTCCATCGTATAGAAGAGAGACCAACCGACTCATAACAAGATATAGTATTGGAGAAATTAAATCACCATTAAACACCGGAAAGGTTGAAGCCAATTGGTCTTTCTTATCTGTCAAGTGGTACTTCTCAAAATAATACTCCTTAATATCTTCCTCCTCAGCTTGCTTAAGCTCCTCAGGAGTTAAAGACCGGTACTGCAGTTGACGTTTATAACCAAACTGATCTGTGACATCGAGAGCATCAGAAAAATCTTCAAGACTGATAAAGGGCAGCTTTAGAAAAAGCGTGTTAGCTTGCAAAAACGCCCAGACCGTCATCAGCAGGGACATTGATATGCTGTCTTTATTGATACTGTCATCTCGAAACGGTGCATAGAGTGGTGTGTCAGGCGGTCTTGTGTACTTGTACTTTAACTGGAACAAATGGGAAGGCATGTCCTTAACACTTGTGTATAACGCCTGAATGTCCTCACCACGCGGGTAGAGAATCTGGCAGAGCCCGGATGTTTTGTCTGCTGTCTTGAACATAGCACTCAGCTCCGTGATATCCTCATAGTCAGAGTCATCAACCTTACTTACTAGTCTATCAAGAGGCTCATGGAGCAAGATAGCTGCGCGCTTGGATTCGTTGTGGGGGCAGTCGATGATGTCCATATCATCTTTGAGCATGATGCGAGATTGAAGTTGCATGCACTCGGGCTGGACCTCCATAGTTACTTGGTCTTTGAGCCGAACAATTTCCCCATTAATAGTTCGACAGCCATTAGGCGCCCTCTTCCCTTTCGTCTTTTCGCCAGATCGCTTGGCACCAGAGGATGTGGCGGTGTCCATGACAGCTGAATCATAAGGCCCGTCGTTGTCATCGTTATCATTAGTATTATCTTGCTCACCATGCACAGGCTTAGTAGATGGTGCGGTGTTCTTCTTGCCAGTGGGGTCTCGTGAGCCTCTGCCGGAAGAGTCCCGTCGAGAAGGTGTTACCAGAATGTCTATGGACTCACTCTCATCTTGCGAAGAAGATGTGTTATCTTGTCGCTTTATTTTATTTTTAGTATCAAGATATTTTTTCAATCCGGCGCCGTGCGGATCCGGTACGAAGGAAATGCGAATAGGGATACGACGCTCACCTTCGCAAAGAGCCAAGGAATCATCAATAAAAAATTTTTGGCCGTCAATCTCATAGCTGCTAACCTTTCCTACGACCGAAACGTTTGCACCCATGACCTGTGACTTGAACATGTTTCTATCTGCAATCAGCTCCAGCAGATTGTTATCTGGCCGTAGTGGGTAGAGAGTGTGTATTGCTCTGTTCCATGAGTCAAATAGCCAATCGGTCTGAAAGGTCGTAAGAACTGGTTGAATAGTAGCATGAACGTCAAGGATGCACATGTATAGCTCGAGAATTCCTGTGGTGTCAAGTCCTTTGGAAGAAAACACGCTTTTTATATCTTTAATGTCTGTGCACTTGTTCAGCTGAGCTTGAACAGACTGTTTGACTGCTCCTATTTTCAAATTAATGTGATCAACCAGGGTAAGGAGTTTTTGGTATACTTCGGGTGGAATAGCTCCCTTGCTATTGAAGAAGTATCTGAGCAAAAGGCAAAGGTATTCAAACTGAGAGGCTGTCAAGGGATAGACGGATGGAGAGTCAAAAAGAGAGGCATCACCATCATCATACGTTACTGTGTACCTGGCATAAGACCCCTCTTTTAAGATGTACAGATCTAGCCCAGAATCTTCATCTGTGTAGGTGAAGCACGGCTCATCAAGAGAGTCAATCACATCTTTCAATTGGTGACCCAGGACAGACTCAACATCCCTCATGTAACTTATGGCCCAAGATCCAGATATCTCCACTGCAACGCAATACTCGGCTGACGAGCAGTTTAGAGTGGCCTGTTGGCCCTGGGGGCTTTCAAATGCTGCGGAAAAAAGGTTTGATCCATGAACTATGATACCAATGCGCTTATTAGAAAGAAGAACGGGCTCTCCGACGAATGGAAGGTTGTGGAGACATTCATGGTACAGCTCTTTGATTTGACAGAAATATCGACGCTTAGACTCGTCTATCGTGGCGTTCTCACCGGTAGGGAGCAGAAGAAGAGGGAGTAGGTAACTGGACATGGCCTTGTTCACGAGTAGCGGTATGAAGTGGAGTATAATAAAGGAGGGCAAGCGCCTGATGGTATGGATAGCTCTCAGCTCGCTGGTTAACGCCTCCGGATAGCTGAGGCCGGTAGCCATAGTAGTAACACACTGAAAGAGTGGGCTTTGAAGCTGGCGAACCCTAGTGATGTAGTCGGAGTAGGATGAGAAGCAATCGTTCGTGAGGAGAATGCTAAAAAGACTGGAGGAAGTTGCTTGAATGGTCTCGGTTACTGGTGTAAGGGGGAACCCATTGAGGAGAGGCATTCGTTTTGCTATTTTTCATCCAAATAATTAAAGAAGATCCCTGGCAGAGGGGATGTTAGACCAGTAACAGCTGACCTCAAAAGTGGGCATATCGGCCCAGAAATTGGTATTTACCTGTGTACAGTCAGCCCCTCTTGCCCTTCTTCGATCCTTTGCTCTACTAGAAGCAGTAGAAAGGAGAAATAAATGGCACCCAAAGGCACATCCTTGGATGAGAAAAAAGAGAGACTGCTGGAAGAAATGCTCAAGAGAGGCGAAATATATTCCAATAAGACCATCGAAACCCTTTCCAAGCCCACAGGAATCTCCTCAATGGTCATTAAGAATGTCCTCCAGGCCCTCGTGAATGAGGACCTTGTAGACACGGACAAGATAGGGGCCAGTACCTATTATTGGTGCTTTGCTTCCAAGCGCTCTCAGGCTGCACGCACAGAGCTTGCCCGTCTACAGAAGGCACTAGAGGAGCAAACCAATTTTATAGATAAAGCGACGGCAAGAATTGAGGAGCTGAAGGTTGGCCGCGAGGAGACAGAAGAACGATCTTCGCTGCTCAAAGAAAAACTGGCACTACAGGTGAAGCTAGAGGAGCAGCGAGGCACCTTCCGCGATCTGCTTAAGAACGATCCAGACGTTGCACAGAAGCTACGAAATTATACAGATATTGCGAAACAGGAAGCAAATCTATGGACTGACAACATTTTCTGCTTGCAAAAATATATGCTGACTAAATTGCAAATGGACAAGAAGACTGTCTCTACCGCGCTTGGAATTACCGGAGAATTTGACTATCTAGAGTAGCTTTCTCGCTAATGTTGTCCACACTTATTTCTAGTATAGCATCCACTTCAGTGTACACCTTTAGAAGGCACATGAGCTCCGCGAGAAAGGCACTTTTTATTACGAGCTCCAAAGAAAATGAGTTGTGTTCAATAACAATCACTTCTATCTTCATCACTCGTGCATTTTCTGTATGCTCATATTGAAGGTCAGATTTGCACTGCTTTCCTGTAGCTGTGGACTCCTCTAACTCTAATGGCTCGTAAGCAAAATCTGCGAAGGCTCCGAAGACATTGGCCAAGCGAAGGCGCTGAGCTGCTACTATGCGCTGCATCTCTTTGAACATCCCGCTGAGTTGATCTATATATGCTCGTATTCTGGCACACGTTGGAGGGATGTCCAGAAAGAATGCACTCCGCTGCTCAGAGGACAAACTAATCGTCATGTGCATGGTCGTGTGGTCCGCACAATTCTCTGCTGTGCTGCTAGACGCTCTTTGATCAATCAAAGACCTCATGATGCAAAGATTACTGCACACCTCTTTTACCAGCTCTTCATTGGCACTTCGAAGATCCACCAAAGTCATCCTACACACAAAGACAGGTATGAATCCTTGCATGTGTTGCAAAAAGGGTCCTTCATAGCGCTTTTGGAGCGTGTCTGCATTCACATCTGCTTGCAGAAATGATCCACCGGGCGGGACTGTGTTGCTGTAAACTCTGTTGACCATCAATGTTGATAGATCACAATAACATACTTGACAGCATTGTCTTGCAGCTGCGCAGTCGCGGCACATGGCAGTAGGCAGAGAGGTGCTCCATCTCTCCGGCTGATAGACCCGGTATCGCTGAAACAGCTTGGTGCATACACTGCATGAGTGCTTGCCATTCTCCATCTCTAGAGTCTGTGGTCCTCCGCGCGACTCCATGCACGTGGCACACAGGAGCATCTGGATTTTATCGTCCCTGACGGTAATGAGAGTTGGACCGCAGAAGACATTCGGTCAAGCAGCTGATCAATCACAGATTAACTAAAATTTATATCCGGGGTGATTGCCTGAGCAGGCAAACAGTTCGTACTGAGTACGCAATCCTCAGGGCAAAAAATTAAAGTTCCATAAGTACGAACAAGTCTGAGCCAAGTACCACTTCCATTGTAAGTTAAAGACCTCCAAGCTCCGATCCTGAAATACCTGAGGTCACACGCCAGAATCATAATCCTCCATTAAGAACTCGCTTCCTTCGTATTGCGAATCCTTAGCTTCTAGTTCCAATATGTGGGTCTCTTCGTCTGCATTGACGTCATTGAACAGCTCACTAAAATCAGTCAGCTTCAGATTGTTCAAGGTTCTAGCTGGCGGCTTTTTCACAGCTGCTTCCGCGGATCTGAGAACCTTATTATTAGACATCGTACGACAAGACCCCACCAGAGCTTTCGGAGCTGGATTATTGATGCCAGGGACGAATACTGTCTCTTGTGCGCTGTCCACGCTTAAGCTCAGCTCATATTCTCGCGACACCTCCATGAGGTCATGTTTGGCAAACATATCTAGCGGCTCAATGACGTGAGGAAGCATATAAGTGTAGTAATGTGCAAAAAACAACCCAGATAACCTATACGGTGCGTTAGCTGCGGAACTGAAGAGGGACTGAGTGAAAGAAAACGGAAAAAATCTATTGAGAAAGCGTGGCAGTCCTTGTACGTACTTTGCTAAGGGGCTGCTTGTCACGGTAGGCAGAACTATTCTTGTGTCTCCAATGTTCTTTGGATTGGTGTCTGGTATTCGCCATTTAGTTTCTAATATTGACTGCGAGTCTATGCAGCTTATGGCTGATATTTGAGCACACTTTTTCCACACGTCTCCCTGGCCTAGCTTGTTGGAGAGAGCCACCGGCAGACGCTTTTTCTCCTGCTTTTCTTTTGTCGGTGTATATGGCTCATCTGACTTAGATAGAAACTCCTCATTATCTTCAGCTACCGTCAAACAGCAAACATCATTATTTATCGAGTCCTTAGCTATGTAACTAACTGTGCTTGCTTCAAGGCCGTGTGGTGTCTGCTGATTCATGAATGATATTGCTTCATCTCCAGTTTGCGGGGTATACCCTGCTGATAAGACACTGTCTGGCAGCAACAAAGACCCGTTCCTGTGGAAATCTATCGGTTCCACTAAATTTCCAGGACTTATCGCCTGTATCATCAACTCATCCACCCCAATAGTTTTCTTGTCAGACGTTTCGCAGCTATCTAATATGTCTACTGAGATATCTATACTGTGCCGTTGGTTAGCGTCCAGCATTTTTGATGCATTCAATTGAGGATTATCTTCGAAGCACTTAACATTGTCATTAGCCCCGGTTGACTGGCAAGAAGGCAAAGTGCATAGTTCTGTGGATGTAGCGGGTTTCTCATTGCTAGCTTCGTCATTATTCGTGTCACTAACTTCATAAGTGAATGGACGAAGCCTATTGGTATCCTGCTCTGTGATATTCGACGTGCATGCATTCCGCAAATAAGACGCAGCCTCCTTTAAATTGGAATTGTTGGCGTCATACCGATTAATTCTAATTAGCTTCGAACCGTCTAAAGAGCCTGCTCCCTCCGCTATGAAAGTCTTTTCGATTATCCCCAAGTTACGGGTAGATACTAATGGAAGAGTTGGTATAGTGGTTACATTGTTATGGAGCCACTTAGATGCAAATATATTCCCACTAAAATTGGAGGCTCTTCTGTCCTTGAGAGCAGAATCCTTACTCTGCAAAGCAGAGCTTAATCTTTTGGTCTTCTGGGCAGAGAAACACTTGGTGAGATGTGGGTCATCAAAACTTTCTATGTCAGACAAGTCTATGAGTGCATTAAGGGTCCTGGAGCGGAAGAGAAAGTTGGGTAGTGGCATTGGGCTGTCATCTTGGTTGGAGCTACTAAACGTCTCCTCAGATGTGGTGGTATCTTGGAATATTTTTGTCGAAAGGTCAAAGTGTTTCGGTGCCAGCAGCTGCGACTCCATTGGATACTGCACCTCCAATTCCTTGAAGAGAAACTGGGCAAGATTAGAACCACGACTCCGTCGCTTAAGGACATTAACGAAATGCTTATGTGTGCATTGCATTGAGAAACGTATAGATCTGTCTGCTAGTTCCGTTGGCACTAATACCGTAGATCTATTTCCCTGGTGATTGCTATCTGAATTTGGCATAATATTTAGGTCCGTTCCATCTTGTAATTGCTTATCTTTCTGAACCTCTAGTTGGAGCATGCTTCTGGCGTGCTGGCAATGATGTAATTGATGGACATGTTTCGGCGGAATACCAACAGAATATGCAGGGTTTGCCTCATGAACATCTACCGAGTCCGCTATTGTTGGCTGAACATTTGGAAAATTCAATAAAACAGGCTTTGAACTGCTCTTGGGATAGTTGAGCGAACGTGGCTCTGTCTGTGACAAGGTACTTGGATCTATATTCGCAGGCTCTTCGTCGCCAGTTGTCTCCACAAGACTGTTGTCATGAGACAGTGTTGATGTCATTTTAGTATGGGTACTTTTATCGTTCAGTTCGTGAACTGGAGTATCATAAGTAAGAACGGATGTATAAGCTCCTGATGAAACGATAGCTGGAGAGGCGTTTATGTCTGATGAAATGGGGACTAGACTGTCCCTTTCGATACCAGAAGCGGCATTATAACCAGCTATTTCAAAATCCGTCGTAGTAGATGTATCCACATCGAATGTTTCGCAGTTAACAGAGCTTGTGAGCAGAGATTTCCTGAGACTAGAGGAGACTTTGCTTTGTGTTTGCAGTTGTACGGACTTAACATCAGTACTTGCTGTTGTTGTGGTTGAGTCGCTGGTTTGGAGAGATATGGCTGTGTTGGTAATGGGTCTAACCATTAATATTGAGGACGACGTGCTTGCTGGATTTTGATGACAGAAAGGTTGTTGGCCGTCCTGGCTCTGTTCGTCTATTGTAGATGCTTTCAGAACAACAGAGACCTTCAACGGCGGATTATGTTTCTTTGGAAGCGATTTCTTGAACAGCGCGTACCTCCTCTGGCAATGGAATTGTACTCGTTTGGCTGTGATCGGCACAACAGCATTCGCTACTTTTCCACAGACCTCTAGAGTGTGGTCTGCCTTTGTCCCAATTGCATTTCGCAATTGATAGCGAAGGGTTCTAGTTGTGCTCAGTGCACTCAGCGATGGGTGCTTAGCGTTGTGATGCAGTGCGAAGGCAGTTGCATTGGAGTTTTCTTCCATTTTCTTCTTATCCCATAATCGAGTCTTGATCAAAGAATTAGGATCCTCTAGCGATGAGCGCATCCGTGTATTTGCTTCGGTAGCAACTTTAATATCAGGTAACTTAGTATTCGAATTGAAGATGTTGCTACGTAATTTGTACGGCACGGCATCGTCTACATCTGTGCTTTCAAACGAACTGTGCATTGATATATTGCCAATCTGATGAACGCATGGACTCTGGAAAGATACTAACTCGTTGCCCCCTATATGAATGTTTAAAGAGACAGAAGTACTTTGTGTGGACTTTGATTCAAGGGCATCTGTGTGTTGTGGCTGCTCTCTCTGTATCTGAAAACCTCCGGGCTGTTCTCTGCAAAGTGTACTTGTATCTGTAGTGATCTGACAATTATCGTAGGTAGGATAATTCGCAGTATAACTTTTATGCATTCTCAGTGTTCGCGCGGTTGAGGCCAAGAGAAGATTGCTCCTTTTGTATCTTTTGTGTGCTGACTCATTTGTGGTATGCTTGTCTGGCGGTTCCTTTGACAAAGGGTACTGTGAACACTGATAACTACCAGTACTGGGTGGCTTAGCCGTCGTAAGCTTTACCACACTGATCAAGTTAGAGCTTTTGAAAGGAGTATCTTTAAACCGCCGTAATGAATTATTAGTGTGGTGGTGTCCTGCTACGACCTTGTGGCTGACCAGTGTCTTATCAAGAAGCTGCAAATTGTGACTGAGCAGGTCACAGGATGGGGGCTGCACGATTTGAGTGGCAAACATTTTCGGATCCATGATGTGATGCTCGGACGGTGTTGCAAGCCCCAGGGGAAATAAGTCGTGAGACGTGTCATGAGACTCATGAAACGTCCCAGGAGTTTCAGATACGAAGGTTGTGTCCGCGGTGTATGTAGTTGTTGGTTGTGCAGTCAGGATACTCTCCTCGGTAATTTTACACTGAGACGATGAGATCTCATCTTCTGTGACATCCCTATATGAAAGTTCGGCCTGTAAGGTGCTCTGTACGCCGAAAATAGAAACATCCTTTGGTAGTGATTGTAACTGGTTTCTTGCTAAGTGATAATATGACGGTTCAATAGGTGTTCCAGCAAAAGACATACCCCCTTGAGAGCTGAACTCTAAGGTTATCTGATTGATATTGTCAATCGATGGTGATGAAGATTCTGAGGACGACAAAGTTAAGGTGGATAAACGCTCAGACGAAAACAAGAACAACTCGGTACAAATACTCCCTTGCTCCGAGGCTCTTGTGCCCCAGCACCTGCGGTACCGAGCCCACTCCTGACCGTCTGCAGAAGCCCCAGCCACCCAGGGAACAAGGCTCCCGCAATGTGTATAGCCACGGACATGCTCAGGCATAATTTGCTTCTTGAAGTCAGTATAGCTGTTATGATAGACCGTCGTCTCCAATAAGCGCGTGGCAAGGTAAGTCAGAGACTTCAGCCTCATGGACAGTAGTCCTTGACTGATTGATTGACTCTTGCCAAGGGTATGTGCCAAATCAAAGAACTTTGGAACTAGATATGATCTGCTGTTAGGGGAATCTTGTGGGTGGAGATATCGTACCATACTGTTGCGCACTTGGAGAGAAATTGCGGTTAAATCCAATTGTAGAAGTACAGAGCTTATCCAAGGGTCTGCAAGCACATCTGAATTGTGTAGCTTAAGAGCCATCAGAATGGTATCATCTGTATAGACATCTTTGAAGATGTGCTCATGAAAGACAGACTCCAATGAGGAGAGAGATGCTCTGCGAATATGTTTTTTGTTATTCGATATGATTGTTTTCCTACGTGTCCTTACAATATATTGATGGTAGTTTTCTAGAGCATTTCCTGTTGTCTGTTCCAGGTCATCTTCAATGGGGGCCTTCGCCTCATCTGCAAATCCTTCTTCAGAGCATGGTGGGAGACCGAACAGTCTGCGGTACTCAGCTATGCTGGAGACATAGGTAGTCAGATTGTCTTCCTCATAGCTCACACGGTAGCCCACATAGAGGGGATGTCTAGATATATCCTCTGCCGTATACCGTTCAACGGGGTCCAGTGCCAGGCATCCACAGAGTAGATCCGTTGTAAATGGGGTAAGATGCTGTGAAATGGCGAGCACATCATTGCTTCGCCGATACAACGGTTCTGTGCGTGCGGCGCCAATCATAATGTAAAGGATGGTCACCCCAAAACACCACACATCAACTGGTGAGGGCAAGATAGCATAGAATGAGTTAGAAGCAGAGATCTTTCTGAATGTACTAGAGAATTCCTTGGACGACTCCTTAGCAGTCGTCGACAAAGTAATAGTACTTTTGATGAGAGTCGCCTGGGAAACCATATGATCACTCTCAAGAGCATCTTCTTCGTGGCTTGACGTTTCGTGTCTAGTACATAGATTGCAAGACCTAGTGTCTCTGTTAAACTTAAAGCTGTTGCAGCGTGGATGGGTAGAACACCGTGGGAGGACAGAGACCTCCGCAAGAGCACATGTAGCTTGCTCATGTGTCTTTATAGTAGAGCCTGGACGATCACAGATTGAAGTGTGTAGGTCTTCACAACTTAGTTCAGGTGGTAAATATGCAATTGTTCCATTCTTGTTGGTGATAAACTTCTCATTGCTCGATATTAGTGGGTCTGCAAGAATTCTGAGGCTTTCTATTGTGAAAAAATGCTTAATGTAATACATGACAATCTCAATAAGCCTTTCAACGCGTTCGTTTTTTGTTAAAATTGCATACACAGGGCCCTCTATGTCAAACCATTCTAAGGTGGTAACTTGACCTAGATCCTTCGTGAGCAATCTGCCAATCCCTTGTAGCATCGTGTCGAATGTTATTATCTTTGTATTTAGTAAGCTTAAATCGATGCTTATACCAAAGTCGATCAGATAAGGATCTACACTGAGGGGGTGCTCCTCGGCATAAAATAACTCGTTGTGACGCAAATGTTTCTCATTGAACAGAATATTATCAACCTTAATGTCTTTATGAATAATTCCTATTTTGTGCAAGCTATAGATGGTGTAGGAAAGCCTGCGAGAAAAGCTTATGTAGTCAGAGTAGTGGAGCTGCCCGACGATGGGCTGAATGCCGCTGTTGCTGCAGTATTCAACAACCAAAAATAAGGTTCGCGCGATTGTTGAGTCAGTGTCTCCTAGAGGGGCTGTGGTATCATAGAGGCTGTCGATGAAGGTCACACCAGCACATACAAGTAGTTTGTGTAACTGGATACACGAGTTTTTATTGTACCATATTTCTAGGACTCTGCGAGTGCCTGGTATAGCGTGCACGTTAATTTTATCAAGTAATTGAAAGTAATTAAACCTTCCATTATAACCAGTAAAGCCTTTCCTGGAGTCTGTTAAGGGTTGAAAGTAGACAGACACTTGCGTCCCAGACTGTAGAGACTGTCCTAAGCGTACAGAGGACTCTGTGCCAGATCCCAGCTCCCTGAGGATATGATATCCATTGATAATAGAACGACCAGATGGGCCCCTGATCCGATTGACAGATGATCGGAATTTGATGGTCGTGATGCCCTTGGTCATGGTTGTAGTACCGAATTCAGGATAAAAGTAGAGTAATTTTTATTAATGAAACAGAAGATTTGTAACGACTGCCTTGTCTTTTTGATATCTTTCCTGCTATTCAACAATGCATTCAGCGGTCTACCTCAGGGCGCTCGTGGAATCATAGTTTAGTATTCACTCCCATTGCTGCTTAAATCGAACGTGTAAAATATTAATGGAAGTAAATGGCCATGCAGTTTCCGTGATGCTCTAAGCCGCACTTTTCATAGAACCCGACGTTCTCGTCGCTGCAGTCTAGAATCACTTTATAGCAATTTGCACGGTGCGCCTTCAGGACCAGATGGGTGATTAGGAGCTTGCCCAGCCCGAGGCCGCGATACTTTTTGTCAATGACCACGTCCTCGATATGGCCCACAAAGCTTCCCTGGTGTAAGAGCTTGGGCTCGACAAGAAGAGTCGCGGTGCCGATGATCTGATTGTCCATGTTTTCAATCACAGCAACAATGTGTCTGTCACTCGCTTTGACACACTTATAGAATTCCATCAGGGACTCGTGAGAGACGTCTCCAACTGTGGACAGTTGGCTGAGTAGCTGGCAGAGCTGACCCAGGTCGGTGACTTCGAGTCCACGCACATTCACGTCGTTTATGCTACGGTCGATGTTGTGGCGGATGCTGCAGTTTTCACAGACCATTTTGATTTGCTGAGAGTCCGGTGACACGATTTGGGCACGATGGCAGTTGCAGGAGCATTTGGCCGCATTGGGCGACATGGGATTCACGATCTCCATTTGCTGGCTAACAATTACATCTGCCATTGCATGACTCATTGATATTTTTTTCTTGCCCACTATCCTACCCAAGTGCGAACCTTATATTCGTATAAACATTTACATTTCGTAGATTAATAGATTTCGTACAAAAAGAAATATATCTATGCAAGCTGCTACAGTGTATTATGATGTAGCTACGCAAGAGCTCGCAGTCACTACCTACTGCACCCCGTCCTCTCTGAGTACGACTGAAGTAGTTCTAGATTTGTGCAATCTGAAACCGCCCATCTCCTCCCCAGGCAACTTGATATCACTTTGGAAAGAGACTGTTCTAGTTGTTTCGCAAAGAGATGACATGCTTTGGATTGTCGATATTAGCACACGAAAGGTTACTGCACAGTTTCAAGCCAACTTCACATGCTTTGCTACGGCACACTACGTTGTTTCCGGGCTTGTCGATATGCACTTTTTTGCTACTACTCCACTCGTCCGTTGCCACGGTTGCGCAGAGGGAGCAAGTCGAACACTGGTTACTGCATTTCTCACCAGGAAAGATATAGTATTGATCGAGTTCTCTGGCAGGACAAACAGCTTCAAACCGCTTCTTACTATGCCCATTGAAAAGGAAGTAGATGAGACGCTGGAGCCATTCTTATCTATTACGGCTCAACACGTAGCTACTCTTTGTAACTACTCACCAATGAACGAGTCTTTAGCAAGTACATCTGTAACTCAATCCCACTCCTACGGGGTTGTTTATTTGCATTATTTAGGCGAGGTAACAAACAGTCCGGCGCGAATTCCCGTTCCAGGCACAGTTCTATCAGTTATATTAGAAGAAGACAATGGTACAGACACACTAATTATTCAATTCAAAACAGACAATGAGCTCGAAACAGCTGAGTATGCTGCACAACCCCTGTCTAATCTGTGGGTTCCAGTTAAGTCTGAAAAAACAAAGTATTATCTAACGGAAAGGTTAGGTGCTAGGGTCTACCAATACAGCACAAAAGATACCAGCCCCGATGTCGTTCAATGCACACGGCCAAATCTTCCTTGCATCAGTCTCGTCGAACTGTCCAAAAACTGTGCACTCGCATATAGAAATGGAGTTTTTGTGGGTGCTGATGCACGTAGTCTCTGCGTATTTGTTGGAAGCGCCTTTGTGAAGCAAACGATAGCCAAAGTGACTGGAGTGACTGGAACAGATGAACTGGAATTCCTCCGGTGCGCGTTGACAGACACATTTCAAGCAGTAGTGTGTGCAAAAGTAGCATCTGGAGTTCACATCTTCGTAGTGCGAAAGTCTAGGGGAAAGCACCCTTATCGTGTAGTTGTTCCCGGAAAGCAGTTCAAGTCTTTGTCCACTTCCAAGAATGCTATCTGGGTACCTATTGAATGTAAGCTACTGGCTATAGAAAAGACGCATGCATACTGCCTGATTCTTTCAAAGGATACATGCACTATGTTAGCCACTCAGGATGACGGAGATATCGAGATCTGTCTTACTGTCGGTTCGTGTTCCACCTCTCTGCCGTTTGCTGTAAGGGATAGGGCAGCTTGTCTAAAAGATTGCTTAAGAATGCAACCAAAAGTAGCAACTATTCACCAGTATTTATGCGAGCTACACAGTCAACAGTCGTCAAATGATCAGCAAAGGATGCTCACCATAGGAGATGAAGGAGACCTAGAAGTCCAAAAATTGATTACACCGACTCCTGGTTCTGAGCTGATAACCCCAGTTAGAGCTGTGGCCTTTAATCAATTATCAAACATATCTGCACACAGCTCTTTGGCTGGACCCGCTTCCATTATTGCTAATGCCAAGATGTACTCATGCATTGCCCCGCAGATGCCTCCAGCTTCTGAACCTCTGAACAATGCAACTAAATCGACTTCCTACCAATCAACTTCCCTGTGCATAATGATTTTCATATTGATATCTATTAGTATTGTGGTGCTAGTGCAGGTTCGAAAGCTGATCAACTATGGTTTGAATAGTTGATTCGCGATCAAAGGCTCTTGTATGCGTCTTCGGCTTAAATGTGTCAATTGTCGTAAAGGTTATGGCCTGCTCATCTCTTTTGGCTTTCTGCTTTATGGCGTCGTTATACAGGGCATTAAAAGCGTCTCGCTCTGCTCTATGTCTCGACTTAGAGGATGAAATTAGGACAGGCTGAAAAGTGGGCCTCTCGTTCTCTTTTTCAATGGCCTCTTGAAGTTTCTTTTCTTCCATCTTTCGATTCAGTGTTTCTTGTTTCTGTTTTGCTTGCTCATAGAGACGGAGATGAGGATCTTTTTCCTTGTGCACATAATCTTTCGATTGACTAATAATCTGGGGGTGGAATGTGCACTCCTTCATAGGATCTTCCTGCTCCGGCAAGGATTTCGGTTTTGGCGTCGATCTTTGGCCCAATCTTTGAACTGACTCCTGTTGCCTTGTCGATATCTTTTGTAGTTGTGAAGACGAGTCCGCGCTAGTGTTACAAGTGAGAAGCTTCACTAGATTATCGTATTCATCCATCTCAAAGCCAAAAGTAACTTTACTCTATCCTTAACTTTTGAAGTTATAAAGCCTTGGTTGTGATCATGTGCCTAGAGCCAAGTATGGTGAAAGGGCGTTTTACTAGGGTATAACTAACCGAATCAAGTGGAGTAGTTATGCATGGAAGGGATCTACTCACAGAGTAGCTCAAATATACAGAAGGCAAAAGCTGTGTTCTCCCAGTGCATTGCACGTCTACTATGGTGAATGGTGGCCAGATGATTTATTTGTGCGTATACTATTCAGACGAATTCGGTCTTTTTCGGTGAGGAAGTCATGCTTTCCAATCCAGTTACTCTCTGCTTCACCGAGGCGGCCGCCCGCTGCTGCCCGAGCATCTCCGTGAGGATCGCCGCTCCTCGCGATGCCTCTAGGGTTCCTTCCTTCCTCTGGCTAGCTTGGGGCAACCATCGTCTGGCACCTGGGTGACCACACACTATCTCAGGGCCTGCTGTCGATCACGGCGATCTGGCTTCCACGTGGCCCTGGTGCTAGTTCTCCGTGACGAGAATCGCACGCCATGAGCCTCGGGTGTCCACCCCGTTCCTCGGGGTGCCTCTTCATCTCCCCATGACGTGAATCATCGACCCTGCTGTCGGAGGTGCGCTCCACGTACGCCTCCATCTTGGAGTCATAGTACGCATTCGTGGATGCCGACGGAGTACTCCCATGCGTTGTGTCGGGGGAGAAGTATGGCCCTCCTGCTCATGGATCGCAGTGCACTCTTGCAGGCGGTCCGTCACCCAGCACGAGACCGTGTCGACGCCCATCCTGTGCAGTGTGTCTGGCTCAGTGATGTGTGGGCTATGTCCATCTGCACAGCACACCTGGGGTGATGCTTCGGTCTGTCGAGGCGTCGGTCCAGGACCACCTCTCTGAGAGGCGTCGTCTGAGGCACCAAGAGCGATTAGGACCGGTTCACCGAAGTCGGCTTGCTCGGTAGCCGGCACCCGCCTACTCGGGGGTGTCAGGCACTGCCAACTGCTGTGGCAGACCCCTGGCAGGTGGCCCGGGCCACCACTCTTCGGTGCAGGCAGGATCAGCCCGCCTCTGTCAGCCAAGCACCCCAGGGGCCGACTTGCCTGTCGAGGGATTCACATGGGCCGCGTGTGGGTCCATCCCGGCCAGCACGGCGAGTGATTAGTGCCATCACTGACTTCAGGCTCTCTGCCGCCTTGGGGGCTCCTTGAGACCGGCCAGGAAGGAGGCCCCCTGCCCCTCCGTGCTCCTGCACCCGGTGGTGACCGTCGAGCCATGTTGCTTCGCCGGGCCTGTCGCTTCTGTGACTGCCCCGTCGCGTCGCTGTCGTCGGCACGGGCAGTGAGCGGGGCATCTCCTTCAGCTCCTGGTGAGCAGGTTCTGTCCCCCGCAGCACAGAAGCATGCGCAGGGCCCCGAGGGATCGAGCCCAGGGGTGCAGCGCGTCGCAGCCGGAGGAAGGCCCCGACGCAGCTCCTCGGGACGGGGCATACTCGCCTGGCAGAGGCCGTCTACTGTTGGAATGTTCGCTATGTCGAGCAAGACCGCTGTGTTCCATCAGTCTGCGCCTCTCTGCGCCATGCAAATGCCGCCCATGTGCAGTCGGTGGAACGCAGTCTGCTCGGTCTCAAGGAAGACCAGTGTCTGGGTCTCCAGGGGACTCGGAACTGCCTTGTGGAGCGCATCATGATAATCCACCGATTGCACTTGCCCTGCCTCGTCCTTGGGAAGAGGGAAGAACAAGAGTTTTTCTCCCGTCGAAGTCGCTTGACACTCACCTTCGAACTCTGGATCTGGATCTCGGTTGGTGAACGAGCGAGGGACTTGCCCAGGGAGGCGGTGGCTCGCATGAGAGACCACTCAGATAGCAGGCGACAGCCCCACCCCGGCTAAAAAACTTGAGGCAGCCGTTGCACCCGCCGCCCTCAGGACAGAGTTTCTGCATGCATGGCTAGCTGCCCTTGCCAGTTCGGTCTACTGGTCCGGTAGTCTGAGGACCCTCTGCCCCGCTCTCTGGCGTACGATGCATCGCAACTGCTCATACGGGTAAGCAGCGTGAAAGAGGAATTGCATGTGCAGACAGCGTGTTGTGCTCGTCTCAGAGGCCCAGGGCTTCTAAAGGCGAATTGCTGTGCTGAGCCACACGCCTCATTGCCTTGCGCCGGTGACTGCCTCCACCACCGTCTTCGTTGCACTTGGGCTGTGCCTGCCCAGCAGACTGAGCAGAGATTACAGAAGCTTCTCTAATAATGCACACACGCCGCATAAGGTCTGATGGTAGAATGGACACCGCCTGTTTGAGCTATCTGTTATCAGTGAAGAATAGCACCAGAGATGCTTCTGTGTAAGCATGGGGTCTTCGCACCTGTCCCCTATCAGCTATAGCGACAGCTATATATCCAGAAAGGTCCTGCAGAGCGCTCCACCGTCTTTCAAGGTGAGACATGAGCTCCACACCTATGGCTAAAACAGAACTCTGTACACCAACTGTTGTAAGCCTCATGTGATAACTGGTCTGTATCATAGTCAACTTACTAAGCATCTATACACTTGTTTGGATGCCCGTTGCTGGTTTTAGACGGACCTGCGAAGAGGCTTGCCTTTGTCCGCATTGACCTAGTGGTATCTAGTCTTGGTGACAGGCTTCAAGGAAGGAGGATGTTATTTGGGTACATAGAAGGCTACTCGTGTACAAAGATCCTCGAGAAGCAAATTTAGACAAAGAAGATGGAGAAAGCCAGGGAGCCCACTCTGTAATAGGATGACTAGGTATAGACCCATATTGCAATAAGGACACACGTGAGTCCCTCTGGCTTCTAGCCGTGGAAAATCGTGGAGTCTGCGGACGACTTGGAGGCTGATTTGATTTTGTGCATTTGTAGCGAGGCAGAGGCTTCTGGATACTCAACTGTTCCGAAGTCGAGGGAGCTCGTTTCCTCTCCATACGTAGCGCAAGACCCTATTGTAGAGGTATACGGTGCACACCAATATCAGTCAGCGTGTTTTCTACTCAGCAGTTCCTCAGTTGCGTCTTTCCGCAGTAGACGAGCCACCGGATGATGCTCCCACAATCCACACGATTAGCTTTATAGTGCTCTGTAGATGGCCATCCACCCTTACCAGAGGACGACTACACGCATTACGCAGTTTGAGGTACTTGCCAATCGAGGTGGCATAGTCAGCTCTTGCCCGCTCAAGCTAGACCTCAACCACCTTGCCAACTACATTCCAAGTCACGGTGTTTATAGATGTCCACCTCAAGTCTGCAAGGTGCATCCCACGACTGCACAGCGCGGATAGAAATCCTTGCCTGTTATAAGAGGCGCCAACCAGTTTACTGCATCTGGATATCCCTTGTGCGCCCAACAGAGACTTAATGGATCACATTGCTGTGCACACCAGCCTCTCTGCTCGCGAGCTGCTTTAGGGCTCTCTCATTGTCTCGCCTCCACATGGTTGTCAGACTACCAAGCACTTTGTAACGTCAGCTGATCACCCGAGATATCAAGCTTTCGTACAGCGGGTTGCTCAATGTGACACGAAATCTAGAGGGCACTGACGTTCCTAGCTTGCTGTCCATATAGCACTATCATCAATCTTCAGTCCAGTTGACCAGCACACAGTCCGTTCTCTGGCCAGCCAACCGGGCCTAGTCTTGCTGGTAGACTTTCGAGCATAAGAGTATCCCCTGACAGCGGTGGCCACGCTGTGTACATTGCCCGGATGATCACTCTTGGCAATGGCTCCAGGACCTGGGCACCCCAGACCAGAGGGACGACAACGGCCCAGTTCGTCTACGGCTCCACTATCCCTTAGTTAGCATGGAGTGTGGCAGCCCAGATAGCGCTGGCCGTCCGGTATCACCTTTTCTCCGGTGCGCGGGGGTAGCCCTCGTGTGAGAGGCGCTGTGATATGTTGGCTGGAGCCGGTCAGGCGAGCGGGACCACCGCTCTAGAAGTGCTGGCACATCATTGCGTGTCCGAAGGCATGCCCACCTCAGTGGGACCATCCCAGATGAGGACGGACGGGCACCGGTTCCTAGATGGGCCTGCGACCGGCGAGGGACAGTCTTTAAAGACGATCGGCCGGCAGAGCCCTTCAGTGGCATAGGAGTCGACAGGGGGCAGGCTTATCGACGGTCTGCGGTGCAACCAGGTTAAGTCGTATGACAGACGGACATCCATCCGTTCGCGGTGGGCATGTTGCGTGTCCCTAAGCAGAGGGGGCAGTCGTAGTGAGTCGCGATAGAACACGCAGCCATCCTCCACGGGGCATCGCTCCTGCCGGGCCTCAATGTAGGACCTCGACGAGCAGTGTCTGAGGCATCTGCTTGTGATGACCCGTGGCTCGGGCTGCTGGACATCGCACGGCCGGCTCCATCGGGTCGCTGGTCAGGCATCCAGGAGAACCTAGGAGTTCCTTGGCAGACCTTGTGACTGGCACAGCAGGAGAGCTGGTCGCCAGGAGACCATCACATCACAGTGAAGAGCTAGACAGGCCACCGTGTAGCAGTTATCATGTGATGCGCCTTGCAATGTAAAGGAGGAGATCTGCACTGATCGATCCATCTTCATGGCCGGCTAGTTACATGGGACCCGGGGATGGCAGGCCATGAGACTGGAATCAGCACGCTCCCACCTCTCAACGCAGACCCATGTGGAGGCCCTCCCTGCCAGTGTGTTATGCAGCACAGGCAGATGCCACGAAAGGACGGACTGACGAGCGAAGTTGCTATATCCCTGTGTAACAGAGCGTCGAGCCACAATGTTCTACGCAGTTTTGCTGATTGGCCTCATGCTCGAGATGGCATGGGCAGCGCAAGCCGGAGACGAATGTGAGGAGGTAACTGGCAGTGAACCCAATACTTGCAAGACCTGTAGCGCCGTCATCAACGGCAAGAAGTACTGCTCGCAGTGCAACGACACTGGGAATTCTAATTCCGGTGGCGCCCCGACAGACGGAGTGTGCTCAGCAGACAATAACGAGTGCAGCCAAAAACAA